ACACACACACACACACACACACACACACACACACACACACACACACACACACACACACACACACACACACACGACATATAATCTAACATCAAATCAGAAGCACCATCATAAAAAAATGCCATCAGACGACGACAACCTCTTCTCCAACCAGCCCTCCATCTCCAGCCTCCTCACGCAGCTCCGCCGCAGCACCCTCACGCCCGGCAACCGCCTCAAGTCCATCCACGCCGACGCCTCCTTTGTCGCCCAGGTCGCCTCTGCATTTCCCTCTCCTCCAAAGAAGGGAAAGAGGAGAAACAGGCCGCTGGTGGCCAACGAGCGCTGCGGCAGCTGGTACATCCCGCCGGTGAAAAAGGACGGCAGCGCGTACTTTAAGAGCACGGATGGGCATGAGCGGGCGTGGAAGTTTAGTACCAGGAGGTTGAACTTGCATTTGATTGACATGATTGAGGAGAATGACGGGTACGTCCATTCCACTTTCACTTCATTCAATGTCTCTGGTTTCAAACACCATGAAAGCTGCAGCTAACACGGACACATACAACCAGCATCATCATCGTAGACTCCACCCGCCGCGGCAAACGCAAGTCCCCTCCTCCTCCCCTCTCCAATTCTTCCAACATCATATGCTAACAGTCTCAACCCAGGCATGCCAGACGCCCTCTCCACCACGATCCCCATCTGGTGCACCGTCCTCAACCTCGCCCTCCTCCCCTCCCACCCGCTCTCCTCCAACCTCTTCCTGCCCCCTTACCTCCCCGCATCAACGCACTCCCAAATCACCGCCCTCATCCCGTCCTTCCTGTCCTCCCTCAAGGAACTCAACCTCAACCTGCCCACGTCTCTCACGAAGCCCCTCCGCCCGCTATGGATCACGCAGGACTCTTCTCTCCCCCCTCCTCCATCATCACCATCTCCGGATGATGATGAAGAAGAAGACGACGACGACGACGACCTCGATGGAGACGAAGAAGATGAAGACCGGGGCGTCATATTCCAGGACTACAGACCCGTCATTTGCTGCACCGCCAGCAGGAGAGTCGTCGGCAGCGAGGTCGACGAGGGGGGCTACATCCAAGGCGCCGGCGACGACACGGAGAACTGGGCCATGGGGCTCACCCCGGACGTCTTCTGGGCCAATGCCGAGACCCTCCTCTCCGCTTCGGAAGGTCAGCTGCCGGAGCTCATTGTCAAGTTAGTCCAAGAGGCCAAAGCCGCCAAGACTGCTGCTGCCCCTTCTTCTGGCGATGGTGCTGAGAGGCAAGCTTCTTCCCTTCCGAGAAAGCATCTCACGCCATACATTTCCGTTCGAGCTCTGTCGCCCCTCGACATCTCACTACCGCCATCATCATCATCACCCCTGGAACAACGCGAGTCAAAAGAGCAACCCCCCAACAAAGAATGCCTCATCCTCCTCACCGAAACCCAAACCCCAAAGGAATCATGGCTCCTCTCCCCGACGCTCCTCCGCGTCGGCCTCGGCAAGCACAAGACCGCCAGCCGAAACCTCCGCCTCGCCCTCCCCGAAATCTGCTCCTTTGCCGCCAAATTCCTCCTTCTGCGCGAAACCACCACCAACAACACCAACAACACCAACAACACCAACAACAACAACAAACAGCAGCCAAGTGAGGATTCAGACCCCGTTTCGGACGATACGAATACGACGACGACGACGACGACGCCGCCGCCTCAGATTGTCGTCGCCTGTGACTCGGGCAGAGATCTCTCCGTGGGCGTCGCCCTGGCGCTGTCGTGCTACCTCTTTCACGACAAGGGTCGCGTCCGTGCTCCTGATGAGGGTCCGTCGTTTACCAAGACGCTGGTCAAGATGCGGCTCGGGGCGGTGATGACGGCGTATCCCGAGGCGAATCCGAGCAGGAGTACGCTGCAGAGCGTGAATAGCTTCCTGATAGACTGGAGGAGCTAGCCTTGAACAACTCTACTGATTGGATATACACACACACACACAAATATATATATATATACATATGTATATTTGTATATAGATAGATAGATTAATAGGTTTCAACAAGCGTCAATTCGTTGCGTCATGTCTATTCATATCTAGCATCTGCCATTGTCCGTCTTTTCTTTCCCATCTCTTGTGGTCCTTTATGAACCACGCCAACAACAAACAAAACACAAGTTGTTCAAGTGGCCCAGCAGCTCCCCCGCCCCCAAGTCCCTCTGATATCATGAACTCATAAAATCCTCCCAACCGTCAACCAAAGGGTATTAGACCTCGCCCTTCTCAATCTTGGCCAAGGCCGCCGGGAACTCGCTCCAGTCGCGCATAATCACCACCGCGCCCGCCTCCCGCAGCACCCCCTCCATCTCCCCCTTCTTGTCGTCCGCATACGGACCGACGTAGCCAATCGTCTTGATGCCCGCCCTCGTCGCGCTCAGCGTCCCGCTCTTGCTGTCCTCCACCGCGACGCTCTCCTCGGCGCTCTTGCCCAGCTTCTGCAGCGCGTGGAGGTAGATGGCGGGATCCGGCTTGCTCGTCGGCTTCTCCAGCGACGTCGCCGCCGAGAAGACCACGTCCCCGGGGAAGAACCGGTCCTGGCCGACCTTTTCAATCGACGCGCGCACGCGCCGCAGCGCCGACGACGACACCACGGCCAGCTGGTACCTGCCCGCCCGCTGCAGGGCCTCGAGCTGCGCGTCGACGCCGGGGCACGGCCTCAGCGCGGCCTTGAGCTTGGCGATGACGGCGTCCTCCTCCTGCAGGACGTAGCGCTCGAGGTCGTCGGGCGCAATGTCGATGCCGTGCGTCTTCTGCAGCGTCGTGAGCATGCCGCGGAAGTTTTGGCCGACGAACTCCTGGATGAGCGTCTCGCCGGTGAAGTGGACGGTGACGTTGCGCTCGGCGCAGATCTTGTTGATGAGGTCTGCGCAGGCCTCGAAGGCGAGCTCCTCGGAGAGGACGAGGGTGTTGTCGCAGTCGAAGAGGATGGCTTTGATCTTTGGGGGGTTGGTTAGCTGGTGCTGAGGGGATAGAGGGAGGTGCAGGGAGGTAAGAGATTGGGGAGCAGCTTACTTCAGGCATCTTGAAGCAATTGATGGGGTTTATGATCTAAGAGAGGATATCGAAAAGGAGAAAGGAAAGATTGGAGCGTGTGTACTGCCACAAATCGAAGTTGTCTACAGAGGAAGAAAGAAAAGAAGCAGAAAGAAACAAGAAACAAGAAGGCAAGGCATCGAGTATATAAGCCATGCCTTACAAGCAAAAGTAAGCCAAGCCCAACTTACAGTACCTCCCACTCCCCCACACCCATCAAAAAGGGCAGCACTCTCAAGGGGGGAAAGACAATGCGGTACAATTACCTCATGTGAAACTTTGCGCGCAATTCAGTGTTCAAGGACAATTTGCATGTTTCTACGGTACAGCAAAAAGGCGGCTATCCTTGCCCCCCCAAAAAATCTTGCTTGCCTTTTTGTGTTCCCTTTTCCGTATTGCCCTCGGCATCACAACAGCCTTCGGGTACTTGAGTTGTTCACCACGACTTTCTCCAGCTTCACATGCCAAAAACCCCCCCCCATTCTCAACGCTTCATCTCCATGCCCACAGCCGAAGCTCTTCTTCTTCTTCTTCTTCCAACCCCTCCTTTCATACCATACGCTATACTCGTACATACTGTACTCACCCCCTTGCCTAGCCTCAAACCGTCATCATCACCACCACCATTCTGGTCAAACTCCCGTCCCATCCATCACCATTATTTACCCGTTGTCCCTTGTCCTGTCCCTCGTCTTTCTTTACCCCTCCAAAGCCCCCCCTCCCTCGCAGCCCACAGTGTCGTCATCGCCCCTCTTCCACCCCTGCTAATACTCCGTCGTTTTAATTGCTCCTGTACATACTTAGTAATCAGAAGCTCCAACCGAAGTTCAAGATGTCACTGCAAACTTCCCAACTTTGTACCTGCGGATGATGACCCCCGAAGTGAACAGCTTCCGATAGAGCATCATTCCCCATATTGCAGTCAAAATTCCCTCGCTTCTTGGGGGGGCCAACAGCAATATGGAGTTAAGCTCATCAGCTCCATTTGCTGGAATCCTCGTCATGCCTTCAATTTGCTCGTGACCAACGACCTTGAAACGCAGCTGGACACGCCCCGTCGTGGCTGAGACCCGGCATGTAAGGGCTCTCTATGTAGGTCATCACCCGCATTACCCCAGGTTAGTAACGGCTGCCAACTGAGTAATATGATGACAAAGTGTAGAAGAAATTGATACATACATTAGTAGATATCAACTGATGAATACGCTTGAAGCTATTTACAAACATGTACAGTCATAGTCACATCAGAGCACGCGGTTATAAACAGCTAGAATAAGCTATAGAGACGCAGTGTATCAAAAGCAATGACATTTCCTCCGCTGTCAACCACATCCCGCCGGTGCTGTATCACCGCAGCACCGACTTCGACATCAACGTAGTCTGTATAACTCAACTACAAATCCTGGGTGATATCGTCTCACTCGTGTCAACAAAGAAATCCACCGCGTGCCTTGAACTCTGCCAGTAATGCATCCCTAAACGCCTCTACTCCTGGGTCAATTCCTCTTGACATGACAAAAGGTGAATGAAGAAAAAGAAAAACAGAAAAGGACAAGCAAGGAAAAACACGCCAGCTTATCATCATCATCGTCAGCGGCATGTAACGGCTGTCAGGGGATGCCTGATTGCGCGGACATTCATTCCCCATCTTGTCAAAAGGGATCGCGCGACTCGGTTCTCGAGGTCCTGTTCATGTCCCGCATACCAAGCCCTCTGTCTTTGTGTGAAGTTGTTTTTGTTTTTGTTTTTCTTTTTTTCTGTTTGGTGTTTGATGCTTTCAGACAGTGCAAGCAGCCATCTTACAAGATCTCCTTGAGCTTCTGCTTCTGCTCTGGCGTCAGGCTCGTAGGGAAGTTGACCTTGTAGCGGACGATGAAGTCGCCTCGCTGGCCGGGCTTCTTCGTCATGGGCATGCCCAGTCCGGGATAGCGATCTTCGCTGCCGGGCTGCGTGGGACCGCCCTTTTCTATGCTGATCTGCTTGCCGTCAATGGTAGACACCACCCGCTTCCATCCGGTCAAGGCCTCCTTCAAGTCCAGAGTGACTGTGTGCACAACGTCATTGTCCTCTCGCTTGAACAAAGGATGCTCTTTCTGTAAGCCAGTTGGTTAGCGACTCCCATTCGATTTCGGGGACTTCATCAATCGGCATAGGCGGAAGTTGTCTGATTGCTTACCTCTTCGACAATAAAGTGCAAGTCCTGTCTACCACCCTCTACTTGGTCGCCAACTCCGTTGAACTTGATCTTGGAGCCCTTCTTCAAGCCAGGCTTGATGGGCACTTCCAGGATTTGGTCCGTCTGCACACGCTTGCCAGTTTCATCAAACGTCTTGCGCTTGATCTTCATCTTCTTGGTCGTTCCGTTGTGCAGCTCCTCCAGAGTGAGGGGCAAGGGCCGCTCAACCGTCGTAATCTCGGGCGTCGGCTCGCGTCTGGGCTGCGCATCGGCAAAGTTGGATCTCGTCCTTGTCCGAGTTGGCCGCGGGCCGCCGGCGCCGCCAAACGACGAGAAGAAGCCAAAGTCGTCATCGTCACCGCCGCCGCCGCCCGTGTGCATGCCGCCGCTGCGCGTGAACTCTGCAAACAGGTCCTCGGGGTTCATGAAGTTGTAACCCTTGCCGCCGCCGCCGCCCGTGCTGAAGTGGAAGGTCCTGGTGCCGCCGCCTCCCGGCATGCCGCCGCCAAAGTCGAAGCCGCCGAAGCCACCAGGCATGCCGCCAGCACCGGCGAACGGGTTGCCACCTGGAGTCGCGCCCTCGGGCGGAGGGGCACCACCCCGCAGCAGGAACTCGAGGCCATACTGGTCGTAAATCTTGCGCTTCTCAGGGTCCGACAGGATCTCGTAGGCTTGCGAGCACTCCTTGAACTTTTCCGAGGCGTTGGGGTTGTCCTTGTTCTTGTCGGGGTGCCACTTCAGAGCAGCTTTTCTGTAGTGCAGGTTGTGGTCAGCATCAAGATCAACAAGTCATCTCTTGTGTCCGTCTGGCGTCGTGGGCTAGTTGGGCGGGAAGCTGTGGTGGGGGAAGTGTCATGCCAGTAGCCGTTTGCTAGCCCAATTGCCACCCAGCCGCCCAGCTTGTTTTACGCCCAGGTATGACGACAAGAAGGGCGAGCGCCGCCAAAGCAGAGGATGAGGTGCAAGACAAAGGGAAAAAAGAGACAACCTACCTGTATCCTTTCTTGATCTCGTCCTGCGACGCATCGGGCTTGACGCCCAGGGTATCGTAGAGCTTGGTCTCCTTCACCATGGTGATGGAAATGGGTCGACGAGCTCTCTAGCAGCAGTGGGGGGCCGAACCCAGCTATTTCTTGCCACGGGAAGTGAATCGATATAGTAGTAAGACACGAGACGTAAGATGTCAGGGTCGTCAGTAGAAAGGCAGCAAAAAGAGCAGTGCAACAAAGGATGGTATCGCTCTTTTGTTTTGGATGGGAAGAATATCGTGGAGGTGGTAAAAGGTGAAGGGGGAAAAGGGAAGAAGGAAGGAAATCGGGCTACCGAATAGATAATGGAGGGGGAAACTGGGGAGAAACAAAAGTGAGAGCGGAAAAAAGCCTGGAGTGAGAGAATGAGCAAGCCTCGCTGCTACTAATATTGCCTCGGGGCCTGGAAGTGGTCAGGTTACAGCAAAAGGTGAGCCGGTGGTGGGGCCGCCTGCTGCTGCTGGGACCTTGTAGAAGCTTCCCGCGACCGGGCGATGACGCACGACAGCCGTGATGGAATATAATATGCCTTCTTTCTTGGATCGGCGGGGACAAGGACTATTACCTTGCATGTCCGAACTTCATAATAATACCGAGGCCTTTTCTTGGAATAACAATAACAACGGTCGGAGATAGAAAACCAGGGGAACTCGGACGTGATGATGCTAGTATATGTATCCAATTCTACCCGCACGAACCTTTGGGTGTAGGTAGGGATGGCTTCCGGCCCTTTGATAGACAGTCGGGGATGCGGGATGGCCACAACCTCTACAGACCAATCATTCAACACTCAAAGCAAAACAACGATAAGACTCGACCAGACAGAAAAAGAGGAGGCGGCGCGGGCGGTGCGGCGACAACGGAGAAGGGCCATGTAAGATGAATGTGATTTGATGCGGACACGGCGTGCAGCGTGCAGCTTGCTTGCAACCGCAGGCCAGCGCAGCAATAGGATGGATGGCCAACACCATACATACATATATCCCTTGCTTTGTGCGGTGCCTTTCCGTTGCTGCTGGTGCTGCTGCTACTAACGCAGATTGGAGGATGGCAAAAGAAGGGGTCCAGGGAGAAGTCGCAGTTGATCCCTTTGGGTTTTCTCTGGATGAACTGGACTGGAGCTGGAGTGATTGGCAGCAGGTGATTCTGTTCGTGAAGGTGGCTCCCGAGGTTGGGCAGGTGATGATGCCTTGCCGGGAGAGGGACGACGGACGGCTTCGACCTCTCAACTCCGAATGCCAATCTACTCTTTCCGACACCATCTTCCACCTCTTCATGAATCTCATCTCGTCAAACCTCCAGCCAACATACAGCCTCGTAGCATACAAGCACCGGTATCACCATTCCCTCCGTCACAGCATCCTCCTCTTCCTCCTCCTGCTCCTCTAACCCTCACCCGACACTCTCTACTCTACAGGGATTCCATCCCAAGACACCAACCAACCTCCCCCGCCAAACTAAGGTCGTAATAACCATCAATTGGGACCTAAACAGCTCGCTGGCAGCACTAGGCTCCAGTTGGCAATGACCCGTCAAAGACGCAACCCGGCTCTCAACAACGCTGTTCTGCCAATCCATCAACTGCGGATGCGCTGTCTATCAAACATGCCAATCAAACCCATTGGTCCCCCTCTCACAAATACCCCAGCCACCGCCAAATATGTCCAGTCAAGTCAAGGTAAAAATCGACATATTGCTTTATTTTCTTTTTCTAAAATCACCCCTGCATTGTTTGGATTTGTCAAATTGTTTCCCAGGTCCCTCAATATTCGACATAGTAGTAGGTACCTCACTGTTTCACTCCGTACTGTACATGCAAGTTCACCAGAGGCCTTCAAGAACTTTGGCACATACAGCATCCCGTATTACTGCACGGGAGCACATACATACATACGTATGAGACACTTTTTGTTAGCAGTCATCAGGCAAGCTGTAGCACCATTCGTGAGCGATATCCTGTAACAATCGTACGAGTACGTTTTGGGCCCCCAGACGAGACGAGGTACATACAGCTTCAGGCGGGCTTCTGCTATAGCTCTTCTCCACGCTCATGGAAGCTTCTAGAAGCTTCCATGTCTTCCACGCCCCCAAGCTGTGCTCACCACGAGTCGTACCGCCACCAGCCCAGATATTCGCAACTCCAGATGCATGTACTAGGTATTGACAGAGAAATCACAGCAGCTGCACAGGTACCTGGGTCAAATGAAATGGTAACCAAACCCGAGGCATGGACAACAAGGCAAAAACAACACTACAATTCAAAGCCAACTGGCAGGCCGCTGAATTACAAATGCTACGAGTACAATGCCACTGGAAATCACCAAATAGCTAACCCCTTATGCTCCGAAGCATTCTCCCCCTCCACTCCCAGTTGACGGCCCTTTCTCAGTGGGTTTTCCTTTCCTGAAATGTCCAAACGCAACCCCATTACTCCTTTTTCAGTTATTTGCCTTCCTGCAGCAAATCGAGCCGTATATACCCTCTTGTACAGCGTCTATTCCTGGACATCTGGAATTTCCATGTCCATGCTCAGCTCCCTGCCCCCTTCGCTCCCCGGCGGTGGTGGCCGGATGATGGACGGTGGCCTAATCCGCTCTTGCATCTCGGGAGCCTTAGTCGCCGCATCATCTGCCTGCCTGTCCTTGGGAGAAGTAGGGTTTTGCACTTCACCCTCGTCTGCCGCCAACGTATCGGGTGTCAGAGTCGCAGACTCAACCGCCATCTGCGCCTGGTCCCGGTTAGGCAAGGGCGGAGGGATTCCATGACCTTCAGATGGTACCTCAGTGCCAGGGCCAACGTATTCAGGCGTCTCTCCAGATAGTTCTGCCAGTTCTTGGTCCATTTGGTCGCCAAACACGGGCTCAAAGGGATTCCTGTCCTCACTACCGATCGAAGCTCGATTAGTATCCATGGAATCCATGCTATCTCGGTGCTTCCTCTTAGAAGGGGAGATTGGGTCCGGATGCCTTCTTTCATCCCTGCTGTCGGTGGCGGGCTTCTTGAGCTCCTGGCGGAAAGCCTTATTATCCGACCTGACAAACATGTTCAGAGCATCCGACAAGGGCGCCTTTGGAGTAGAGACTGCTTCTTCGGTGGCGTATACGAGCACTGGTATCTTTGTCTCATGCCAAACGTCTCTTAGGACCCTTTCAACTTCTACCTTCTACAAGAACATTAGCACAAACTTCGCCATGTTGTGGACAAGAAAGGCAAATCACGTACCTCTGATCTGACCGGCACGTCCTCGTGGGGACAGTATTCTAGCCGCCACCACTGATCGACTGCTGGTTTTGCATCTTCCGCCTCTGTGGACTCCGGCTCCAGACGTTGGCAGACATAAATCACATCTCTTTCGGTTGCCACACCTCGCAGCTGATACTTCTTGCACGTCATTGGCTTCGGCCGGCCTTGTTTGTCTGGGTCTGTCAAGAGCCTTCCAAGAAATCGTTGCTTGGCTTGAAGCTGCTCTAGCTGCGCACGGAGATCTAGAACGGCTCATTAGTACACGATTTTGGTCGTTTCTTTCCCTAACGGGCTTCTGAAGTGTCCTTACCTTGTGTTCTTGCTTCCATATCGGACATGATCCGCTGAGTCAGTAAAAGCACGTCGCTGACCTGTCCGGAGAGTTTGGCCTGCTCCTCCGTCATCTCACATGGAGCATCTCGATAGTTGGGATACTTGCTCGTGTCAAATCCCGCAGCCTCCATGCCTTGAAACCGCCCGGCGGTCTCAAGATAATCGGAAAATGCCTTCCACTGGTCTTGAACCTCGCGAATCATCTCCTGCTTGTTGAATGACAGCTGGTTCCAGTCATCCTGCCATTCCTGAAGGCGCCGCTCCTCCGTCGTCACACTGTCGATGGCATTCTTGGTCTCCAATATCGCCGTGGCTATTTTCCTAGCCTCCTCCTTACGGCTGGCCAGATAGCGCTCCGGGTATAGGTGTGTCGGAATGTCGAACGAGTCTTGAGGGCCGTGGTTGCCGACCTTGATGACAAGAACCTCGCCCATTTTTCTAACAGTCGCGATTTTGGCCTTTTCGTCTGCGTCGTGCCAGGACAAGATGTCACTCCACATCATATGATCAAAGGCCTCGTAGAGTGTTTTGATGTGGGCGTATTCGCCCCTCGAGTGGTCGAAACCCAGCACCCCAAACTTGGCCTCTTGATGGACCACATCGTCGTCCACGTCGAGCAGGATCGCCTCTTGATATAACGGTTGCAGCGCATCGCTTGTGTCTCCCAGTCTGGCATAAAACTGCTTCTCCATGCCAGAGCTTGGGTCTGGAATCAACTCTGCCAGCGTGCTGACCGTTGCATAGCTCCTCTCGGTCGAGTCAAGAAACGCCATCAGTCGATGAAGCTCGTCTTCAAAGTTGGGCTTCGCAACAAAGTCGTCGCCCTCTGCCGTGCCGTCGGTGTATACTTGGCGGAGAGCCTCCGGCGGTAAAATCTCCTGTCCGTTCCACCATTCGCTGTTAAACCCATACGAATTCGCAGGAGAACCATATTGCAGGAAGATATTCCTTGCCAAGGGAATCTCGTGAAGGATAGTCAGCAGACCACCCAAACTATGGAATCCCTCAGAGCTGGACCCCTGAATCAAAAATGCTGGGCTTTCGGGATCTCGCTTTCTTTGAGATGGTGACGGGGCGTTATTCAGCTGTGATCTGTTCTGCCCGGCGATGACCATAGCCCAGTTGTCCTGATCGTAGTCGGAGCGGTTTGCGGGACCAAAGTACGGCGTTGAAGTTGACTGATCGATGACGCCGGCCTCTTGTGGAGGAAGCGACAGCCCCGCTTCTTGTGCTGATTCTCGCAATGCTCGCTGCATATCCTCGTCTTCCTGAGAATGAATGTTGTTTCCTCCTGCCGGCCATGTCAGAATAGTCCAATCGAGTCCAAATAAGGGGCGCTTAGAGCACTACCAGCTGTATCACCCGCAGTCCATTCAACCATCCTCCCCAGTGGGGACCGGTTGTTAGACCGCGAGGGGGGTCTCGACGGGGCTCCAGCAGCGTAACTAGGCGGAGGCGTCACTCCCTGTATGATATCGTTGCCGTTTAATGATTCAATGTGGAATGCTGCCCAGAGCGTCAGCCATCAGACGGTCCTCTTCCATGAATAGCGCTTCATTCATACAAATGCCAGCATTGTTACTGTTCGCACCGTCTCTGTCCGCAGAGAACATGGACTCGTTCCACACCGAGGTATACTTTTGCCGAAACTGCAATCAGTCAAGTCAGTATCGCGCTGTTCGGCCGTGGCACCAGGCGAGAGGGGTTGTGGCAGAAGGCGCATACACTCTCGGAGTTGTCAAAGTATTGCATAACGACGGTCTCGACGTTTCGGTTGTTATTCTGCATCATGTCAGTTACCACAACGAGCCTGCCACCGGGTTCACACGAACCTTGAGCGCGTTGATAATCATGGCGCGGTCATCGATCGGGTTGAGGCCCGCAAAGTCGACGACCTGCGAGATGTCATCTTCGGAGGGCTCCATGGAGGCCATGGCGACTGACGGCCGCTCGTAAAGCTATATGGACAACGCTGAGATTGTCGGTGCAAGAAAGATTGCTGCGCTGGATCCGATGTCTTGACTTGTCGGGCCAGGAAGTGCCTGGATTCGAGTCCTGTCCCTGTCCCTCTGCTTCTCCCCCTCTCGTTTTCGCGGGACAGGATGGTGAAGGCTAGCTCCAGGACCGCCGTCGTGCGCGGGCCAGAGACATGAACGAAGCTATCGAGGCCGGCGACGAGTCAGGCGAGCAAGGAGGGGCAAGGTCGGGAAAGCAAGGCCGGAGGGTGAAGAAGCGATGCCAGCAAGCAAAAGGTACGCAAGCTCCCACCTAGCAGACCTGGAAACAGCTGTGGATGTTGGTTGAGCTGAGTTACGGTAAGTTGCAGTGGTCATTTATTAGGTAAGGTCCCAGTCCTGCTGCGGGCAAAACGTCAGTGAGAGACCAGTGACATTGCCCTGGGCGATAAGATAAGCGCCAGCCAGCGAACTCGGATTAATGAGGGGCAGCTGGGAATAACCAGCTGAGCACTGCTGCGAAGCATCCATACATGTAATCGCATAAACAACAATCTGGTATAGGTATTATCACATAGGTGCTGCTACTAAGGCATCAGTCAAAGAGGTGGCAGCTTTTCTGATCCAATGACTTGGCATATATGCCGGTGATGAATAAGACGGGCATTGTCTAGGTAAGCTGAACACCTGTAAGGCTGCCAGATGTGAATCAACGTTAGTCATCACAGCGTCGCCTCTTCCAGTGCTCCAACTACTAGAGTAATTGGATATTATGTACGTGGCTTGATTCTTTCGGTTCATGTCTCTTCAGAGTAGATGGAAAGGAGGTCCGTTTATCTGCTTAGTGTATCAGCGCGTCTATACGCTTCTGTCTTCTATGTGAATCTGGCTGCTCTCAGACTCGAGCTATGGTAAACAACAAAACCCGCTAAGATGAGAGATGCAAGTGATGGCCTAGAGAGGCAAGGGCAAATGTAGACGCAAAGCGGACAAGAAAGGAACAAGCAAAAACAAAAACCAATTCAGATCCTTCCGTGGTCCAAGAGTAGAGATGCCACGCCGTGGCACCGAAACATCTCCCAAGCCGTTTCACGCAAGGGGAGGAAACAAGCCGCCAAACGCCGTCAAACGGATACGCCAGAAAGGTAGGTAGGTAGATAGGTGATAGGATGCCGTCGGAGGAAGGCTGCTCATTTATCATCCTCATCATCCTCCTCTTCTTCGTCCTCAAAGTCCTCCAAGTTTTCATCGCTATCGCTCCCGCCAAAGTCCTCCTCCTCGTCTGACATGTTCCAGAAGTCCGAGTCATCCTCGACGGGCTTCATGGGTGCTGGAGCCAGTTCGGCCATGGTAGGCATATGCGCGCCCTCCGGGATATGCTTTTGAGTCGCTGCCACCGTGGCCCTGGCCAGCGCGTTATACTCGGCGCGCTTGTCTCGATACAGCACACTGGCGTCGACGTTGGCCGCTGAGTTGATCTCGGGGTCATCCAGTAAGAGGAGGACAGATCGAAGGACTGACTCGACACCGTGAAGGACGTTCCATCGCTCGCTCGCCAGTTCGCCGGACTGTTCGTCTTCGCCGGGCTTGTGGAGGATGGAGATGCAGAGGTTGCCGTCGGAATACACGTTTGGGTGGATGATGTTGGGTGTCAGGAACTTGAACGCCGGTGGTTGATACGGGTAGTCGGACGGGAATCTCATCTCGGCCTAGGGATCTCATGTCAGTCATCAGGGGCATCCTGCCAAGGCACGTTTGCCTTTGAGGTGGGATCAAGACCAGACCGTCTTACCTTGAGGAAGGCTCCGTGCCAAACGCTGTCAGGGTTGACCACCCACAGACCGATCCTCCACTTGAGGAGATTGGCTTCGTCCGTCTGTCATGGTTTTGTAAGCAAGAGAGAATCTGCGCAAGGCCGATTACGGTCGAGCCAGGAGTACCTACTGTGATGTCCACCCATTTCTCCTTCTGAAGGGACTGTAGCTCCTGCATAAGACGCTTCTGGGCCATGATGCTCAAGAATGTGTATAGACAGAGATCTCGTGTCCGTTTTGTTCTTTGCTCTTCGCTGTGCCGCTCTTCTCAACGCACGGAAGCTGCGGCGTCGGGCTTGGGTATCGAGGAGGGAGGGAGACTCTAAGGGGCGGATGAATGGATGCCGCAGTAGGAGAGTCGATGTCGTTTGAGGGATAGGCGTTGGGCGGCGACGGGGAGGCGTAGGAAGGGTCGCCAAGGGCGTGGGATAGTCGAGGTCCGAGGTTTGAAGAGGTAGAAGAGAGGCAAAGAAGGAAAAGAGTAGAGACTCGCGAGAGCCCGAGAGGGTAGATGGACTGGATGAGGAATTTCCGAACCTCAGCCGGGGCACCAGCGATGTGACGGCATCAGGTGGCTGCAGCAGGTGACTGCCGCAAGTCCCGGGCGGTGAAACGTCTGGAGGCGCCTGTGGGCAGCGGCTGGAGTTGCACGTTCCATTGATCTGACGGGACCCGACCCCAGGGCCTCCGCCTGCAGGGGCTGGGCTGGCCTGGGGATTCTGGCACGTTACGGAGTGAGGTCACTGCCAGGTACCGCTCTCGGAGCGCTGGTTATCCGCAGTACTTGCTCGGTACGATCAGCAGGGGCCAGGCCTGATTCAATATATCATTTTGTAACTGTAGCCGCCACGGCCATTCGCCTGGATTATCAATACGAAGAATTGAGCAAGGGGAACGAGGGCTCGAGTCTGGATGAATCTCGCGTCCGCACAAGCGCCATTCATGACGATTCCCAGGGAAGAACCATTCCACTAGGTACTCCGTACTCGGTGCGATATTGATGTTACCCATGGTCCGCCATCAAGGTACCTGGCCATCAACCTCGAGGGTCATCATATTCTGCCGCCACAAGGAATGCAATATAGTGCTACTACTACTGATACAGGCACTGACACTACGGAGGAGCCCGAGAGCTAGCCAGCCTCCTGCTAACCTGGAACTGCAAGAACCAACAGCCGTCGATCTAAGCATCAAGATCTGCTCAATGCTTACTGTCATCAAGCCATCGAAGAGATTGTAAAAAGGATTGCCAATTGCTGATTCAAGGGGGCGAAAAGAGGCCAGACAACTAGCGGCTTTCCATATGATTCCATCCAGCCGGGCTGGCTTTCCACCAAGTTCTTACGATACGCACTCATAGGCCGATACAAAGGGCGAATTCAAGTGCTCCAGCCTCAGCTCGTCAATTGTATGGGTGGCACAACTTGCATTGGGCAGACAGCTGTAACTAGAATCGGGCAGCGGCCAGAGCATCGCCGTTCAAGAGATTATCTGTGCCGAATCATAAGGGGGAGGCGGCCGGTGATACGCTACGAGGACGGGGCAAGTAAAGGACCATATATAAGGTACCAATCTCCCTTGCATACATGGACAGTGACTTCCAATTGCCTTATATACACCCAGTACGGAGCTAGTAGTCTGCCATAAGGTATCCATCCAATCGTTGCCGCCTGCAAACCGTGTCAATCCAGCAATAGATAGCATCTTTAGTATGAGCAAACCAACATACATACATCGCTCGAAGCAAAGCACATTCGGGATTCAACCTCTCCAAATCACACCCCTCGCTCACCCTTCACATCCCTCCTCATCCCGACAAATCGTAGTACATGCAGGTGCCTGACCGGAAGTTGTACAAGAATGAATGCTTGGAGCCGCCCTTCTTTTCGTACTTGTACCTCCAAGTGTCCAGCTGGTCGTGGATTTCGCGCACATTCTTCTTCTCCGACGTCGTCACGCTATGTTCAGCCTTGCGCCAGCTTTCAGGGTCCGACAGCTTCGTGTTCTGTACCAGCTCCATCAAGTGGTCGCTGGTCTCGACAGCCAAGATGGGACCTTCGAGGAACGAATTCATCAACGAAGCCGCTGTGATTTGTGCCTGTTCCACCACTGTTCGTCGATTGAACTTCTTGCTCTTGGTCTGAGCAACCAAGATCTTGACCTCCTGCTCATGTTCTTTCTCGCCTTGCGGTGCAGGCTCGGGCGTTCCGCGGAACTTGGTCGCGGCCTTGATATCCCGGTCTCGAATCTCGGGCTTTAGCCAAGAAATAAGCTGCGCCATGGGAAGATCCACGTCCGGCACATCCTTCTTCCCTACAGTCTTGATCTTAAGCATAGAATCTTGCTTGATGATGATAATCCAAGAGTAGCTCTCATCCCGGTGTTTCGACATCAGGTCTTCAGGGGACCTCGAGTCTCTGGCGAGTTCTGCGCTGATATCGTGTGACCAAAGCAATCGTAAAACCTCAATACCAGAGGAACGGAGGGTGGCGGGATCAAAGCTGGCCACCAGTATATCGCACTACATTTCAGGTGTCAGCAGGAAAATCTAGAAGGGTCTCACATGGGAGTAGTAGTCGACTTACCCGCTTACTGCTGAACATACTGCTCACGTCTTCTTCGCCTTTCCGCAGGAACGAGTAGCCGCCAGATTTTGGCGTCTTTGCCAGCCTCTCCCAAGCCAGGCTGAATCCGACGGCATGGCGCTTCTCAAATTGTCCTCCGATTTTGGGGCGCTGCTCATTGATCAAGTGGTCGTATCGGCCACCTGCCGCGAAAACGTCCTTGGCTTTCTTATCGTAGATGCACGAGAAGAGGATGCCACCGACATAGAAGGCTTCCTTGAGACTGTTGAGAGGATTGATGTAGATCTTGGTACTGATGCCCAGTCGCTTGGTATACTCAACCACTTCCTTGAGGTGTGCTATTGTCGACGAGGCACGCTGATACATATCGCTGCCCTCAAAGACGAGCTTCAGTTTTGCAAAAGCCTTGTTTGGTGTGTCTGGCATCATCAAGTTAGCAGTCTGTGTCGGGTGATTACTGTCACGCACGGTGAACTCGTACCTCGAAAATCGAAACGCTGGAGTTCGTCAATACTGGTAGCTGAGATGCCAACGGCAGGTGACCGGAGCTCCATCCTAATCTTCTGCCATGTATGGTTGTGAATGTTGAGTCTGGACAGGACATCTGCCGCTGCTCTTCTGGAAGAAGTCGGAATACCGCAATACTCGAAAATAAGCTGCAGGATATCCGAATGTCCGATGTGGAAGCACATCTGAGAGGCAGACAAGGATGGAAAGGTAAGGAGAATTTCGTCCAAGACTTTCAAGACCTCGGCCTCCTTCAGCGCAAGGTCCAGCGTGTCCGTCGTCACAATGTCGAAATCCACTTCGCCAAACATTTGAGGCTGCCCTGTGTCTTGCTTGTCTCTGAACACGCTGCCAAACGTATAAGTACGCTGCAGCGGATGGGACTGTGAGTGCTTTGCCAACATTCGGGCGTGTCCCATGGTAAGGTCATAGGGAAGCTGGAGAACGGTGCCGTTGGAATCGAGAAGTCGTACGACGTTGTCAGCATAGTGCGAAGTTTTGGGATAGATGGACGTTCGTGTTGCCTCGAGAGCTCCGTGCCGGCGGAAGATGGCCACCAGCGCATTCTTGACGATGCTTTGGTTTAAAAGCTCAGCAGCACTGGGCGTGACACTATTCATGTCCCATGCAAAATTCTTGGCTGCCTCCACAGGCCGAGCAAAGAGCGTTGAAAGCATTTTCCGATAGTACGGCGAGTTGGGGTCTGCCAGCCCTGCCAATGTCCGCCTGATAGTCTCGCTCTCCATCTGGACGGGCAATTTGCCGCTTTTGAGAAGATCAGCACTGGATGGCCGCTCTTTGGGGTTGTGATTAACAAGTGAGAGAACGATTTCGGTCTGTGTCTTTTCGGCAGGTCTGAAATCCGAGGGGAGGACAGGAACAGGACGTCGAAGCTGTCCAAGGACGTCGGCTTTCTGCATGCCCATCATCGGCATGTAGCACATTTCGAAAAAGATGATTCCGAGCGAGTACATCTGTGGAAATGTTAGCTTGCAGGAGACAGGCTAGAGGAAGCGGCAGAAACATACGTCGACTTTGGTGCTATACGTGGCGTTGGATGCGGACCTCACTTCTGGAGCAGAGTAGTAGGCGGTTCCGATACTTCTGGTCATGTCGTCGGCCTCATAGCCGTTGACAGTGGCCCGATCCACGGAGAACTGGCCGCTGGTTGCCAGCCCAAAGTCGCCAATCTTGACATTGTCCACGCCATCGGCGCTGCTGGCAATGAAGATGTTCTCTGGCTTTAGATCGCGGTGAACAATACTCAGCGAATGAATGTGCGCCAGGCCCTCCAGGATTTGCCTGAAAAGACGCCAAACTTCTGGAGTATTCTTGTAGAGCTTCCGTGCGATGAGATCTCTCAAAGTCTAGCATCTATGATCAGTTGCCGCTCCATAGGTGATGAGTTTCCAATTATACGTACCCGCTTCTCGCAGTACTCCATAGAGATGTAGAGAACAGTCCGGTAGGACCGATGCATTCGAGTGCGCCGCTGGATGGCAGCCAACCTCTCTTTCTCTTGATGCTTGTCGCGATGACCGGCAGAGTCCACAATTGAGCTTCGATCGTCGTCCTCTTCGTCATCGGATAAATCATTATCTTCCTCGTCATCGTCGTCGTCGTCCGTGTCATAGTCGAACTCCGCTGCGGCATTGGACGATATGAAATCAAGGCCACCAGTGCTCGTAGCGAACTGGATGTCAATGCCAGCTGATTCGTTGCCCGTGTCCCGGGTATCCTCAGTATAGTCATCCGTGGATGTTTCACCCTCGGTATCAACCGAATCTGGGATTTCTTCAACCCAGGTGTTGTAATACCGTACCACTGCGGGATGGCTAAGCTGCGAGAGCAGTCGAACTTCTTTGAGGATCTCCGACAAACTCGCTTGCGAACGCTGTGTGATCTTTTTGATGGCGTATATCTGGCCATCCAGCTTCTTCCTGGCTTTGACTACTTCGCCAAACCCGCCCTTGCCAAGTCTTCCCTCTTCCACAAAGTCTTCTGTGTACCGAGACACCGTTAAGGACCTATTCGTCATGGAGTCTCTCCTGAGCCTCACGGGAAGGGACTGCAGAGAATTGACGGACGGGCTGTGAGCCAGCATGGCATGGCTGTCTTCAAACAGGACGGGAGCATCTGTCGCTAGAAATTCGCTGGCACCAAGTTCGAATGCTCTCGGTCTCTTCTGCCTATCATCTTTGAAGAAACGACTAACCAGTTCCTGGAGGGGGTGGGAGAGCATCACCGACTCCATCAGATTCTTAGGAGACGAGTACTTGCGAAGCACATCCAAGCCGAATACCATCTGCACAAAGACGATTCCAAAGTCCCAGATGTCCGACTTGGATGTGTACTGAGGTTTGGTAGCTGCGGCGATCTCTGGTGGCAGCCAATAGGCAGACTTTGCGGTAGCGAGCCCAGGGGGGCCTTGCTTTTTGGAGCCGAGGTTGAGGATCTCTCTCTGGTATGAAGCATCGGAGATTTTGGGTATGATTTCTCCAGTAGACTCCCTAAAGAGAAGAATGTTCCTGGCGTGAATGTCTTGGTGTGCAATGTTCTTATTGTGAAGGAAGTTGAGAGCATCTAGGAGATCTCTTGTCCAGGAGCGAACTTTTCCTATCTCGAGATGGCCCGCCAACTCCAATAATTCCTCCAGAGAGCCTCTCTCTGCCAAAGGGGTCAGGACCCTCACTGTCCACGCGTTGGCTGTAGGACGATCAGCAGCTACACCACTCTCGACTTTGAAATCCAGGATGTCGACCAGGTGTCGGTGATGGACCTTGGTGCCAATCTTGAGATCCTGCAGCCGAGATTCTAGAGACTGCAGCTGCTTTTTGAACTCTTTTTGATCTTTTCCGTTTGGGCGCAGGACAACTTCCTTCAACGCCAACTGCTGGTTGCCTTGACCATGAGAGAGCACTGGGCGAACAGTATACACGGTGGAAGCCTCTCCAGCACGTGGATCAGTCTTGCCTGTGACGGACCTGAAAGTCAAAGCGTTCCCCATGCGATCGTTCATAGTGCAAAACTGATCGAACTCAATCGTCTCACCGTTCGACACTGAGGATGAGGATGGCCGATGGGGACTCAAGCCGTTTGAGCGGCGACTGAATCTTGACTCTCGCGCCTTTTGCTTCTGCCGTTGGAGCTCCTGTTGCAGTTCCTCAGCGGCAGCCTTCTCTTTTTCTTTCAACTCCTCTTCTTCCAGCTGCTTCTCCTTCTCCTTTTGCTCCTGTGCCAGCTTTGCCAAGGCAGCTTCATGTCTGTCACGTTCTTCTTCCAGCGATGGCAGCTGTTTACCAGATGCCTTTGCCTGCGCAGCATCTTCAAGGATGTCCTGGATGCCCTCGACAATCTTGTATATCATTTCTTCTGCTTCCTTGGCAAAAATCTTGGGCTGCGTTTCCATAAACTTCTGAATCTTAAACGCAGTGACCTCGCGCAGATACTGCTGGCCTTTGAGCGTCATGAGCGGCGGTGTCTTTGGATACGTCGCCGTCAGAGTAAAGCTGACAGTGACGGCAAGCTCTTCATCGCTTGGAGCCTTGATCCGAATATCGAATGAGGGATCGGACTTCTAGAACTGCGTGTAAGTCGATATGCGCCAGCGTGGGGGTTGCACACTTGGGGCAGGTTACCTTCCAAGCGCTATGCGCCGCGGTGTGCTGGATGAAATCATCTCCGTAGATGGCCTCTAGGGCAAAAATCTCGTTCCTCTGGAGCTCCTCGTACTCAATCTTGGTCGTCGCATCCGCGCCGGCGGGCTTGAGGCCCGGAAAGCTTGAGTCATCCTTGGGGTTCTTTGGCGGCCCTGTCAGTATCCCGGGTTTCTTCCACGCCATGGCTGCGTGATACCTGGGTAAGAGCCACAGCAAAAGCCGTGACGCTTTACACAGAAGAGGCCATAATGGGCACGTGTGGTAGAGACGAGGGATAGTATGGCTGGTCGTGGCGATGAAGGAGGAAAGATTTCTGAGACGGGGGGCCAGCATCGGCTGAATGAAGTTATCGATACCAGGCGGCGGGGCAGTTTCATCACCTGGTGCAGGTGCCTTATCGATGGATGGCTCCAGCTTCTAGCGCCTTGCTCTGCTAGGCCTCCATCCCCTGTGGCCCGGGTCAGCACGTACCAACGACAGCTGTCCAGGCCGCTAACTCTGCGCCCGTGCAGGGCTGAGCCAGGCCTCGTCCAGTGGGCTACAGCGGCCGGCTGGCGATCGATCCCACCAGACTCCACTGAGCTTGCTGGGCTGCCAGATTCCGGGACATTGATGGATGCCGCTAGGCCTATTGTGCACTGAAGGCCCGCTGCCACTGGAGAGCTCGGCAGACTGTCTTTGAGCTTGCGGCCGCACTGTGCTTCCATCGATAAGGGAAAAATAGGTAGCATTTCGTCACCGGCCAAACACACCGACGGCAAAGTAAACAAACACATTGATCCTCCCCAGCCACCGAGCGTCGACCTGCGGACACGGCAAGGTCGGGGTGCTCTGGCCTACACGCTCATTTGAAACCGCCTACAGTTATACCGCCAATGCGACAAATTCTTGTTTAAAAAGTTACATTCGCTACGCAATTCCGCCCAGGATGCTTGGCTGGATGCTGGGGCGCGGGGACAACGCGCCGGACGCGGTCGACGGCGGTAAGTGAAGATACATGCATCTCCATTAATCATGATGGATCGTGATGCCTACATGGACGTGGCGATTGATTTCTGATGGGTCTTTGTCCTTGCTTCCGCCGATTAGATACGACGCTTCTCGATCAGCCAGACACTCCCGCTCCCGTCTTTGCAGCCAGATCCCTAAAGAGCGCGCTCTTTGGCACCCCTATTCGAGATGCACAGCGATCGTCGCGGGACCGGAAAGCAGCAAAGTCAGCAGCGGTAGCGGCAGATCATGGACTGGACACTCCATTGAAGCCACCGCCGCAGGGCATCTTACTGACGCCTGGTACGGGAACGTCGAGACCGAAACGCGTGTCATTCAACCATGAGCTCGCTACGACCAAGACTATTTCGCCGAATAACGATGGAGCTCCAGTCGGCAAGAGGACTCGCCTCTCCGACGTGCTTGAAAAAGCGAGGCGCAAAAGCACCACCAATGTATCCAAAACGATCACGCCCCATATTGTCAAGGACGAGTCGGAGGAGGAGGACTGGGAGGAGGAGGAGCATGATGACCTTGGCGATTACGGCGCCAATGATGTAACTCTGGACCTGAACGAGCCACGGTCTCAGTCTGGCATATATTGGAAAGAGGAGTTTGAGAAATACCACAAAGAGGCACGAGCGGAGATGGAGAAGCTTCTGAAATACAAGAAACATCTCAAGTCCTACGCGGAAGAGAAGGACTTGGAAGCTATTCATCTGGCCCAGAAGCTCAAGGAGGAACAGGAAAAGGTCGCCGCCATGGAGAAGAGGCTTGCGGAGAGCGCAGCTCAGACGGCATCGAAACGGCAAGGCGAAACATCCGAAATTCCGACAACTCTCTCAGACCCGAATGCCCTGGTGGCCCAACTCCGACGTAGGATCCGAGAATTGGAGGCAGGGGTGCCTGAAGAGCTGGAGGACGACGACGAATTACGAGAGTGGAGGCGGCTACAAGGGACGACATCGCCCAACACAGCAAGAACTCTGCTCGAAACACAGCGAGAACTGCGACGATCTCGAGCGCAGTTGAAGGAGCTGGACGCCTTGCGAGGCCAGGTTTCCTCTCTCAAGGCTCAGCTGAAGGTTGCCGAAAAACGCAAGGCTACGGATCATGTAGCCAATGATGATGTTTCCGATACGGCAAAGATGAGGGAGCTTAAAGCGCAGTTGCGGCTGGCAAAGGAAGAATCGGCGAGGAAGGACGCCGAATTCGCGCAGCTGAAAGAAGACTTTGAACTCTTCCGAAAGGAGAGCAGTGCTCACGAAGCTGATACAAAGGCCGTGCTTGAACGTGCTCAAACCAAAATTTCGGATCTGAAAAAGGAGCTCAAGACGTTGAAGAACAGGGACACTGCTGATGAAGCTCGGTCAAGAGGCCGGAACCACACATCAGGGAGCAGCAAGGTGCCAAGGGAAAGTGAGGACGAGGATATTCTACCAAGGCTGCCTGCGGCGGCAAACGGTACGCGAAGGAGCATCGACGTGGCCGATCTTGAGCGGCCCCGGCATCTGCTGGAAGGGGGCAACTTGAAGTCTCGGACGCTACGGGACAAGTACCAGAACGATGGTGCACCAGGTCAGTCCCGAGCAACGACAAAGTCGAGGGCCGCACCCGAAGCCTCGAGCAGCCGACCCAACACTGAGAAATCGAAATGGCCATCTTTTGCGCCCAAGCAGCCCAGAGATCGAGCCTCTGTCAGCGAGGCCGCGAATATGGTCTCGGGAGACGACGATACTGCTCCCCTCCCCAGTATATCAACCGTCGCAAAATCCGCAGCTCAGGCCAGGAAATCGGCTTCGATGGAGGACGATACGGACGTCCAGATCGACCTTTTGCAGGATCGCTTTGCCCGGCTAGGCGGCCCCGACACAGCTCAGGACAAGCTGAAGGACGTATCCAAGGCGAACAACATGAAGGGATTGTTGCCGCCTGAGCGACGGGCGGCTGCCCTGGCTCGGATCGAGAAGAGGATGGCCGAGAAGAGAGCCAAGCGACGAGATGGACTGGACAAGGAGAACGTCAGGCCGTGACGCGGGAAAAGATGTTTCATTAGGCACTGTTTATATGGGCTGGACTTGGGTTTCTCTTTTGACTGTTTAATTCTGGGATCAGCGTTTGGTGTTCAGGGCAAGCGAGGCGGAGAGTGGCTATCAGCGTTATTTATTGTCAAGAGGAGCGAGTGTAATGCAGACGTGTCGCCGTGCTTGGATTTCTCATCTATACATAAGTCTTTGATTTTACTTGCTCGAAGCTTTTCTCGCTTCTCTTGCTCTTATTAATGTTTTCATATACATATCCTCTCTGTAGCTAGTATTAGGTACATACTTGTGGAGGTAAGCTGGTGGACGTTGACGCGTGCAAGGCATCTCCTATCGAGCGGCTATCTCACACGGTCTAATGCGGAAATGAGTTGATAGAAGCGTCAACCGCTCAATCCTAACATCTACACGGAATCTTTTTCCCACATTTCCTTCAAAATGACATCGCAAGATGAAATCGAAGCTGAAATCGCGCAACTCGAACGTCGCCTCCACGAGGCAAAAGCCCGCCTACGCGCTCTCAGCCCACCATCGTCCAAGACCCCAAGCAGCAGCATCCCGTGTAAGTGCGAAAAGCACTCAACTCCCTCCCACTCACTCAATGCAAATTCACTCAAACTTGTGTGTCTTCAAACAGCTCATCCCCTCGTCCCCTCCGCACCATCATCATCCTCCTCTTCCTCCTCAACAACAACGCACTTCCTCCTCCTCCTCTCCGACTCCGCCCTCCCCATCGGCTCCTTCGCCTTCAGCAGCGGCCTCGAGTCCTTTGCCGCGCACAACAACAACAACACTGCCGGAGCCCGCAGCAGCGGCGGCGCCTCCTTCTCCTCCTTCCTGCCCCTCTCGCTCTCGTCCTACGCGTCCTCGACGCTGCCCTTTGTCCTCGCCGCGCATCGCCGGCCGCAGGCTCTCGCGGAACTCGACGACCAGCTCGATGCGGCCGTCGTCTGCACCGTCGGGCGCCGCGCGAGTGTCGCGCAGGGAAGGGCCCTGCTGAGCATATGGGAGCGTTCCATTAAAGCGACTCTTCTCCCCTCCTCCTCCTCCTCCTCCTCCTCCTCCTCCTCCTCCTCCGGTCCCCCCACCGCCAGCAGCGGCAGCAGAATCTCCTCCGAGGACGCCCTTGTGCTCAGCGACTTCTCCGCCCTCCTCCGCCGCGAAAGCAGCAAGTCCAGCGGCGGCGGCGGCGGCGACGGCGACGGCGAGCCCCCCCTCGTCTCGGCCCACCTCGGCCCCCTCTTCGGCGTCATCGCCGCCGTCGTCGGCCTCTCGCTCCGGCAGACGGCCTACGTCTTCATGCTGAGCCACGTCAAGGCGCTGGTCTCGGCCGCCGTCAGGGCCAACATGTTCGGGCCCTACCAGGCGCAGAAGCTGCTCGCGAGCGAGCATGTCCAGGCGCTCATCAACGACGTCGTGGAGAGGGAGTGGCACACCCCTGTGGAGGAGGCTGGGCAGAGCGTGCCGGTCATGGACTTGTGGGTTGGGCGGCATGAGCTGCTTTACTCGAGGATATTCAACAGCTGAGGGGGGGTAATGCATGCCAGTGTTCTAACATCTTTGTGCGTGTCTTTTGCATCTCAAACTGGTATCATTATGAACGCTGTACCTATAGAGCAACGAGTCCTGTACCCATTCTACAATTATAGACGAAAATCCCAAGCCAAATACCACCAAAGTTACCAAAAAAAACGCCTGTCTACTCATCGCTATCGCTGTCATATGCGACCAGGGGGCCTGTAGATGCAGGTGCCGCTGGTTTCGATGCTACTGCGACCTTTGCCCTATTCAATGCCGCCAGAGTGCTACTGGAAAAGACGCCCGCGCTCTGCTGAGGCTGCTGCTCGTTCTGCTGTTGCGCTGCTGGAGCTCCCGTTTCTCCAACAGTTCCGTCTTCGATCATGGGACGTTCCTGGTATTCCACTTCGTATCCTTGTCGTCCAACGGGATTGACTGCGTTGGGGCCCTGGGCGAAATGGATCTCATCGGGGGCCTCGTAGCCTTCTAAACCATAACTGCTCTCAATCTTCCTCCGTTTTCTGGCCTCCGGGTCTTTGCCCTCGATTTCGGCGACGAATTCCGCCGGTAACGCTCTTCGGATTGCTTCAGCAGCTTGCTCCTCGATCCGTCGAGCTTCTCGGGCTCGCGCCATGGGATTGGGGTCGGCCGTGGCCCATCGAACGTTTAAGACTTCGTCGTGGTCAAGGGATCTGGCATTTCGTTAGTACAGCGTTACACCATGATGCAGAATGGCAGTCACGTACTGATGTGCCATGGCTTCCTTGGCGAATTCAGCATTTGCTTCGTTAACGTAGGTGACGAAGCCAACGCCTCTCTGGTTTAACACACGGACTGTCATTGAATAGTCAGTACATGTTGAGATCATAGATACTGCAGCTGGCTTGCGGTACTTACTGCGCTCAATCGGGCCCCATTCAGCAAAGTGACGCGCCACGATTTCCTCAATGTCGTCCGTTACGTGTATGCGGCCGATGTAGATGGTTCTGTTCTGGCGCATGAAGCTTCCGACACCGCCCATATCGTCTCTGTAGTCCGCGAACTTGTCTCTGCCGAAGATGTCGACATTCGGCGCCGAGTGGTCGTAGGGTCCGGGCAGCCGGTGCAGGTACATGCAGTCTGCTCCCCGCGGGCACAGGCCCCTGGCAAAGAACAGGCAGAAGTAGCTTCCAGCCACGCTGTCGGCCTTTGTGTATCCGCTGTCTCGCGCAATGTTGCAGCGCCCCTTGGCCTTGGTCTGCTGGTATGCCTCGTGATCGCCACCGGCCCATTTGTTGTACCTGCCTGGTGTCAGCTAACGCCTTTCTGGCGAGCAATCGCGCGCTCGTCGAATCTGCCGTCACTCACCAAATATTGAACGTCGTGCCCGTCTGTGGCGGAGGCTCGTTGGAGAAGGTACTCGGATCGACCTGGGGTCTGGCTGGCCGCCTCTTCCTGCGGATGATCTTCTTGACGACCTTCTTCTCTGCAGGGGCCGCGACCTCGCTGTTTGTTGTCGCAAGAGCCGTGCTCGGGTTCTCTTCTTCGGCTGCAGGCGCCGTTGGGGGGCCGTCTTCGTGGTGGTCCGCCATTGATTCGGTCGACTGAGAGACAGATGCTTCGCGATGACAGAGGCAAGTTTGATGCAGCAATTTGGCCCAGCTCGACGCGCACAAGGCTGCAGAAAGCAATGGTGGCGAAAGAGGAAGGCGGTGGCGCTAGTGCGAATCCAATGCCATGGCCAAACGCCCCTCCAAACTTCTTTTGCTCCGTCTTGCGCCAGAGCCCCGCCATTCTCAAATCTCAAGGTCGACGTCGAAGCTTCACTCACCTATTCGACGGCTCAGCGATATCGAGCCTCGTCTTATCTTTGGCCTCTTACACGTTTGCTCTTCTCTCTTCTTCCTATATATACATAAAGACGGTATTGCCGTCTATAAATAACAGCGTCTCAAGATGGTGAACATTACAGAAAAGATCAAGGAGTGAGTAGACAGTCTACATTATGAGGGACGACGGCTGATGACATGTCCAGGATCGAGGAGGAGATGAGAAAAACACAGAGTAAGCAGTCTACGAAATCCTTTTCCCTTATTTGTGCCTTGTCCTCCATAGCCGCGGATGCACCACCGTGTTCCTGTATAAGTGGCTATAACCCCCTTCCGTTATATCCATGTACTTCTCTCGGTACCGGGGCCTGAGAAGCAGGAGATGGCGAGGGAACGGCAGTCGTGCGAGGGCGATGATGGACTTGGCGGGCGTTCTATTATGCATTATTTTGTCAATGCATACTTCCGATATCCAGACAATTGGCCCATCAAGTATATCGTCGCCCTCGCGACTGTCTCTCCATCACGGGCCTGCTTGATATAAGTCAGGGCACATCATTGCATCTTACGAACAAACTCATCATCTCGAGACTTCAAATTATCATCATTCACTTTGTGTCGTTTACAGCCTAGCTAACGGTGCAAACAGAAAACAAGGCCACTGGTATGTCCACGAATGATGCCTTACCTAGGAACCGAGGCTAACAGATGGTCAGAATACCATTTGGGTCTGTTGAAAGGGTAAGTCCGGACGAATAAGCCCCTTGTTACAGTCTCTAACGTAACTAGAAAGCTTGCGCGTCTCCGAGCGCAGCTGCTAGAACCAGGTCCCGGCGCTGGCGGCGGCGGCGGCTCAGGATTCGATGTGAGTAAAAGTGGTGACGCCCGAATATCCCTTGTCGGCTTTCCCTCAGTAGGAAAGTCAACGTTCCTGTCCAAAGTCACCAAGACCAAGTCCGAAGTAGCGTCGTATGCATTCACAACCCTCACGGCCATTCCCGGCGTGCTGGAATACGGCGGTGCCGAGATCCAGCTGCTCGATCTGCCGGGTATCATCGAAGGCGCTTCCGAGGGCAAGGGGCGAGGCCGACAGGTGATTTCCGCCGCCAAGACGAGCGACTTGATCCTCATGGTGCTGGACGCAACAAAACGAGCCGAGCAGAGAGCGCTGCTGGAGGCCGAGTTGGAAGCCGTCGGCATCAGGCTGAATCGCGAGCCCCCGTAAGTAAATGAGATTTCTACCAAGGTTACCATGTCTTGTCGGCTTACGATTCTTCAGAAACATCTATCTCAAGGTCAAAACGGCCGGCGGCATGAAAATCACCTTCCAATCACCGCCCAAAAGGATCGACGAGAAGATGGTCTACAACATCCTCCGCGACTACAAGATCCTCAACTGCGAGGTGCTCATCCGCGACGAAGAGGCCACCGTCGACGACCTCATCGACGTCATCATGAAGGACCACCGCAAGTACATCAAGTGCCTGTACGTCTACAACAAGATCGACAGCGTCTCGCTCGACTTCCTCGACAAGCTCGCTCGCGAAGATCACACCGTCGTCATGAGCTGCGAGCTGGACCTGGGCATCCAGGACGTCGTCGACCGGTGCTGGAAGGAGCTCAACCTCATGCGCATCTACACCAAGCGCAAGGGCGCCGACCCGGACTTTAGCGAGGCGCTGATTGTGCGCAACAACAGCACCATCGAGGATGTGTGCGACAGGATCCACCGCACGCTCAAGGACACGTTCAAGTATGCTCTCGTCTGGGGCGCCAGTGCGAGACACATTCCTCAGAGGGTGGGATTAGGGCATGTGGTTGCGGATGAGGATGTTGTGTACATTGTAACGGCGTGGAAGGCGTAGCTTGTAGTAGTAGTACCTACACAGACGAAAGAACTGCGAGAAATCATGGATGAAAGCCTTTCTTCGCTCATCATTCAAGACTTTTACTTACACAGAAACCATGATGTAACTCTCACTATTTATAGGTATATTTCAACCACGGCAAAAGTAGCAAAGACGGAGAAATATTCATATTGGCCCCTTTCCGGTATCACCTCAGTGATAAGGCATATCGGTGGTCCATTAAACCAGAAAACGCCAAAGCCTCCCTTAGAAAGAAAAAGTCCCTGCGAGATAAACCTCTCTCCCCTTTATTCCGACCGAGGTTTCTCGCTCCAACCCAGATTTCCCTACTCAGCCATTACCGAAAAGCTGATTCCCATTTCCCGAACCCCCCCAGTTCTCCCGCGAGGACTTAAGGGGGAAAAGGGTCGTTAAAGACAAAAGAAAAGAAAAAGACAGAAAGGAAAAACGCAGTCGTTATTGTTAACACACACACGGAAGAAAGGACAATGAGTCCCCCGCCCAGTAAGAAAAGAAAAGAGAAAATCAGCGAAGCCGCGACTTCAGGATAGGCTCGTTCGTGGTGGTACTTCTAGCACCGAGCGGATTCTCGCCTGGAGCAGCGGCCGCCCTGACGCCAAAGACATTCTCGCCTTGGAGTTTCTTAGTGCTCGCCTGGGCGAAGAGTGACTTTGGCTTGGCCCTGGAGAGAGAAAAACAACGAACACAAACTGGTTAGTCTTTCTCTATTCGTCTTCCAATTGGGGGGGCTCTTGGTTGTCTCTGGGCAAATATAATGATCATGATCGAAGGGGGAGAGGGGTTTCGGGTGGTTCTTCTTGGTTTGCAGGTAGAGTGTAACTATTGGAGATTGTAGTATCAGGTTGCAAGGGCAGAAAACGTACTTGGTGACCTGCTTGTTGCGCAGCGCCGAGAGCTTCGCCGTACAGGGACTCATGATTGTGTCAGAGGGCGAGATGTATTGCTTGGTACTAAGTCAAAATACAGTCAGTTTGGGAGCACAGCAGCATTAAAAGTCGTAAAGCAAAGGACAGGGTTTCCAAACGTACGGCTCTTGGGCAATCCTGGATTGAAACACCTGGCGATGGTACTCCATGGTCTTGACGCCCTTAGCGAGAGGAGCCTGGCCATCGGCAAGAGCGGCGTTGACGTCTCTGTCGCCGAGGATCCTGGTGCCGGACATGTTTGGTTGCTCTAATGTGTGTTGTCTTCGTTTGGGGGGTGTCTTGTTCGTGTGGAGGGAGTTCGTGTCGCTTGTTGAGGAGGCCTGGTATCAGGGTTCGTGTGTTGTGCGTCAAGAGTTCAATGTTGGCGGCAGAATCAACAAGAAGTCAAGGTTGTCGTAACCGTGAAAAGGGTGGAAAGAAAACCAAAGAAGGTGGAAGGGCAACCGTCGGTTTTGTAAAGGTCCGCAATAAACACACTAAAAAGAAAGGTCGACAAAGGTCAAGTTCCAGCACACCTTTTTTATCAGGTACCAAAAGAATTGGGCAGAAAAGAAAAACAAAGGAGAGAGAGAGAGAGAGAGAAGAATGACGTTCACGCTTCCCGGAGCTTTCAATTCACACACGCAAGCTCGTTGTCGGAGAATGAAGGAAAAGAAAAAGTGGAAAGTAAACGAATGACGGACGTTGGCTAGGCAACGGTGACCTTCTTTTTTGCCACTTACACACACAACGTAACCCCTGCATCTTTTTTGTTGGCTTCGGTCTTTGGTATGCATGAAATATGTGTGGAGTCACGGCAACGGCATTTTGTGGTCGAATCAGCGAGGGGGTTGAGGATTCTCTTGGCCTTGTTTGGATTGGATTTACCTTGGACTGGGTTGGTATCCTGTTATGAAAAGGGGAAACCAATGCTCAAGTTCTGGGGCTGATGAAGAATTGGATCACTGAGTCAAGGGCGTGGCATTAGGGAGCTGCCTACCTATGAAGTCTTGACCGACGGTGTGTAGCAGATTGGTTGGCTGCTTGGCTGCGTCCTGCTGAAGGAAAAGGATGAAGACAAAGAAAAGAGCTAACAAAAGTGCAACTGTCGTACCTCAAATACAAGGTATAGGCGCATTGAAGTCGTCATTCAACTCGTCTAGAACAAGTCTTCATATCCTATCCGCTATTTGCAACATCATCTCAAGATCAATCCAATTGCTGTATCTTACAAAACCCATGACAAGTCAGAACAAACCAAATGCGGATATCATCACTACAACTTGGCGCTGTGCTTAATCTTGGTGCCGGGCTCGGCAAGCTCAGTGCCGTATCGCTTCAGCAGCTCCTGCGTCTTGGCCTTCTGCCACTGAATCTTGGCCGCCGTCTCCTTGCCGCGCTTATTCTCGTTGCGGCCCATCTGCTGCAGATGCACCTCGTCGGGACCGTCAGCCAGGCGAAGCGTCCGGATGCCCGCCCACGTGTTGGCCAGGGGCGTCTCCTGAGAGACACCGGCGCCGCCAAACGCCTGGACGGCGCGGTCGATGACGGTCAGCGCAGTCTGGGGAATCAGCACCTTGGCCTCGGCAATCTCCTTGAGCGCCTTCTTGGGGCCCTCCTCGTCCATCCTGACGGCCGCGTTGAGCACAATGAGACGTGCTGCGTCAATCTCAATGCGCGACTTGGCGATCCATTCGAGGATGACACCGTGCTCGCGAAGGAGCTTGCCAAAGGGCTTCTTGCTCTCGTCGTTGACGCGCATGAGCATCCAGTCGAGGGCTTGCTCGGCCTGGAAAGAACATTAGTGGAAAGGAACAATCGAGATGTGAATGATATGGATGTAATAGCAGCAAACTTACAGCGCCAATGCACCGCATAGCGTGGTGGATGCGCCCCGGCCCCAGCCGGCCCTGGATGATCTCGAATCCCCTGCCCTCGCCCAGCACCATATTCTTGGCCGGAACGCGCACGTTGTTGAAGGTGATGTGGCCGTGGCCGTGGGGGGCGTCGTCGTAACCGTACACCTTGAGCATCCTCTTGATGGTGATGCCAGGCAGGCCAGCGGGGACCAGGATGACTGACTGCTGCTTGTACGGATCGGCGTTGTTGGGGTCCGACTTGCCCATGACAATGTACAGCTTGCATCGGGGGTCGCCCGCGCCGCTGGACCACCACTTGGAGCCATTGAGGACGTACTCGTCGCCGTCCCGCGTGAGCTGGAGCTGGATGTTGGTGGCATCCGACGACGCGACCTCGGGCTCCGTCATCAGAAAGGCCGAGCGGATCTTGCCCTCCAGCAGGGGCTTGAGCCACTCCTCCTTCTGCGCCGCGTTGCCGTACTTGGCCACGACCTCCATGTTGCCCGTGTCGGGCGCGGAGCAGTTGCACGCCTCCGATGCGCTGCGGGAGCGGCCCAGCCACTCCGCCATGAGGGCGTACTCGACGTTGGTCCAGCCGGGCGACTCGGCGTAGAAGCCCTTGGGCAGGAACATGTTCCACAGGCCCAGCTTGCGCGCCTTGTCCTTGAGCTCCTCGATGATGGACGGGTGGGTTTCCCACCGGTTATCGCCCTCGCCTATCTGGGCTTCCAGCACGGGATCGGCGCTGGAGGTCACTGTTAGCTGCGGGAGCGCGGGAGATGCGTTCGTTCAACGTCGTCGAATGTCCGTCCGGAGAAAGATGCGGGACATGGTCAGGGCTCACGGAATGCATTCTTCCTCGACAAACTTGGCCACGACGTCAATCTTTTGTCGCGCCGCCTCGCTGACGTGCTTGGAGACCTGCAATCAATCGGTCAAACTGTCAGCCTCGATTCTATCGCAATGTAGTCGTCCAGGAAGCGCCAATCAATTCGGCAAGATCCGTGATAGCTTACAATGGATGGAATTCGAGCCGACATGGTGACGAAAGTCGGGCTGTGTCAGGTAAACCAGAAAGAGAAAGAAAGGGTGGCAATGAACGGATATATGGACGGAGTTGGAGAGCCTCTCCGCAAATGCTGAAACTGCAAGACCATCGAGAAAGTGCTGCAATGGTGTGATATTTATCTGACGGCTGTGCCGAGGCGGAGAGTCGACCTGTCGGGCCACGATTCGGCGGAGAGAGTCTGGGGTAAGTGACAAGCCGAGGTGCAGAGTGGGGGCGGTTCACCGACCCTGATAGGTGCTGGGAGCGCTGTAGCTGCGGTGAGTTATAGCGGCCCCGGCGCGATTGGCTGCTATTACAGCGGACCAGGCCTCTGTATCGGAGTGGAAGAGAGAACATGAATCCACTTTGATGGAATCAATCCATCAGTTGCGATCAGGCATCATGAATGGTGCACCGGTCAAAAAGACGAACGCAACGTCCTATTGATGCAAGATATATAACAAGCCCATAGCGTGGAATCGCTTCCAGCTACGCATAGAATCTATAGCCCCATAATCCCATGACAACTTGAAGTAAGAGAGGTATGAGATGACCGTATCGAATGCTCTCCTCTCCCCCCTCTCTTCTCTGCTGCAGCCACCAACTCGGAGCCGAGGCTATAGCTGATGCCATTGCCATTACACCCCCATCTTCGACAATCCCAATGGTCCCCAATCCCCCAATCAAGAAAATAAGGAAAAGCAAAATCAACCCAGACACAGAGAGAGCAAAGAAAGGTTAAAGAAACAAGGAAAAAAAGACCAAGAAAGATTACTATCCGCGCAAAACACCAACATGGCTTCGTTCCTCCATACTTCGCTTCCAGACAAGAAATTATATGGAGTCCATGACCGGGTATGTTGTCTCTGGTTATTCACGCTCAATCTCTGACGTATTCATCCAATTATCATGTCGCCCTCTTCTCGTTTAGCAAGCACATCCGTCACGATCGTTGTCGATGTGGATGTTGATCGGGTCGTCAAAGTCGCCGCTGTATTCCTCGGACTCTTCTTGAGCCAAAGCATTTCGAGCAATAACTGCAGGCTGTTAGCATATAAAATTAGCCATATCGCAAGTCGGGCTTATCGTACCCTCAAATGCTTGGTCAATGTTGATGGCCTCCTTTGCACTCGTCTCAAAGTATGGGATGTCGCCTTTGGATTGGCAGAATGTCATGGCTCGCTTGGTCGAAATCTGCGCGCCTGCTGCGTCAGCCATCTGCATTCATGAGATTCGGGGCATGAATGTCAGCTATTACCACTCGCTTGCTCTCCTCCACATCAATCTTGTTTCCAAGAACAACCTGTAGACAGAAATCAGCCAAAGCGTCCGACCTGCAGCGCTGCCGCAACAGCCACACTTACAAAAGGGAAATTCGGGGGGTCTCTCGGCGAAGCCTGGATCAGGAACTCATCTCGCCAGCTGTCCAGGGCCTCGAAACTCTTGGAGTTGTTGACGTCGTACACTAGAACGCAGCAGTCTGCTCCTCTGTAGAATGCGACGCCCAGCGACTGGAACCGCTCCTGTCCGGCGGTGTCCCAAAGCTGCCCAGAGCATCAGTAACCGTTGCCCTTCCAACCTAGCTTTGCCCGCAAACGCCTCATACCTGCATGGTGACCTGTCGGTCGTCCACCAAAACCTCTCGCGTTAGGAAGTCGGCGCCGATGGTCGCCTTGTAGCTTGCGCTGAACTTTTTGTTGACCTAGAAAAGGGGCAAAAGTTCACCTCGTCGGTCAGTCGCCGCAGGCCTTGGTGATGGATGGGAGTCGCAGTAGCCATACATATTGGTTCATCAAGCTCGTCTTGCCTACACCGCTATCTCCAAGGATGATGACCTATCGAGATGAGCATCTTTAGCATCGTAGCTACGCAGCGCGGCGCCGGTGGTCGGGCGTCTGTACCTTGAGAAGGACCTTCTTGTTGCGCGAAGACATCGTGACTTGTCGTCGTTACGCTCGCCGCTCGAATGACGTGATGGAGACGATACAAAGCAAAGTCACAGCGAGCGAAGTCGGCCTCGTTCGGATGCTGTTACCCGCAGAGATGGAACAAAAGATGTCAAAAAAAAGAGCCTCCGCCTTCTTCGCAGAGAACAGAAGAGCTCAGGGTCGCAGACGTCACGAGACTTGGTCGGTGTTTGATGGAGTGGTGAGGCTTCAATGACGAGGCTGGCTAAGGTCGGGAATTGTTGATGGCGGGCAGCGATTGCCTTCTAGCGCCCACCCAACGGTACCTATTTGTAGGTACCTATCCCGGCCCACTCTGATATCGGTGTCGTAATAGCGCGATAAGCCGCTGGGGGATTAGCGCTTGGCTGCATGTGGCATAGCTTCATGCAGAACTGTAGCCTCCGCATGAGCAGCCCGTAACTCGATCATTTGTGAGTCTGCACGTGATAAAGTACCTCGTAGCGAAACCATGCTGCCGAGATACTTCCAAACGTTAAGCTGTACGAGTAAGGTATGTCATCTCATATCGCTTCCAGGTTGCTTCAAGGCTGTAAGGGAACGAAACCATGCCCTTCCATCTTCAACGTCAGCAGTAGACCAGCGCTTCCACATACTGCAAACTCCGTCTGTTGACCGCCCTGATGGCCCTGGCGAGCTCACCGGCGCTTTGCCATGGCGGATGATGACTTGCTGGAAAAGGTTCACAGCCTGAGCGACCTAGAGCTGGCCATCCTGCTGTGCCTCGTCAATCGGGAGCATGTCTTGATTAGCACTCCGCCAGCCGCCGTTGACGACTTGGTGCAGGAGCTCCAGCTGGTATGTAACAATTCCTCGTCGTCCCCTCTCTTCATTTCTTGGCCTCACAGGGAATACCTCGCGCAGATAGCAAGCAAGACATTCAACCTGCAATCCGTCGTCGTAAACTGCCACCCATCCACCACGCTCGAAGACTTCGCCTGCGCTCTCCTCCTCCAACCTCAGCACCCTTCTCTCCCCATCGCGAAGAGGACCTCCCGCTCCGTCTCGCCTTTTGCCCGAGCAGACTCGTACTTTGCGCTCGGCTCGCAGCCGAACAACCAACACCGATCCTCCACACCGCTCAGCCCCCGTACCACGACTCCTTTCTCGACCTCTCCCCAGATCGCCCACTTCGTCATCGCAAAGAACCTCGATCGCGCCCCGAGGGTCGTCCAGATTCAAGCGCTTGAGCTGCTGCGCACGCGGCGCATCTTCACGCGCACTTCCGTCCAGGCTGCGCCGAAGCAGTTTGTCTTTGTGCCCGTCCTGGGGGCTGCGAGCGGGGGTGAGGCGCACGTCACGGCGCATCTGAACGACTTCTTTTCAGTGGCGCATTGGCATAACCCGGATGATGGGTATGTCAACCTCGACGAGGTCGAAGGTCGCTCTGATGCCGGAGATGAGACGGCGTCTACGGAAAGCGTGGTGAAGAAGGATACAACGCCGTCAATAGCTCTAGTATCAGACATTGTAAGCTCGTTACTCCATGCCCCTGAGTTTCGGCAGAGTATGCTGACAAGCACCTCCAAGGAAATCAGCCACCTCGCAAAACTCAGTCAGGAGGTCCAGATCGATGTCGACATCCTGCGATACCAGATGAACATCGTCTCGTTCCTACGAATGCACCGAGCCGTCGCAGGCGGCATCTCCCCCGCGGCGACCAAGCATCTGCACCAGCTCGTCAAGAGCCTCGCCCCCCTGCACAAGCTCGACTTCGTGACCCCTGCCCTCGTCGGGCTGGCCGTGAGGAAGGTCTACCTCCACCGGATACGCATCACCGAGCCTGAAAAGGAGAGGAGCATGCAATGGGGTAGCCAGCTCGAGGCTGTGGAAGCTCTGCTCGAAGATGTAGGCCCCGAAGAGGTGATTGAGGAGGTTTTGGAAATGGTCACCGCGCCTCTCTGATATCATTCCTTCTATAAGCTCTATGCTGCTGTTTCATTTTCGCTCCGAGCCAAAGCTTGTCGCCTAATACAAAAAGACAAGCCCCTTAATATCCCATGTGAGGGACAAGATAATAATTAGAAGAATCCCGCATATCAGTTGCAATTCAACCCCGTCTAACATATATCATACGCAATCCTCATGACCCGTCCAAATGCCATACAAGACATATGCTTTGCGATGTTTCAGAAATCTATCGATTCTCGCATATTACAGTTTAAAGTGTCATGAGCCCCTATAATTCATAAAAACGACTGGGTGCTGTCAAAAAGGCTCTCTATGAAACCTCCTTGATCTTGCACGACCAGCCCGAGCCAGGAGCCAAAAGGGGCAAACTGGAAGAAAACAATGTTAGCGGTGTAAACATGACAGAATGAAAAGAATGGTATGTGTCCTTACCTAGCTCCGAGGCACCAGCCCAGCTCGTTGCCCTTAATCTTCTTTGCAATCTTGACCTCGCGGTCCATGGGCATCTCATAACCGGTGTGCAGCAGAGCCAACATAAAGTTCAAGTCCAAGCAGTGCTCGGGCCGGTCCTCGAGCTCCTCCAAAGCACCAGGGACGCTGGAGAAGACGTCCCAGGCCTCCTTGCCGGCGCACACCTTCTGGGTGAGGTCGTGCATCTCACGGAGGGTGAAGGAGTCGGGCATGCCGAGGGGCTTGGTGCGGTCGTAAAAGTACGAGAAGATGTAGACGTCCTCCTTGGCAAACGTCTTGGACAGGGCCGGCTGGTGGACGCCGTTGAAGGAGCAAGGGGCGAGGGCGCACTCGGCGTCCTTCTTCAGGATCTTCTCGGCGAGGTTCCGGCACTGAGCGGGGGAGGGCTGGGAAGGGCCGGTGAAGTTGAAGCTGCGGGCCTCGCCGCCGTTGACCTCGACGTCGATCTGCTTGGTGGTGCCCGGGGCGATGCAGGGGTGCACAATGGGCGCGTTCATCCAGGTCTGGTCGTCTCCCTTGGCCTTGGCCAGTTCGTCAACCAGGGCAGAGTGGAGGGCCTTGCGAGCGGACATCAAGCCGTAGCCAAGGTGAGAGTGCTGGTACAGGTCGAACTTGTGGCCGCCAAAGTCGAGCTCATACTTGTGATCGCCGGGAGCCAGCTTCTCGGGCATGCCTCCGTCCGCAGCTCCCTTGAAGGTCGGCTCGAAGACAATCTGGGTTGAGCCGCCACCGAGGTCGAAGACGGCCGCCGTCTCGCTCTTGTCGGGGCCGCCAATCTTGCCGAGGAGGTAGTTGGTGGTGATCCAAGCATACACACCCTCGTCCGAGCCGTCCATGATGGCAACGCCGTTCTGCTCCGCAGATACGACCGGGAAGGGGTAGTCGTTCTCCAGGTGGCTTCGGACCTCGGCCAGAATGGCGTCGGCCAGCTCCTTTCCGATCAATCGCAGGCCGGCAGTGGCCTTGACGGCAACGGGAGAGCATTTCTTGAGCGCATCGGGGACGTGTTCCATAGCAACAGCCATCAACGGGTCGAGGCTCTTGGCCGCGGCCACGGGATCGTTCTTGAAGGCGCTCAGGCCGCCGACGGACTTCTCAGTCATCTTGAACTCCTCCTTCTCCAGCTCGGGAATGGGACCGCAGTTGTTGAATTTGTAGACGTGAATTCGCGAGCCCGTGCTGCCGGCATCGATCATCAGGACATACTGGACAATGGGCTTGTCCTTGGAGTACGACTTGGAGCACTTGTCGGTGCCGTATGAAGAGTCCGAGGGAGCCTGGCCGCTGTTGGGGGCGCCGTTGCCAGCAGCGGCAGCACCGTGATTGGCAGGAGGAGAGTTGGGAGCAGGGACGTTGTCGGCGGGGGATTGGATCTCGGAGGCTTCGCCCAGAGGGCTCTTGTTGTAGACCTCGACGCCGGTGGGCGACAGCCAGTAGAACAGGCACATGAGGATCAGGACCAGCGCGCCGGTCTTGAGCCACCGCGACTTTTGCGCCTGCGACAGCATGGTGTCTTTCATTCTGGCGAGGAGGCCCTTGCTCCGCTGGCTGGGCAGGTATCGATCTGTCTTTTCGTGAGGGTCGTGGGCAACGTGCTTGGTCTTGGTGGGCAGCGACACGGAAGTTCTCCTCATCAGGCCGCGGGGCGATCAATGAGAGACGCCGCAACGCATGAACGAGAGGCGAGCAGATGTTAAAAGAAAAGCAACCGAAAGGAAGGACGGGAATGAATGAAGAAAACAAGTTGGATTGTGGGACGCGAGGCGGCACGCAGTTACATTGATTCTCAGGCGAACGGACATGGGCCAAAGGCGTGGAAGCGAATCTGGAGGGGGAAAAAGGAGTCAAAGCAAATCGCCTCTGGGGGTGTGGAGGGACCGCGCAAGGCACGCAGGTACCGACTGGCACTGGTTTGTATGTGGAGGTACTTTGCCCATCCACTGCCAGGTGGCCACCTTGGGTGGATTAGCCGAAGCGGCGCGATAGACGATGGGCGGCTTCGGCGAATCAGCGAACCGCCACAGTTTGCCATCCAATCCATTCCAGGCCCCCTGAAATCCGCCCCTGGATGATGCGTCAGTGGGCCGCTTTTAGTGACGATGCGATTTTTTAGCAGATGGACGCTGCAGGGTAGGCAAGTAGATGAGTGGTTGAGTTGTTGCCCAAGTGGCAGGATGAGGACATGATGGGATTGAAGAGGACACAAGAGGACATCTCGAATAAACATTGATGAGAAATAGATCAAGTACTTGATGAAGCTACTGTAAGCTCTCTTGACATTTCTATCACCGTTGACGCAGCATCTTTCCACGCGCTTCTGCTTGAGGCGGCGGAGTTTATACCCCGAATCCCGACTCTTGGGCCGTTGCTGAAGCCTCATCGATGCGTAACCCATTTGCTGCCTTGACGTGCAATAGATAGCTAGGTAGACAGAACAACTCAAACCTTCTCTCATACCTAGTACTTGATCATTTTCTACAAAAATACGCATACCTCGAGTCGGAGAAATTCGGTCAAGACGCTTCAGCCGCGAATCCCAATTGCATCTAGAGCCTCATTGACGTCACAAGCCGCCCTCTCATCAAGCCGGACAGACATGGACGTCCATCTCCTTGTATACGACCTCTCCCGCGGCTTGGCCCGCCAAATGTCCATGGGCCTTCTTGGGTTCCAGCTCGACGCCATCTATCACACCTCCATCGAGCTCCAGGGCCGCGAGTATGTCTACGACGGCGGCATCATCTCCATCGTGCCAGGCACTTCACATCTGGGCCAGCCCATGGAGAGGCTCTATCTCGGCAAGACGAACCTCCCCATGGACGTGATTGAAGACTATCTGGAGTCAATACGGTCTATCTTTACGATAGAGGTATGATGGCGTAGCTGCCAATTCTTCCTCTCACACGGAATAGGCCATGACTGACTCCAACAAATAGGCATATGACTTGTTCCGCCACAACTGCAACAACTTCACCGATGCATTCTCCAACTTTCTCCTCGGCAAGGGCATCCCGAGCCACATCTCACAGATGCCACAGGCAGTCCTCGACTCGCCGTTTGGACGCATGCTGATGCCGCAGCTCACCCAAGGCGTCAACGCCAGCAGGCAAAACGGCTCCATCCTGGGGCTGCAGCAGAGTGCTCAGCCAACCGCACCCGGCAGGGTGGCCTCGTCGGTCAAGAATGTGACCAGTCAATCGGAACTGACAGCTCTTCTGGATCAAGCAAAGGGGTCCTGCGCAGTCGTCTACTTTACCTCGGCCACTTGCGCTCCGTGCAAGATGCTCTATCCCTTGTACGACGAACTAGCCGATGAGTTTGCCGGCAAGGCCATCTTTATCAAAATTGACATTGCGCAACCGCAGGCTAGCTTGGTCGCCAGTCAGTATTCGATCAGTGCAACTCCCACGTTCATCACTTTCCTCAAGGGGCAGCAAGAGAACAGATGGTCTGGCGCTGACCAGGCTGCTCTGCGGGGGAATGTCCAGCTGCTGGTACAGATGGCACATGTTCGCCATCCCCATGAGAAGCTCCGTCTCCCCACGTTTGCCAATCCTAATACGAAGCCTGTGTTGTTTACCAAGGTACCACCGATATCGAAGCTGGTAGCCAAGATGGGGGATGAGATGGCCAGCAAGCCCGAAGTTCAGCAGCTGAAGCGATTTGTTGAGGACCGTGCCAAGGGTGAAGCTCTGGATGCGGTGCTGCCAAACATGGGGCACATGGCCGCTTTCCTCCAGGAGTCAATCGAAAAGCTGCCCGTTGAACTCAAGTTTGCTATTGTTGATCTTTTGCGTTGTGCTCTTCTCGACCCCCGAGTCAGCGGGTATTTTGCCGAAGAGACGGCGCACAAGACGGTTGTGACCATTCTCGATGCCGTCAACAAGCAGGACCAGTGCCCATACGCGTTACGCCTTGTGACGTTGCAGATGGCATGCAATCTCTTCTCCACTCCCTTGTTCCCGGACGAGATCTTGCGGAACGAACGTCTTCGGGGACCGATTACGGCGCTTATATCAAGCAGTTTCCTCGACGACAGCCATAGCAACACTCGCGTGGCGGCGTCCTCCCTCCTGTTCAACATAGCTCTGGCAGACCGCAAACCAAAGCTCGGCGAGGCTGGATCGAGATTACCCGACGAGCACCTCATCGAGCTCGCAGCATCCGTGGTAGAGGCAATCGCCCAGGAAGAGACGTCGGCGGAAGCTCTTCAGGGCATGCTATCGGCACTGGGCCACCTGGTCTACTATACGCCTCTGGACGGAGAGCTTGCCGACCTCCTCCGGGCTCTGGATGCCGAGGGAACGGTGTTGGCGAAGAAGAAGGCCTTTCCCAACGAGGCGCTGATTGCGGAAGTGGGAGGCGAGCTGCTTGGAAAGGGCCTCAAGGCGGAGTCGGCGTGATGGGCAGTCTGGCGTTTTTGACGATGACACGATGGCGCTTTTTATAACACTGATCACCTATACTTATAGACCGTACATTCACATAATAATACACCCTCACGACATCTGTGCTCATACACCCTCATCGTGATGCCTCGTCTATCATTTTTGCCCTGGAATATCGGGTTTATTGTAGTATGTACATCTGAGCATGCCGTGGGACCTTAGAAAAAGATACTTTGGTACCTTATCTGTCAATCTCTGCAAAACATCCAGCTGAGTCATCAACTTGCATCCAAAGCCCCACCCTCACACAAGCCCTTTAAAACCACAACCGCCGGCTAAACTTTTTTGAAATTTTTCTTCTTTTCCTTTTTCTTTATCAAAAAGCCAACTGAGCTGCCACGACCCTCACCCAGCTAACCCACGGTGTTGCGTTGCCTTTCCCCTCGTGGGAAACGCTCAGAAGAGTAAAACCCTTGGATATAGGAAGTCTGCCGCTACGTTTCTCCCATGAACGCTTTTCAGTGGGCGGTAGACGCCAAGAAGGGGGGACATGTCAGCTTCTTACCAGAAGCTTGATGTTCTGTTTTGATCTGCTGGAAATTTCCGTGCGTCATGCAACGAACTTTGCTGCTGTAGAGCTCATGTGCGGCTGAATTGGCTTTGTAGAGAGGCCATTGCAGAGTTTCAGCTGCACAGACCCTTGTTGAGGCCATGTAAAATCCTCGGGTATTGCTCGTGAAGCTGGTAGAATTGCTGCCTCGCTTCTGTAATATCTTGAGATCTACCTATGGAGAGACTTGACAGTGATTTTCGAAAATACCGTCACAGAATCTCTGGTAGCACAAAGCCATCATCATCAACGACGCACAAAAGTCTCGAAAAAGCTTGTAAAAGCCTGTGATTACAGGCAAGTTATATTAAAGCAAGCTAAAAAGTCAAGTCGTGATGACGGCTATTGATACAAGAGAAACTTTCTGCTGAAACGAGGGGCATGGACATCTGCGAACGAAGCCTTCACGTCCTGGAAGAGCTCACAATCTCGGGCTCGTTGCTCCGATGCTGCTCCCTCACGAATTCCTCAATCTGGGTGTCGTGCTCCGGCCGACGAGGAGGAAGCCCGGGCTCTGGTTTCTGATGCTCCACCTTGTCGTCGTCTGTATGATGTGCGCCGCCGATGATGGGGACGGAGGCTGGGATGGCCTGGGCGACTGTCGCGTGTGTTAGCATCAGACGAAGAAGCATGTGAACCAAACAGAAGAGTAACCACAATTCATGTGAAATTACAACTCTTCTCTTCTGGATAAGAAACACTCACTCTTGTCAACGACAGCCTTGATAGTCGGCTGCTCTCCGCTCTCGCTCTCGTGCTGATGAGTCCGGCTCTCAACTGCCTCTTGATCGAGCTGCTCCTTGAACGTCGGCGACGGTGTCGACTCCGCGCCGTCTTGGTGATCTTTCTTGGACGACTGCATGCTGATGAACAGGTAACCAATCTGGTCTTGACAGTTATAAAGCACAACAGGTGCGTACGCGTATATGCCAGAAGAATGCAATATGGACTTGTAGCTTTGTCTGCTTGGGGGATTCTTTATAGTATCCATGTCACGGCTGGACAGCCGAACTTGCAGCGAAATTGTGACGTCAAGGCTGAGACTCAGTGTGAGGATCTGGTCGCCCGATCGGCAGCAAACTTGGCATTGTTACAGCGGCCTTGGCCTGCTGTCGAGCCTGGAATTATAGCGTCTGGAGGGCTGAGGCTGAGGCGCTGCTAGTGAGGATTGGCGGGGCCTTGGCGCTTTGGACTTGTGTTGGCGGTTGAACGTTCGCTGCTGATAAGATAAGCAGATCGTCTCGAGTATTCTAAACCCGCGATATTCTGCTCATGACATGCATAGAATGAGTGTGGTATAAGTGGTGTTTGCTCGTGCTCTTGCTTTGCTCTATTTCCAATAATTTCTCTACTTCTTACTCTTCTGGTTCATTCTTTCATTCTTTGACCCTATAGACACGGAGACTAAGCCAAAGGGCTTCTGCCAACAATGGCTCCGATTCCCATCACCATCGTCACAGGCTTCCTGGGCTCAGGCAAGACGACGCTCATCCTCAACCTCATCCCGCAGCTCCGCGCCCAGAACCCCTCCTACAAGCTCGCCCTGCTCAAGAACGAATTCGGCGACCTCGCGGTAGACTCCCAGCTGGCCTCGAGCTCGGCCATCTCCGGCGTCCAGGAGCTGCTCAACGGCTGCATCTGCTGCAACCTCGTGGGCCAGCTCGGCCCCGCGCTCGCCGAGCTCGAGAGCACCGTCGCGCCGGATCGCATCATCATCGAGACGAGCGGGTCCGCGTTCCCGGCGACGCTCGCCCTCGAGGTGAATCGGATCGCCAGGGACACGGGCAAGTACGTCCTCGACGGAGTCATCAGCGTGATTGACGTGGAGAACTGGAAGGGATACGAGGACACGAGCTACACGGCCAAGATCCAGGCGCGGTACACGGATCTCATTGTGTTCAACAAGTGGGAGACTGCGGGCGAGGACCGGTACGAGTATTGTCTGGATAGAGTGGGCGACTTGGATGTGGATGTGGCCCGAGTCAAGAGCGACAGGGGGCGGGTTGATATGGGCTTGGTATTTGGCATTGATGGGGGCCTGGCCAGGCAGTTGACGGAGGTGGACGTCGACGGAGAGCACAGTCATGATCGTCAAACGAATGGCGATGCCCATAAGCACGACCATGGCCACAGTCACCAGAGCGAGGTGGAGGTGCTCTCAGTCGAGCTCAAAGCCAGCAGCGGCGCCGCCGCCGTCTCAACAGCCAAGCTGCTCAATTTCCTCCGGTCGGCCCCCAAGGACGAAGCCTACCGCATCAAGGCCGTCCTCACGCTGTCAGACACGCCCAAGAACTCGGATCCAGACGTGCCGCAACCCGAGGCCAGTCCCCGGGGCCGGTACATCTTGAACTGGGCTTTCGGACGATGGACGTTTACCCCGTTGGCCGAGAGCGCGGAGGAGCATTCTTCGAGCAGCGGCGTAGTATTACGATTGACGATGATTTTGGGACGGTACGAGAGCAATAAGTGGAAGAAGAAGCTAGAGGCTGGCGGGTTGCTAGAGTTAGAAGGCGGGGATAAAGGGGAGTTGGTTGTGAAGCGGATTTTGTAGATGGCGTTGATATAGACGATTGAGAATGATGGGGCAGTACGATGAGCACATAGACTACGAGATTTGGCATATACCTCAGAACGGGTTTCTCTTTGGGCATTTGCTCTCCTTCTCCCTATTTGTGCTAACTTTTATGTCTTTCTGACGAGTCGTCACCCCCAAACCCCTTTCACGTCAGCAAAATATGTATCGTTGAAGTAGTACTCTGCCCAGTCGAGATCATACAGATCCGGAGACCCAGTTCCAGCGCCTCTCTTCCCATGCCGTCCGGGGTATATTGCCTGCATCCCTGTCTCTGATACACATGCCTTCCCCACGGTTGGACACGGGGACACAAGCAGAACCGAATCTTCAACACCATCCAGCGACGCCGTCGACACCGTCAAAGCATCGTCGTTGACGGGCGTCCTCGCGTCCATCGAGTAAACCGAACTTGAATCTGAATAAATCGAACTCGAGTACGAGCGAGGCGGATCATGTATCCCGCCCCGGTCCTCATCGACATCGTCGTCGTCGTCGTCGTTTCCATCATTATCATGTAGTCCATTAGGAGGCATTGTATATTCCGTTTTGCAAGCATTGCAGAGCCCGTCCTTGCCTTCTTCGCCCCGTGAAGGAACCCGACAGAGGAAGCATACTTGTATCGATGTCGGTATAGAAGGACTACTACTACTATTACTACTCGTCGTCGTTGTCGGAGAAGAAGAAGAAGGAGAAGATTGTTCATCCGGTGATGCCTCGCGCGACATCATAGGAAATCGAACTGCCGCAGCCCTCGCCACTGGGACTCTACTCCCTGATGCTGGGAGAATGCTGCGGACCCTGCTCCATTGCTTCGATGGATAGTAGTAGTGTTGTCCTCCCGATTGTTCGGCAGCAGCAGCGGGCAGTTTGATCGTGAGCTGGGGTTTGGATGATGCCGCCTTCTTTTGTCCGCGAGTCCGTTGCGCCGAGTGTATGTGTTGAGATGCTCGACGTCTTGTTCTCTGCCTCGCCTTGTCCTCTGCCGTGTTGTTGTTGTTGTTATTGTTGTTGGGGACGACACTGCTCGGGAGAAGAAGCGCGGCGGCTGCAGCAGCATTCCTTCTTCCCTCTCGGGTGATTGTTTTCTTCTCATTGGCCTTTGGATACCTGTAGTTGTGGCTCGCCCTGACGAATCTCACCATGCCCGGCTTCAAGCGGCCATTCTCACCTCCATTCTGATTTGGCGGCTGCTGCTGCTTCTCTTCATGAGGAGAGAAAAGTATGCGCTCTACGCGAGCTGGTTCCCCGGAATCTTCTTTCGAGGAGGAGGAGGGCTTTACGGGGGCTTTGGGGAATTGTGCGAAGCGCGGGTTTCGCTTTGGCTGTGCTGTGTTGGACGTTTGGTTGCCTTTGTCCTGTTGAGATGTGTTGCATTGGGTGGCCATTGTGCAGTCCTTGACGTCTTGGAGGACTTGCTGACCTTGAAGAGATGCATTTCATACAAGTGTAAAGGATGCCACTTTACTTCGTTCCCACGAGGCGACCATCAGATCCGGCTGGTTGATTTTGTATTGAAATGGAGCTGGGAGTGAACAACTTCATTGTTTCGCTGTTGTTTGCAATGTGTTCATGTGACTGGCATCGATGCAAACAACCGTTCTTGAACAGCTCTCATCGATACAGCATGTGATGTTCTTCATTTGGTATTCAGCAATCTTGGCACTATCCTTCCATGCCCATCATGTACAAAGAGTGAAAAGCCTTGGAACACCGATTCGCTGACCCGGCACCTAAAAAGCACATGTTCCATGATAAATGATCGAATATGACACATTCCCTGTCTCATGGACAAAAAACTCCGGCCAAACGCCTCAAAATCCAGACTTCTATAAGCTCACTGTCACCGTCATGTTATTGCTCAGCACCAAAAGAGTAGGCGGAAGATCGTGACACAACAGCTCAACGTCCGAAAGGTACTGAATCGTCCGATCGGTGTCCTGATACGTCCCCTCAATGGGAATCGGGAGTGTGCTCAGCAGAACGGCCGTATCCTTGGAATTCTGCCGCATCAGCTCATTAAGGATGAGGTGCTGCGCTCGACTGGGCAGATCATTAAAGGACAAGGCAACACTCTGCGTAGAGTAGGGGGCACCGTCTGCGTAGTTTGAGTCCCTGTCGAATCTGTATGATTGCTCCAGCTCGGGCATGTTTAAGCTCACGTCTCCTTGGCCAAAGGGAGAAGTGTGTGATTCTCGCCGAGACTGCGAAGCGCGGTACCGAGACTGAATCTGTGTGCTTGAGCGCGAGTAATACGTTGGCTGCTCGGTGTATGAAGTCGCCCGCACGCCTTGTCTCCTTGGTTCTGGCAGCGGCTGCGTGGAGAACTTCCCCAGCGAAGACTGCTGAGAAAACGTCGGGCGGTCTGTCTTGGGGGTCGCGGGGCTCGAGGCATTCGTGGCAGCGAATCCAATCCTCGATCCTGTCTCGTCTGTCGTGATTCTCATTTCAGGAACTGGCCGGCTTGAAAACCGAGCCGCAGATGACTGTCGAGACAGCCCTGGTCGGGGGGTCGATGTGTCGTCGTCCCCTGAATATCGGTTCTCAGACGATTTTGTAGGACTGCTTGGCCGGTAGGTGCTGGGTTGGGACTCTGGGATTGCCAGTTGATCCAGATTAGGGAAAGACTCTATGCTTTTGATGTCGATCTTGAAGCTGCTCCTTTGTCGATTATTCGCTCGGGGGGTTGCATCCAGATCCACCTCCGGGATTCGTCTGAAGGCTGGCGTATTGACTGACTCTTGCCTGCTATGGGTTTGTGAGAAGCCTCGAGACGTTGACATTGTCCCGTATGAGGGGGTATCTTGAACATTACCGTTCATGTAATCTCCTGATCCAGCTACCAGTTCCAAAGAGTCATGCCCGCGTATTCTTGGAGCTGAAGGTGTCGCTTGTGGAAAGTGAGAGGACATCTCTGGCAATGATGGATCTATGACTGACCCTACCATGTCCATGGTATCTGTATCGCTACCGCTTTCGTATTCCGAATCAGATTCCCCAAAGACCTCTTCATTCAAGTGGTGAGTGTGCATTCCCATGGTGATGCCCATTTTAGATAGAGAGCCGATATTCGGCCTCCTGGACATTCCGGGAATGCCCACGAGGCTGGACCGCCGCCGCTGGGACTCCGGCTCTTCATGCGGATTGTAGACTCCAGGCCGTCCGGCGGTCGAAGTAAGAATGTGTACCATATGTGAAAACTCCTGACTTGTTGTCATGGGCTCGGATTTTCCGCGAAAGTCTTCCAAGTCGTTCCACCACTCTTCGTCTCTCAGTGCGTCGCCGACGACAATCTCGCAGTCCAGGCTACTACCTCGGCCGTTGATGATGCGTTCGTATGTGTCCAGCTGCCCGGAAGCCAACCAGAACACACGGACCTCAGCATCGATACGCAGCTTCTCTAGGAGCGTCTTGACTCGTGCCATTTCTTCCTCGACCTCGCTTTCGTATTCGACAAAGACCATGACCCGTGGTATATATACCCGTTTCCAATTCTGAACGCTGTGAAGAATATGACCCAGTTGCAGAATCAGCGTGTCTGTCGACATAGGTCAGCCATACTGAACACTCATACGTCTCGACAGTAATTATATGTAGTTGGACCTACAGGTATCAAAGTTGGATGTCAACATGCTCCTGCCCTCGGATGAAACCTCGGCAGACATTTGGATGGGCCACAAATCAATGTACTTTTTCGTGTTGGACCCGTCCTTTCGAGGCGTTTCCAAGCTCTCAAATCCGTACGCAACAGCCACGTTCAGTCGATAGACCAGAGCCAAGTCCTCCAGAGCTGTCATATATTCTGTAGGGGACATCATGTCTTCTGTGCGAATTGCATCAGTGGGGAGGAAGCCTTTCAACATTTGAGCAGATGTATCGCCGCGGCGCCTCCTGGTTGCTTTCCCCTGGGATCTCGGCGGCCGATTCATCTTGGAAGCTGGAGCCATTGGAATATCGGGTACCCTCAGTCGATGGCTGGATCTTCGTAGGTCGTCCATGTTGTAAAACCCCATGATGGCGATGTTAGGGCGCATGCCGCCGAGTCCCGACGATAAGATGAGATTTCGAATACCCCAATTGATGGATGGTGACATTGTGAGCTGCACAAACGCTTTGATCCTGGAGAACTCGGATATGTATCGTGTCCAGGCCGCTTGCTGCAGTTTCGCCTCGTGGACTCCCGAATGGAAGTCATCCGTCACGATGACATGACCCAATATGTAAAGCGAGCCCTTCTTCAGGGAGTTGCAAAATTGAATCAACTTGGCCTGCCGCCGGGGGTTGTTGACGAGGAGAATGATCTGCGGTCTCCAGAATTTGATATGCTCAGGCTTTAACCTCAGCAGATACTTTCTGACTTGGTGGTAGATGAGGTTCTGAGAGACGTCGCCCCAGTGCTTTGGTGGGCAGAGATAGTGAATCAGTACGAATACCAGGACAAGAGCGCAGATTGCCGTTGAAGCATATGTTTCATCGATGAAGAACATTGCTGCCGCAGACATGAGGCTTCCAAGGAAAGCAGTTTCTGCACTAAACAGCTGAAAGCTTGGTCTGAAATTAGGAGCCGATCCGATCTTCAAGAGGAAGCATGCTAGGTTCATGACAAAGAAAGTCATCTTTTCAGGTTGTCAGTCACCAACATCAATAGCGTAAGATGGATGTATCCCTTCCGGCTGACTGACCTGGTAACCCATCGAGATGAGCGTGGCAATCTGGTTCAAATCCGCGAAAAGGGCCACTTGAGCAATGCAGTAGGTTAGGAGTATAGCAAAGAAAGGCTCGTCGCCACTCTGAGACCCCCTTCCAAAGAGCGACAGGCCAGGGAGCAGCTTGTCGCGAGCAAGCGCCTGAAATAACTTGGCCGAGCCGATGACTCCCATGAGAGCCGAGAAGAAGGTAACGGCACATTCGCCGGCCAGAATGATAGGGGCGTACAAGCTCGTGAGAGTTATGACATTGTCGTTGGCGAGGAATGACTCGTGGGTGGTGGCCGCAGCCATGGAAATGATGACCGTGAAGTAAGCGATGAACGTTGTGAGGGTGGCCCATAACGTTCCCTTTGGAATCGCCTTGCTTGGATTGCGTAGATCTCCAGACATGGAAGCCCCTGCAAATATGCCCGACGTCGCTCTTTATCAACAGACCGTCAGTGATACGATTTCGAGAAGACATCAGCGGTAGAGTACTCACGGGAAGAGAACACCAAAGAGGTTACGAAACGTCTTGATGCCCTCATAACTGCCCTCAGAAGGTCGTGGCGCAAAGTTGCCAAGGAGGGTATCGATGCTGATACCCGTAAACTTGATCCCAGCCGTGGCATCCTCAAACGGGGCCTTGAAGATGGCAGACACCGGGATGCTCGCGATGGAAACGGCAAGAATAATGAGCAATGCATTCGAGGCCTTGGAAAAGGCCGAAGAGCCAAGCAGACAAAGACCTGTACACAACATCAAGGCGGCTGTCTGGAGCCCATAGCCTGACCAATACCCCTGAGGGAAACTAGAACCCAGGTTGAGCCTGAGGCAGTCAATGAGACCGACGACGTTCATTGCGGTATTCAGAGCCTGGGCCAAGTAGAACAATATGCCGATTGAGCCACCAAATTCCGGACCCAGGGACCTGGAGATCATGTAGTAGGCGCCTCCGCCCTTGACTTCTCCATTGGAGGCAATGGCGGAAAGAGACAGGACAGTGAGCAGATCGATGCAGTAGGCGGCGAGAAGCAGACCTGAGGCGACGAGACTGGTTGGAACTGAGCGAGAAAGTACAGGGCGCATTTCACTTGCTGCTTACCTAGAATGCCAATGAAGCCAACTTGTCCGAGCACTTGGCCGAATCTGAGGAACATGAGGATGCTCAGGATGTTGAGACAGACCGGGATGTAGACACCGGAGACGGTGCCCAGCTTGCCGTGCCCAGCGGCCTTGTCTTGATCCATCGCCATCGTCAAGGATCCTTTTCTTTCTGACGGCGGATGAGGCATGGCGGGTGCGAGGTTCGTCGTGAGGCTCTTGGTTCGATTAAAAAGAAATCGCAGGCGTCCTCGGGGTGACGAATTCCAGAGTGCCTCCCTCCTAGCGAAGGCTACCTATGTTGGCCAATGTCTCAGGTGAGATTTGACCGCGGGCATCATAGCCTAGTGAAGCGTAATAAATGGGGGTGGTGAACAAGTCAAGATGAGGTTGGAAAAGCGAGAGAAGAGAGGAAGAGGCAATACACAAACACAGAGCATCCTCCACCGCAATGCCGACGACACAGACAGATTGCTAGAGATGCTATCAGAAGCCAACGGGCAGCGCCCACGATGGCGACCAAGCCCATATCAATGCCCGAGAAGCTGCTAAAACTAAAGATGCCAGTGACCAAATGCCGTTAATCTTCAGTCAACCAAGACCGGCGTCATACCACGGGTCGGGGATCTGCAGCGGGGCAGCCGTTGAGAGAGCCATTTGCCATCGACGCCATCGTGCTGGTGGCATCTCGTTATGTAAATCTCGCCGCCAGAATCCGGTTTGAAGCTGTTGTTGTGCATGAGGAATATGCACGCTCTTGTCACATCAGGACTGTTTCCACCCCAGAGGCGATATCAAGTCTTTCTTTTGATCTGAGTGAAGCAATTCTCGTCATGCTGTTCGCTGGGTTTGGGCCATGTATGGAGTTTGGTTTGTCTGCGAACCGGCGCTTGTGACGGACAACGGCTTGGGCCATACGCTTTTGGTGCTAAATCGACTCTTCGATCGACCATCCAAGGGTGCTAGCATCGAACCTCTGGTCTGAGGAACCTCGAGATCAGGTGGGAAATGTCAGCGCCGTACATAGCAGTGGGAGGGTGGCCACCGTCATCCTAGCGCGGGCAAGTTGATCTCCAGCCGGCTTTTGCGGGACGTATCAAATAAAGAGCTCGATTTGCGGGCAGTTTGTGGTCCTTGTCCTTGTCGCTAGTTGGCTGAGGCTATAGGACCACTCCCAGAAGAGGGTGACGATATAATACCGATGGTTGTGCTCGATGCGACGGTAGGGCTGCGACATTCCGTCAACACCAGCTCTTTTCCAAAGGTAAAATGCGAACCTGAAGCCCAGATCCCAGATCGTCAACACTGCGAATCTTGGTTGCTTCGTAATGGCACATGAAGTAGCAGCCTGGGCATGGATTCTGTCAGTCAAGCAAGAGTCAACAGCGGGCTGTCACGCATATGCGCGATGATCATCCTTGTCGCCCCGCTCCAATTATCACGCGCCATGACGGCATTCCGAGCCAGGAAATCCATCGTGGTGCATGGAATCGTCCGCTGAGCTGCTACTGGCCGTTTATTGGTGCTGGTCGAGGAATCTGCTGGTGAAGAAGGCGATCAAGGTGCACAGTAACGGCATCGAAAGAAACGCAAATGCTAAACGTAGGCAGTATCGCTGCCTGGTTTGCTGGTAGAATATGTATACCAAAGCCCGTCCGTACTGAAATATTCAGCAGACCATCCTCCATCTGGTGCGGCAGCACTTGTCGTATTAACACATATCCATCGGCTCGTCCCGTCTGTCATTGGTGTTGATGCGATTTCGAGGCGTCCAGCATGACCAAGCCATCTGAACTACCCCATGGGCACGATTTCGGCCGGATGGAGGGATGGATCCATCAATGGATGGGCAGCATGGCTGGTTATCACCAGATCCAAGCCTTCCAAGTCCAAGCCCAATCCCAGCGTCAGCAGCCGACAGCCTCGTGATAAGTCACAATCAATCATCCTGCGTACAGACATGCCGCATACTGGCTCGCGGGCGCTGATAACGTTGTCGTCCAATTAAGACTTGCCCGTTGTTATCCGGAGGCGCGGTTGTTTGGCCCTTGGTGGCTGACATCGGCCGGTCTTGCGAATTGAATTTCCTTTGGGATATCATTTTGTGGCTGTCTGGCCTCTGCTCTCCCTCCCTGCGTGGTACCCAAGTACGGCATCGTGCTGCGTGTGTCAGTGCTATCTCCAGCAGACTCGACACGGCGTGACCATCGAATATCGAGTCTTGCAGCTCTGTACTTCGTAGTACTACTCCGCATTCACCCTTGATAGCAGACGGAGCAATCAGCTGTCTCGGATTGACTGCCGCGATGATGCTCCATGTGTCGTAGAGTACTACCTAGTAAACCCAACAGTTGCTGTCTCGGATCTGTAGAGCTCTCCGCTCTTGGCCACGACCGGGTCTCACGATAAGCCTGGATGCACCCGCAGGAATGGCAGTCGAGGCTTATGTTTGCAGCATCCATGTGCAGTATTATATCATCCAATCCTCCGTTCAGCACCCTTCCCACGGCCAGCCAGCTTGAACCGACTGGTCGTCGCGTCGAGGGTCCTCAAAGTCCAGCCCGCTCATCCTTGCTCTGGGCCCGGTACCCGCTGGAACGGTTCTTTTGCTTCTGCGGTTATTTATTCGCGCGAATCAGTGGTTGCGTGCTGGCCGGATTGGACGAGATTCGATGCGGTTGTGGATGGAAATCAATCAACACTGCATTGGTTTTGTGCGAGTGTAGGCCCTGCCTCTCAGCTGCCGCTTCAGGCGGTGCATCCGTCGATGGACGCAAGTACAAGTACCTCGACTCGCTCTCCCTGCAAATCGAGCCGATCTTGGGCGGTCACCGCTGGAGGCCCACCGCCGAGCCCCTGCCAGTCACCCGACGTGATCGCTGGGGGGCGGTGTTTGGTGGTGACGGGTCCCTAGAAAACGCGCCTGGAGCGCTTCAGCTGTGCGGCGACCGCCACAGGCCGCTGTAGGGAGCGCCTGTGGTGCAGAGGTACCGGTACTTCGTACCTGCACCCGCCCCCGTTCCTGGCCTCTCCGACTGTGTATCCCGTACCCGCCAAGGCGGCTTAGCGTGGCTTCTCCGTCATTTGGTAGCGCACCTCAAGGACCTTTTGGCAGGCAGTTGACGGAGCAGCAGCCCCAAACCTTCAGTCATCGATACTAATAGCTCGAGATTACCTTTCCATGACCTTTTAGCTTGCACTTCTACCTTCATCCTTCACTCTTCATTTCCATCTCCGTGCTCGAGCATCTTCTACTCCAGGCAGCATCCGGCGCGACCTCGCTTCGTCACCCTAATCTGCGAGTCTCACGCCTAGGCGCCGTCCCTTGATCCTTATCTGCCGCTCTTTTGGGTTGTCACCGAGTCTCCCTCGCGATCGAGGCTGGTTCCTTCAGCACGCCCAGGCCAGACGCATCTCTCCTTTGACAGACCGATATGCGATAGCGAACAAGGCTTGAATCCAGCGAGAAAGAACGCAGCTACCACAGACGAGCAGAAAGAGAACAGACTAGAATGTCGTCACCGTCGAGAAGCGGGTTGGTGGCCCAGTCCCCCGTCCCCATGTCTTCTTCGCCCAGCCTCTCCCAGCAGCGGCCGTTCTCGTCGTCTCTGCCTCGAGAAGAAGTCACTGCCAGACTTGCCGAGCCGATCCGGTCCGGGTCGCCCATGAGGAGTGGCTCGCCCCGTCCCGGCTTCGCAAGACCCGAAGGCGGCGCGTCCGGCGATGCTTCGTCCTTCGCCCAAGGTCCTGGGGTGTCTGCTCTGGCTGCGGCCTTGTCCGACTCCTTGGGGCAAACGCCGCCACGACACGGCACTCCTTCAGGCCGCGTTGGCACACCGCCGCTCCGTCCATTGTCTCCCTCGGGAATCGGCCGCTCTGCCACACCGACAAATTATGGCTCCTTCGACTCGAGAGGTCGCCCTGGGGCCGAGAGCACGGGTCCCTACGAAGACCCGGAGATCATCAAGAGGCATCTGGTGCAGCCCAGCGAGATGGAGAATCCCACATCAGAGGCGTCATCGGAAACTGGCAAGGGCAAGCAGACGGCCGATTTCGGCTTTGGTACTACCGGCCTGCACGACGACGAGTTCTCGAGTCTGCGTCTGCAAGGTGGGGACGTGACACGGGGTATCTACAAATGGACCGAGCAGGCAGAAGCTAGGACAAAGATGCAGCGCAGCAAGAGTTTCGACCACTCGAGGCCCGAGCCTGAAAGCGACACGCTCGACATCAGCTCCATCAAGGTGCCGGGTGGCTTCCGAAGGAATCATCTCCGAAGAAATGTCATCAGCCCTTCGGGGCATCCTGAAGACGGCTATGGGGGCGCTGATTCTCCCGGTAGCAATCGGCCGCTGTTCACGTCGAGTTTTCTCGAATTCCTGTCCATCTATGGCCACTTTGCTGGTGAAGAACTGGAGGAAGACGACGAGGTCCTCGGCCCCAACGAATACTTCCAATCCGGCGCGGATGAGGAGGAGGAAGAAGACGAGGAACCCATGGAAGACAGCGCGCTGCTGGGCCCTTCGAAGAAGAAGCGGAAGAGAAAGACGCGTGGCGGCAGCGGCCAGAACAGCCAGATGAACGCGGCTCTGCTGCTGCTCAAGTCCTTTGTCGGAACCGGCGTCTTGTTCTTGCCGCGTGCCTACCTCAACGGGGGCATGCTCTTCAGCAACCTCGTCCTCCTCGGTGTAGCGCTGCTGAGCTACTACTGCTTCGTTCTCCTGGTCACGACGCGGCTCAAGGTCGAGGGCTCGTTTGGTGACATGGGTGGTATTCTGTACGGAAAGTGGATGCGCGCCATTATTCTGGCTTCGATTGTCCTCAGCCAGATCGGATTCGTCGCAGCTTACATTGTCTTCACCTCTGAGAACCTGCAGGCCTTTATCTTGGCCGTGACCAACTGCCGCACGTCAATCAGCATCCCGATGCTGATTCTGATGCAGATGGTCGTCTTCCTGCCCTTTTCGCTCCTGCGAGACATTGGCAAGCTTGGATTCACGGCCCTGATTGCTGACGCCTTCATCCTGATTGGACTCGCATACCTCTTCTACTACGACGTTCTGACGCTCGCTGCCGAAGGCCTCGCCGATATTATCATGTTCAACCAGCGGGACTGGACGCTCTTTATCGGAACGGCCATCTTCACTTTTGAGGGCATTGGCCTCATCATCCCCATTCAAGAGTCGATGAAGAACCCGGAAAAGTTCCCCAAGGTCATGTTCCTCGTCATGATCATCATCACCATCCTCTTCACTGTCATGGGCGCCATCTCGTACGCTGCGTACGGCTCCGAGACGCAGACCGTCGTCCTGCTCAACCTGCCGCAGGACAACCGCATGGTCAACGTCGTGCAGCTCCTGTACTCGGTGGCTATTCTGCTGTCGACGCCGCTGCAGATCTTCCCCGCGATCCGTATCGCAGAAACCGAGCTGTTTACGAGGAGCGGCAAGTACAACCCGTGGATCAAGTGGCAGAAGAACATCTTCCGCTTCTTCGTCGTGATGATGTGTGCCGCCATTGCCTGGGGCGGTGCCGACAATCTCGACAAGTTTGTCGCGCTCGTGGGTAACTTTGCCTGCATTCCGTTGGTCTACATCTATCCTGTGAGTTCCATCTCCTGCCGTTCCTCCTCTCCATTACGATTGACTGACCTTGCTCTTCCTTAGCCTCTGCTCCACTACAAGGCCGTCGCGCGATCTAGGTTCTGGCGGTACTCGGACATTGGACTGTGCATCTTTGGCCTCATCGCCATGGGCTACACCACGAGCTTGACCGTTATGAGCTGGGCCAATTCGGAGCCCAAGGCGCCCGGATACTGCGATCGAAGGGGCACGTAGGGCTCGGACGGAGCCAGTACGTGGGACAAGGAGGGCCTGGGCAATGTCTCGATATACCTAAGCAGTAGCGGGTGAAGCTTTCTCTATTTTGTATCTTTGTTTGTATTTGCCTTTGCTTTGTTCTTCGTTTGGGATTTTGGACAACTACTGGGATGAGGCATGGACTTTGGGAGAAGACACATTCAGATTGCAAAGACTTGTATAGAGGAGGACTATTCACTTATGTGTACTTACATGCAGGCCATTTGGGTTATACGCGATAGAGGATGCCGTACAGATGGGAAGAGGGGGGTAAACTATAGCGGGTTTTGGTTTAATCTAATACACTTGATAAAAGTTGTGGAACGTGCAAGAGCAACATCTGCTTCACATGTGACGGGAATCATAAGCCAAAAGCCAATTACTTCATAGCCGTCTTCCTTCACCTTCAAGTTATTCTTTAGCGCTGCGGGGCCGCTCCGTGGTGGAGCAGCGACGCTGAGCCGGAAGCAACACCAAGCAGAGCAAAAGGCCGCATCTCGGTCTCCGAGATTTGAAATCTTACACACAACGTCTCCGTGCCAAGGTAGTTGTACTACTACTACAAATACTACCTTGCCCCGAATCCTTGCAGCACCGATGGGGAAGGGCTATTGTCCGCGTTGCTACTACTAGTCAAAACCAGGGCCTCTGAGCAGATCGGATCGGATCTGAGCTGCCCTTTTCTAAATATCAGATCGACCACCATGTCGAGCGCTGGCTCCCGTCTTTGCCGTCTGTCGCCAGCATGTCGTTGCGCATGCCTCTCCACGTCCCTCTTCCCGTCCAGCCGCTCCAGATGTCGATGCCGCTGAGACTGAGGCTGAGCCTGAGGCAGTCGCGCCAATTCAGCACCCGGACCTGGCATTGCGCCTCTCCCCAAAGCAGAACCACCGCATTCGTTGACATCACCGCGAGAGCGACGACAGCACCAGGACGAAGAAGCATCACCACCTCGAGGCCCAGGCACCCGAAGCCGCCCCCTCCGCCGTTTCCCACGGTGTCGACATGTCCTTCGCCGACGTGCGCATGCGCCGAGACGCCCACCATGCCGGACGGGCTGGAGATTGACCGGGAGAACCCGCTCAACGGCGTCATTGCCGGGTACGCGGAGCACGTCGTCGTGTGCACGGGCAAGGACGATTGGCCGTCCAAGATTGAGGACGAGAACAGCGGCGATAATCTCGCGGCGGATCTCAAGGAGCTGTTTGGCCGGGGCGGCAAGTATACGGATGTAAGTTGGACACACTACATGCACATGGGCATCAACTCACAGATGGGAAGAAGATTGGTGGGGGATTTGAGATGCTTCAAAGCTAACCTCCCCCCGACAACAAAACAGCCCTTCCACCACATCTCCGTCATCAACTCGTCCTTCCCGAGCTCGGCGCCCCCCCGCAAGGCCGTCCAGTCGACGTCGGTCTACCTGCTGCCGAGCTTCAAGTACGTGCCCTTCCTGCCGCGCGTGTCCTTCGACAGCGTCAAGGCCCTGGCCAAGGGCTTCCTGCTGCCGGAGCGGCTGCACGCCGCGCACGCCGGCCTGTCGCCCGCGCACCGGGACCGGCTGACGCGCAAGGCGGCCTTCCAGGGCCTGCTGCCCGGCGTGCGGGACGTGGCGGACGTGCTGGTGCTGATTTGCGGGCACGGGGGCCGGGACGTGCGGTGCGGCGTCATGGGCCCCGTGTTGAGGAGCGAGTTTGAGGATAAGCTTGGGAGGAAGGGGTTCACGGTTGCGAGGGAGGCGGTCCAGGTTGGGAGCCTGGAGGAGGAGGAGATGAAGAGGGTGGAGGGGAGCAGTAGCAGCGATAGCAGCAGCAGCAGCAGCAGCAGCGGCGAGAAGGTTGCGCGAGTTGGGTTGATTAGCCATATCGGGGGACACAAGTTCGCGGGCAACGTGATCATCTACATCCCGCCTGGATTCACGACCGAGGGGGGCGAAAGGCATCCCTTGGCCGGATGCGGGATCTGGTACGGGAGGGTAGAGCCGAAGCACGTCGAGGGGATTGTGGGCGAGACGGTGATGGCCGGGAGGGTGGTGGAGGACATGTTCCGGGGAGGCATCGATGCACACCGACGGATTCTGCGGCTGTGAAGGTACTATGCATTACATTTACTGATAGTATTAGACGGAGTTCTACAGATGAGCATAACAAGAGCCTCGGAGGGGAGTTTCAGTTCTAGAAGAATACTCGTACTACTAGTATGGGGCGATCACGAGGAGAAAGCTGAAGCGATTCAGGGCGGAAACACGATCGTGCATCTTCAGGAGGCATGCAGCTATGTAGTAATTATTCCGCAGTCCCGCGCCAAACCGAGAGACAGGCAATTGGCTCAGACAACAGTGACCTCACCGGGTGTGAAGGAATGAATTCGAGCATGTGACAGACGCGCCTCTTTGCAAGATTACGTCGTCATACATGGATTCAATGTATGATAGCTTCGTGCGATCGTAGGACCGCTTTGTCGTGGAAAGTAATACCTTACTCCGTCTCACGAGTAATAGTCCTGGTAGTAATAGCGCGGCCTATGTAATACCCCCCCAGGCATCCATCCCTTCTTCGGCATGCCCGCCCACCGTCGCCCCGGAGATCCATCCATCGGGCGTCATCACCGACAACCTCGTGTCACGGGCGGCTCCCCCTAATGGGGCCGCCTCCTCTTGGCAACAATCCAATCCATCACGGAGGAGGAGGAGGAGGAGTGAAGGGAGTGAAGCTCCCCCCAGCCAGAGTCCCACGAGAGTTGTGGTTTTCCCCTCGAAAAATCCAAGACATTTGGCGTAATACTCGTACGACTTATACTTATCCTAAGGTATGCCGCTTCCTATGGACCCCACTTTCTGTCCGTGCATGAGGTTGATTGATGACTGCATGCGTCGACGGAGTTTTGGAGCAGAGGAGAGAGAGAGAGAGAGAGAGCCGAAGTGTGCCTTGTTAGACGACAGTTCAAGCCTTTAAGGGGGGTGGAGATGGAGGGGAATAAGACGAGCGGTTGTTTAAAAGGGTGCCGGATTCGGCGATTTTCTCTAAAAGGGCCGCCTTCTCGAAGGAACTTTGTCTGCTTCTTCTCTACCCTTTCACTGCTTCTGCTTGTCACGAGGTTGGATCTTGTAAGAGCATCGAATAGAACAAGCACCTCGATAACTCACAACTGTTGGGACTCTACCGAGAAAAAGGCTCAACCATATACGAGAGCAAAAGAATCCATATCGGAGGGTTATAAGCAAAAGGCAGCATCAGCAACAACATTCACACATATACGGCACAACACTCACAACACACAAAAGCACATTCACAATGCCGTCCTCAGATCCCCTCGCCGGCCTCAACGTCTCCATCAGCCAAGGCACGACCTCGCCGCCGTCCATCGTCGCCACCGTCAAGAACAACAACCCGCACCCCGTCACCATCGCGCCCTACCAGTCGCCCTTTGACGGGCTGCTCCTCGAGCAGGGCAACCTGTCCATCACCGTGCCCAGCAGCGACGACAACGACAGCGACAGCAACAACAGCTCAAATTCTTCAGCCGCATCCTCACCCAACAGCACCAGGTTCACGAAGCCGCTCGACTACCCTACCATCGCCCTCAAGCGCGCCTGGCCCCCTCCCGCAGACAGCCTGGTGACGCTGGGGCCGGGCGAGAGCCGCACGGCCGAGATTGTGCTCCGGCACCCGGTGCCCCTGCAGCAACTTGCGGGCGGTGGCGGCGGCGGCTCGGTGGCGACGGTCAAGCTGCGCGGGCAGTGGATGTCCGTGTGGAGGCGGGCCAGGGAGGAGATTGGGGAGGCGGACTGGGACGACGTGTCGAACCCGGATGAGTTTTCGGGGCTGTACGAGTCCAACAGCCTGGAGATTCGGATTGCCTGAATGTTTGATTCACTATAGCAGATTATTCAAGGATGGCGAAATGGCGTTTTTTTTTTTCATGAGGATGCGATTCGGAGAAGGCATGTCTGGGTGCTGGTGGTGATGGGGTTTATGGTCACTTACAAGCTCGTGTTGGAACACGTGACTCGATTTTTATCCTACATTTTTCACCTTTGCTTTTTCTACGGCGATGAGCTCTTCCTCTGCCTCAAACAGTCGTTATTAGCTGAGCGATATCCGATTGACCAGATACTTTTCATCAAGTCTTCTCAAATGATTACTTTAATATCCTGACATAGAGCTCAAAAACCGGTGCAATGGCAAGCACACGAGCCGTCCTCGCCACGGCCCGGCTTCGCCATCCTCACCCCCAGACGACACTCTCTCTCATAAAGCCCATCTCAACGCCATCAAAACCACAACAACCCTCCCAAAGCCTCCGAAAATACACAACAACAGCCACAACCACCCAGTCCAGCCCCCGTCCCGCCAGAACAAGCTCCAAATCCCGCAGAATCCCCCTCCTCGTCACCGCCGCCATCCTCGGCAGCACAATCTACTACCTCGCCTCCCCGCCCTCACGGCCCACCCTCCTCAACACGGAAACCTTTGTCCCCTACACAATCACCTCCCGCGAGGCCATCTCGCCCACCTCGTTCATCTTCACAATCTCCCCCCACGCCCCAAACCCTTCTCTCCCGTATCTCGTCCCTTCCACATCGTCGTGGCGGTATCCCCTCTGGTCCGTCGAGTTCAAGCAGCCGCAAGTACAGATCGCACGGCACTACACGCCCTTGCCTCCGCACGATGATGGACAGCAACAGCAGCAACAACAACGACAAGATCCCGCTGATGGATCGCTGAGCTTCTACGTCCGCGCGATCGGAGGCGGCGAAATGTCGACGTATCTGAGTCGTCTGGGCGTCGGGCAGGACGTCTGGTTGCGAGGCCCTCACGTAGGCTTCGACGTCGTCGCTCGCCTCGGCGAGATGGACAACGTCGTCTTCCTCGCGGGCGGCACGGGCGTCGTCCCAGCAATGCAAGTCGCAAAGGCAGTCCTGGACAAGAGCCCGGAAGCACACGTCACTCTCCTCTGGGCGATACGCAGGAGGGAAGAGCTCCAGCAACAACAAGCCAGCACCGTCCGAAAAAAACAACAACCCTCATGGTGGCAGTTTTGGGCTGCCACCAAGAACAGCGGCGAACCAGAGGAGCTGACTGCCCAGCTGCAACATCCGAGCCCCATCGCAAAGCAGCTCACGGCTCTGAAAGAGAAGCACGGACAGCGGCTGCACATCCAAGTCGCCATTGACGAAGAGCAGACGCACTTCCGCGAGCTGGATCTCCAAAGAGCCATCATCTCGCCAGGACCCCCCTTGTCCTCTTCTTCTTCTTCTTCTTCTTCTCCCCGCCGCTCTACTTCAGCGTCAGGATGCCGTCTGCACGATTCGGCAATGCTGGAGCTGGCCCCCGAGTTTGAAGCCCCGGCCGCGGCAGATGACTGCAAATGCGGCCGCGGAGCTGGCAAGAACCTCTTTCTGGTTTCAGGCCCGGATGGCTTCGTTGCTCACTATGCCGGGCCCAAGAGGTGGCTAGGCGGCCAGCAGGTGCAAGGGCCCGTGGGCGGCGTGGCGGCTCGGCTTCAGAGAAGATACCCGTGGCTGGCAGACGACTGGCTTGTGTTGAAGTTATAGGCCAGGTGCACATATACTCTTACCGCGAAGATGGGACGGCAACGAGGTCACATACTGGTCGAATTGAACCATTTCTTCTCTTCTCAGCTCGGAAATAACAATAAGCAACATCTATGTGGACATCGCACATGTATATAGGCAACGCATAACAAAAATCACGCAAGTCGCCAGTACGCCTCTTTCGCTCCTCGTTCACCCTCTTGCACGCATTACAAAACCCCTCCAAGCCAAATTCTTCAAAATCACCGGTTCTGCACCTTTCTATAGGACGGTGGCTTCATCGTTCTCCTGATTAGCTTTCCCGCATACGGCGGGATCAAAGAAATAGAGCCAATGGCCAAAACACGCCAGACAAATCCCCTTTTTTTTCGATCAGTTAGACAAAACGCCTCACTTGGGGGGTCTTTAGGAAGGGAAAGCTCACCAGGTAATGAGAAACTCGAGATCAAAGTAGTCGCCCAGGAACGGCATCGAGCCAATGTAAAAGATAAACGTCCCCACGATGCTAAAAATCATCACGGGATGCCACGTCGTAATCTCAATCGCCACCATGAGCAGCTCGTTGAGCACCAGCACCGTGTAGCTCACCGACACCATCCTCTTGCTGTCCACCTCGGTGAGGATCTGCGAGAGGCCCTGGATCATGCCGCCCTGGTAGATCGACACCAAGACCCAGACGAAGAATGTGCGGTACGACAGGGACCGGCCCGACGTCAACTCCTTGTAGAGCTCGGGGTAGAGGTTTGCCAAGTTCTCGTCCACGTCCTTGTCCAGCACCAGGGACAGGACGGGCGCCGCGGTGTAGACGGTGGCGTAGCCAACCATGAGCCAGTTCTGTGTCACGCCAGTCAGAAGTCCGATCGTCAATACTTGTCCTCTTCATGCGCTGGACGTACCTTGTATAAACCCTCAGGTTCAAATTTCAGAGCTATGCTATACATTGTTTGGCACACTGCAATGATGAGACCTCGATGAATGACAAACTGAGCCAGCTTCGCACTGCGCTTGTAGCTGTTTCGTCCATGCCAAACCAGTAGCTTAACCAGGTGGCAGAACTGCTCGATCGAAAAATCGGCTGCCAGACTGGCTTGCCGACCCTCCTTGCCAACGATGCCGACTCCCACGTCGGCAGCCTGAATCATGGAAACGTCGTTGCCACCGTCTCCGATACAGCACACTCGCTTCTTTGTGTACTCGCGAATGAGCTTCGCGACCTCGGCCTTTTGTGTGGGTGAGCATCGACAGGCAACGACGGTGGGCAAGAGAACGGCAATGGAGATGAATTCAATGCGGAAATGCGTCAGGAACAGCGCCAGGCTCTCGCCGTCAATCAGCAGACACGCGTCGGTCTTGCTCCGGAGGAAGTCCAGATGCTCTTGGGCATTGTCCTTTCTGTTGAGCTTTGCAACGGTGTAGATGTACTGGCCTCGCGCAACGAGCTTCGAGCTGATGGCCACACACCTTGCCGTCTCGACCTTGTCGCCCGTCAGCATCCAGATCTTGATGCCGGCATTGCGGAGCAGTTCAAGCGATGGCTTGACGTCTTTCTGAAGCTTGTCCTCAACGCCCGTCACGCCCAGCAGCTCCAGGTCGCTCTCCAGGTAGCGAGAAACAACCTTTTGCATCCCGGCATCTCGCCCCGTGATAGAAAGCGAGGCCTCGTGGTATTGTGAAGCAAACTCTTGGTACTGCTGATGCGATAGCTTCTTTCGTCCGACGACCAGGGTACGCAGTCCCTCGCGAGCCATGTTGGCCGTCTCTTCGTCGAGCCAGTCGTTCGCCGCCACGATCGAGCTCATGACGGTATCTGCGCCCTTTTGGTAGAACCAGATTTCTCCGTTGCCAAGGCCGGGGTTGGTCACATGCATGCTGTCGAGAAATTGGACCACGATGCCCATACGCTTGCCTTCGGATGTGAACGGGAAGACATCGAGGATCCGCACTCGGACGACGGGCCTGCCCGTCTCGGTTGACTCCAGCACCATTCCTTTGCGGTCGCGGTATGAGAGCTTCAGGCCCACAGATTCGGTCCATCGAACAATAGCAATCTCATCGGGAGAGGACGCCTGGTATGACGTGACTTCTTTGCCATCTTCGACTTCTGATGTCGGCGTCACGTTGTGGCAGAGCGCCAGAGCAAGCACCACGTCTCGCACGCGAGAGCCAATCTCCCGTCGTGTGCGGGTGGCGCCAATGTTGACGGTGTTGGACATGGCCGAAGAAGGAGTAATGAGGGCGCTATGAGATGTAGGGTCGGTGGTGGGCTGAACGTGGAAAGCCTGCCGGACATACGAACTGACTTCGTCCATGGCTTCGTTGGCATACGAGACGGTGCCCACATGGATCTTCTTCATCTCCATATCATTCTGCGTCAGTGTCCCCGTCTTATCGCTCAATAGATACTCGATCCGACCCAAATCCTCCGGGATGGTGCTTGTGCGCACAACTGCCCCCGGAATACCCGGGTCTCGTTGGATAAACCTTGAATAAGCACTCTTGCCCATATCGAGGTTCACTCGAAGGCTGATTGGCACAATGGTTGAGAACAAGACCAGGAATCGCATGATTTTGATGTACCAGGCGTTGTCGCCACTCTTCTCGAAGCCCTCCAGAGCCACAAGTATGATTGATAGGGCCAGCGTGAGAGCACAGAGGATCTTGGTCAACGAGTTGATCTCGTATTCCAACAGACCGGTTTTTGAGCGGGACGGAGAGGTGGACAGCGCGGATCGGGTCTGCGGGCCGGTGTACAGGATGACCGCAAAGGTGGTCCCCTGGGAGGCAATGACAGTATTGGCCCAAGCGGTATTGTCGATGGACAGCGCCGCTGAAGTGGAATCGCTGCTGCTCTCGCCTTCTGGCCTGGGCTGTTGGCTGGTTGCGGCTTGTCTGGAGGGCATCAACTCGACCGTTCCGACGAACTCGTTGACCTTCTTGTCGGGCTTGCCAGCTGTGATCCGGAGACGGACAAACTCTTCCAGAGCAATGCCCTGGGTCAGCGGCGATGCCAGTCTCAGCTTCCAATCCGTCTCTCCGTCCAGCTGGTCTGTCCTGATGAATGTTTCGCCGGAAGGGCCGCTGTGTGCGTCGTCCTGCGCTACCGGAGCCTCGGGTGCTTTGCCCTTCGCGCTGGAGCTGGACTCTCCCTCCTCAAATGCAAGCAGCGTCTCCTCTTCCTCCTCTTCAGCGGGCTCGTTGATTGATGAGCTGGATGTAATTCCTTCCGTAGAATGACACTGTAGAATCACCACATCGGCGGGCACTCGTTGCCCTTTGGTAAGCTTGAGAACATCACCCACGCGCAGATCCTTTGACTTGCGGCTGATTTCCTGAACAACCGAGGTCGGCTGGTCTTCGTCCTCTTGAATATCGGCAAGGTCATGGCGGCCGGCTTGCACCTTTCGAGGCTTACGCCCGACCGTTTCTGATTTCAGTGGCCGCCGCGGCCTGGAGCTCTTTGTATACATGCCCGGTTCCGTAAACTGTAGTACATGGTATTCTTCCGAGTTTGCTTCGTTATCCCTTCGCCGCCTATCAATGTCGTCGTATGCCTCCTTTCCCATGGTGATGCAAAGAACAAACGCGAGGGGCGCAATATAGGTCGACAGATAACCAATTCGGAGGGCTGGTATTACCTGCGATAGCGCAACAAGCAAGAAGTACATGTTGAAGAAAAATGAGAACTCGTTGTATAGCGTGATGGGAAGGAAAGTGAATGCCGTGTACTTGGCATTGGAGACGATGTTGGTCGGGAACCGAGACGTCTGGGTGGAACCCACGGCGACCATTCGAGAAGACGACGGGTCATCATCCTCTGCCTGCTCCTCCGTTGCTCTGTCGTCGGGCTTCTTGGATGATAGAAAGCGCGGCAGTCGTAGGCCGAAGCCTAGACGCCTGGATGTCGGTGGCCTCGAGCTCTGCGAGCCCTGGCCGCCCAGCAAGGGCGCATCGTCCTCTCCATTTGCACTGTCTTCAGACCAGTGAGGCCTCGAGCTGGGCTCATCATGATCCTCTATCAAGTCGTGTAATTGCTCATCCGAGTCTTGACGATTCCGACCGAGGTCTCCATATCCACTGTCCCTCTTCGCGCGCCGCAGTCCACCCATACGCAAGTTCCTCAGAGCTATTCTCGATGCTCTCTGTTCTTGGGCCGGACGGCTCTGCTGCAGCTCTCGCGCTGGCTCTGTCGAGATGGGGTCGAGCTCCTGAATATCAAGGTCGAGGTCGGAGTCGGAATCGTTGGAGGGAGACTCGGGCTGTTGGTAGGAAGGTGAAGGAGGCATCCCGCATCAAGCTGATACCGGGCCTCGGCAATGGGTTGCGTTACGAGAGAGCTGCCACCGTGGCCGGATGCTCATGCTGCAGTTTGGGCCGAAAAGAGGAAGAAGAGGGTCGCTTGAAGCTGTCGATGGATTATGGCGGTCGACGATCACGGTGCGGCGGGGAGCATTATTCGTCCTGTCAGATAATGCGGGTGCTCGCCCAAGGGGGCTTGTATGCTGGTCGGCGGAGTCTGCAGTCTCAGAGCACCATGTGAGTGGCCATGAGGTCCCTGTGCGGTCAACGCAAGAGATTCTGTCCGGAGGTGCTGATGACGGTTGTTTGTTTGGATGCATCAAGTGCCAAGCAGAAGGGATACGTAAGGCCTCGCGCTAACGCCCCGAGCCAGGGGCCTCCGTCAGAGCCTGGGTGGGGCGCCGACGCAGCGCCACACGTGCGCTAAACGAAGCTCTGCCGGAGACGTTGAAGACTGAACGACTTGACTTGATGTTTGAAGAGGGCATAACCTCACTGTGCATGAATCACGCCCGTCTCAATGCCGTATGTATGCATAGAAAATTCGATTCGGGGGACGCAGCTGCAGCCAAACGACAGCTGCAGAGGCCCGGCCAATGCTCGGATTGGACGGGGTTTATTGCACGAATCAACTTGGCACTAAAGACGACAACTGCGCCTGGTGACATAACATTGAGGATCCCTCTGTCGGGTTGCTACAGGTATCTAGTAGTTGCTCCAGAGGTATTATTGTAAGCTCTGATATGCAGACTCAAAGGACGCCGGTGATTGAATGCCAGAAAAGAAGACTACGGCAACAAGTGCGTACGGTGTACGTGGCATTTCTTTGGTTAATGGCCAACGCATTCTCGGTCCATGCCGCTGCTGCTTGTCCCCGCCAAAGCACCTGCGGCTACATAGCGTCCTACACCACCTTGAGACGAGTGCATCTGCCTGCATACAAACTCGCTGCCACAGAACGAGGTACACCAGAGGTAGCAATGCGGTATCATGCAGGCGGCTTCTGATGGCAGCACCGACTGGACAGAGCCGTCACATGTCTGTCGACATGCCGTCAAGACCTTCCTATGAGAGCTACCTTGCCTATCCATCACATCTCAGGCTACTGCGGGGATCGCTCCCGTGGCACAGGGATCTTTTATAGTGACTGCAGGCGAGCAGCAGCCCAGGAATCGCGGCGATTTGCAAGCGCTGACCCGGAGAGAGCCGGACTTACAGGTCTACGACAAGCCTGAGCAGATGCACGCACGGTCCGGCTGAAGTCTGAACCCCGGGCTCTTCCACAAAGGCGCCGATTCAGCCAGGATCCGGGTCATAGCGAGGATACCAGTTGGCACCGTGGGGTGAGCGGCGGCTGTGAAACCTGGCCTCAGCAGGTAGGTAGCCCGATATGCTCGACGATATCAGAAACGTCCATGTGGGTGAGACGGCTTTGCAGACGTTGTCAGACCGAGGGGCCCTGCGCAGAGATTGCTGGTCGCGGCATTCGCCACTGGGCGTCTTGCTGCAGCGATAGCAATGACAGCAGAAACAGTCTGCCGAGACAGCCAAAGGCGACAACGAGATGATGGCTTTCACGACACATGACTGTGTGATGGCTTCATTCGCGTACAACAAGACATTCCTGGCGGCGCTCACGAGGTGGGATGTTGCGCCGGCTAAGCCTCGGGAGCCCTCCAGGTCGGGGCCTGTCGCGACGGAATGCGACATTGGCAATACTCCGGCCTGCGTGCCTCGTAGACCACTGAAAGGAACACATTGCAGCTCGGCCCAGGTAGCGAGCAGGTACTGCAGGGTTCCTTCCAGCTGTTAGGCGGCGGGCGACTTATCCACGCCTCCGCTAGCGCAAAGGTACCAAGACGCCCGTGCTCGTTCGCTTCTTCTCCTGTGCCTCCAACTTGAGTATTACCGAGTACGTGCCAACTGGCCCTTCAGCTTGTGTGTCTTCATCTGATATCCGCTCCGCGGGTTTGTGCAGCTCTTGCTACCGAACATGATCTCCGTCTAAGCCATCTATCATCGCTTCCCTTTCGAGTCTCTTCTGTAACAGGTAGGTGTCTACTCATGCTTCTGCTGGCGGCTGCTTTTGCTCTTGCGCGCGGCTTCGTGGATTCCAACACCCGGACTTGCCTGCGTCGTCCTCCATCGTCTTCTGCCCGAGTAACTAACAATCCCTGGCCAGTATAGAAGCACAAGTTCCGCGCCTTGCTCGCGAGGAGCTGTTCTCTTTCGGCCTCCCATTGACCATGGCCAACGAGGCGATCACCTCATCATGGAATCCGGCACTGATGCCAAACAGTATACATGATGCCGAAGCAGCCCACGACGACCAAGCAGAGCCCTTGACCGGGACCCCGGCTCATGGCCTGGAACACGACGAAGAGCCGACGGCATGGAATCTGCATGAGGATGGGCGGGATGCGGAGGAACAGTCCTCATTTCCTGGTGGCGACGTTGAGACCGCTGCGGAGGGCGATGCTGGGCTAGCTTCGGAGGTGCCCGCGCCCCATCACGAAGCTGCAGAGACCTCTACGGAACCTCCAGCGCCCGCGGCAGGAGGAGCAGATGATACGGCTGCCACGACCGCCCGTACCACACAGCATTCGAGCTCCATGTCCTTCACGCGGACGGTTTCTGACGAAGTCAGCTTCAGCGACAACGACGAGACCGAGTGGGGTCTTTCAAGGACGGACACGGATCCCTTCAAGTTCATGTCCCCGTCCGATAGAACAAATTCTTTCCCTGTCGTCCCGTTGATGTCAGAAGAACCGGAGCGCATCGATGATGTGCACCTGCCGTCGTCCCAGGCACTCGATGTACTTGAGGAAACGGAGAGGGATGGCCATGTGGAAGAGGAAGAGTATCAAGCTGATGAGCACCCTGAGCCCAGCTCAGAAGTGGCATCTGAGCCTTCGAAAGTTTCGAAGCGCGGTCATGCGCCGTCGAGGTCTATTGGCGGTGACGTGCAATGGTCTGAGGATGCCGAATCTCAGGCGCGATTTGAAGAAGGTGTACCGCTGATACCTCACTCACACGCGGATTCTGATACTCCAGCCGGTGGCGACAAAGCTCACGTCGTCTCTTTTGACGATGACAACGAAGACGACGACTTCTTTAACCAGGTCAGCCACAATGCCCAGGACGACACCAGCCAAGGCGGACAAGCCCAGCCGCTACAGCGCAAGTCGACAATGCAGGTCTTGGCATCTGCCAACCAAGAGCCTACTTCTCACCAGCCAACGCTCTTTGAGTCGCCTGAACAGGACGAAGAGGGACTTCTTTCGCCGCATGCCAATCCGATTGAGAAGCCTGACCCCCTAGACGGTCATGACAAGCCGAACGGAACGGAAGCTGCTTCAAGCCAGGATCTTTCATCGAAATGGGAGGAAGCGTTCGCCAGCGACGACGACGACGGCGAAGGCTTCCTGATTGAAGATGCGACAGCAGGGGACAAAGAGGTTGAGGTTGATGCTGCTGCGTTCTTGGGTAGTGACGATGAAGGACTGCTGGATGATCTCGAAGAAGAGGCGCCGCCAACCCAGCCCGCGCCGCTGAGCTCTCAAGCGAGCAGTGTGACATCGACATCTGCCTATGCGCCGACTTCTTACGTACCAACTCAGCAACGTTCGGCTTCTGCGTCTGCATACACGCCCGTTACGACGCCGTCACAGCCCTCGTTTTACGGAGCTTCCACTCAGGGCCCGTCTCTCCCATCGACAACCCCATACGGCCAAGTACCTCCTCCCCAACAGCCTTCAGACTCGCCCAAAGCCCAAAGCTTTGTAGACAAGTCCAAGGGGGGCTATTCGGCGGCCTTTGACCTCCCACCCGACTTGGTTACAACCACGGTGAAGCCTCGAAAACGAGCTAGTATGCAGCAACTGCCACTGGATAATTCCTCCCCTTCCCTTCAACCTCCCCCTCCACCACGGAGTGCCAGCATGCATGCCAGCATTGGTACGACTGAGGCAACACCACCAGGCGGCATTCAGAAATCCCCTCTCTTGCGCCACAAGTCAAGCTTCTTTGAGGACTTGCCAGTTGCGCCTCGGTCACGTTCGATCTCGAGACAAAGCGCCAGGGCCGTCTCTCCCAATCCATATGCACTTGCAACCTCCCCTCATGGGCCGTCTCCCCTGAGCCCTCCCATGGCAACCCAAATTCCGCCTGCCGCTACGGCTCCGGCCGCGAAGGTAAATCTGGTGGCCCCTGAGCGCGTCAGCCCTTATGCGCCTCTTCAATCGCCAAATGCTCCCCTGCCTTCACCAGCTGCCAACGTATCCAGATACTCCCCGGCTCCCCCTCCTCCCCAAGGTGCTGGTAGCCAGAGTGCACCGCCACCGGCCGGCCGGTATTCACCAGCACCCGCCGCCTCCCACTCGACAAATGCGTACAGTCCGGCCGTTGCAGTAACGCCAACTCAAACAGTCTTGCCTCATCTTCCGCGAACCTCTAGTCCGCTGGCCCATTTTGAGATTAGCAGCGACAAACCACACGGTGTCAATGGAGAAGCAGTTCATACTGAGCGACGAGCTAGCGCCTCGTACGAACCAAGACTGACCCGTGTTTCTTCTCTTCCCCCCACCCGCGAGGTTGAAGAGGAGGAAGATCAGTCTTCCAGTGCTCAGCGACTGAATACCGCACGCTCCCCTCCGCCTCCAGCCCTGCCTACCCTTTCCGCTCAGGCTACCTTATCGCCCCCTAAACGGCCAGGTTCTGGTTACATACCCAGCAGTCTCCCCTCAGCTCAGCCAGGCTTTGTCCCACCTCCACGAGCTCAGACGCAATCCCCTGGAGCTACCCGAGGAAGTCAATATGCCCCGAAGCCTTTGGAGCCCGCACGCCGGCCTTCTTCGTCGCATACACCCGTTCCCCCCCCCGCTGCTAAGGCTACATATGCCCCTACCACTCACTCTCGACCTCAATCCCTGGCGATGAACATGATCGCCCCGACCGATGGACGAGAGCACGACCCTCTCCAGAGATGGCAAGGTGTCCCCATCATCTCTTGGGGAGTTGGCGGCGTAGTAGTCACCTCCTTTCCCAAGAGCATTCCGAGATACGTCATGAACCAAACGACTCCTTCCATACTGCGAGCCCCCGGAGAAGTCAAGGTGCAAAACGTCAAGGACATTGAGACCCTGCCAGACCGTCTGGCCAAGTTCCCGGGTCCGCTAAAGGGCAAATCGAAGAAGAAAGAGGTGCTTACCTGGCTCAGTGCTGGCATTGAAAGCCTAGCGAAAGAACTACCCGACGTGACATTCCACCCGCAGCTTTCGCACGAAGCGAAACGGACGATTGAGCGTCTTCTGCTGTGGAAGATCCTTCGGGTCTTTGTCGAATATGATGGCGTGCTAGAAGGCAATCCTGCAGCGGAGAAGGCGGTGCGAGATGTTCTCTCCCCAGGGACCGTCACCCCAACTGCGGAGAACGATGCTCTGTTCCCGGTGGACCCAACCGTTGGCATCACTGGCGCTGCGGTGACCTCGATGCAGGCCGATGGAGCCGATGCCGCGACCATGGAACAGATTCGCCGTCATCTTCTCAAGGGTGACCGCGAAAATGCCGTCTGGACGGCGGTCGACAAGCGTCTGTGGGGACACGCCATGCTCATTTCCCACACAGTCTCACCCGACTTGTATAAGCGTGTCGCGCAAGAGTTTGTTCGCAAGGAGGTCAACCATCCTGGTCAGAACAACGAGTCTCTTGCCGCTCTGTACAAGGTCCTGTCTGGCAACTATGACGACTGTGTCGATGAGCTTGTTCCGGTGCATGCCCGTGCTGGCATGCAGCTGGTCTCGACTGGGTCGTCTCTTGAGCCTGCCAAGGACGCCATGGAAGGGCTGGATAAGTGGAGGGAGACGCTGACGCTTGTTTTGAGCAACAGAAGTGCTGATGACATTCGTGGCCTCAACGCCCTGGGCAAGTTGCTATCCAGCTACGGAAGGGCCGAAGCCGCCCACATCTGCTTCATGTTCAGCAGACAAATCTCCGTGTTTGGCGGCCTCGACGATCCCAATGTTGATTTTGTCTTGCTGGGATCAGACCATCGACAGAACTTGCACCAGATTGCAAAAGACACGGAGGCTTTGCAGCTCAGCGAGGTGTACGAGTACGGTCTTACGCTCTCGGGCATCCCCTCGGCGGCCGCCGGCGCCCCTCACCTCGCAGCCTACAAGCTTCACCATGCAATCACATTGGCCGAATATGGCTACCGGGACAGAGCTTTGCAATACTGCGACGCCATTCTCTCAGCGATATCCGCCCAGACAAAGAGGTCGCCCTATCATCATCCACTGCTGGAGGCGGCTGTCGACGACTTTATGGTCCGCTTGAAACAGGCACCGAAGGAGGAGTCATCCTCGTGGATGTCCAAGCCCAGCATGAACAAGGTGTCGGACAGCATGTGGAACAGATTCAACAAGTTCGTTGCCGGAGAGGAATCCGAGAACGCCACTGCAACGCCAACCGAGGAGACTGGCCCATTTGCCCGCATCGGAACCCCGTCCATGAGCCGCTCTCCCTCTGTTTCCAACTTCGACACCTTGGGCATCAGCTCGCCGAGCTACCCAGGGGCTGGTGCCCCCGCTGCAACATCCGCGCTCTCGTCAGCGCTGTCGCGATATGCTCCTGTTAATTCGCAGCCTGCGTATGGTACAGAGTCGCCACAGGTGTCAAATTTCTCTCATGCTGGGCGAAGCTCGAACGAATACACGCCTGGCACATACGGAGCTTCCTTCTCTATGGCTGGCTCGCCGCCTGCTCACGGTAACGGATTCGCATCCTCCGGCCTCAGCTTCCAGCCAATGACCCCTATCCTTAAAAATGAAGGGAGTGCTTCTTACGGCGGATATCAGCCCTACGGGACCCAGGAATCAGCTTCGTCGCTGCCCGCCCCTAGAGAGTCCACCACGGGCTCCTCCACGCAAGGATATCAGCCACTGTCCTATGGATACGAACCTCCAGCAACCAGTGCCGATGCGCCGGAGTCTGGAGAGGCAAATGAGGGCGTGGCTGGGGCTTCTTCAGGCGGTGGCTACGAACCTCCATCCTACCAGCCTTACGGATATGAGCCACCTTCATACGAACCTGATGCTGAGCCATCTGCCGAGGCCGACGATGACGAGCCCAAGCCCAGAAAGAAGAGCTTCATGGATGACGACGACGACGACTTCCCCACCACGCAGGCCAAAGAGAAGTCCAAGGCAGAAAAGGATCGTGAGAACCAGGAGTTGTTCCGTAAGGCAGCCGAAGAAGATGGTAAGTTTCTCTTGCATTCCGTGCCTCCATTTTGGGAAATACACGTGCTAATCTTCAATAGCTAAACGAGCTGCCGAAGCTGCGCAAGCCAAGAAGGGCTGGGGCTTTACTAGCTGGTTCAGCGGCAGCAAGAAAGAAGCTGCGAGCCCCGGCGAGGCCTCGTCTCCTGGCAAACCCATCAAGGCCAAGCTCGGCGAGGCGAGTAGTTTCGTCTACGATCCTGAGCTCAAGCGATGGGTGAACAAGAAGCCCGGAGCCGAGCAGGTGGAAGCAAAGGCGGCCACTCCTCCGCCGCCCAAGGCCAGTCCACGATCCGTCAGCGGGACGCCTCCGCTCAGGCAGTTCACGCCGCCTCCCGCAGCGGGCCGATCCAGCCTCCCACCGTCTGCTTCAAGCTTTGGAACTCTTGCTCCGCCACCGGTGCTCAACAGAGCCACGTCGCAGGAGAGCCTCAGCGCGCCGCCGATGCTGCGGTCCATGTCTGGCGCGAGCACCGACAGCAAGCCCTCCAGCAGACCTACCACGAGCATGAGCAACGCGAGTAGCATCGACGACCTGCTCAGCGCTGGACCCCGTAAGCCTGGGCAAAAGAAGGCTCGGAAGGCTGGGCGTTATGTCGACGTCATGGCAAAATGAAAGCAACAGCTCACTTTATAGAATGTTTGGCGTTTCTTCTTTTTCCTGTTTTTTTCCCTTTCTTTTTCTATATGTGTCCTCGTCCCCCCTTTTTTGCATGGAGATCATCTGATTGTTTTCTTATAAAGAGCCGATGGCAGTATTGTATTATAGGACGGATGGCGATGGTACTGTAGTAGCTACCTGGCTGGGGCCCCTGTGTGTTTTTTCCTCTCTCTCTCTCTTTGACGAAGCTTTGGAATACGGGGGTGGAATGATGGAACGAGCGGATGACTGATGCAGATACACATGACCAGGCACACAATAACAACTTGGATATCTTGAATGAGACTTAACAATAAAAGAAAAGAGCATTTGGTTCTCCCTATTTTCCCCACTCCTTTAAACGCCGTTTGGCTCCCATAGTCTACATCTCGCGTAGCGTTGTCGGTACTTGCCTGGCTGGTGATCTCATGCACTGTACGCTTGTACATGATACTATGGCCGGGTGAGCTGATATTCGAACATGAAGCAGCAAGGCAGAGAGAGAGGTTTGGAACTTACCGTGAGGACTGCATCATCGCCGCCGGCGTCATCGTAATGTGGTATATACACATACAGCACCAGTGAATGGTTATGGCAGAAGCACGCAATGACCCTCCCCTCAAGCCGACCAGCACTGAGGACCCTGCTCCAGTCTTTGCCATCGACGTAGACCGAAGCCCAGGCGTCGGGTCCACGATCGCGGAACTTGGTACTAGGGTGCTCCTCGATGGGGACCCTGAGCTGGGCGGGGTCGAGCTCCGGGTTGTCGAGATCAGTCCAGGCGCTGGAGATGTCGGCGGTCTCGGTGGTGATGCGGACGCGCAGGCCGCCGTGCATGCTGGCGCTGATCTCGAGACGGGGGGACTTGCTGGTGCTGGTGCCGGAGGCGAGGGCGAGCCTGGTGAAGCGGTCCGAGATGGACTTGAGCTGGAGGAGGGGCGGGAGCTGGATGTGGACGTCGGGCTCCTGCAGGACGGGCTGGACGGTGGAGGCGACGGTGTCCGGGTGCAGGACGCGGATGGGGATGTCCTGGGTGATGATCTTCTCGTGCTCCCTGCGCAGGGACGTCTCGAGGTGGGTGGCGTCGTCGTCGACGCCAAAGGGGTCGTCGTGGGAGGGCCGCGGGGGCGCGTGGGCGTTTGCGTGGGAGGGCCGGGAGGTGGTGGTTGTGATGGTCATGGACAGGACGGGGACGCCCTTCTTCTTGGTGAGGCGCAGGGAGGCGGAGATGCTGTTCTGGGCGGACTTGAGGGCGCGGTGGAGGGGCTGGAGAGAGAGCTCGAGGTTGATGGTGTTGCCTGGCTCGGCGGACTGGATGGTGGTGTTTTCGAAGAGGAAGTCCATTGGGAGTGTTCTGTGTTGGGGGCGAGAGTGAGAATGAGATGGCGAGATACTCAGTCACGGGTATGATGATGATGATGAGGAGGCAACAAAAGGAAGAGGAGACTGAGATGTGCCTTACGACCAGATTTGCGACCCTGTGTCTGGGACAACGGTAAAGTGCGCCGTTTCATCGCTTAGACGCAGCCATACCAGCTTCTCCAGGGAGGAGAATGCGGCAGTGAGCTCTGGTGAGGATGAGGCTTGGTTAGCCATCACGTCCTAGTATGACGATACAGATACGGTGTAGCAGCGGAGTAAAAAGGCTGCGTTTCATGTGAAAGGTGATGCGGTAGAGCTTACTGGCAAAAGTGCGAATGTTTTTCAAGTCGCTGTGGAATCTCATCGTGGTTTTGATGTTGGTGGCCGTGGCTCGTGAAGACGCACAGGTTCACGGTTGATGGTGGTTCGAAGTGAGTGTCAGAGGTCCAGTTGGTTAGCGGGCGGAATGGGTTCCGTACAGTACAGTGTATAGCTGGAGGCCCTAGCAAAACAGCCACTGGAGGTGCACAGAGCACGGCAACAGCGAGATGATTTTAGCAGATGACTGGTTCTATTGCTCAATTCAACAAACATTTATATGAAGAAGAATGACTATGGGGTATTTGAATCCTACTTCTGCATTGATGCGTACATATTGGTGTGTGCCGCGACTGGATGTGATCCTCCTTGTAATTACATACTACTATACCTATAGTAGTAGTAGGCAGACAAGCCATTCTGCTTCATACCTTATCCATGGCTTCGATGTGTAAAATGTCGTCTGGTTGATCCGGTTTAGTATTAATCGATGACGAGCACCTCTCCATACAAGGCAAGTGCCTCGCTAATTATACCAGTGCCAAGGAGGAGGTTGATTGGTGTTAGTCGTTCAATAAGAGCAACCCTGGAAGTAAAACCAAGTCGAACCTGCCCGTACGAGCCTCAGCAGTAAATATTACAACCAGAGGAAGCCGCAACTGTGAAAGAAAGCACAGAATCATCCTTCTGTGTTGTCCAAGGCAACAGCTCAACTAAGAGTGGCTACCTGCTTAATTACATCTTCAAAAGGCACAGAACGCTGCCTCTCCAAGCACACTCGTCAGTAAAGCATCCGTACAACATCAACCACAGATATATCAAAGCCTTCATTCCAGAATCATTCATCATTTCATCTACTACGTCTCACACATCGCCTCTCCTTTGCCTTCTCCGTCGCCAACTTCGCTATGGGCGCTGTCACGCAGTCGTTTGTTCCAGCCAGCACCGCAGAAAGGCAGCCATGGAGATCCAACTCCTCAAGGCAGCCGTCAAGGAGACCATCAAGGAGACCATTACGGAGATTATCACGGCAGCACGACGACATCAGTCCGCGTGGCTGGGCAGGAAGCGGGATCGAAAAGGACAAGGCTATGAGAGCAGCAGCAGCATCACAATCACGCACACCATCACGCAGACTACCTCGCAAGCCACTACCCCGGAATTACCCCCTCTGATCAGCTACGTCCACCCTTTCGCAAGGCGTGACCGTGCATGGAGCCCGTCCCTCCTCACGATTGACTCCGAGATAGAGTTCAGCCCTGAGGGATCTCCCCCTGGTGCGGCTCTTGGAATCCCTCCTGAGCACATCCTTGACGAAGACCCATCGCCGATAGATGGGCCTATCCCTCTGAACCTTGCCAAAGCTGCTGCCCCTGCTACCATTTGGGGAGCGGACAACTACATGGTGCATAAATTGAGTTCCTTTGATGGAGCTTCGTCAATTGTGTCTTTCGCCAGCCACTTGGGAGGAATCGGTGAGGGTGACGAATCTCCAAATAATGGGTCACGGAGGCCTTCATCGACGACACTTGGAGCATTTGGAGTTCGCATGGTGGCGCAAAACGAGCAAGGAGAGACAATTGAAGATGCCACTATGTCTCTCCCGGAGCAACAAAGCTCTCTTTCAGACGATGTGCTCTTCTTCTCGCTCCCTAATCGAGCTCAAGATCTTCCAGCGGCGGCGTCATCATTTCCATCAGCGCAAAACCTATCAACTTCCCGCCTGTACAGGGGCAAAAGGAAGACCGACCTGGACTCATCCCCTTGCAGTCTATGTGGAATGAGTGATACGTACCAGAAACCGCACCCAAACCGAAACCGATTCCTTCAGGAGCGCAGGGCCTATCTCCCCTGTGGACACTTCTTTGGGCATCGCTGTCTGTATAGCTGGATATATTCCGCGTTCGGCAATCGCCAACCCCTTAGATGTCCTCGCGGGTGCATCTCTCTCCTTCACAAGTGCGGCCACCCTACCATGCCCGTTTGGCAGCGGCCGGCACGACTGCACTGTGACCCTGCTACTGCAATCCCGTGGAACTATGAGTTCTGCGAGAGTAAACAAGGCAAGATGTGCATCCGGATCGTTTCCAGATATATGAAGGCTGAAAGGGCAACGGCACCAAGGTCGATATCACCGGAAGGCCAAGAGAAGGGAAAACGAGGCTTGAGAAAGAGACTGCATGACACGGTGATTTTCCCGGTTTCTGCGAGGATGCACCTGGCAATGAAGCAGCGAAGACAGCATGCTATGAGGTACTGGAGGAGGAGGCAAGTAAGCTGGTGGCTCGACAGATGGACGGAAGCCTTGGGTTTTGATCGACAAGGGATGCCCTTCTAGTGAAAGCAAGCGATTCATCACGGCACACTGCCATTCGTTACCGTCGGGACCACTCACATCTTCTGTTTTCCATCTTGTCTCTGATGATCTTTACAACCACATTCTCAGGCATACAGCGTTCGGCCAGGACCACCAAGAGACGGGCACTAGGGACAGCCAGCGTGTTTAAAGAGCGGGAGTTTTGTTTGCAAATGCTTTCGCCTGTCGGCACTCAGCGTTTTCACAACTTCACTCCTCGCCGTCAGTAGATAGGCACTCTATTTGTCTATAGCATGTAATAAGAAGCATAAAATACAATGTCATAGTCCATCTTCATGGATTGACTTAGCTTGACGCTGAGGTGATCTCTAAGTATGTTAGGTGATGAAGGGGGCTGTCCTTATCCTGATTCTGATATTGAAGCATTGACCGGTACGAGGTCGTTTTGGACGAGTAGCGATACTTCGATGCGTACGTGCAGGCAACTACAGGTGTAGGTGGGCACACAAGGCAGCTTAACTTGGTACTCGGCGATGCCTCTGCAGTCGTTGAAGCCCGCCCGCAAGTTCGGAAACGCCAGTAGAGCTGAATATGATACAAGAATGTGCTTCCTCTCTCTTTGTCTTTCACATCTTTTTTGTCTATTTTCCCAGTGGGTCTCAACCGGAATCTGAATCGCTGCTGCTGTCGTCTATGAACCCTTCCTCTAGCCTTGGTACAGTGTCAGCCCCCGGCATACATCACAGAGCAATATTGTGCACATTCAGCCTCACACAACAAAACAAGCATCTCTCAGGCCAAAAACAAGCAGGAGAGACTTACTCCCGACTGAGCCGCCTCGTGTTATCCGGCCGCCGGGACCGGGCGATGGCCTCGAGCACCTGGCGGATGTCGTCGTCAATGTCCTCGAGCTCCTCGCCCTCCTCGAGATCGCGGTCCGTGAGCCCGCCGGCGGCGCCCGAGGCGACCTGTTGCCTGTCGCGGCGCCATGTGAAGGGGAGGCTGGCGATGCGCAGGAGGCGGCCGGTGATGCGGTAGCGCAGGGAGGTTGTGTGCTCGGAGATTGCGTCGATGGGGAGGTACTGGCTGTAGCGGCTGCGGTAGCGGCGCCAGACGGGGACGACGACGAAGGTGAGGACGAGGAAGAGGATGAGGGAGATGACGGCGGGGATGACGAGTGTCTTTTATTTTGTTTAAAGGGTTTTTGCGTGTCAGTTTATGGGCGGGATTGTTATGCGCTGTTGTTTCTTCCATTGTTCCTTTATTTTTTTCTTTCGAGGTTTGGTTTCTTGTCGAGGGGGCGCACATACTTTGATGCCGGACAGTGTATCGCCCATCTTTGCTTTTTTATGTGGTGTTGTGTTCTTATGATTGTTTCGTCTCTATCGTTTCAATTTTCGGCGTCGTCTTCGGCGGTCGTCGAGGTGGTGATGCATGCGATTTAGCGTTGCCGGCCGCAGGATTCTGGCGTGCTCGTTCGTCGATGCGATACTGGCGATTTGGGGGATATGGCGGATCCCTTCTAGGTAGCCATGGAAGCAGAAGCAGAAGCAGAAAGCAGACAGAGAAAGATTGCGCTTATGCTTTGTTGTGTTCCCTTGCGCGACGAGGACCCTTTGACAAACCGGCAGCAGCAAATAGGGTCCTTGTTCGGTGAAGAAGAATGTCGATGACAGCTGAGCTCGACATGTGGAAAATGGAAGACTACTACGAGGACTTATTCCCGTCACAGCCACACAACGTGAAAAGCACCTGGCACAACCCGGCACCACTGCAGGCTACATCATGTACGTACCCCGGAGGCGCTAGAGAGCCTGAACCTGAACCTGGACGGTTGCGATAATGGTAGAACAGAGAACAAAGTTGCAGGGACGGGCCACCGCTGCGAAGGGGGGCTAGGCGGTTTAGGGAATGGCGATTCTGGGTTTTGGATTTGAGTGATGAGGCTGGCGGGATTGCGTTGGATTTTGGAGGCGTTCAGTTGATGCTGGTTGGCGGTGCTGGTGAAAGGGACGGGACGAAGGGCATGATGGATGTCGTATGTAAGTTGGGATGCTGGATTACGTAAGTGAGTATCTATGGTTTGATCTTGAAGTTCCACCTGAGCTGCTGGCATCAATACAATAGACTCCCATGTCTGTACGGAGATGAAGACCAATATCGGACAATAGAGGCAACTTGGGCTTATCCCGTCCAACGGGCTCGGCCTTTGGAAGCTTCTAGGGACGGCTTCCAGATGTCGCAGGGACCAAGGTGCCTCTCCTCCGCTGCCATAACGAGGATTTTTTCACTGCATTGTTCTCGAGGCCGTTGCAGGCTGTGTGATTGGGCTGTATGTATCAATATTGTCTGACGGAAGTCAGTACCAGGTACCTTCACCTGTTCCATGGACGTGGCATCGCGTGCAACTTGAAACCATCGGCATTCACCACGTGAGGCGTTTCGGTACGTAGAGGTGGTCAGGATAGTACGGGGGGTCTGGCGGGAGCCATGATCAATGCGCTACATTGCTAGAACGAGCAGATGCTACTTTGATATCGTTGAGTGAGTAACCTCGGCTGTTCCAGGAGGCATCGCAATGCGACGTACCTAGGTAGGCAATCGGGGCCATTGCATCAAGTAAATACACGAAAGTCAAGCTGATGCGAGGCCGTATCAAGAGGACATGGAAAGCCACGCGCAAGGAGATGCCTCCCAGGCTCTGTCGTCAACACGAGCGAAGCGAAAAAGAGTCCAATGCAAAACAGACCGAAGACGAGGGAAACCAGACCCAAAAATAAAAAGAGAACCCTGCCATCACCACCACAAATGCCATCATTTCCCTGTCTCATTTCCCGCCTGTCGTCGATTGTGGAGCGTTCTTCGATTGCCCGTCTGCCAGTGATCCACATGCACGCAAGACCCAATTAGGCCCGTCGAGGCTGGTTTAGGGGCCACGGTCACCTGAAGCCAGCGCCTGTCCGGCACCCAATGGGCGGCTCCAGGGCCTCTAGTGGCCTCGAGGCCCGCCTGTGCGCGCTGGCTCAGTCCCGCTGCTAGCGCTGCGGCGGCGAGGGGAAGGGCCTGGAGCTACTGGGAGGCGTACCGGTACATGTGCAGACCAGCTCCAGCGCTTTGCCACCAGCGCGATTGAGCCCGACGGCGGCAGACGCTGCTGGCATTTGCTGGTACAGGTACTGTAGCAGGTTCCCGGTGGTACGTTCAATCTCATCAGGGGTTCATGTGCCGGTACATGTACTTAGTACTTACCTTCAGTCCGGTGCACACTCAATCGTTGCTCCAAGTCATTCGCTCGTCCTCCTCTCGACCAGCAACCCAGAGCGGCGACCCAATTACGAGCACCAACCCGGACAGAACGAGCAGAGCTGGAGTCGCCGCCGTCGATGGAATCATCGCTGCCACCACAGTCTTACCTGCCGCCGCCAAACATGAACTGAGGTTGTATCGCCCGCCGGCGTGAAAACTCGAATCCCACCCACCCCTGCGCTCCTCAAGTGCGTGTGCGTGCGTCCATCCTCCTCCAAAGCCCCCGCCCCCTATCACTAACCACTTTCTCGAGCCCTTCAGCGGCCCCGTCTTCTGTATCGCGGCCTCAGCCTTGCTCCAGCAGCCGTTATTAGCACTCGCGCCACTGCCGTTCAGCCTCGGTCATCCCTCCAGCGCTGTCGAGAAAAACCGCCATCGTCGAACCGGCAATCGCGACCTCGAAGCCGCGAGAGACGTGGAAAGGAGGAGGAAACGGCCGGAAAGAGAAATCCAACGACGGAAACAAATAAGAAAGAGATACGATCCAAGAGAGAAGAAAAGGAAGACAAGTCAATAATCGCCAGAGAACCCCCCTCTCTTTCTCTCTCTTTCCCCCCCTCTCCCCCCCACTGCAGGCGGCCCAGCCCTGTCCTTGGCTAGCAAATTAGGCCTCCATCATGCGAGCGGTCCAGGGCTCGCACTCCGCTGCCGTTACGTGTTTCGCCTACCCACTTCTCTCCACGATCAATTATCATGTCGTCCGCTGCCGATAAGTCAAGGCAGTCTTCTGGCGGCAGATCCCTCTTCTCCAGAGGCAAGCACCGCGCCGACAAGCGCTATACCGACCTTGATCCCAAGAGCTCGTCAGATCAGTTCGAAACGGCGTCCATAATCTCTTCGCGCTCCGCGCGCCACAAGCGGGAGTCGTCGTCGATTTCGATCGACCAACCCAGTTCTCCTGATGCTGGCGTAAACCAGTTGGCGGGTGTCATCACGTCCATCCCCTACGACGTCCCGCCAGGCGCCCCCGCCTCGACCGAGTTCATGTCTAGGCCCGACCAGGCGCCCCCGCGCCGCGAGCCCGTCCCTCACCAGCTCAACATCAGCGGCGTCGACTTCCACCAGTATCCGTCCATCGGCGACTCGGCCGCCATGTCCGCACACTCCCACTCGCCCGCCCGGCCCGGCACCGCTTCCAACATGCCCAACAACATCACCATGGCCACCACCGGCAAGCAGGCCCAGTACCAGCAATGGGGGCCCGGGCCGAGCCTCGGCCCTGCTGGGCTTGTCCCCGGCTCGTCTCGTGTGAGCACCGCCAGCACCATCACCAACGGCAACGGCTCGTATCCCGTGCGCTACGACTCCTACCAAAACCCGTACAACAACGGGCGCTCCTCCGGCGAGAGCTTCAACAGCCCCTACAGCTCCGGTGGTCAGGGCTTTCTGAACCCGGCGTCCGCCCGCTCCTCGCACGTCACGCTTGCGCCCTCGCCGCCCTCGAGCTCGCACCATTCCATCCACTCCCTCCATCCGCCTCACTCGCCCCGCGAGTCTCATCATCGGCTGACCAAGATGAGCGCCTACGGCGCAACCTCCCACGATGGCTTCTACTTCCCCAAGCCCGATGACAACTATGTGGTCGAGCAGATGTTCATGCAGCTCATGCAGAAGCGAGGATGGCACAACCTTCCCGAGCAGGCCAGGAGACAGATGACGGCGTACCCTGCCGAGAAGAAGTGGACGCTGCTACATCAGGACCGCTTGACGGAATGGCAAGGAGAGCAGAAACGGAAGCAGACCGCCAGGGCCAACCAGTACGCCACGCCCGACGTCACCACTTATTCCGACGAAGAGGGCACTCCCGAGTGGTATGTCAGGAGGGTCATGGAGGACAAGCTCGACGCCAAGGGGATGGGGTCTCTGGAGGTCAACCTGAGAACGCAGCAGATTGGCTGGGTCAAACGATTTGTCGAATGTCAAGGCCAAGTGGCCTTGGTTACCTTGCTACTCAAGATCAATAGGAAGAATGCCAACGGCGGGCCGGCGTCGTCGACGACAGCCGTCGACACTCGAACCGAGAAGAACCTGGATCGCGAATACGACATCGTCAAGTGTCTCAAGGCCTTGATGAACAACAAATTCGGCGCCGACGATGCCCTGATGCAGTCAAAGGTCCTGCTGGCCTTGGCTACCTGCCTGATATCCTCTCGACTTACGACCCGGAAGCTCGTCAGCGAAATCCTCACCTTCCTCTGCACCTGGGGGAGCCATGGCGAGGGACACTTGAAAGTCATCCAGGCTCTGGACGAAGTCAAGACGCAGTCGGGCGAGAATGGGAGATTCGACGCCTGGATGCGGCTGGTGGAGGTTACCGTGGACGGACGAGGCAAGATGGGCAGTCTCGTGGGTGCGAGCGATGAGCTTCGAACAGGAGGTATTGGCATGGAGAACTTGCTGATGGAATATGCGGTGGCCACCCTGATACTCGTCAACATGATCATCGACGCGCCGGAGAAGGATCTCCAGATGAGGGTTCACATCAGGGCCCAGTTCCACGCGTGTGGCATCAAGAGAATCCTGACCAAGATGGAGGGGTTCCAGTACGAGCTGCTGGACAAGCAGATTGATCGGTTCCGCACCAACGAGGCCATTGATTATGAGGATATGCTCGAGCGGGAGAACAGCAGTGTAAAGGACAACATCGAGGGAGACCCCAAGGACTTGACCGACCCGATCCAGATCGCAGATACGATCCAGCAGCAGCTGCACGGAACCAAGACACACGACTACTTTGTGTCTGCTCTCCAGCATCTTCTGCTCATCCGCGCCAGTGATGGCGAGGAGCGCCTGCGCATGTTCCAGCTCGTCGACTCGATGCTCAGCTATGTCGCCATGGACCGCCGATTACCCAACATGGATCTCAAGCAGAGTCTCAACTTTACGGTTCAGAGTCTGCTGGACAAGCTGCATACCGATTCCGAAGCCCGGCAGGCACTCGATGAGGCGTTGGAGTCCCGTCAGATCGCCGAGGCCGCCATGGCCGAGCGAGACGAGATGAAGGCCAAGTTGGAGCTCGGCGCTGATGGACTAGTAGCCAAGCTGCAGAAGCAGCTAGACGAACAGTCTCGGTTTATCGAGGCTCAGAGACGCCAGGCTGATGGTCTCAAGGTCGAGCTGAATAATCTTCAAAGCGTCCGAGCCAAGGAAGCGCAGCGTTATGAGCTTGAAACAAGAGAGCTGTACCTTATGCTGCGGGACGCCCAGGACATTGCGGCATCCAACGCTGTTAAGGCCAGCAGTGGCAAGCCCGGCAAAGACAACACGGCACAGATGCAAGGCATTCTCGACCGCGAGCGCCTCATGGAGCGTCTGCAGAAGCAGCTTGAGCGCCAAAAGACCCAGTACAAGCTGGAAGGCAGGATTTGGGGAGACTCGGATGGCCCCTCGGACCGCCTCCGTGCCCTCAGGGAAGCCATGGATGGCGATGAGGAGCCGGGCACTCCCCCTGGCGGCGGCACACCACCGCGCGACTTCACCAACAGCGTACTCGGAACTATTCACCGCGGCCGGAGAGCCTCCAAACGGCCAACGAAGCTCGAGCAGAGCGCCATTGATGAGGATGATACGGAGATGGACGAGGAGGGTGTCGTCATCGAGCGTCCTAGGATCATCGAGATGAGGCGCCCGACTGTCGATGCAAAGCAGCAGGCCCAGCTCATGGGTGAGATTGGCAACAAGGTCAAGCGATACGAGGGCAGCGATTCCGAAGCCGACGAGGGCGCCACCACGGGCCCATCTCACCCGAGCATGGACTCGTCGTCCTCCCCCATCACCCCGGCAGAAGGCGAGGCTCCCAAGGTCGAAATCACCCCTACCGCCGGACCCCCTCCGCCCCCTCCGCCTCCGCCTCCCCCGATGCCCGGTCACTTGCCCGGCGTTCCCCCGCCTCCGCCTCCTCCACCTCCTCCACCGATGCCGGGCGCGTTTCCCACCGGCGGTCCTCCACCTCCGCCTCCTCCTCCCCCTATGCCTGGCATGGGGATGCCTCCGCCACCCCCACCTCCTCCTATGCCTGGTGCTCATGGTATGGCACCTCCCCCTCCCCCGCCTCCTGGCATGCCCGGCCACGTGTCCGGACATTACTTGCCCCAAACGCCTTCTTTCGGCCCTTCGCCTACTATGGGCTTGCCGGTGATGCGGCCTAAGAAGAAACTCAAGGCTCTCCACTGGGAGAAGGTCGACACCCCCGAGACCAGTCACTGGGCAGCCCACGCCCCCTCAGCCGAGGAGAGAGAACAGAAGTACAACGAACTTAGCCGCAGAGGTATTCTGGACGAAGTCGAGAAGCTCTTCGTGGCTAAGGAGATCAAGAAGATTGGTGGATCTGGCGGCAAGAAGGATGACAAGAAACAGCTGATATCGTCCGATCTTCGGAAAGCATTCGGTAAGTTGAAAGCTTTGTTGGAGCCTGAGCCTTATTGGCGCTTAGACAGCAGTTGTGCTAACGCGTGAGATTTTCAGAAATCGCCTTTGCCAAGTTTTCTCAGTATTCTGTCGAAAAGATTGTGCAGATGATCATCCACTGCGACGATGTCATACTCACGAACCAGGGTATCATGGATTTCTTGTCAAAGGACGACATGTGCAACATCAATGACAACGTTGCCAAACAAATGGCTCCGTACAGCATAGACTTGACAGGGCCGGACGCTAAGAGCCAGACGCGAGAGTTGGACCCCGAGGAGCTCACACGGCAGGATCAGATGTATCTGTACACGGCCTTCGAACTGCACCACTACTGGAAGAGCAGAATGAGGGCTCTTGCGCTCACGCAGAGTTTCGAATCCGATTACGACGAGATCAGTTCGAAGATGCAGGACGTTGTCACTGTCTCTGAGTCATTGAGAGATTCAGTCTCCCTTATGAATGTTCTTGGTCTCATCTTGGACATTGGAAACTACATGAACGATGCCAACAAGCAAGCCCGCGGTTTCAAGCTCAGCTCGCTCGCCAGACTGGGCATGGTCAAGGACGACAAGAACGAGTCGACCCTGGCCGATCTCGTGGAGCGCATTGTTCGAAACCAGTACCCAGAGTGGGAATCATTCGCCGACGACATTACCGGTGTCATGACGGCGCAGAAGATCAACATTGAGCAGCTCCAGGCCGAGGCGAAGAACTACATTGCCAACGTCAAGAATGTACAAATGTCCCTGGATTCTGGTAACTTGAGCGACCCCAAGAAGTTCCACCCGCAGGACCGCGTTGGCCAAGTCGTTCAGAGGGTGATGAAGGAGGCGAGGAGGAAGGCGGAGCAGATGCAGGTCTACTTGGAGGAGATGATGAAGACGTACAAGGACATCATGCTGTTCTACGGCGAAGATCCTTCGGACGAAAATGCACGGAGAGACTTCTTTACCAAGCTGGCCTCGTTCTTGATGGAATGGAAGAAGTCACGAGACAAGAACATCCAGCTAGAGGAGCAGAGAAAGCGCAACGAGGCTTCCATGAAGCGCAAGAACGCACAGACAAAATCTGCCAGCCTTTTGGCAGACAATGGGCCCGCATCGCCTTCCAGCACTGGCGCCATGGACTCGCTGCTTGAGAGGCTTCGGGCAGCCGCACCACAGGCGCGGGATCAGAGAGACCGTCGCCGTCGTGCCCGCTTGAAGGATCGCCACCAGGTCCGCGTAGCCTCTGGGCAGAAGATTGACGCCCTCGACGAGATACCCACTGTCGAAACGAACCTCTCTAAGACGGAGCCGGCAATCAGCGAAGAGGGAGAGGCCCAGACGCCGACTTCCCATCCACCTCCGTCACGAGATGGCAATGAAGGGGACGATATCGCCGACCAAGCAGCAGCGCTATTACAGAAGATGCGCGGAGGCGACGGAAACGACGAAGCGGATGTCGAGAGGAGAGAGACGATGAGAAAGGCGAGGAGGCAGACGGCAGAGGAGGAACGAAGGCTAAGAAGGAGACGGAGGGAAAGGGCTTCGAGCACGGTGGACGCATCAAAGGACGAGTCCTCCATTCTATCAGTGGCAGAGGAGCCATCCACGCCAGCAACGGAGCAGCCCAAGCAAGAGGAGGAGACGACACCGGGAACGCCAGCGACGCCAGCGGTAGAAGTGACGGTGGAGGCAAAGTCGGATGAGAGCGCCAGCCAGGACGGCAAACCGGAGGAATCCGACAAGGCGCAGGAGTAATTCAGCAACACCAGCGTCACCTTGTATTGTTTGTTCTAGAACGAAAGCAAAGAAAGGAATAAGCGACAAACTCCCCCCATGAAGAGAGAGAGCCATGGATCAAACCATATATGCCTATATACCTATATAGATATACCTGTCAGCAAGTACATACATACTTAATGTCTACAACTGCAACAGCCGAGACGCTCTCTCGCTTTGGCCTGATTCACAGCTGCCTTTCTTTCTTTCTTTATTTTTCCTGACTGGGATGGAACGGTGTAGTGTGTGTGGGCTTTGCTCCGATGAGATGCGAATTCTCGTGCTACTGTCTCTGGCTTTCTGGTTATGGATGGATACTGTATGTCGTTGATGTTACTCAGCGGAGCTTTCCTCGGGTTCCTCTGCTTTATCTGATTCCGTGGATGTATGCAATTGTATGGGTGCTGCATGTTAGCCATTTCTTTCAAATACATAAAGGATGTTTCTCCCCGAGCAGGCAAAATGGCAGACAAAAAAGGCAGAGTCCATACCCGCGCGTTTTCAGTCTGCCAAAATATGTAGCTGCATGTGGGATCAAATGGGTCTTGCTTTGGAGCTTTGCTTTTTCCCGATAAGGTAGCTCAGGGTCAGCAAGAACCTGCAAACTGAATCAAACGCATCGGAGTTATTTGGGTGTTGCACCATCGCATGGTACCTGGTAGTATATATGTATGTATTAGGCTGGTGACAAACCCTAGAACTCGGGTTCAGTAATCCAAGAACCGGGATAGAATAGTAATCGTGACGATATTAGCCCGAGGCAACGCGCTTACATACCCGAGCCGACGGTATTGTGTGTGTTTGTCTTCAGTTTGTCTTGAATTTGTATGGTCAAAGTAACTCCGTCCAAATCGGAAACAGCAAGGAAGCTGAAAAGGTTTGTGTTGGGTAGTATTGTGACGGACTTCGGACCTCGATGGAACCGACTGGTATGGGCGGTCTCGTCTTTGGCTGATGCGTTCCCCCAGTCAATTTCCGGACAATCCGGATCGTACCTCGATTTTTTTTCCTCTTGACTTGCGCAAGCTCGTTAGTGAGACCCGTTGCTTGCCCACATTATCATGATCGGCCTTTTCTCGTTGGTTAGGAGAATCTGTTCCTGTGCCGAGTTCTTCAGTGAACGGGGGGGACTGCGATTCGAGTTCAAGGACTGTCCAATTCCTGGACCCCTCCAATGAAGAAAATGCACGCCTTCCAGCATCATCACACACTATACGCAGAGAGCACGGAAACGGCATATCCAAATAGCTCAATCCCTTAGCAGCCTCGCCGATGGGAAAGGCAACCGTCTTAAGACCCAGTAATGTGGCGCTTGAGATCAGAATCCACAATGCTGGATGGGCCATGAGAGAGATGTCTCGGATTATAGTCAAGCTCATTAGTGATAGCGAATGGTTGCAGTTTGAGTTTGCACAGTGCGGTCAGATACGACTTCGAAGGCGAAACAACAGGTACATTCGTCGCCCTTCGTCTTGTTAGTGTAAACGCTCTCAGCCACTTGCAGAACGCCGGTCAGAGGGTGGTGTCCTGATCCGATTCCTCAATGGCTTCGTCCGGAAGTAATCAGATATCGGCTCAGAAAGCCGATTTCACACTAACCAGGATCGGCCAGTCGTGGAGTGAAGCTTTATGATGTGAGCACCGTCCTCCCTGCTCTCTCACATCCATGTCACGCGACACCAGTCGGACGTCAAGCGCTGCCTTCCACCAAACGGTCCCAGCCTGTTCTGATACTGTGTCCCCCCCTCGCCGCAAACAACGGCCTTGTTCAGACCGAGATGTGGAGTAGAAGCACGCGACTTGCTGCTCGCAGATGGAGCCCGGCCCTGAGCTGGAGGTCGGAACGAGAACGAGAGCTTTTGGCCCACTGCCGCCTAGCGGTGCCGAGCGCAGAGATCAAGTCACCAGAGCGGTCAATTTTCCTGTTGCTGTTTGTTTGATACTGTCCCCGGGCTGGTGGCGGAGAGCCGCAGGAATGGGCAGTTGCGCGTCAAGCCAGCCAGCAGTCCAGCCAGTGATAGACCTTGCGAGCCAGGTGAAAGCTGCTAGTGAATCGAACACACTATCATGCACTTCGTACCTCGTACGAGAGCTTTACGAACCTTCTCGTAAACCTAGTCCGTTGCTGAGAAAGCCGCCCGCCCCTTGCCATGCCCTCACTCTATACTATGGGCCCTAGATATCCAGGCGTCCAGGCATGGAGAAGAGGGTACCGGCGGTATTCTGGTGGGCGGCTATCGAGTATGCGGACAAGTTGAGGACTGTTATTTGCCTTTCCAGGCCTCGGGTGGCCGCTAATGCCCCGAGGTCTGTGGCCATTCATGTGTTTCTTTTCGCCTGCCTGTATCAGTCCCTGGGCAGAGTCGGATACATCGGGACACGAGGATAAACTCGCCCTCTCAAAAGTATTTGGATGCTGACTGAAGGCAGTAAACTGTTCGTCGATAGCTGCCATGTAACTTCGTACCTCCGGGAACTCTGTGCCGAGTTGTCGGCACAACGGGGTATACACAGATAGCGAGGGGGGTGGCCAAAGCCCTCACACCTTAACTCTGCCATTAGCCCAACATCTCTGGATGTCTATGACGCTGCACCACCTCGGCGGCTTCACTTGGTAGGTTGTTTGTTGTGCCTTCTTCCGGACCCTCCCTCCTTGCTCATCCTAGTGTAGTCTTCGAGGTCGAGGCAGGTATTAGTAGTTATTTGTCTTCTAGGGGGGGAATATCCAGGTACTTGCGAGGCTTGTGTGGTGATGGTGCGCCACGCTCTTCTCAGGATTACGAGATATTCGAAGCAAGCACTACGGAGTTTGGCACTCAAAAGTGTCCGCTCCCCGTGGCGTTGTCCGTGATGTCTCGCCGTTATGCGTGCCTGTAAATGCCTGCAAGGCCCCATGTCCACCAGCCCTCGCATGCCATCATAGCTCCAACACCAGGTTCTTATTTATCGATCTTCTGCCGTCCGATTAGCAAACGCTTGGCTTTCCCCTTTGTCTCTTTTCTCACCTCCTGAGTGTGGAGTTGCCTAAGGAGAAACTCTTTCACCCCATGTTCTTTGACTGATTGTCATTGTCCTCATCTGGCGTTGCTTCTTGTCTCCAAGGTTTCCCTTCTAGAACTGGTTACTTCTCCAATGCTCTTTTCTGGTCTGATAAATGTATTCACCACAAGTCGACAATAATTTTAATATCTGTGCTCTTTTCACCATGGCTGTCGGCGCATTCCTGGAACCGTTCGTGGTCGTGACACTCCTGTTCGGAGGAGCTTGGTTCAACAGAAACAAGGATTATGATTTTTGGAAGGGGACTCAAGGCTGGGGTGGCGACAGCAAACGAAGTGACGACTTCGGAGGAAAGCGCATATCGACAGAGACCAGCTCTCCCCGAAGCCCTCCTTGGAGCTCCGGTTCGTCATCGCCTACACTCTCATCCGACGACGGGTCGCCCTGGTCTCTCACTTCTCGACGGCGAATCGTCCGATTCCTCGGGTTCAAGAAGACCGTCACGACTCCGAATACCCTCGTCTTCAAGGATCGGTTCCTGAGTCGAGTTCTCCAGAAGTTCCCTTTCCTGGTCGAAGCGTGGTATTGGGCACTCATCTATTGGGTAAGTCGAGGCATTGCCTTCCGTCCCCCCCTCGTCAACGTCCAGTGACTAAACGCTCCTGGGTGTGTTGTTGTAGGTGTACCAACTGGGCAGAGCGTTCACCGCCGTCACCATTGTCGAAGGAACCGTCCATGTCGCCCGAAAGCATGCCCTCAAGCTGGTTCATCTGGAGCAGCGCTTGGGCATCTTCTGGGAAGTGGCTGTCCAGCAGTGGTTCTTGGAGCGTCCGTTTCTGCTGCACTGGATCAACCGCGTCTACTCCTTCATTCACATTCCCGGGACAATCTTCTTCTTGGTAGCCCTGTTCTACCTGACGACCTCTCGCAAGCGTCGAGCCATGTCCGGCCGAGTTCGAAACGACGTCGTATCCGCCGGACCAGCGCTATATGAAGCCAGGCGTCGAACCATGGCTATGTGCAATCTGATTGCCTTTGTCATCTTCACGCTGTGGCCGTGCATGCCGCCTCGGCTGTTGAGTGATCCCAACTATAATGGACCTGACGCTCTGGAGGCCAAGAGCTTCGGATTTGTCGACAGTGTCCACAGCACGGCTGGCGAGAGCAGTGTCTGGACGACAAACAAATTCTGCAATCAATATGGTAAGACTCGAATGATGTCTCCTCTTTGCGTGTCAGTGAGCTGACCTTTCTCTCTACCTCCGATAGCCGCCATGCCCTCGTTGCACTTTGGCTATTCTCTCCTCATCGGCTTGACAGTTGCGACCCTCCCCGTGAACGGAGTCCGACCCAACTCGTGGAAGCGTCTCGCCATTGGTGTCGTGGGTCTGTCCTACCCAGCACTGATCTTGACGGCCATCGTCGCAACCGCCAACCACTTCATCCTCGACGCCGTTGCCGGAGCCGTGGTGTGCGGCATTGCGTGGCATGCAAACGGCCTGCTGCTGAACCTGTGTGTCCTCGAGGATTACTTCCTCTGGATTGTGCGAATCCACAAGCCCATCAACTACGCGGACCCCGAGACCGCCGTCGAGCCCGACTACCACTCCACCCTCCTTTCAGAGGAGGTCTAAGGTAGAAGTTGGTGGGATGATAGGATGATGTTTGGTTCAAGCAAGAGCTTGGGCTAAACTGCCTTACTGCTTACGATCCTGCGAGAATCGGAAGCAGGTACCCGAGTCCGGCACGTGGTTGCCAGGTTGTGTGACGATGATCAAGTCGAGTCGACGGAATTTTGTTAAAGCGGGTAAAACGAAGATCGGCGTTCGGTGTACCATTTGAGGGTGTACTGGTACCGTGTTTGCTTGTCTTATAATGCAGTTATGAACCGTTGTTTGCACTTTTGGAAGAGGCCATGGACGTATCATGTACGATATGGGTATCCGTCCATGCTTGCTTGCATGGGAGTCGAGGCATCTGATGTGGCAACCTGGAGTTTTTGCTGCTGGATTCACGGGATAAAAGAGTCAATGGGAACACGAGAATTGATGCTTACAGTACCCGAACTTCCATGTAGAGGAGCTTGGGAGGTACCTTGATGGGCAGAGCCTCGGCTGGTTGACCAAGAACAGCTGAGGGTGCTTTGCTCGTAGGTATTTCTCTAGCTTAATAGGTACATCATCGTCGCAACACCCTTTGCTGCATTATCTCAAAAATCCCTTCCAAACGATCTGTCTTCTCGTAACTGCAAAGTGCTACAGACTGGTGTTGCGTATGGCGGTACGTAAGGCGCTTCAACTCAACCAGCTTGGCGGCATGATTCCGCCTCGCCGGAGCACCGCAGCCGCCACCGCCCGTACCGGTACTGGCACCCACAGCCAGCCGTCGCCGCACCTCCCGGTAGCTGTACCCAGGCCCCAGCGCATGCGGGTGACCTCCAGGCTTCGGTGGCGGGGCACATGCACCAGCTGTCGCGTCTCTTTTGCCGTCGTCATTCAGCACCTCAGGCAGCTCACATGCAACTCAATTCCGCAACCACTTCTCTTTACTGCTTGAGGCCTCTGACATACACAGTTTCTTTTAGACATCATCACCATCATTCTCTGTGATATCATTCCATCGCCGTCACTCGCCCTATTTTCTTTCCCTTCCACGGACGGCGAAACGGGGGACAGCCGCCAGAGGCTCCAGTGCACTGTGTCGCAAAGCTGCTGTCGTTAGCGGTTACGTCAAAGCGACGCCCACGATAGCATCATGACCTCCGGCCAAGCCTCGAAGAGCGACGATTCAGCTCGTCCAGCCTCGCCGGCCGGCAGCTTCTACGCCATGAGCGACGATGAGGAGGGCGGCTATGAGACCATCACTCACACGCAGTCCGGCCGAGGCGTCAAGCTGCTGTACTCCAAGAGCAAGGTGCGCGATACGCCTACTGCGGCCATGGCTGCTGCAACAACCTACTAACAGCCATGCCTAGGTCTACGTCCATCCCACGCCATCAGCAAAGGACAACATCCCCGGCTACATAGCTCTGCTGCAGCAAAAGGGGCCAAGGCGGGATCGCCCCTCCACAGCGTCTTCGGCGGAGAACCCCGACAGTATTGCGTCTTCAGACCTGCTTCTTGCCTGGGTACCCGAATCATCCCTTGGTGACTCGGCGAGCGTCTATGTCAAAGTTGATCTCTCCGATGCCGACTCCCCTCCCAAGCAGTCATATCTCGTCCCTCCACCTCCTACAGTGACCAGCCACGGGAGCTCGGTTGGCGGCTACGCCTTTGCCATCCCCGTTAGTGCCATCTACTCTCTGCTGGTCCGACCCCCGAGTCTGGGCTGGTGGTATGGCTCCATCATTATCAACTCTCGAGGGGGCGACAGCTTCCCTGCGCTCTTTTTCCACGATGACGAGTGCCAGAGCACTATTCTTCAGAAAAAGAAGCTGGCCCGGGACAACTTCGACCCGTTTGGAGACAAGGGCCAGATGTTCTGGGGCGCAGATGAAGTCTTGCGATGGCTGAGGAGGTACATCAAAATTGAGAGGTCCGGGGCAGAGCCCAACATCTATCTCATTGAGCCCAGCAAGGAGGACTTGGAAAGCTTCGGCTCTAAAATGACGGCGAAGAAAGCGCAGGGGAATGCCAAGGCAGGAGGCTCAACCCCCAAAGATGCCCAGATGGACCCCTTCATGAAGTTTGTCAAGGAGACGGGGTGGAATCTCATGGAAAAATTCAGCAAAGTGACTACCTTGACTAGAAGAGCAGCACACGACTTGTCAGAAAATCCCAGCCTGCCCCCTCAGGTACGGAGGTTGCTCAGGAACCCAGAGGTCCAGACCCTCCAAGATGAGTTTGACAGCGCCAGGATATACCTCGCTAGGTGGGCCATGGGCATGGCCGAGCAGAGTGAGCGTGACCACCGGCAGAGAATCTGGACGGTTCGAGATGTCATGGAGCTCGAAGACACTGGCGTCGGAGAGTTCGAGCTTCTTGAGGGAACAAGCTCTCTCTCGCTCGAAGAGAGAAAGCAACCAGTCACAATAGAAGAGTGGGACGCTTTCTTTGATCCCGAGACCGGGAGGCTGTCCATCGCGGTGGACGAAGTCAAAGAGCGCATCTTCCACGGTGGACTGGATCCCGATGACGGGGTGCGAAAGGAAGCCTGGCTCTTCTTGTTGGGCGTGTACGAATGGTACAGCACGATCGACGAGAGAAAGGCTACCATCGCCTCCCTGAGGGATCAGTATTACAAGCTCAAGCAGTCCTGGTGGAACCGACTAGAGGGAGACGGCGGAGAGGGTGAAGACGGCGAGTGGTGGCGTGAACAGCGTGGGCGCATCGGTAAGCTGCACTTGAATTTGCCTGCTTTGCATAGCTGTGCTGACAATCATATTTCAGAGAAGGATGTTCACCGAACGGATCGAAATGTGCCCATCTTCCACGGAGAAGATACTCCTCATCCAGATCCGAACTCGCCGTTTGCCGAAGTGGGCACCAATGTCCACCTCGAGCAGATGAAAGAGATGCTGCTGACATACAACGAATACAACAAAGACCTCGGCTACGTCCAAGGCATGTCGGATCTTTTGGCACCAATCTACGCCGTGGTTCAGGACGACGCGGTGGCCTTTTGGGCGTTCCAAATGTTCATGGAGAGAATGGAACGCAACTTTCTGCGCGACCAGTCGGGCATGCGAGGCCAGCTGTTGGCCTTGGACCAGCTTGTCCATTTCATGGACCCCAAGCTGTGGGATCACCTGCAGAGCACTGACAGCACCAACTTCTTCTTCTTCTTCCGCATGATCTTGGTCTGGTACAAGCGGGAGTTTGACTGGCCGGACGTGCTCAAGCTTTGGGAGTGCCTGTGGACGGACTACTACAGCTCCAGCTTCCACCTCTTCATTGCCCTCGCCATTCTCGAGAAGCACAGAGACGTCATCATGACCCACCTCAAGGCGTTTGATGAAGTGCTGAAATATGGTGAGTCGTGCAATTTTTGGAAGCATTCGACGTGAGAAGTTTACTGACTTGTGTCATAGTGAATGAGCTGTCGGGTACCATCGACCTTGACTCGACCATCATTCGCGCCGAGGCCCTCTTCCGCCGGTTCCAGCGGCTCGTCGAAGCAGTCGACAAGAAGAACAACTTCCCGCCTCCAAGAACAGAGAGCCCGGCCCAGCCAGATTCCAACGGAAAAGGCAAAGCGAGCACAGCGTCATCAAAGCACGAGCGGGTGATTACCCCCGAGCTGCGAAAGCTGCTCAGCCGCAAGGTTGAGACTGTGGACAGGAAGCCAAAGGCGGCAACCCTGAAGGCAGAAGCATCGACCGATTCGAAGTGAAGAGATGAAAGCATTTCCTTGCGAAAACGAGCAGCCTCTTTTCTTCTGGTTCATTTTTTGATCTGTCTTATTGGACGTCACATCTGTCCTTTGTGTTCGTGTTTATTATCTGGTACTTATGGTTGATGGAGATCCGTCAGAAGCTTCTTGGGAGCGGGGCGTTATTCTGTTGCTGGTATTCGGCTTGGATGGATTTCTCTTACCCAGCGTGGAATTCATATTGCTTGACACGATGTTGGGCCATTTTCAACTTTCCATCGTGTTTGCAAGTGTAACCCATCCACATGCGCTTAGCCGTGTGAGCATCATAACTTCTCTGGCCATGACAGACACCTTTTCAACGTTTAACACTCCTTGCGCAAGATAACTTGAGTCGATATATAGGGGATAACGCTTGATCAACGAAAAATAAAAGAATAACATTAATAGGCATTATACATTGCTTGGCTAAAGACGACAATGACCACGCAACTCAAAACCAGCTACATGAAAACAAAAGAATATGCACCACATACCCTAGACCTAGACATTATACATCACGCCAAAAACCCCGAGACCAGACACGACACCTTTCCCTCTCTCGTCCACTCATCTATACCCCCGTGGACCGCTGGGAAGGCCTTTTCTCCGTACTCCATTCGCAGCCCCTCCAGCGTGGGCACCGCCGTCGCTGGACCAAGGGGCGTTTGCCCCGACAAAAGGCTGACTGCCTCCGCTCCCCCTGGCGTTGTCGTAGGAACCACCCGGCGCAAACCGGTCCTCGTAGCTGCCCTGAGAAGAATGTTGACTGCCGCCTGAGCCTCCGCCGGGTGGTGGCTGAAAGGGTCCGTTGCCGTTGCTCGAAGACGGGCTCGTGGTGCGGGTTCCCCAGAGCCGCTGCTTCAGGCGATCCTGCGCCGACCCAGCGGGCGCGGGCCCCGGCCCCGAATAGCTCCCCGCGCGCGGCGCCGGTCCCCTGCCGAGCAGCTCGTCCCTCGAGTTGGTCCCCGGCTGCGTCGTCGCCGGCCTGCCCGCGCGCAAGCTCTGCGGCACCTGCGGCTGCGCGGGCGGCTGCGCGGGGCCGTTGTCCCACAGGCTGCTGAGCCCCCCCGCGGCGGGCTGCTGCGCGCCGCCCAGGCCGCCGTACCGCGTGCCGACCTGCGACTGGGCGTAGACGGCCTGCGTCATCTGCGGCGGCGGCGCCTTGGGGTCCGGGGGCAGCCAGTTGGGGAAGGGGCGGCCCTTTTCGGTGTAGTAGTTGCGCAGGACGCGGCAGACGTGGGTGTCGTCTTCGGTGTCGCCGTCGGCCTCGCTGGAGAGGAGCGTCGAGCGGAGGTTGGAGATTTGGGACGACGTCTTGGTGACGAGGTTGGAGTACCAGGAGCTCATGGCGGGCGATTGGGGGCCGGCGGCGGCGGCGGCTTGGGGGGAGCTCGCGTGATGCTTGTTGAGGAGATACACAGAAGAGGTCGTGTGCGGCTCAAGATGGCTGCGATGGAAGCTGTTTGCAGAGGATCTGCTAGGAGCAAAAGCCTGAGCGACCTTCGCCCGACGGTGTTGGATTTTCGGGAGGTCGTGCGGTGGGAGGACAGGGAGCTGGTGAAAGAGGCTCAAGCTGTGGCCATCTGGCGGTGATGGTTTCGGCTGCAGATCTCCTGGTCCAGGTTCGTGTTCGGGGTGCTCTGTCTGCGGGCGGTGAGAAGGCAAGAACTGGAGACTCGGGTGTCGCTGCTTGGTTGCTCGGTATCTGTGAGAGAGAGAAACAGGAATGAAGAGTATAAAGGGGGGAAGAAACAACACGAGCAACAGCAGCGCCGTTTCGCCTGGGTATGAAGCTGGTATGGTGAGTGGTGAAGGACGGTTGTTGGAGGAGGGAAAGGAGGTTGGCGGCTATTACCTGGTAGTGACGTGGGGTTGAAGCCGGCCGCTGGAGTGCTTGAGCGCCTCGGGGCCTGTAACTCGGTTCGTTTTCAGGCGGCTCAGCGCTGCTGCCACGGCTGTCTAGTGCCTGTGCTGTGCTGCCGTAGCCGTTTTAGGTGGTGGGGGAGCTGCTTGAAGGGGGACAGATCCAATGCCTGGTCCGTCCAGCTGGTTCAAGCATGAAGCTGAAACCACTGCATGAAACCCAACGGCTCCTTGAAGGCAATCTATCTCGAGGGCGGCCAAGGGAGTCACCAGCCCAGCTTAGCTATGGTGAATATAGGGCTGTACATAGAGGATGGCAGTCCATGTATGAAGCACTGGTATCTCAGCGCCGCTTGCCTCTCATACTAACATTGATGCAACTTCACATCCGCGACCTGTATCATGGTACAAACTTGCCTCATCCAGACAGTAGAAACCAGAAACCCCATTTTGTTTTTCTATATCCCGACGCCGTATGCCATGAAGCCCGCTTCGAGCCTATGAGAGATACAAACTCAAAATCCCACGTATTAAGTCAGCCCGCGCAATGCCGTGCTCCTGCTTGACCAGCACGAAAACCACTTCCCATTCGCCACGACGCCGTATTACAGTATGAATAACCGCTTTCATGTCGAGGACCATTACCACGCCAGGTCGTTGGTCAATGTCAGCTTCTCCTTCTCCTGCTGCTTCGGTCGCTTGCTCTTCATCTTGGTGACCTTGCCACGCTTGCGCTTGCTGCCGGCCTTTTCGGCCTCGGACTCGTCGCTGTCCTCCTCCTCCTCTTCCTCCTCCTCCTCGCTCTCCAGCCAGTCCTCGAGGTCCTCGAGCTCATCTTCGCTCTCGTCGAGGTCGGAGACGTATTCGATGGCAGCCTCGGCGTCGTCTTCCTCACTTCCGGCCTCTCCCTCGCGCTCCTCCTCCTCATCGGACTCGATGCCCTGGTCCATGTCCTTGTCGCGTTCACCCTCGCCACCCTTCTCCATGGCGTTGAGCACCTTCTTCCAAATGTCCTCGCTGACGTTGAGGGGCTGGTCGCCATAAGCGCCTTGCCTCAGACGCTCAAGCAGCTCTCTCTCAATGGTCCTCTCCAGCTTGGCCGCCGCCTCGGCCTTGCGCTCCCTCGTCGCCTCGCGGTGCCTGACCTTGGGCGCCAGCTTGGGCACCAGCTTCTCGCCCAGGCGTTCGTCCTCGGCAGCGATCCTGCGCATGCGGATCTGCACCTGCGTCAGGCGGGTGAGGCGCTGCTTGCACTTGTGGATGAGAAACTTGGGCCAGTAGATGAGCCGCTCGTCGATCTGCTCCAGGGCCTTTGTGTAGTTGTTTGACAGCTTGATGCGCTCCCACATCTTGGAGGGCAGGTGCGCGCGCTCGACAGTCTTCATGTAGAGGTACAGCGTGTCCTTGGTCGGGTGTTGCCGAATGGTGGCGTACCGCGAGTTGGCCAGAGGGCATGATTGCCGGTTGCACAATCCGGTGACGTTGTATTCATTGCGGCAGAAGTTTTGCTGCTTTTCCGTTCTGGAGCCTCGTTAGCATTCATATGCACCCCCTTTGAGCAGCAGCCATCAATTGCATCAAGAGCGACAGAAGACTCCAAGCGCGTGGTGTTGACGGTGTATCTCTGCTGGTCCAGACTCACTTTAACTTGAACGAGCAGAACTGCTGGTTGATGATTTGCCACACAATCTCGTCCGAAGCCATCTTGCCAAGCAATTTCCCCAGGGAAAGAACAAATGTTCAGTGTGAGAAGAAGACGAGAAAAGAGAAGTCAGACTGGAAGAGAAAAGGGAAGAGGAAGAGATCCCCAGGACTTTGATACGGAAGAACTCCAATAGCAAAGGAAAAAAAAAAAAGTTCCTGGCGGGGCGGATCTTTTCTCCAGATTCCCATATTTTTTTCTCAAGCGGCCCAGCAAAGCTCTTGACCGCCTGCCTAGTTCATGCCCCTGCATCTCGGGGCCCGGAAGAACCGCAGCTCCGCCCAGAACTGTGGCTGGTGCTCGTCCAAGCGCCTGCGTCACTCGCTGCATCAGCCGCCTGTCCTTCCATCATTATCGCCTCAACACCAAAGCAACGACTCGACCCTTTCCGACGATTTTATCTCGCGCATACCGTTTCCTTGTTTCTCCTCCGCCTCCCTTTGCCGCCTCTCCTATATCGGACCTCCTCTCAAGCGCCTCTTCTCCGCAGCTTCTCCAGCTTCTCCAATCCCCCCTTCGCGGGGCTTGTCATCCACCAAACATCCCGAGTACGAATCTCACCTTTGTCCATCACGACACACGCACCCCTACGCCCCATCACACGAACAATACACGAGTGCGCGGAAACAGAAAAGAAAAAGAAAAAAAGACATCTTCGCCCATCATGCCTACCGCCGGCCTCAAGACCATCATCGCCCTCTCCTTCGTCCTCGCCGTGGGCTTCCTCCTCGTCATCCTCTCCTGCGCCCTCTACAAAGTCTACTACCCGCTCCTCGTCGTTGCCACGTACGTCCTCGCGCCGCTGCCCAACTGGATCTGCGGCCGGTGCGCCAACCCGGACGACTTTGTCGAGACGGGCGGCGCGGCGGTGCTCGACCTGGGGAGGTTCTTTACTGGCTTCTTCGTTGTCATGGGAATCGGTACGTTGCCCGTCACCTCCTCGGCTTATTTGCTCACATTCTTTTCCGGGAGGGGCTATTGAGGATTTACTCGAGAAATAAATGTGTTGAGCATGACTAACAACTGTTTGTGATGGTGTGTAGCTCTCCCCGTTGTCCTTGCGCATTCCGACCTCATCCGAGTCGAAGCCATGATCATGTCCATCACCGGTGGCTTGCTGATCTACGGGACCATCATCAGCTTCGGCATGTTCTTCCAGGAAGAGCAGGAGTTTTAAAAAGGAAAGCAGAAAGCGGAGTGTTTACGACAGACATGTATGAACCTGCTGTGGTGGGGTTTGTAAAGGAAGGGGGAAAAAGGAAGTCGAGTTGCTCTTTATGGCGTGTGCGAAAACGAGAGAATGAATCAGCCTACTACTCTTACGCTTGGGAGAATCGGGAGCTTTTTATCGGACCTGTATGAGACTCGGTGCTTCTCTGTAATGTTTCTACTGTTCTCTCGAGGCGGAATTTTATACGGAGCATAAGCGGTCTTTGGGGTTACTGTTTTGCAGGCTCTTTCCACTATGCGTGTCTTGGATGCTAAGATGCGCGCTTGAATTTTATCTTGAACAACAAACCGGAAACAAAGTTAATCGTCTGTTTCTATGTGATTGAGTTGTGTTATTTGTTTTCATCTAGCAAAAGGGAAAAGCGTCGCTCGTGCGTCGTCTGATCTACCGTATCTAATGTTGAACCATATCCGCCCCCCTCCCCCTTGAAATTCAAAGGCCAAACAGAAAAAAAAAACACCTTGCTATGCATATGTTGAAGTATTCCCACCCCCCGAAAGAATCCCTGCTTCCAAAGAAATATCCCTCAAACTTCCCCTTCCATACCGCAAGCCACTGTAGGTAGTAGTAGGCGATTTCGCCCTCCTACTTACGCCGCGTCTTTGAAAACGCCCAGAGGCCCGCACAGCTTGATAAACATCTCCTCCGTCTCCCCCTCAGGCGTGCTCAATATGGTCACGGCGCCGCCCGCCCCGATCCGCCAGACCTCCCTGGGCCGCGCATCTTCGGACCCTTCCGGCGGCGCCTCCTCGTCGTCCCAGCGGAACATGGTCCTGATGGTGACGCTCCAGCCGCCGTGGCCGCGCGCGTCGAGGAAGCCGACGACGCCCGAGTAGATGCTTCGCTCCTCGGGCTCGAGGGCGCGCAGGATCTCGCAGCTGCGCTTCTTGGGCGCGCCCGTCATGCTGCCGGGGGGCAGGGCGGCGGCGAGCACGTCGAGCCCGTTGGGCGCGGCGCGGGAGGACGAGGGCAGCTGGCCGTTGACGACGGTGATCATCTGGAAGACGCTCGAGTAGTCCTCCACCTTGAGCAGGTCCGGGACGGTGACGCTGCGGGCTCCGCAGACGCCGTACAGGTCGTGCCGGACGAGGTCGACGATCATGAGGTTCTCGGCCTCCTCCTTGGGCACGTGGAGCAACGCTTCGGCCTGCGCGAGCGTCGAGACGGCCTCGGACTTGCGGACGGTGCCCTTCATGGGCCGCATGGAGCAGAGGCCCTTTGCGTCGTGGCCAAGGAACCGCTCCGGCGAGCTGCTCAGGATCGTGGCCCCGCCGAGGCGGATGAAGGAGCCGTAGGGGGCTGGCTGGCGGGCTCGGAGGGTTCGGTAGATTTGCCATGGGGTGCCGTGTCTGGACGCTTCGTTGCTCGGCCATGCTGTAGGAACTGCTCCGTTAGACGACGGCCGTAGGTGATGCGGTACATCGTCTCCGCGAGGTCGAATCATCTTTGTTTGAGCCGTAAGACACAGTTCGTATGACTGGCCCTCGGCAATGGCATCTTGACATTGGCGCACATCATCCTCATATCTGTCAGGCTGCGGTGTGTTGAAACGCAGTCGGCCGCCTGGCTCCCGGATGCTCTGCAGCAGCGCCTCGTTGGCCTGCTTCTTCGCGGCGACGGCTCTGTACTCTTCTGCTCCGTAGCCTGGCTGCTGCCACGCCCGCGAACTCTGTAGCTTTGCCACAATCTCATCGATCCACGACTGAGCGTCCGAGTCCGGGGCCGTCAGAGCCTGCACATATGCCACCCCGGCCTGGTGGTCGAGAACCAAACTCTTCGAGATCCAAGCAAAGCACAGATCCGGCCTGTGATGACCCCTGTTGTCAGAGACAGACTTTGGTGTCAAAGTGCTCAGTCCCATCTCGTAAGTGACAAAGCCCATGAAGCCGCCCTTGAACGCCGGCTCCTGGCCGTCCTCCTCGCCTATCTTGCGCTGCTGCCAGTACTCGGAGATGACATTCCACACGTCGTAAGCGCCGTGCTCGTCGCTGCGGTCGATTTCGATCCTCTGGCACCTCTCCTCCTGGCCTCTTGCCCCGGGCTGGCGCAGAGTCACCCAGTCGTCTCCAACGTGATATTCAAAGCGCAGCGCCTGGTCGACCTCGAGCGCAATGACCGAGCTGCGTGCCAACGGGTCTCCATTGACTGTGCTCGACGAATCCAGCATGATGGAGTCGACGCCGCCCACGCCCAGAAGCTCCGCAACGTCTGCTGCATCCACGCCATCGGGCAGCTTGATTCGACTGCACGTATAGACGGGCGCCGCGTTGGTCGCAGCCAGGCCAGATTGCATATCCCGCCACCACTTCTGAGTCGCAAGCTGGCTCTCGGCAGCGAGTCTCCGCTCAATAATCATCGATGGCGCCAGGCTGTCGGAGATGTGCTCAGAGTCCACAGGTCGTACTCGTCTTCCGGTCGATTCGTTCCACTTGAGAGCCTGGCTGAACCAATTCTTGATCACTCCCTGCGCCGCCGCATCTGTGCATACAGACTCCGGATGGTACTGAACTCCCCAGAACGGCAGCCTCGCATGCCTCACACCCATCAATATCCTCTCGGGCTCAGCGCCAGCATCCTCGCTCTCCTCCATCGTCCACGCCAGCGGCACGAGATCCGGCGCCCCCTTGGGCGGCCGCCACATGTCCGTCTCCCAGGCCTCCCGTGGAACGTCGTCCTGTCCCACGTCGGCGCACAGGCTGTGGTACAGCGTCGCCCGAAACCCCGGCACGCCCGCAAAGATGTCGCCCGACCGGTGCTCAATGTCCCTCACCATGCCGTGCAGGCCCCTCCGCAGGCGCCGGATGCCGCCGCCAAAGTGCGCGACCAGGCTCTGGAAGCCCAGGCAGATGCCCAGCACGGGGACGGCCTCGTCGCGCAGCCCCCACAGCAGGCGGAAGGCCCCGACGTCGGCCTCGCACAGCGGCGACCCGGGGCCGGGCCCGCAGACGACGGCGTCAAAGGCCGGCAGCCGGGCCAGGAACTGCTCGGGCGTCCAGTCGGGGCCGGGGTCCGCGTGCAGCGTCTTCAGGTCCATGTGCAGCACGTGCACCAACACGTCGTCGCCGAGCGCCTCCTTGAGCAGCGACACGATGTTGTTGGTGAAGGAGTCGTAGGCGTCCAGGAAGAGGATCCGGCGAGCATGGAGTCCGTCCTGTCCCGGCGTCGAGGCCGAGAGGCCCGCAGCGGATTGCGACTCGAGGAGAGGCATGTTGGCGGTCTGGGGGGGAGATGATCCGGTCTCCAGCTTTGCCTGTCAACACGACTGCATGAGAAGATGTAGGGACGAGCCGATTGACAGAAATACAAAAGAAAGGGAAAAGAAATGGAAGAAGGTGGTCGATGCGCAGAGGTTGAAAAGTCGAAAGAGGCGCTCCGAGATAGGAATCGGCTTGGCCGCGTAGCGTCGGGTCTTTTTTTCGCCAACCTTATCTCTTTCGGATACAATCGACTCATAAGCGCTGCTGACGGCGCCGGACCAGGAGGGAAACCGTGCATGTTGGAGCCAGCAGCTTACAATTCCTCTCATGTAATCTGTCTGTCCAACTCCGATCCCTTCCAGTGGCCTCGCATTGCCATTGGCAAACTCGAGATGGTCCGGAAGGCAAAGTAAGATCACGCCTATCGCAGCAAGAATGCCGCATGCAAGCTAATGCATGCAGATCACGCTGGCCATCCATCGACAAGACTTGGAACTGGAACGTTCATCTGATACAATTCCTAGTAGTAGTATCATACAATCCAGAAAATACCAAAGAGGTCTACCTGTATAAATATAGTATGTAGCATCAATATTCGTCGCAGTCGCAGTCGCTATTTGCCGTCGTGACGTCGGAGGCCGAAAAGCAACGTCTCATCATCAGAAGCTCTAGTTCAGTCATCATCCTTCACCCTCAATATACATGGTCGTCGTGAATGCCACATCCTGCGCTCCTTTGCACCAATCGCCTTTTCCTCCCTCGTCTGCGTGTCCGACCGCGGGCGCCCCTGGGGCTGCTCATCGCCGTCTCCCTTCTCACTCTCCTCCAAGACCACGACTTCCTCGACGGACGCCGTGAGCTCAAACTCTCCCCTGCAAAGCGCTGTCACGCCAATGACAAAGTCTGTGCTGCCGCCACCCGGCAGCTCTGGCAGAAGTTGCTGCAGCGTCCCGTTCCACACAAACTTGCGCGTATAGTCGAGGGCAATGTTGACAGAACGATGACACAGCGCCGGCAGGAGCCTCACCAGGGGCTTGATTGGTTGACTGGTTCTGTTTGTCACTCGCGTCCGCACCTGTATAAATTCATCGACAACCGCCGTGCTGATGTTGTTGCCCTCGCCGTTTCCCGGACGTTCCACGGTGACATCAATGCCAACCTCGCCAACCTTGACAATGTCGATTATGCGGGTGGTCAGGCGAATGTTGCGGAGCTCGATGGTACCACTTCGCTTCGGCACTGCTGTTGTACGCCAGGTCGCCTTGAGGGAGTCGAGGATCCGTTCTCTGTACCAAAACGCCTCCCTGTTGGCGCGCTCCATCTCGGGTGTGATTTTGCTGGTGCTCACCACAAACTGCCTGTTCTTTGAGGGGTTCAGGCTTGGAATCGGAGCATGCGGGTCCTCCAAGTACACTCGCTTCACGGGCATGATGATTCGGCTCGTTTTACCCGGCAGAATGCCTTCTTCAACAGCCATACCATCATCGTTTTCAACGTGGACTGCCATCTGAGTAGGCCAAGCATTTCTCAGGTCCACAGACAGCAAGCAGTATTCGTCGGGCTTCGTTGGCTTCGTGCCCCCCAAGCGCTCCCAGAGTGGCTGTGGAATCAGACCGTGCATGGGTATCGCATCCAGTCTTGCCAGCTCAACGCTTGCATTGACCGTGACCGTCAGCGGCACCGATAATTGTCGCGTGTAAAACTGCTCTGTTACCTCATCCCGAGGAACTCCGAGGTACGTGTAATCGATCTTGATTGTGGCATGTGTCAGCCCAGGCTTGCCGAGGATCTCAAACTCGAACGTCGCCTCCCCTCCCGGAGCAATATTACGGCTTTCAGTGCCCCGCGGGAGTCGTAGAGCCTGTTTCTTTAAAAGTATCAATTCGTATTCATATAGCTCCGCTGGCGTAGCATCTCGGTTCGCCAGAGCCGTCTGTAGCGGCTCCTGAGTCGAATCCTTAAACGAGAAGAGCATAAAGTCAACCGGTGTCGTGGACTGGTTTTGTAACGTGATGGAGAAGATGTGTCTCTCGCCCTCCAGGATCATGACGGAAGACTGCGGAAGTGTTGTCGACTTCACCGTCACCAGGGGCTGAGGTTGGGTGACGTTGAGGTCAAGGCTGAATGGCTCCAGGGGCATGTCGTGAAACTTGCCCGACATCATGGGGGCGGTGACTGATGCGATACCCTTGACCTTGATCTTGTCCTCTTGGTAAGGCTTCCAGTGCTTCGGGAAGACAGCGAACCTCCTCTCCCTGCAGCCCTTGATCTTGACGATTGCTCCAGTGACTTTGATTGAGCCTGCTTCTTTTGCCAGACCCTGTAGCCGGACTGCTTGCGTCCGGTAAGGGCCGACAATGGTGCTTTCGCTCATGGCTTCGAAATCGACGCCCTCCGTTTCTAAACGTATACTTTCGATATCCAACTCAACATCGTAAGTGTTTTGGATTGTCACCTTGAACTTGGCCACTTCGCCGGCAACCAGGTTTGCGGCGGCCGTCTCGTCTGGCTCTTGCAGGAAAGGATTGTAGATGAACGGGTTGACATCCTGCGACGCCCGCATTGTTGTTTCTCCTGGCAAGACGCTACGGGCGTGGGGGATAGGGATTCGGGTACTCGGGAGCGGCTCCAGTGCAATCTCCCGGACAAGAAACTCATCCCAGAACTCGGCGGTCAAGTGCGTCATCCCCAGTTTCTTGACGAGATTCGACGTTCGTGAAATGTTACTCACGAGACGGATCTGCTCGTCTCGGTGAATCTTTGGTGATGCATCCTCGCGGCGGGGGCCTGGAGCGACGCCAGATCCAGCCGTGCGCATCAGGTCGCTGGAAAACTTGAGAACCCCATTAAAGTCCGGCAAAGCTTCCGAAAAGTTAATGCATGCTCGCAAGATGTTGAGCTTAATGTCGGGGAACCCGAAGAATCTCGTCTTCATCTGGCCACGGATTCGAGCAATCACAGCTTCGTCCGAGTCGTCAAACCCTTCTCGAAGCGACTGCCGCCGGGGCTTTGCCCTGTCGAAGCCGACAACACCGTAAGACTTGCAGAGGAGCTCGAGAAAGGCCTCGATGCCCTGCTCAATGTCTCCCTCGGCCAGGTCCAGTGCCATCGCCCCAGTGGCACCCTGCCCATTGCCGCCCGGCGTCAGCGCCACCAGACCTGCAGCGGGATGGACCCCGGCATCCGCAGCTCCGCGTGTTCTCGCTTCGACGAGCCCTCCAATGAGGACGGAGACTAATTCGCGAGTCACCATGGCCTTCTTTCGATGATAGCCCAGGGGCCCCAGCACAGCCGCGATGCCGCTCAAGATCGAGATCCGGTCAACGGTCGTGAGCAATTCGGTGGCCGTGGAAGGAAATGCTTTGAACAGGAGAGTCAGGATCTGTTGCCTTGTGGGCGTTATCAGCAGCCGCGGCGACGTTGTGAGATGCATATCCAGTCCTTTGCCTAACACAATCATATCAAATGCCCGTTGGTCTAGCTTGCCATCGCAAAAGTGCATGGCCGACAATATCTTGCTGAATCTGATCACAGTCTCTGCTAATGGCAAAGGGGGAACGTTCTCAGATGATATTCTAGAATAGAGGCCCACTATTCGATCCAAGAGTTCGGGGAGGAGGCCTTGGAGATATCGGATGTGCCTGGGCTGAGACTGGTCGGTATCTTCCGGCTCCGGCTTGAGGGACGAGTGTTTATCCTGTGCGGGAAGACAGACGGTCGGTATTTGAAAGGTTAACCCCGACCAGCCAAGCAGCAAAAGGTTCATGAGAATCAGCTCGAGAGCTTTTCCGTGCCAAATGTGGTCGTTCAACGACTTGGCAGCGGCGGCTCCTTCGCTCAGCTCCTTTAAAGAATCTCCCCAGCGACCAGCCTGCAGGTACATGGACCCTATCACAATGGATGACCTGCCTTTTCCTTTGAGGCGCCACCGGTCGTTTGCTCCTCCAGGCCCAAATCCTTGCACGGAGACGCGGTTCGAATCTTCGACGAAATCGGACTTAGAGTGCGCTTCAGGTGACTCTGACCTCTGGCTCGAAGCACTCGGGAAATCGTCCGCAGTCAGGGGAGGGCTGGAAAGGTTGCTCTTCAGGGGCGTGGATGGGCGGCCTGGCGTTGAGACGCTCGAACCGGGCATCCCTTGTGGGGAAGCTGGAGGCAGCGACAGGCGGCCCCCTGATCGATCAGGTAAGCCTGCCGAAGAGTTGGAGCGCTGGAGGTGTTGTGGTATGGCAAACTGGGAGTTGCGCCTGGTGAAACTGGTTGGCGAAGTGGCATCGGGGCCCCACGACGTTGTACTGAGCTGCCTGGCCAGGGAGTAGCCGCCGGGCGACTCGATTGCCGTCATGGCCTCGTACGACTTCCCCAGCGTTGTCATTTCAGCCAGCAGCAGCGACGATATATCGCACATGACCGTCTTCATCGTGGTTCGTTTCGACTCTTCGGGCGGGGGAATTGCCGCGATGCCCTCGGGGATGGGCACTTCCGTCGCCGGCGAGACATAATCGAAGATGAGGACCCGATGTATGAGAGCTTTGGGGTAATTGTCGCGCAGGTCCTCAAGCTCCTGATACAGCGCCCTGATATTCTTCTCCACCGGCGTAGGTCCCTTACCATTCATGGAGGCCCTTTTGCTGTACGTCACGTCGCCCAGCTCTGTGCCGTCGGCGATGGCGAGGACGGCCATTGGCTCTCGGAAGAGGTCGAATGGCGAGAGGGCGAGGTGCGAGGGAGGAGGGACGTGGGTGATGAGGTCGTAGAGCATTGCGCCGTCGGGATACGCCAATGGCGAGAACATGTCTGGAGAAGCTTCACATCAGTTTGTCAAGTCCCTATAAGCGGCGTGTGCTGCATATGGCGCAAATGGCTCCCGTCTTTCTCTCCTCCTTCCTCACCCGCCTTTGGGTCTTTGCCTTCTCTTTTCTACATCATCCATCGCCTCCTTTGATCCGTTGCCCCTCTCGCTCTTCACTGTACTTACTCCTGTTGGGGCGCCCATCGGCGCTGATGTCCCTGAGCTGGACGACATGCTCGGCCTGCAGCCTCTCGGCAAACGACGCAAATCTGGTCGCCTTGATCCTTCCGAGGGGTAGCAGCAGCGCCTTCACCCTCGCGGGAGCAATGGGAAGCAAAGGGTCCAAGCTCATTCTAGCATCTAGAGTCGCTCAAGCATCGTCCGGCGGGCGGTCTCAGGGATGCCCATGTAGGTAGGCTGGTCGCGACGGTGAAGGAGAGTCGATGCCGCCGTGGGAGCTGCTGCGCATATTCTTTGGGGGAGCTCCGGATCGTCGAGTCGCGGCTCAGGGCCTCGGGGCGCGCAGACGGGGGGGGGTATAGAGCTTGTCGGGTCGAGCAATCGCCAGGCCGTCGGCAAGCTGCTATGCAAACGTTGGGTCTGTCGCCGTCTGTTGGTCTCTGGACAGCTTGTCGCAAGTGTCCCACCCGTGACCTCCCCAACTTCCCCTTCCTCCCCTCAAGCCCGACGTGGTGGAGCTTTAGGAGGGACCGACGGACTGATATTTTTACGTCCCGAGCGAATCACTGGGGCCAATTCTGGGGATCTGCGCGCAGCTTGTAGCGGGGGGGAGCTGGTGCTTACAGAGCCGAGCGGGTACTGCAATGCGTCGCTGAGTCGTAGGGCTGCTGGAGCTCTACGCGTAGGGGTCTGCCTGCACTGGTGGCCCCTGTAATAAGTTGGCCGTGTAAGTGTCTGCTGAGGTGACGATGTGTTGGAGACATTGGATGGAGGAAGAAGTGAAACTCGAGATGAGGCCGACTATCTAATGCTTTTTCTGGGCTAAAGGTTTACTGCACAGCAGCCGCAAGGCATATATGAAATCACAGAGAGCCCAGGATAGATAGCCCACGAAAAGTCCATCCCCGAGCCCTGCAATTTGAAGCACCAGGACGGTGATTCAGCATGTGGTGCAACAACGAAATGCAGTTGCATCCGCGTAACAAGCATGATAGAAACGTAGAGCAGCTGGGCACTGTGTCACTGAAAAGTCCATAGACTTCTGTTCATGAAAAAGTATGCCGATGATACAAGTTCAAAAGAAGTCAACACCTTTCCTCCTAGTTTGACGGTGTTGCCTCAGTCTTATCTCGCACGTACCAACCAGGAGAATAGATGGAGAAGAAGGAATTCCAATTAGTTGATTATATACATGCAGCTGAATCCCGATGGATACCTGCCTCTACCAGCATGTTTTTGGGGCTGTGACACTTCGGTTTATCTCGTCATCCTTGTACTTGCCTCATTTGAGCGATAGCAATGCCAAGACTCGGCAACAACAGATGTAAAGCAGCTGTATTATGTAGTACACTGACAACTTGAACCGCAGCATCACACGCTCCTCCGTGAAGCAGTGTTTTGGGTAACCAGACCGCATAAGCGCAAACGTAACGCATCTGGCCCTTTCTTCCTTCATTCCATTCATTTTTCTCCTACTCTTTCGCTTCTTCATCAATGATGTAGGGAACCTCAGGGTAAGTTCAAGGGTTCCTAACGGAGATTTCTCGTCTTCCCCATCTCGAGTATATCCGGTGCTTATATCTCGACAAACAAATGACATCAGTTGACATCCATCCAATCCAACAACCAGTTCTCATTTCCTCGCAGAAAATCACACAACATAGCAGCATTTCACCTCCACGCAATCAACTGCGGACAAAGCCAGTTAATCAAGATCACGGTAAACATCAAAAAGCACCAAGAAACAGATGGAAACCTGCGCAGCTCCCGGTGCCACTGGAACAGAATGGATCAAAGAATTGGTAATAACCTTAAAATGGCATGTCACCTAGACGCTTAATATAACAGGTGGCAACGAATTCGAGATATCACCGAACGATGCCCGCCCGCTGTTTCCAGCCCCAAGCATCCACTTTACCCTACAGGGAGGGCAGCTAATTTATCCCATGGCTTACAGACAGGGCAACAATACGGAGGAAAACCCGCTCAGATCCGGGATCTGCAGTATGTACGTGTATTTCATGCAGCCACCACGACAGACGACAGACGACAGCACGTCTCCATAGCAGACCTGGACAGGGTCGCCAATTTCGAGAGATCAATGGCCCGTGTATTATTGATTCCCGATCTTTTGTGAATGAAAGTCTATCTAATGAATGTCAAAAAGAAAGCAAAATAACTTTTCCAGCACCGTGTTGTAAACAGTGAAGTAAAGAAAATCCAAGAATAAAGCCAAGGTGAAATGTATCCAAAGATCCAGCGCCAAGCTTTTCCGTCAGAGTTTCCCCTGGCCCTAGACTTGATATCCAAGAAAGAAAATGAAGAAAAAAAGGAAAAGGTAAGCACCCTTGGCTTGAATGGTCATTCTTGCTTTTGGGCAGGTTTTTTTTGTGTTTGTTTGAAAATTTTTGTCTCGTCATCCCGTCTCCCTCGTCGTGTGGGATTTAGACGCCGTCGATAGAGGGTCCAGTGGCAGGGGTCTGGCTGCCCGCGGCTGGTGTTTGGCTGGCACCGCGATTCCTGTCGTCCCTGGCCTCCTCCGTCAACTCGCTCTCGAAGATGTCCACGGCCAGGCTCGCCTCGACGAAATCCTCCATTTCCTCCGTGACGGTCTTGAGCTTCTCCTTGACGGCGAGCGCGCCTTCGGTCCCCACAATGTGCCGTGAGGGTGGGTTCTCGTGGCCCCCAATGGCCGTCAGTGCATAAATAGTCTCGTTGACGAGCTTGTCGATGGACGAGGCCGGCAGTTTGGGATAGCGGTAGAAGATCTCGCCCACAGCTTCGCCCGGCTCCAGTGAGGTGCTGTCTGGTGACGTAGCGGCATTGTCCGACTCCGGATTAGGCGGCACCGCCGTGTCGGGGTGGGAGTTGAGGACGGTCGTTAGCATCTCCCGAACGCTGGGGGCCTCGGCGAAGCTGCTGGCGTACGCGGGGATCTGCGGCGCAAAGGTGATGCGGTTCGTGAGCGACTGGATCTCCTTGTTGGGCTGCACGATGGTGACCTTGATGTTGAAGGGCGCCACCTCGTATGCTAGGGAGTCGCAGAAGCCCTCGAGGGCCCACGTCGCCGCCGTGTACATGGACATGTGCGGCGTGCCGATGTGGCCCCCGGTGCTCGTGAGGACCATGATGTGGCCGGTGTGTTGCGCCCGGAGCTGCGGCAGGGCGGCCTTGATGAAATTGACCTGGGAGAAGAACAAGGTCTCGAACTGGTCCCTCGCCAGGCTCTGGGTGGCGAGGTTCGTGGACAGCTCCTCCACGGTACCGACAACGGCTGCGGCGGTTAGCAAAACATGGTCATCTCATCTGCTGGGCGCTCGCTCGCCCTTGATGAATCACATACCTTCCGACCGACAGCACAAGAGAATATCAATCCTGCCAAAGACATCGACGGCCTCGGCAACAGCGGCGCCGCAGCCGCTCATGGTCCTCCCATCGCATCGTATGCCGCGGATCCTCTCCTTCCATCCCTCCCGGTCCTTCCGCCCACTAGTGCACTCGTTGATGAGCTCGCGAAACTCGGCACTTCTCTCCTCGTGCTCAATCTCCAGGGGAGGAAAGCAGGCCGCGACGTTGTCGCCGTGGGACAACAACTGCCGGATCAGACGCACGGCTAAGGGCGATAGCGAGGCAGTCAGGAGCCACGTTCGGGGCGAATTATGGGTCGCTGTCGGGCTCTCTTGGTCAGCCATCATTGGTGCTTTTAGTTTGTCCTTTCGAGAACATTGTACGAAAGGACGCGAGGGGGGATGGAGGGCAGTTGAGGCTGATCAGCACGCAGGACTCGTAGGCATCTGGGAGTGTGAGAAGAAGAAAAGGGAAGAAGAAAAGAGAAGGGGAGAGGAACGAGCGGACGTGAGACAGGGAACAGTGTTGTTGAAATAAGAGAGTCGAGTCCGGCAAGACTTATTAGCGAAGGTGGTGAACGGGACATGAATAATAACATTGAACACAACGACGTAAAAAAAAAAAAAGGCCCCCAAAAAAGTTCTTTCAAGACCCCCCAAAATTAGGGAAAGACAGATTGAAATAACAACAATGGAAAGGGTGTCTTTGAAAGCATGTCAAAGCCATCACCAATCAGGGCAATTTTTCCATCTCCGGCATTGGCCAAAAGGGACCGCCAGTGACGGCATCGTCACTGAAAGAGGGCGTCGTGCTGTATACAGCCCGGGCGTGCCACGAACATGAGGACAGCACCTTAGCCCAGACAGTTGCGGGATACGGGCAAGGCAGGGCTAATACGTGTATAGCATTGAAATGGAAGTGAGAGTGCCCGAGGTGATGCGATCGCGATCAAAGGTGTTCAACAAGGGGGTTGCACTTACGGAACACGGCCGGCGTCACGTCGAGCATACGGCTCTCGCTCAGCAGGCTATAGCGCTGGGGGGCAGGCTTAGGCGGTTGTGCAGGCCGGTTGCCACTGGACATGGTGCTGAGTTATAGGGCGTCGCTCGCTGTAGTATTACTCGTACCACCTGCAGCAAGCGGACAGCAGCATGCATGGGCCAGACGGCGGGCCACACAAAAACGAGCGAAAGCGAGGACGGCGAGAGGTGAAGACTGGATGCGAGGTAAACGACAACAGAGCAAAGAAAAGGTTCAAGATAAGAAGATCTTAAAGAGAGTAAGAAGGGAAACGAAACCAAAAACCAAGTATCGAAAAATGAGTGTTGGGCACCCTCCAAAGGAAGACCAGACTGGGTGTGGGAAGAGTGCAGAGCCATATGTACTCGATGCCATGTCCAGCAGCAGAGGTACACGAGAGGGCATGGCTCGTTTGCATCGTCCCTCTGCTCATGCGACTGAGTCGTTCAGCCAGGCTGCAATGTGCCTAACAACAACTGCCGAGGGCAGAGCGGCGATATTAACGTTCAGGACCGGACGGATCAGCCAGTGACGGCCCCCAGTGCCCGCTTAGATCATGACACTCGGCCCCAGAGCGGACATGTAGCCTGAATCCATCGCCATAGATAGATCCATAGCTTCTAGTCCTGGACACATCTGTCCCCATGGTCATGTTTGGTTACGCCCCCACCAGGACGGACGACCTCGGGCCTATCGATGGTGATGGCAGGCCCGTTGTCAGTCCACGCCTCTCTGCTGCCCTGTAGGGCTGGCCTAGTCCATGTAAGCTTTCTTCTTTCTTGGTTTTGCCTTACGAAGCTCTCTGTCATGACACGCAAAGCAGGCCAAGAGCGGCGCATGCAGACGCCTTCGAGGCGGCGGGCAAGAGGAGCAGAAGGGGGTGTGGTTTCATCAGATGGATCATGAAAACTTGTCTCTGAGCCAAGACCTGACTCGGAGATGCAGCCGAAGGACGACGTTGGAGCATCTTTGAGCATCGCCGGCAAGCGAAAAAAAGGTACATGTTATCAAGCTTTGGTACGGAGCGCATGTCATGTACTCCATACAACTTCACGACTGCATCTGCCGAAGAGGGGCCCCGTACGAGATACATGCGACGAAGTGCGTTGGCCACGAACAAAACGTCTAAGCCACTAGGCACTATATGTGAGTTGCATCTAGCTTTGGTCAGCTCCGCCAATACCTACCTGACGAGCGAGCCAGGGTCGGATTGTTCCGTTTCGCGAATGGGCGTCCTTTTTGGTCCTCGTCAGCCTCGTTCTTGTATCATAAAGTCCGCATTTGGCAATCAGGACTCTCGCTTGTGGAAGCAGCGGAACCTCCCGCTTTGCCACCGGAGGCCCCATGGGTGGCCGTTGCTGCCGAACACTTCCGGGGCCCGGTCTCGGTGCTGGTGGCCGAAGACGTCCGAAGAAACAGCGACTTACAACATCGGCGATAGGATATGACAGCAGACCTCCTGTTGCAAGTGCGCGCTTGTGTATACCAAATGTACTGAAGCAAGCATCAGTATTTGTGCACTGATCGCAGAGTGTTTCCCGTGGCAACACTTCAAGATGCATCACAGATCTGATGCCCAACTCAGGATCCGCCCGCATCGAGTCTCACCCACAGCGCACGCAGGCCTTTCCCGGTCCAGCGACGGGTCCCCTCAGCTACAAGTATTTGGGTGAGGTGCGGTGAAAGCCCGGACCTGTGCTGGAGCCCTACAGGGCGAACCCCCCGCTCCTCCATCCCCTGCTGCCGGGGAGCCGCTAACGTCAATGCGAAACAGCGTCACCAGGAGCGTTCAGTGACTGACTCAGCTCCAGTTCGGGGGCAATATGCGCTCCTGGGTTGACATCCTGCTGCTCCGGTGTGCGAGCATCTCGAGTCAAGGAAGTGTGTGATCCGTGATTCCGTATCATTCTGCAGTTCCCGGCAACGGGGGAGGCTAACAAGGCTCCAAGTGTCACTCCAGCGGCATCGTGGCGGCTTCGTAGCGGCATCGTGGCGACAGGACATCATCGTCGAACCCCTTAGGCGAGTGTTAGTTCATCATTACAAGTGGTTCCCTAGATCCGGGCCTGGCTCAATTCGGCTCTCGCAGTCGGATCATGCACCCCTGATTGGCCCGCCCCCCACCCTCACAAAGTATCTGTCAGCAGACGCAATCAATATCAAATCAACAGAAAGGTACAAGCAGCACGATGGAGAGGGAAAAAGCGTCTGATGGTAATGGGACTAGAATTCAAAAGCAAGGCAAGCAAGAACTGTTTGAGCAATACTACGCAGATCCACCCGTCTTCCATGTGTCCGTTGAGCCGAGCATCAAGCGTCACAGAAAACAAGGACAGCCGAGTCTTCAAGACTTGATGTCTGCCCGCTCCTCCCGAATGCTATCGGGGTGGCCAAGTTCAGGCTCGGCTTCTACCTTCTTGGCGAGCTCCGTGACGCCAAACAGCTCATCCATGTGTTCCAGGCTCAGACCCTTGGTCTCAGGCACGAAGAACCACACAAAGATGCCCATGATGAAGCAAAAGGTTCCGAACATGAAGAACATGCCCTGGTAGGGAGTCATCGAGTCAGCACACTAATGTCGAGGTATCATTTAGACGCAATATACTTACATAGCCTGCCTTGCCCATGGTCGTCTGCATGGTGAGAACGGCTGTTGATTGGTTAGCCAACGTTTCCAAACTGCTGGCATGGCAAAAAAAGGGGGAGGCGTCTGGTGGCTTACATCGAGCACAAACAAAGTTGAAGAGCCATTGAGTGGCTGCGCCAATGGCCACGTTCATGGCACGCAGTCGGGCAGTGGGTATCTCGCTAACCAGAATCCAGCAGACAGGGCCCCAGCCGAACTGGAACGACGCAGCCCACAGATAGATGCAGGTGATAGCAACATATCCGAATGCCGTGACCTAGAAGGGGGTTGAGAGCATGCGGATCAGCCAAGAATTCCATGGAGGAGACATCGAAGCATCGGCGTCGGACAACCCGATGCGTCCGCGTCGGGGATCGGAACTTACAGGTTGTCCAGCAACAGGGGGCTGAACTCGTCCGTAGATGCCAACAATGTACAGGAAGATGCCTTGGGCGGCGGCCGTCCACAGCAGACTCCAGCGTCGACCGAGCGAATCGGCCACGAAGATCAGGAAGACAGCGCAAGCTGCCGTCTTGACCACGCCGTAGACTCCAGTGGCGAACAACGACGAGTCATTTCCAGTCATTCCGAGGTTAGTGAAGATTTGAGGAGCATAATAGTTCTACATTGTCCACCGTTAGCATCTTCCCTGCGAGCCCTACGATACCGGGATGGCGTCAGGGTTCTTACAATGGCATTGACACCAGTCATTTGCTGGAAAATCATGAGGAGAATGGAGATGATGGCTCGGTTGCGGTTGCCAGGGATTGTCCACATCTCCCTGAGAAGTGTCTTGAAGGTGGCGTCTCCAGTCAGGCGTCTCTCATGTTCCAGCTGATCGGCCATCTCCTGAACCTCGTTCTGCACATATTCAGAGTCGGCAGGCAGACTATACACCCCCTACTGTCAGAGAATGATACTTGGAAACACGGCCTGTCGTTCTGATAGGTCTTACCCTCGGAGCTTCACAAGGACTCGCGTAGCCCGGTCCCAATCATCTCGTCTGGCGCACCATCTCGGGCTGTACCAGGGGTTAGTCTTACTACACTTTCTGTTGCTATCGGAGGCCCATAGCAAAAGGCCATTGAGGTATTTGCGTACCTTTCAGGAGAAACGAACATGCCGACCATCAAGAAGCTGCGTGACCGTCAGCAAGCGGATCAGCCGCGATTCATGGATATTTCATGTACTAACATGGCAGGCAGAGCTTGCAAGGCCAAAGGGATAACGTAGATGGCAGGGGCCGAGACGTGCAACAGGCATCCATAGTTGACCCTAATATGGAATCTTTGTAAGTTGATCGTGATCTCGAAGCACACGTTGAGGGAGCGAGTCGGTCCGTTCCATACCAGAAGGCGAGCATGATGCCGAAGACGTTGAAGAGTTGATAAAAGGCTATTTTCCAACATCATTGTCAGCATGGCTGTTGGAATTCATATTCTGATGTTGCTTGCAAAGGGACATGTAGTATATGGTAAGGTAGAGGTCGTCAAGTGCTGAAGTCGTAGGGCGGTGTCCCAGGGCAGATGAACTTGATGCCTGAGGTTGAGGGGGAAGTACAAGTCCAATAGTGTTTCATGTCATCAAGCGCTCACGATCTCTGCTCTTACCTGTCAAGCCACCTCGAATGGCACGAGGAGCGCACTCGGACACATACAACGGAGTCAATGCCGATGCAGCACCGATTCCCAGGCCGGCGATGAATCGGCCGACATACATGACAGCCAGCGTGCCCTTGGCGGCAGACGCAGCCTGGAAGATGATGCCGATGATAGTGAGCAATCCAGCGCTAATCAGGGCGAATCGGCGACCATATCGATCCGTGACCCAGCTGGTGAAGAAGCACGCGGCAAAGCATCCTGCCTGCAGCGTCGAGACAATGTTCTGGCTCATGTTGGACTTGGCCTTGGCCGAGCTGTCTGCATAGTGGAACCTCTCCTGGAATTCGGGCATGGTGAGGATCCCGCCGATGGCACCCGTGTCCCAGCCGAACAGCATGCCGCCGAAGCAGGCCGAGAAGACAAGGGTGAAGACACGCCATCCGTAGATTTCATCGGGATCGGTACGCATGGCATCGTTGCGCACGATGGCGCGCAGGAACCTGGAGGTTACGCCCATGGTGGCGGCGTGTTATAGTCGACTTGGCTTATGCCTGGCTGATGGATCCGACTCGGCAGTTGTCGGTAGTGTTGAGCGTGGAGTGGACAAAGGAGCACCACGATGCACGACAGGAGAAAAGACGTGTTCTGTCCTGTGCAAGACTCGAGGCTTCAGTCTCTAGCCTTGAGCAGCGAATTGAAATGGACGACTCCTGGACCAAGACAGAGCCGTTGAATTCACAAGGAGACGGACAAGGAGACAGGAGAAGAGAGACACGGGCGGACGAGGTCGTGCGACGCTGATATGTACTATTTCCTGAGACAGCCGGGGACGGGCGACCCGCTTCTTGGGCTGGAGAGCAGACCCTGGTCGCAACCCAGACGAGAAGCATGCCCAAAGGGCAAAAGCAAGCGAAAGGAGCCGGCTAGAGCAACCCCCCAGATGCGCGGAGCGATCAGACGAGTAAAACGGCCGGTCCCAAATTCCCCAGACTCTCGAGCCTGCTGGCTGAGGGGGAGTGGGCACCTGGGAGCTCTTGGCCGTCAAGCCGTCAAGCACACCGGGTGGAGAGAAGCGATGATCTGGTTGTTGGCTATACATCATACCTCATGGTTCACGGCTGGTTCATGCCGTCAAGTGTGGGATGCAAAAGGCAATGCTGTGACGGGCAATGCTGAGATGCATGATATTAGCCGTGGAGGGTGGTACTGACTGCAGCCTGCATACGCCCTTTACAGGAGAAACGAGACGACAGCGCTGGCAATCACGACATTGATCTATCATACATGGACGTTACACAGCGTTGATTCACCAACCACGGCTTATACGGTATAGAGCACGTAAACTTTCGACGAGCGAGGCCGTCGTTGGAAGGTCTCTTGAAGGGAACACGAGAAGGCGGGCTGTCGCTCCCATGACCGGCGCCCTTTTCGGTCGGCCCTTTTACCTTTTGCCCATGTTCGTTGCTCGACTTGCAGTGTCCTGCGAACGGACGATCAACATGCCCCAGCGTTCCGCTGGCAGCGACACTCCTCTTCTGTCTTCACCATTGACAGCACGAAACGCTGTGCCATGTTCACCAAAGTGCTGGCTTGGGGGCGGTAAGCTGAGCGCTGCGACGCAACCATTGCCGCAACAAAGGGAGCCCTGGATTTCTTGCATGGACTAGCAGTCGTTAGCACAAGTCCGGAGCACAGCAGCCTGAGACCAGGCTGTGCCTCTTCAGCCAAGGCGCTGCCTCACCCGCCGTGGAGCGCCATTATCTTAGTGCAAAGACACGGGCCGGGATCTATGGCTTCGGCTCTGCATTGAGGAGAATCTCCCAGCGGAAGAACCACGTCCCACCAATGAACGGACGACTGAGCGCCAAGCACGATGGAATCCCATCTCGTGATGACGGAGGAAAAGACACGGATCCAACAAACGGCATGATTATTTCACTTTCTGGCCATGAGAAGTGCCTCGCTGGACTTACAAGGAATGCTGAGTACGTGGAGGCCAGTAGCTTCCCCTCCCCCGGATTCCCCTCCAGCCCGCCAACAGGTATGTCTCTATCAAGACGCAAGATTTCGGCAGACTGAGGTAGTACGACTACGGAATACTACATATTCTCGTGCTTCGACCTCTGTGCTACGGCATGCCCTATTACTACGAGTACTGACTCAGACATGGATCCGTTGGACATAGCCAAGCCATGTGGTATTACTATGTACCGCGCTTCTCTGTTCGACTTCTTCAGCAACTTAAACATCGAGCAGGGGCCCCTTTGTGTTTAACCGTCTGTGGGGCCGTGAGGGTGGGGTGGATGGAGGCGGAAACGTTTAATTTTCTGGCCTTCTCTTCTTTTTACCCTTTTGTCGTTGCTCCGCGCTGAGTTGAAGCATGATTCGTCTTCTCCAGATTTCTCCGCATTTTGCGTTGGACGGCGCGAATCCATCGAGATGCGCTATTGCTAGCATCACCTGGACTGGGAGCCCTTGTGCATCACAAACTATGTCTGTATGTACATACAGACCCTCGGCGAGACTGATCCTGGGCGCGAAGCGGCGGTCCGGGGATCCAGCGAATCCCAGCTTCGGCAGCTCCAGAGGCCTGTGTGTCAGACAGAGAGCCGCTACACGTCTGATGATGCAACCCTGTGCGCACCGGCCAGGCACCCTGGCAAGCTGGACAGAGACCACCGCTGCGGGACATATTCACGAGGAGACTGGTGATGCTCAGAAATGCCTGATTTTCATGACATGCGAGATGCTTCCGAGTGGAGCAACATGAGCTGCTGGGATTCATGGGATTTCACTCCTCAGCATCTCCGCCGTTGACTGTCGACTCACTCACTCACTGTTGACTCGCTGAAGCAGTCAAGCAGTATTGCACACGTTCGGCAGGTTACATGCAAAAAGGCACGCCTAACCTTGTAAGGAAGACCTGATGTCTCTTCTCCTCTTCGTGGTGGCCGACGCTGCACATTACGGTCTGTCGCAAAAGGCTGTTGGTGTGAGGCCCGAAGTGGCACGGGTGTAAGTACATACATGTTGAAGTTTATTTCTACGTCTCATACCCCCTTCTGCCACGTTCCAGTCAATTTAGGCAGAACCAGCCAAAGCCATGATAGGTGCCTCTCCTACATTGTTTCTCGTCATAGCTCCGTTCACGTGGGGAGAAAGCTATGTCGAGAGAAGATCACAGCCAGATGCGGCCACGCTCGGCAGCGTTACATCCCGCCCTCTGCTGCCATCTCCTGAAGCAGCCAGTTGGGGATCGCGGGAGGGCTCTTCCACCCATCCAGATAGCTCTCTTTGGGCACGCTGGGGCCAGCTGGTTTGGCGTAGATGGCGGATACATACCACACCCCTTGGCCCCGCGGGATCGTGTGCTGCAAGGTCGGTATCGTTGTCCGACTCTCCATGAGATTCGTGTTGGGATCGGCATTCACAAGCATGGCCTGTCGCTGTCCCTGAGGTTCTAGAGCCTTGATACCCACAGCTCCGGTATTTGGGGCCACCGCAAAGGCACCATTGAGACCAGTGTCCCAGCCAGCTGGGGTGTTGGTGTCGTAGTTGCCAATGATCTTGGGGCTAGTGCCCTCGCACTTTGACTCGTCGTATAGCTCCAAGTATCTCCCATTCTCGGAGTTGACATTGCGAATGGCAAATGAACCATCCGCAGTCATGACCTCTCGGCCAGCCTGGATATGATGCACCCGCAGATGCCAGTTTGGTGTGGCCTCGACGGGAGGGATCAACAGCGTCTTGATCTTGACATCAGCAAAAGGCTTCCAGATTGAAGCCAGGATTGGCTGGCCATCTCGCTCTTCGACTGCGGCGTATTCGGACAGTCTCCTCGTCTTCCAGTACTCGCCGCCGTCATCCGAAAGTCCCAGCTGGGATGCCAAGGCATACTGTTCGAGGGAGAAGAGTCCGGATGGAACGGAGTAACCAAAGGCGCTGCTGTAGGCGAAGCCTCCATACTTGGCATGCGTGGCCTTCATTGGGTAGCCACACGCTTGACCCGAAGAAAGGAGCATACAATGTCCACCAAGGTAACTGTGGACAGCCGCGGAGAGCATCGAAGAGTTAGCAAGACGCTTCCCCCCACATCATTGGTGGATAAATGAGGCTGCACTCACCTTGTGATGTGTCCCGGCTGCCGTATGGCCTTGATTCTGGGGATCTGGGGGCTGATGGGCTCCTCCTTGGACGTCCAGAACGGGTGCTGCTCGGGAACCGCCAGGCAGATGAAGGCCAAGCATGCCCAATACTGATCGTCATTCGGCAGCAGTTAGCATGCGGTTTCCTCTGAACGCTGCCGAGATATTGGGTTGCATCGGTGCTACTCACAGGACTTCCGGGGCTGTTGTAGTTCTCGGTAATCTATCAGGCGTTTCACGTGAGCAAAGGGTCAGCGATCTAAGGCACCAGAAGCGATATGGAACCTGCATGAGCAGCCATTCATGACGATGATACGTACATACATGGTCGGGTATGAAAACCCGAGGGACAGCGTCCCGCTCGACGTCCAGATGTCATTCTGCGTCTGCCACCATCTGAAATTGCGAAGGACCACTCCCTTGACCATTCCCCACGTCAGGGGAGCGGGCAGGTCCACGTCCGCGTAGGCCAGGGCGCCCCAGAAGGAGACCATGGCGAAGCGATAGACTAGACTGCGACCAAAGGGAATGGCTCGGCCAATTTCGTCGTGGTAGTGGATGAGATCAAGGGCGGCGACCTGAGCGCGGTGCTTGAACTCCTTTGCGCGGGCGGGGTCCGATTCGCCGGCAAGTTTGGCGTAAAGCAGCTGGAGGAAGTGGATGGCAAAGCTGGATGAATAGTAGTCCATTTCTGAAGGAACAAACGCGGGCGTGAGTCATCGTGGAATGGCTTGAGGAGGTCCAAGAGCCAAGAGAAAGGGGGAAGGGAACGGAACTCACGATGGATGCCTTCAGGGCCGTCGTTGGACCAGCCTTCTCCCCGGTAGAAGGTATTGAGGTGCTCAATGTCGCTGTCGAGCCGCTCCTGGGAGTATTTCGCTCCGTTTTGCTTGAGGCCGAGGTTGGCGAAGACGCGGAACCAGAGCCAATTGGTGTTGGGCATGCTGCGTGGTCCAGTCAGTAAGTGGCATCGAAAGTGATACCCTTTTGTGTATTGTTTCACGCAGAGTGCTAACTGACTTTTTCTCGTTGATGGAGTTTCCAAGCCAGTTCTCGACGTTGACACGCTCCTTTTCCGAGAGACCCTTCCATATTTCTGGTGCTACTGCCAGTGCATATCCTGAACAGCACGCGTTCCTGTCAGCCTCATTCAACAGACATCATCAACTATCAGAACTGTTTGATTACCCAAGGGACACATCTCAACCATCCTCTGGTCATTGTCGCGAGGATACCCCCAATACTCGGGACTCTCCGGATCCGTGCCGGCTCTGATGCCCTGAATCCACCACTCGGTGCCGCGGTACTGGCCGCCCCCGGCCAAAAGGCAGGCCAGCCCCCAGAGGGGACGGCAGAGGCCCTCGATCTCGGACGCGGTCTGGTCGAAGCGGACGGCCGTGGCGCCGGGGCACTTGACGCGGGCCTTTTGCGGGGAGAAGAAGGGCTCGAGGGGGTCGAGCAGGGTGCGGAGGAGCTCCTGGACGGAGGCGCGGTCTGTGAGGGGGACTTGGGTGAAGGGGTGCTTGTCGTTGTAGCCGAGGGAGATGGGAGCCATTTTGGAGAATTTCTGAGTGAGCTGCCTGAGCTGCTCAGATGGTGCACTTATGGAATTGAAGTGAGTCCTGGCGCTGTTTACATGAAGGGAGGTTCCGGAAAGCTTTATTTCATTTCACGTTGAAAAGCTTCGATAGCTCTGAATTTCTCCGGTAGGTGAATCACACCAGAGATGGCTTAAATTGATTATCCTCAGGGCGTGCGCAGAGATAGAGAGAGCGCTCATGCAAGCTCTCTTTTCGTTCGGCTTCGATTGAGCCGAATTTGGGTGATATCAGACTGCGGCATCACGAATGAGGGGCAGGATGGGGTTGCGTGTGGAGAACTGGACAAGAGGAAGAGGAGAAGCTGAGCAAGAGCTCCAGAGTATACATTTGTGGGCGAGCTCTTCCTTTTTTTTTTCGCTGCCATTCGTTCTCTATCGTCTGGTTCTTTTCAGATGTGGTGGTAATTATGCGTTTAGGCATCTTGTCATTTGTTTGTTCTCTCCTTATTCTAAGGGCAGTTGGGGTATGATGCCGGGTAAGTCGAGATGAATCGTCAACAGCGGCACAAGTTACCTTGACGAACAGCTACATTGTCCTAGGTAATAAGGGACGAGTCTACAGACAAGGTACTGTAGCTACAAGCTGCTTGAACCCTGCATTGGTGGTCGATCGTCGCTGGGGATGGGGCTCACGAAATCTACCGGCTAAATTGGAGGGATAATGTCCGTCTGCGTGGGGTGTTTGGGTGTACATGTATTATCTTGCACGGTGACATCTATCGGTATCGTGAATGTGATGGAGGGAATCGTTATATTGCATGATTCAGGCGAGTGGACGATTGTGAATGGGTATACGATGGATAGAAAGGTGTTGGAGGACGCTTTGAAGCGTTGGAATGGCAAACGTAATGGGTACATAGTAGGGTGAAGAGTTGAGTGTTATATGTGAGCAATAGCTCGGTTTGCAGCGAGTAAACGACACAATGCCTTGGACGTTACGAGGTGTTACTGCTGGAGAAATCTAATCAATGTGGCAGAGATTAACACCCGTAAATGCAAGACGGCTCTACAAGAGAGAATGACAATCAACGCCAGCAGTGAATGATACCTTTTTCTTTGTTTTGCAAGCAGATGGAAGCATTGAAACAACATGAAGTCATAAGACTCGTAGACTTTACGCAGGATTAGACCTCTCGCAATTACTTGTATCGGCCTATTGGCAAACATAGGAATGCCTTTGTCAAAGGCCAATCATATGCTACCCTAGAGCTCTATATTGCTAGTATAGGCGAATCAAAGGCTTACACATCTTACTTCAATTCTAAGTGCATTTGATGTCTTTTAAACTTGTTACAACCATCTATCTTTTGCCCAATCATTAAAGACAGAATCAATCACCTCCCCCGTGTCTATAATTCATCCATCTACTACCCTTAAACGACATGGCGACTTCTCTAACCTTTACAACTCACCCCAACGCACCTTGAGAGCAAGCGACACACGCTCAACTAGCATCATCACAGCTCATCCCAGAAGCCTCGCCCCTCATCGTCACGCCACACGCAATGTCGACTGGATCACCACCGGCCGATGAAGAGCCAACGCCAAGGCCAATACAAGGCGCAGAGCCAGAACCCACCAAGGCCGAAATCCCGTCTTCTTCAACGCTGTCGTCCCTTTCCGAGCTTGAGTCGCCATTCACGCCTGTGCGACTGCGGCGCAAGGTGACTCCCACCCAGCCCGTGGAGTCGCCATCCAAGGACGAGCCCAAGTCGATCCCGCAAAGGCCAAAGAGGAGAACCCCCGCGAAAAAGAAGACGCCCAAGAAGCCCAAATGGACCGCCGAGACTATCGTGAGGGATCCAAAGTCTCCTCTAGCCACGGCGAATCTGAGGGTAGGTCCATCCTTTTGTGTGCTTTTTTGCTGCATCCATCACCTTTCGATGGTCATGTCGGGATGCATGCTTGTGAGAATATGATAGCAAGTGATGAAAGAGAGTCTAACTCTTTGAGCAGAGCATCCTATGCAACACCATGGCGTGGACATGCTTGGACCAAGCCGACAAGGCGGAAATTCTAGCCCTCTTCCCCGATAGAGATCACGTCCTTGACGCTGACACGGAAGACGCGCGACCGAACCTTGCGTCGCTGATGAACGACGACAGCTTCCGCTACGACTGCGCCGCGTACACGGAGAACATTGCGCAGGGCCGGCACGACCCGGAGTGGCTCGCCTCTGCGTGGAGCGCGCACGAGAGGAGGAAGGCGGGTGACTTTGACGAATTTCTGGTGGAGAGGCTGGAGGGGGACTGGGGCGTTGAGATTCCAAAAGGAGTGAGGACGGCGAGGGGGGTGAATGGGGCTGGGAAGAAGGATGATGGTAATGGGGATGGTAATGGGGATGGTAATGGGGATGGAGGGGAAGACGCAGAGGGGGTTGGAGATGCGGATTTGCATGCAGGCGATGGTGCAAAGGCGGATGCGAGTGGTGCGGCGGTGAGGCAGAAAGTCATGCCTAGGAGGCTGGACGATCGGATGGAGATTGATGAACTTGCGGCTTAAGTCTATGGAGGATCGTGTAGGCTTGTGACTGGGTTGGGCGTTCATGGTATTATAGAGACATACAGATTGCGCAGTCCTACGACAATTCATTTCACGAAGACAAATATTCAGATGCTCTTCCATCTCCCCCGTGCCGCCGGCCTGCATGGAGAGAAACTCATAGTCGTCGGGAACGTCGAGGAAGGAGGTCAGGTCGGCCTTGGCCTTGCTGATGATGGGGTTTGCAATCTCGGAGCAGTAAGAGTGCTCTGCCAAGCTTCAGCAGCTGCAATACTTGACCTGTCGTGTTGAGAAGCGTGATATAAGAATCAACTGCGAGGCACAGGCTGGTGTCGTTGTAGTTGACGAGTGCCTGTGGCGGCCTTCGTCGAGGACGGCGGTGGGCAAGGGGGCCGGCCCGGCTCCGGAGTAGGTGATTTCATGTCTGGAAGGCATTGTTATGCTTTTCTGCTTTCTTCCCGTGTGGAAGATCTAGAGTTGAAGCTCGATGAAATAGGCGACATTTTACTAGTAGTACCTTGCTTATAAGCCATCCAAGCACAAGCTGCGACTCCGCATCGGCCGCTCAATTGCTTGAGCAATCAAATGCTGGCCTCATGGGGAATTCAGGCTATAATCTCTGCGACTGAACGTGAGTCTCAGACTCTATTGAATACTGTCTCATTCAGTCTGTCCCTGGGTAAGCGACACTTGCATCCGGTAATGAGTTAATATCTTCAATGTCACTCGAGTCAATCAGAAGCCCCTCTACCTAGACTACCTAGGTATGGACTTGTATGACGGTGATTTCGTGCTGCTGCAACTGCTGACTAACATAGCTGGCTGACTGCGCCATTCCCCAGCCACATTTGCGTCACCAGCCACAGCAAGGCGACGAAGCTTAGGTTGCCTGGATCTGGATCTTGGATGCGTTTCCCGCATCAAACCAGCTCCAAACGGCCCTCTTCCCTCTCGTCGCTGCGCCGTTGCAAACGATAGCCTCCTTCTGCCGTCCCATTATTCGACACTTTCAGATCACAGCGAGTCACCATGTTCAGGAACAACTACGACAACGATTCCGTCACCTTGTACGTGCCCTTGTCCGAACGGGCTGAAGCCCCTCCAGCTTGCTCCAAGCTCGCCCAGTAGCTGATACTGACGTGACCTTCGCCCCTCTAGCTCGCCGCAGGGCCGCATCTTCCAGATCGAATATGCCGGCGAGGCCGTCAAGCAAGGATCAGTGGTGGTCGGAATTGCCAGCAAAACACACGTCGGCCTGTTTGCCGTCAAGGCGAGTTCCCATCTACCCCTCAGCACAACGCACAAGCAGAACCGTCCGGGGACGTCCCAAGGCTGACCGGGTCCGCCCGTGGCACAAACAGCGAAACGCAGAGGAACTGTCGTCGTACCAGAAGAAGCTTTTCGAGATTGACGAGCACACCGCCATTGCCATTGCCGGCCTCACGTCAGATGCCCGCGTCCTGTCCAACTTCATGAAGCAGCAGTGCCTGGGCCACCGGCTGACGTACGGCCGCCCGATACCCATACACACGCTGGTCGGCATGATTGGCGAAAAGGCACAGATCAACACCCAGGTCTACGGCAAGAGGCCGTACGGCATCGGCTTGCTGGTGGCCGGCGTCGACGAGAACGGCCCCCACCTGTTCGAGTTCCAGCCGTCGGGCATGACGGAGGAGATGGTGGCGTTTGCCATTGGCGCGCGGAGCCAAATGGCCAGGACATATCTGGAGCGCAACATTGACAAGTTTGCCGACTGCACCAAGGAGGAGCTGGTCAAGCACGGGCTGAGAGCGCTCAAGGAGAGCTTGGTACAGGACAAGGAGCTGACGGTCGAGAACACATCGGTGGGATTGGTGGGTCTGACAGAGGGGCCCAAGGGCCGACCGAGCATTGAGCCCTTTAAGCTATACGACGGTTTCGAGGTCAAGTCTTGGATCGAGAGCGTCAGCGAGAGCCAAGGAGGCGAAGGGGGCGAGGGAGGCGAAGCAGAGGGCGAGACTGCGGCCGAAGGCATGGACGTCGACAGCTAGACGGCTTGATGAGATGATGTAGGGGGTTTGGGGAAACACTGGTGTAGATGACGCATCACTAGAGGGGCTGCCCGGGACAGCACAGTTGGGGAGGTTTGATACGCACGAAGCCATAATGAAAAACGTAAAAGAGAACAAGAGAGAAGATACCTAATCATGACATTACTTCTCATTTCATGACGCATTTGTAACCCGTCTATGGATATATCTATATCTGATGCTTGATAAACAACCTTCTATACCACACATGAAGAGCCACGCAAAAAGGCCATGATTTCCCAGAGACCAGACAAGGAACAACAGAGCCAAATGAAAAAGAACAAAAGAACAACTAAACATCATAAACCGATGAATACCATAAAATCGTCGGGGTCCTAAGGGCATCCGCTCATTCCTTTTGCAGGCTCAAAACTTCTATATCCTATTCCTATCCTAAACCAGCCCCCGTTTATTGCGAACCCCATTCTAGCTTGAAAGTGCCCTCGGAAACCTGGTAGTTCATCAGCCCGAGGATGGCGTCCTCGGCGCTGGTGGCGGTAACGAGAATGTCCTTGTTGGGCAGCTTGACGAAGCCCTGCTCGACGGCCTTGTCGACCCACTGGATGATGCCGTCCCAGTAGCCGTTGATGTTGAGCAGGCAGATGCCGCGCTTGTGGATGCCGAGCTGGTTCCAGGTGACGGTCTCGAAGAGCTCCTCGACGGTGCCGTAGCCGCCGCTGAGGGCGATGAAGCCGCTGCCGGGCCCGCCGGCGAAGACCTCCTCGGCCATGAGCTTCTTGCGCGTGTGCATGTCCTTGACGACCGTCGTCCGGCCGTACTCGGACTCGGTGGGCACGTACTGGTTGGCCGTGTTGACCGTCTGGTAGGTGCCGTCGCGCTCGTACTTGACGAGGGCCTCGGGGATGATGCCGTGGACGGCGTCGGGGCCCTTGAGTTTGGTGAGGGTCTTGGCAACTTCGCCCATGAGGCCGACGGTGCCGCCTCCGTAGACTGCAGAAAAACCACGTTAGCTATTGTTTGGGGGGGATTGGAGAGAAGGTTGGAGGGTTGTAGGGGCTTACCGAGGTCGATGTCGTTTTCAGCCATGACGCGGGCGAGCTCGCGGGCGACTTCGACATGTTCCGGGTCGTTTCCGGCTGCTGAGCCGCAGTATACGCAGATCTTGGTGCGAGGGGTGCCGTTGGTGGTGCCGTTGGCGGTTCCGTTGGAGGAGCCGTTCTGGCCGGTGACGGTGCTATCAGCGGTCATGGTGGGGGATGTTGGAGATGTGACTTCTTTGGAGGGGTCCAGAAAGAAAGGCGTCGAAATCGGATAAGGAGGTTGAGGTCGACTGGGGTCCTTGATCGAAGTAGAACCAGGGACGAGGAGAGGGGAGTCGGTTCTCCGGAAGACAGAGGTTGGGTGTAGACGCCTAAGGAGTGGTTGGGCGTAAATAGAGCCAAGACAGCGAAAGGAGCGAGGCTACAGCAGCTCTTGTATTCTTGTGCTTGAATAGTGGCAATCGAGTATACTCTTCGTCGAAAAAAGAGAGGATAGAAGATGTAAAATAAGGGAAAAGGGAGAGTAGAAGGAGGAAGATGAGAAAGACGCGAAAGTAGGTGGCGAAGTCGCGGCTAGATGTATCTGCTGGGGAGCGATGACGCTGCAGGCCGCTTTGAATGCGAACGTTTTTGCGGTCCAAAGATCCGGGCGGCGCAAACGGGCTGCCGCTAGTCTCGACTCCCCCCCGGCAGCCATCGGCCACCGCCGGCCCTGGACTGTGACGGAGGGTTTCCTCCTCATTGGACGAGCGTTTGGGCCTGGACAGGAGCGGGCGGGAGTCATGCCAAATGCCGGGGGCGCCAATGCGAATGTGGGAATTTCAGAATTGCCAAATCCGCTCGCCGGTGCCCTCGATTACCCAATTGGCGTTTGCTTTGGCCGTGCGATGGGCTTTTGGTCCCTTGTGGTGTTTCTGGGCATCAAGTTTGGTTGTTTCTTTATCTCATCATGTTTCACAAAGCGTGGGTTGTAGTTCAAGTTGGTGTTTTAGCAAAAGGGACTAGGAGGTCAGCAGGACAGGCTCGGTGAGAGGCAATGACGGTTCAGGCTTCAGAATTCGCTATTGATGGGACAATCAGCATGCTGCTGTGCCTAGTTGAACGCACACAGCTGTGGCCGGGCTGGCTCTGGTCGCGGCTCTTCAAGTCGAGGGCTCGATATCTGCATACCGCCTTTGCATCGAATGTGAGTTTACACAACATTGCCATTGACCGAAATCGGACTGGCATACAGATGCTGTTTCCCTTGCCTAGATAGGCCAGAGTCATGCCAGACTGAGGCAATGTTGCACTAATAGCATGATAACGAACCATGTACGACGATTTGAACCGTATCTTGGCTAGATAACCTGGAGAAGAGCCTCTAGGCTTGTCACCTGGCCGGTTTGCCTGAATCTGTTTGAGCCGCATCAGGGACGGCGTATTACGGAGGTTCTATGGGATCGAGGTTTCGAGACACGACTCATGGCTTGCCATCAGTCAGGCACAAAGGCCAGTGCTCAGGAGCCAAAGATCCATTTCCACTGCCGTTAGGCGTGAGAACTGAGGCTCTTTGCCTCCTCTTTGTTTGTCCCAGTCCCTCTGCTCTCGTCTGCTGGTGCTCTCTCGTGCTACGGAGCCCGCCGCTGATTCGCCGACCCGGTCTGATGGGTCCAGCGGCGCCGATTTACTCCGGCCTCCGCCGCCTGCCGCCCCTCAAGTAAAATAGGTATCTTTTTGCGTCATACAGTATAGCGACGGTACATGCACCCATCTTGCACGTTCTGCAGTGGCCGGCCTAGGCCCAACAGGGAAATGGAGATAGCACCTCAACAAAGCTGCCGTGCTTGCGAAAGGCCATCTTGCACAATTTTGACGACGTCAACGCGCAACGGTCTTTTCGCCCTTTTCCACTCCCAGGGCGACCAGCTCAACCCCGGATCATCACCGCAAGGCAATTAGGCGTCTGAATTTGTCTGTGGCTCCCGCGACGCAGCTTGACTGTCTGCGCAATGCCCACGACAGCAGCGCAGCGGCCCGCGGGCCAGGCGGCACGGCGCCAGCAGGATCAGGGAAATGTAAGTCGAGATGCTAGCACGCTCAAAGATTCCCATGCCCTTTCCGCTGATCTATGGGTGCTAACATGCTGTGGCGCGCCTTGTAGGGTATCAGCATGAACAAGATCATCATGGGCATTGCCTTCTACTTCGGCATCAACGTCTTCCTCAGCTTCTACATGGCCAAGGACCAGACCGGCGTCGTCACCACCGACCCCGAGACCGGCGAAACCATCACCGTGCCGGGGAACCTGGGCAAGATCCCGCCCTTTCAGCTTCGACCCAAGCACCTCGACGAAGGCGCCACCTACAGACACATTCCCAAGATGATCGCCCCCATCTGGCCCCAGGACAGTGACATTGATATCGTGGTCACACTCTCACCTTCGCCTCACCCCACCCCGCTGGCCCAGGTCCCTGCCGAGTATGTGGTGCTCAACGAGACGCGGTTTCACATGAACAACAAGACGGACAAGCGATCAGTCGACACTACCTTCCCCGTGCCGGAAGCCGTGCAGAAGAATGGCACGCTTTGGGGTCACTTCTACATTGGTCTTCCCGGAAGCGTGCTCGACCCGTATCTGCCTGGTTTTGATCCCGGACGGGCGTATCACGTTGCGCACCCTCTTACCCAGTATCTGCCCAAGAAGAAGATAGCCAAGACGAGGAATCTGCTGGAGGATATGCCTGTTCGCGAAGAGGAGCCGGAAGAGGAAACGTCGGGCCCCGTCATTGCGAACTACTACCACCAGAATGCCAGCTTCTCCCTTGTGCCCGGTCTCGGTGTCAAGGATCTAGACACTGTTCATCCGGCGCTCAAGACGTTCCTTCGCCTCGAGGCAACCGGCGCCCGCGATGGCACGGGCCAGAACGGATGGTACTGTATGTCGTGACCGTGGTGTCTTCTGCTATCATTTCCTTTGTGAATTGAGCTAACCAGAGACTCATAGACCCGACCCTGTTTGTCAACACCTTCTGGCAGCTGAAGTCCCAGATGACGCTTCTGAACGACACCGTCAAGGAGCTGCCGCTCCATATCGACCTCGATAACATGCCTGGCTGGAAATTCTATATAATGGCCGCCGTCGAGCAAAACTCGAAGGAGAATGCTCGTCAGGCCGCCCTGGGTAACCCAGTTCCCGGCGGCGGCGACGGATCCGAGATCGAAATGATCAAGGAAATCTTCATCGACACCAACCCCATCTTGCTCGGCATCACCGCCTTCGCGAGCGTTGCCCACATGATTCTGGAGACGCTTGCCTTTGGATCCGACATTGCCCACTACCGTAAGAAGAAGGACAATGTTGGCATCTCGGTCCGCTCTATCTTGGCCAACGTGTTCATGCAGACGGTCATCTTCTTGTATCTGCTGGACAACTCGCAGAACACGAGCTGGATGATTCTCGGCTCCCAGGTCGTCGGCATCGTCATTGAGTTTTGGAAGATTACCACCGTCGTCAACGTCCGTTTCCGCGAGACAGCTCCGGGCTCACTGCTGCCGTACTGGTTCGTGTTTGAAGACAAGCACAAGCTCACCGAGACGGAGGAAAAGACCAAGGAGTACGACGAGATTGCTTTCAAGTACATGTACATCCTGGCCGTGCCTCTGCTGATCGCCTATGGCATCTACTCGCTGGTCTACGAGTCTCACAAGTCGTGGTATTCGTTTGTCATCACCACGCTCGTTGGCTCCGTCTACACCTACGGCTTCCTGATGATGGTGCCATCTCTGTACATCAACTACCGACTCAAGAGCGTGGCGCACATGCCCGCCAAGGCCATGATGTACAAGTTCCTCAACACCTTCATCGACGACCTGTTCGCCTTTACCATCAAGATGCCTATCCTGCATCGCCTGGCAACGTTCCGAGACGACATCATCTTCTTCATTTACCTCTACCAGCGCTGGGCTTACAGGATCGACTACACTCGTGTCAACGAGTTTGGCCAGGGCGGTGATGATGAGGAACCCGTTGCCGAGAAGAAGGAGGAAGACAAGGACAAGGCTGCTGCTGCTATTCAGGATGCGGCCGGCGAGAAGGACGGGGCCACGGCGACTGGAGCCGATGCCGGGAAGGCAACGAAGAGGAAATAGGCGTGCATGTGCTAGACTTGATTGGCGAGGGAAATTGTGAGGGAGATCATGTGCTATGGGTTACTTGCACGATGCATTAACATGTACCAAAGAGATAAAAATAGCCTGATCGCCAGGCACCTGTATGTCCATTACTAGTACTAGCAGAGCATTAGCCGAGCTGTCAAACGCAAAAGAAGCAACGCCAGCCCCTCGATGAGGCCTCACGTTCTGGATTTAGCAGATGGCTGCGGTTTCAGGATGAATGACACAGAGAAGGTGGAGGGGGGGAAACGCTTCAGGTTGGCCCGCTGCCAGTCTTTTCGCTTCCGCCAACACGAGCTGACGCACCAACTTTAAACATTCTGCTTCTGCCGCTCGTGATGGCTTCCATCAGCCCTATGGATGGACAGTTGCCAGTCCATGCCGTTTGCCTCCACGATGGAATCCTTCTAGACTACTGATTCATCATTCTTCATGATCTTTCTATTGCTCTTCATTCTCTGCCCGACGGTGGCGTCATCAAACGTGCATGAATAGTGCAACTTCGCTGAACGGGCTCAGCATGGGGAAGAGTGTCACAGCGCCGGCGAGACCCCTGCAGAAGTCGAGGAATCCCTGCATCTTCCCAAGAAGCCGGCGCCCCTTCCAGCGCCATTTCATCAATGTCCTCTCCCTCCCCCACCGGACCGCCCCGAAGGCCTCCAACCAGAGCCCGCGATAGCGCATCGAGCCCGTCTGATAGTGCTCACTCTCAGTTCAGAGGCTGTCTTCAATGAGTGAGTGCTGTGGCCTCTCCGGCTGCTGTAAAGCGCTCACCAGCAGTGTCTCGCGGCCAGCCATCCTTTGCATCTCCAACCCTCCCCCGTGCTTGTCGGTTGCGGCTCGTCTCGCCTTGTCTCTTCCTCTTCTCGACCCTCGTTGCTCGTCTGCTGCTCCCTTTTCTTGTTTAGCCGTCTTCTTTCTGGTCCTTCTTCTTCCTCCGCTTGTCCATCCCTTCTGCTTGTTCCGTTTAGCAGCGTGCGGCATTCGTCCTGCGTCTCCGTATACTCGTACTATTTGTTTATCACCCCGTCTTGTCCCGCCTTGCCTTGTTCATTCTATCCCTTTCTGCCATAGCCTCCGGCCCACCGTTTGCAGCGCAGCACAGCCTCGCCTCTCGTGCGTCTCTGCGACTCAGTCCTACCGTCCGGGGTTCAACGACCGAATGCTGGCCACAGCCACCGCGCTCCGTTGACGATTGCACGGCCCGTTATCCATAACCCCTACGACGTACCTTGATAGTAATAAACGGCCCTCGACCAGCGCTACGTCATCTCGTCCCCGTCCTGCCTTTGTCCTGTCCTGTCCTGCACCGAAGCTTCACACCAACCGTGGAGCATCTTCCCCCCCATGCGACGCGCCCGTCGACGGGTGCTCTTCGAGGCCCCTTGACGAAGCGTTTGTCGATTTGTCTCCCTCGTTTCTTCGTTTCCTCGATACATAAATAAACCGGCCGCTCCTGGCCTTCCGTGTCACACGCTGTGCGTTCCTTCGTTTCATCAGATTCCGGCCTAGCCAACCTGCCTCGCTCATTCAGCTGCAAGGCGGGGTTCGCATGCCAACGACTCGACCACCAGCGTCCTTCGTCTCCTCCTCACCAGAGCAATGGGCGTCTTCGACTCGGTCGGGACACTGCTGGCAGACATTGCGAACCTCATTTCCGACGGCCAGCGAATCCTCAGCTTTTCCGACAAGCGCCACTGGGGGCAGGATGAGCGCGAGCAGGAGCGTGCGTTGGACTCGGTGCTGGACGAGGCCAGGAAGGACTTTCAAGAGCTCGGGCCGCTGGTCAACGGGCGCTCGCAATACGAGCACGACCGCAGACGTGAGAAGTTTACCCCCAATGCTGGGACGCCTCTTTTCAGCGGCCTGCTGGATTAACTAACATGATTTGATTGCTGCTAGATGACTCAATAGAGGAGTTGCGCGCGATCCGGGCCAAGTTCCAGGCATTGACGGAGAAGCTGAAAGACTGGAGTCGATCCGGCGGTCCCATCGATCCCACCTGGGTGCGCGAGACACAGTCGCTCAAGCGGGAGCTGCATCGGGCTCAGTGCCGAGCAGCAATGCGAGTATTCACATCAGCGCGGGAGGCATCGCAACTGTGTTTGGGGGCGTACATCGTGCAGCGGAAGCAACGCGCCCCGCTCCGCAGCTCGAGGCCCGGAGACAAGCCCGACGAAGGCACATACCAACGATATTATGCGGAGGAGCTTCTGGCGTGCAAGAGCGTGGGGACCTTTCAGCGGTTCGGGGAACAGGATATTGCGTTTGTGTGCGACTTTTGCGACGGGCATCTGGTCTGGGAGGATCTGGAGCGCATGCCGACGGTGCGGACGTCTACTCAGGCAGCGCCGCCTGGCTCGTCAAATGCGCCAGTATCGTTGCTGCCCAACGCCTCGAACTGGCAGGCAACGGGCGTATCTCACTGTGGCCAGCATCAGAAGCAGGTCATCTTTGCTCCCGTGGCGATTGCGAATCATATTGTACCGATGCACGGAGATTGGGAGGCCAAGCTGAAATGTCCACTCTGCGAGGCGATTGGGGAACAGCCACAGGACGAAGACGACGACGAAGAAGCATATCGCCCGGACGACGAGTTTGACGACGTAAAGTCTTTACAAGAGCATCTTGAGTGGCAGCATGGACCATCCAAGCTGCCGATTCCGCTACCGATTCCATTACCGGCTTCAACGGCGACTGAAAGTAATTGCCGAATCATGTGAATGACGGGGGTTGCAAGCCAGCATCTGCCGAGGAGCAAAGAAAGAAAGAGAGCGAGGGACAGAAAGAGACGTGTTATTCGCTTGCTGATCATTCAGACGACGAAAATGATACAAGCAGACATTTGAGGTTACCGACTTATTTCCCTACCTAAAAGAAGAGAAGATGATGCATAGAGGAATAGAGACGACAGCACGTCTATGATGGGAGCTCTAGCGAAGCATCTGAATACGGAGTTTGTGGCGAACAAGGTTACGATGGTATTATTATTCCCCCCTTTTATTGAACAATGAATCATCATTAGGACAGGACGAAGAGAAGCGCTGCTATAGATGCAGAAAGCAAACACAGGGAGAAGATGAGAGAAAGGAATTGAGACACTTGCGGTGTATAGAAGCATGATCACGTAATTGTACATAGATTATAATGGATATCCATCAACGCCACGCTCCCGCTCTCTTTGCGCATTGATAACTTGATGTTGCCTTCCCATCCCCTGATTCCCCTTTGTTTTGTCTTCTTTTTTCGTTTTCTCGCACTCTTTGCTGTGCTTTGTTGTTCTCCCCCCTTGGTAATGTGCAAAACAGGCCCTATCTAGAAGAAGCGCCAGTAGATGAAGATCAAGATAAAGAAGCCCAAGCCAGCAAAGGGGCCGTACTGCTTCAGCATGAGCTCCCAGTTGATGCGCACGGCCGCCCTCCTATATTTTTTGCTGTCGTCCCGCAGGCGACTGCTAATCTCGCCCATGCGCTCGAGGTTGTCCCCGCGATAGAGCAGGTCCTCGATGTTCTTGGTCATGATCTTGGTGACGTCCCTGAGCTCGTCGTTGAGCTTGTCGAGGTTCTGGGCGGCGCGGGCGTCGGCGTAGGTGGTCCTCGTCTTGGCGATGAAGTTGTCAAACTCCATGAAGGCGTAGGGGCGGAGGGCGGGGTTGTGGATGGCCTGCTGGGTGTAGGTGGTGGTGAACTCGCGGGCGAGGTCGGCGAGGTAGGTGAAGGCGAGCTTGCGCGGGTAGGAGCGCTCGCAGATGGCGACGAAGACGACGGCGGAGTCGATGAGGTAGTGGATGGTGAAGAGGGACGACGTCGTCTCGATGGAGGCTTGGGGCTCCGAGGTGGGGGTGAGCTTGCGGAGGATTTGGCGGAGCTGCTGCTTTACTTCGTTGAGGGCGGCGGCGTCGGACTGGGGGCGGTTAGCGAGCAGAGTTGAGATGGGGAGGTTTGGGACGGACGGACCTGGGCTTCGTCGTCGACGGAGGCGCAGAGCATGAGGCCTGTGAGCGTGTGTGGGTTAGTTATTGCGTTTGGTTTAGATGGGTTTGATGCTTGGCTGGTTGGGTTGGTTTGGGGGGGACTGTTCGCATACCATCTAGCCTCGATATCTGTGTTGAGCGAATCATCTCGAGAGTGGGGGTTGAGTATGGAGATGTTTGTGACGAAGAGAAAGGGGCAGAAAGAGAGTGCTGTCGTAGCTCTATCGCGGGGCGTTGCGAAGAAACGTGTCAAGTATAACGCAACGACCTTCAGAGGAAATTGCCTGTCGAGATGGTGGCTGCGACGCGATTGGGACTTCTTTTAGTGCCTTCGAGGGGCAAGCAATAGTGACAGGCCAGATTGCTGGAATTTCTGTTGGGATAAAGAGCCAGGTCGAGGATGAGGCCGTATATCCAGAGGGTCTGTTGTGTTTGGATGATGTCGGTTTCCTGGGGTTGCAGGTGCTGAGTGTGGCTGATGCGGGAGATTTGGTGGCGCAACCTTTGCATGTGCTGTGCGCCTCAGCTTTTGGTATGATGAAGCGTTGAGGGAAAGCGTTGAGGGAAAGTTCAGTGTGGCCGTGCGCCTTGATAGATGGGGCAACGCTTGAGCTCTCAGATATCACAAGTACATAGAATCAACTCCAGGCCTTTCCGTTCATTGAGCCTGTCAGTTGAATAGATCATAATCTTTTTGGTATTTCAAAGCTTGTCTGCCTTTATATCTCGTCTTCTTCATCATCAAAATCATCCTCCCTGCCCATCTCATACAAGATTCTTCCTCCCTCGCCCGCCCCGATATCCGTCTGCGCGTCAAAGTACGGCAGCACAATCCCCTCTCGATCCTTGCGCTGCTTCTCTGTAAGCCCCAAGTTGAAGGTGCTCTCCGGCTGTTCGTCTCCTTCCTCTCCCCGCTCAGCGTCCGGCTTCTTAAACATGGCATGATCCGTGAGAAGACAAAGCTTGGCCAGCCTCGACTTTGCTGCTGCCGCCGGCAAGAGAATGAACTTTTCGTCGACAGCCCGCCCGCTCCTCCTGCGCAGCTCCATGCTGATGACGACGCCCGCGTCGTCCTCGGACTTGCTCTTCTCTGCGAGGCCGATGAGGATGCCTTCGCGGTGTTCCTTGAGACCCCACTCGGGCTCTACGACGCTTCTGTTGCGCGCCTTTTGGCGCTCGATTTCTTGACGCAGGTTTGATAGCGTCAGGATGGCTGTGGCTAGGTGGCATAGCAGCGTAAACGGGTGAGGCTCATATTCGTTGGATGATTTTGGTAGGATGACGGGGACGTCTGTGTGATATACGCCCACGATGGACACTACCGGCGTGATGATGCTTGACAGAAAGACAGCCAGGGACTGGGTGGCCGTCGATGAGAGAGAATTCAATGAGTCGATGAAGACGACGGCCCCTATATGATGTTAATGAATTATGTGTTCTATGTGGAAGGTTGGGCATGAACTTACTCTGCGCGGTCTTGTCCTTGATATTGGCTGCCTGAAATGAGGGATACTGCGCCAAGAGCTCCCGGCTGACTGTGTTTAGATCCTTTCCGGCGGCTTTGATGAGGACATCTGCATCTCGTGGCTTACGGACCGTGCAGAAAGACAGGAAGATGATTTTTGTCTTTGCCAGCTATATCACACAGTGTAAGTTTTCGTCTGTCTCACGCTGTGGGTAGTGCATATGAGGAAGAATGAACGGGATGGATGAATGAACCTTTGCTCTCGTCACGAGCTCTGATATGACGGGCCGGGCGGGCTGTTCGAGGCTGTCGAGGAGGAGAGTCAGAGGGCTGGCGGCATCACGAAAATTCAGAAGCCTCTGGAGCAGCAGCAGGCTGTGGGAGCGGCCGTGGGAGTTTGCAGAGGGGGCCATGGCTCTGTATGGCTGGTGTCTGTTTCTTGCAGACGGCTGTATTGCAGAATCTGGCTGCTCCGAGTGTCGTGTCCAGATTAGGTGTCTAGTAATGGATTCGACAGCTGTGAAGATGAAGTTCAGACATGGAATGTCGAGACTGAATTCGATCATCTGCGGCGCATCGAAAGCTCCCGCACTGGATCTGATCCGCTTGGCGGGCTTTAGTGCACAGTTCAACCGCTAAAGGCGCTATAACTGGACCTGTAACCTCTACGCCCATGGTTCGTGGTGTCCATATCATGAAAGGTCGGCTACATGCATTTCTCGCCTCAACACTGCTCAAATTTTCAACTTTCACTGGTCCGCCATCACCACCAGCCTCATTTCGACGTATCAGTGAAATGCACACTCGCCACCTTCCAGTTTCATAGCCACAGCCTTGCTCTTTCTCACCACACACAAGTCCATGCGCCGCCACAGCCTGCTGCTACAGCACTTGACTCGCGCCTCCAGACGAGTTTCAGGTGTTGCCTCATCGATCCGGACATGCGAGCTCTTGTCCTCGAGCTCATGCTCACGAGTTGCATGTAACCGCAGCCTGAGGCCGTTCTCGGCCAACGCTGCTCAGCGCAATGGGTTTCAGCAGTCCAACAGCGGCGGTGGATTCGGGGCTGGTACCAACGACACCATCTATGCACTCTCGACAGCCCAGGGCAAGGCGGGAATCGCTGTGATTCGCATCTCTGGCCCGTCATGTCTAGATGTAAGTTGACGGATCAGAGATTCCTATCTTAGCACAACCACGCACATGTAGTAACCAATCATGCTGTTTCTGCTGCCATACTTAGATATACAGAGCCCTGTGTCCGTCAAAAACACTGCCAAAGCCCAGGTATGCCGCTGTGCGATCGTTACTCGGCCCCACGGCTGCAGGAGTCGATCGAGGTGTGTTGGACTCAGAAGCAGTAGTGCTCTTCTTCCCTTCGCCCAAGACGGTCACAGGAGAAGACGTCCTGGAGCTGCACATCCACGGCGGCACAGCCACCATCAAGGCCGTCTTGGCAGCTATCCCCCAGTGCCCCTCGAAGCATCGGATTCGATACGCTGAACCGGGGGAGTTCACCAAGAGGGCGTTCCTGAATGACCGCCTGGATCTCGCAAGGGTCGAGTCACTGGGAGACATCCTCTCCGCAGAGACGGAGCAACAGCGGCGTGCGGCAGTCAGAGGCACCTCGGGAAAGCTGGCTCGCACCTACGAGGGCTGGAGGGAAGAGCTCCTCCTGGCGCGAGGCGAGATTGAGGCCCTGATTGACTTTTCAGAGGACCAGCATTTCGACGAGTCTCCTGCGGACCTGCTTCGCAACGTGGCAGAGATTGTAGACAACATCCTCCGAGGCATTCGCTTGCATGAACGAGGCGGCCAGAGGAGCGAGTTGCTGAGGAGCGGCATCAGGATTGCGCTGTTGGGGCCGCCCAATGTGGGCAAAAGCTCGCTGATGAACTTGATTGTTGGCCGTGAGGCTTCGATCGTGTCAGGCGAGGCCGGCACCACACGAGACATTGTAGAGGCCAGCCTCGACATTGGGGGGTACCTGTGCTCGTTTGCGGACACGGCCGGCTTCAGGTCGAGCCATGATCTGGGACCGTCGAGCCCGGTCGGGGCAGTGGAGCGAGAAGGAATACGGCGGGCAAGGCAGAAGGCACAGGAATCAGACATTGTCGTCGTCCTGGCGTCGATCGAGAGCGGGCCGTCTGGTCCGGCCATCCTCTACGACCAAGAGACGCTGGACATTGCGGCCGCTGCCCAAGCCCGCCTGGTCGTGGTCAACAAGAGAGACACGGTGAGTCCAGCGGAGCTGCAACGGCTGCTGGGTGGATTTCGCCAAAGGTTTGGCGAAAGGGTGCCAGAGCTGGCATCAGCCCAAATCGCCGCCATTTCATGCAAGGAGGCCAGCAGCCCGAACTCTGCCGGGCACGACGGCCAGGATCCCGGGGGGATTCACGCCCTGACGGAGGCCATGGTAGGCACCTTTTCGCAAATGACGGAGATGCCTGTTGATTTGCAGGATCTGCTGGGTGTGACGGCGCGCCAGGCACAGCTCCTGGCCAGATGCAGGGGCCACCTGGAGGAGTTTCTGGCGGAAGCGAGGCCGGAGGATGAGGGAGTCGAGGCGGATACGGTGCTGGCGGCGGAGTATCTGCGGTATGCGGCGGATTGCCTGGCGCGCATCACGGGCAAGGGCGAGGCTGGGGATGTGGAAGACGTGCTGGGGGTGGTGTTTGAAAAGTAAGTCATGGTCATGCTGGCTGCTGTTTTTCTGTTCAGACGATGATTTGAGTGGTGCTAATGTGCGTACAGATTCTGCGTGGGCAAGTAAAGAGCATGGGACTCAAGGATAAAGATGAAAACTCTTATAATATGAGACTATTCTACACTCTAGATGAAAGAAGGAGAAAAAAGAGGAAATGAAATCAAATTGCATCCAATGCCCTAAAGCTTCCATGGTCTACCCAGTAAGCAAAGAAAGAAGTACAGTTGACCGAACCCAATCCAGATCTCTATGCTGGCTGCCATTTGCAGCATGTTCGTGAGTTTTGTGTCCCGTTGTACAATGTATCCAACGCCGCATAAAGATCGTCAAGTAGGTAGAAAGAAAGAAAAGACGGACGAGGAAAAAGAGGGAGAAAAAACAAGGTCCCTGCTAAAGAAGAAAATATCCATCCTGATGCCGATACAAATACAGAAGGAGGAGGCAAAGTTGAATCGCTCCGACGCCAATGTGAAAGTTGACCATGTTTCCCGCCGCGTTTAGTCCAGTTGATGTTGAGGGTATTCCGGGGGGAAGTTTGGTATTCTGTTGTTGTTGCTTTTTTTTTTTTTGGATTTTTTTTTTGTCTATCCAATCTTTCTCCATGCGCCAACAAAGCAGGGAATGTGCCCGCGAAGGCTTGCTTTGATGCTTTCTTTCAAGAGGGGAAAAAACACACACAATATAATGTAACAATATTGTAACAATGATTTTGGAAGGAGGAGGAGGAGGAGGAGGAGATTTAGTTGCGGCCGTTTGACGATGAGGACGAGCCGGAGCTGGAGCCAGAGCCGGGGCCGGTCTTGGGGCCGGAGACGATGTTGTAGCCGCTTCGGGCGGAGTCGACGAGGGCCATGGAGGCGTCGAAGGAGGTAGCAGAGGCAGCCATTGTGAGTTTGGGTATGTTTTAATCTGGTGTTATAGGGTCTGCGTGGTTGTTGAAGTTGAAGGTTGTGGTCCTGTGATAGGAGTTGTGGTTGAGAGCGAGTTGGAGAGTTGAAGAGTTGAAGAGTCGAAGAGTAGCGGATACCTCAAGGATATATATATAGAGAGTATATATAGTAGAAGGGTGAAAGAAGAGTAGAAGAGCTGGTTTAGTCTTGCTTGTTTGATGTGTGAAGTTGTTCGTGCTGTATCCGATGCTTTGGGTCGAAGCATAGCCCACCTTATATATGCAGAAGCCATAAGTCGAAACACACACACACACACACACAGAGTCCCAAAACGACATCTTCCTCTTGCATCGAGACCGATTTCCCAGGATTTCTCTTGGAAACCGGGTCCCTCCCACGCACAGGTCCTCGCACTCGCACTCACACACGGCAACACACACCCCCCCCCTCCCCCCTTGATTCCGGTGTGAGATGACGAGCAACCTTCTTCCCTGGGGCCTTTTTCTCTCCCCTTCTTCTGGTGCTTCTATCTTAGCAGATGCGGCTAACTAACAGGTACAGCCCGGTTCCCAGCCCGGCCGCGTGCCCTTCATGTACAGGACACACCCCCTACCTACCAAAGTGAGAGAAAAAAAAAAGGCAAGGGCAAGCAGAATCCGTTTTCCCGTCATCCCATGGCCCCTTGTACATCTCATTACTTACTGGGTCAACTGGCGTGGGTGTAAGGGAGGGGCGTGCGTCTTTGGATAGGTACCAGGTAAGGTAGGTATTTTGGGTGGTGGCTGACGGGCCCTTTTTTTGGGGGCGTGGGCTTTGCCCGCTTTTGATCAGGAGCGGTTCCCCGTAGGGCTGAGGCTTGGACTTGTTGCATTTCACTCGTTTCTTCTTTCTCTTGCCAGTCAGCCCAATCGCAGAGGCTTCCGGCAATGGGAAGCGTGTGTGCCACCATGGCGATGCTTTGGTACACTTGGGTGGTTATTGGCAGCCAGTTCCCATCCTCAATGACTGCATGCTATACTGTCTGTGCTACCTTATCCTTACTTTACATGCAGCGCCTTATGGGATTGATACGACCCAAGCGAGTGACTCCCGGTTCTTCCATGTATGAGTAATTGCTCGGAATTGTCATCATTATCAATGCCTCGTTTCTCCAACATCGTCTTTTCTGTTCCTCCACTTGCCGTGCGGGATGATGCAGAGCCTCGTGGCAATTATTCCTCTGGGAGGGTTCATTCCTCCCTCGGCGTCTCCATCCAATCTCATCGACCGCACCGGCAGCCGGCTCTGCAACAGAATTTTGTGAGCAAGAAAAGATTGGGTCCTCGAACAAAGAGGAGGATTCATGGTGAATCATTCCCGGTAGGTGTACTATAAGGCGTACTGCCACTCTGTGCAACTCGTACCACTTTGAAGCCCAGCATATGGGTAGCCCAGTGAGCGATTGCCGGTCCTGCTGTGGCCGTCACTTTGAGGAATGTGTGATTAAATGTGTGAAGCGGTCATCATCACCCTGGTTCCCGAAATTCTCGCTGGTTCGATTGCCTCGTCCTGTCGGCGAAACATACAGAACGGCAACGGCAATCAGAAGGAAGAGAAACAGGCCATCAGACGAAGAGGAGGGAGTGAGTGGACGGGGACTCTCCCCATCCCCAGCCCAAAACGTGGACAAGGTGCGCACAGATGCTCGTAGACGTGCCGTCGGTAAAGGGAACCCATCCTCATCTCATCTCCAACACTCCTCCGTACCTGTACCATGGGCCCATGGTGGCAGAGGGCAAGATTGCACGTCGTACAAGCATGTACCCTGAACCTGACAATGATGATGACCCAGGGTTTGTTTGGTTCCGACCAAAAGGTCATGCCTCTCTTCCTTTTTTCCTGCTTTAACCCCCCCATGTCGAAAATGCATGGACAGATTGGGGAGCTGCTTTCTATTGCCGCCCCCACGTGGTGCCGTACCTTTTTTTCTTTCTCTGCTTTCCGCTTCGCCTTGAAAGGATGCCGTATTCGTCCAACTGGGGCAGTGAGCGTTCAGGGGTGGTCCTTGGCTCTTTCTGCGTCCTTTGGTGGGTGCTTGCAGCCACTACCAGCACGCGGAAGCCCTGAGACGATTGAGAGGTTGGTGGTGATGGTGACGGTTCTGGCACTGCTGCTGGGTTGGACAAGGAGGGGGAGGAAGAGGAAGGGGGAAGGGGAAAAGAGGTTCCATGTCATTGATTGATCCCATCTCATGTCGCGGCCGTGGCATTTCCATTAGAGTTACATGATGTGCGCCCTACGAGGTCTGGTACCGCATCTTCCCCCCTGGAGGACCTTGCCTTGCCTTGTGTCGCTGCCCTGCCTTGCCATGCGAGCGATGGGGCTTGATGTCACATAGCAGCTCCCAGCGCCCAGGAATCCACGGAAATGCAAATTACCTCTTGGCTAGCCTTGTAATATGGGCACTTCCTATCTAGGCACTTTGATGTCCCTTGTTGAAGTGTCAAATGTACTGTAGCACCCCGAACACGCTGCAAGTCAAGGTGCAGGCAATCGCCGCAATACCCATCTTAAACCCCCAAGTAGCTCCCAACACGGCACGGCACGGCATCGTGCCTATCAACTTGCTCTTCATTTACCTCGCACAATGAGGTCGACATCATGGCATGGATTACCCCTAGCAAATCAGACGACTCGCTTCACCCAAGGTGAAGGGAACCGCGGGCCGGAAGCGAATCCTTTTCCCTGCTTGACCCGAATCCTATCTTCGTTTCCCGTCGCTTTTCGCTCCATGTAGATGTTCCTCGTTTTGAAGCAATACCTACGGGGGCCACGCTGATTTGCCAGACTATCGTTTCTCAAAGCCAAAAATAAAGGACTTTCTGTCAAGGAACGAGTTTCTAAGCCTTGCTATGCCAGCCGATGACCTATGACCTATGCAGGACCGCTGCTGATCTTCTTGTCTGGTTGACTGCCGGGGGTGGGGAGGTTGGAACGGCAGACAAAAAAAAAGATGCTGCTCGCTTGTGGCCCGGATTGGGGGAATTCAATCATACAGAGTCAAATGTGCATGGCGATGAGTTACGAGTACAGGGACCTTGTGGCTGGATAGTGGTATCAAACACACAACATGAGGACACGATACGGCTCTTCTTACTGGACAGAAGGACAAGCAATACATGTCAATACCAAAGACAGCCCCCCGGGTTTCCCCCCCCCCGTAAGCGCCGCGAAGCTCACCGGCGAGCCCTGAGTTGGCGGACTCGGCCTCTCTCTGGCGAGATAAAAATAGCGGCCCAATAGGCAAGCCGGGTCCCCCCGCGAGCCGCGCGGAGAGAGCACTTGAGGCCATTCAGTCTTCTACTAGGGGGGCGCGGCAGCAACAGCAGTTCGTTCGCTTGATTTGCTGGCCTCGCTTGCAAAGCCGTTTCTGGTTTCCAGTCGTTTCTTTGCCTGGTGCTTACTGTGCCTGTTCCATGTCCTGTCTTCGTTTCTGAAATGATTGATGAGATGGATTAGTATGACTGTTAAGGATATTACGCGTACCGGACGCTTCGCTACATGTACTTCACCAGCCTCACGAGGCGTCAGCACTATGAGCAGCAAGCGAGAAAGGAGGGGGCCGAAACGCGCACTGCCCATCTCACCCATTCGCCTAGCTGTGGCTCGTTGACGATGTACCGTTTCCCTCCTTCTATGGATCAGATTATGGCAAGACAGATCCTCGGCTGGATGCGCAACCGAGCAAGAAATGAGAACTGCACAGTAAGCACCAGCAACAGGCGGAAATTGCTTGTTGAAGAACGACTTGCTCCTACGTGTGGTAGCACATGCGTGTCCTCCGTACCTGGATAGCAATTTCATCGACAGGCACACGGATCCTCAACCCCCACGATGCGATCAGTATGGGATCCCATGGACTCCTATGCAAAATGATGGAGCTTCCCACTTCGTGATCTTACTGAACTCGGCCTTGAGCTCTCTCCCGAGATATCTTCGTCGACAGGCATGAACTCATGGACCTTCCGGCATGCGCTGCAGGCGGGATGCATTTCGCTCCCTGTTGGGTCTGCAGTCAAGTCTCAACTCATTAATAACACGAAACGCGCGGCAGCCTATCAGAACATATGCACGCTCGCTCACTTGCTGCTGCGGATCAGCATGACTGCCGAGTGACATGATTCACGAATCTCCCATCTCGAGTGCCTTGTCCCTACCTTATTTGTGTTCATCTTGACGAATCACGTCTGGTTTTCCAGTCCAGTCGTGCTATGAGAGGAGGAAATACCGGTGCCTGGAGGGACTTGGGCGATGCAACATTACACATGCACCGAAGACTCACCCATTCCTTCCAGTGGCGATGACGTCTGGGTCCCGGGCGCTGTCGAAGCCTTTCATCCAGCAAATGCATGTTATGTACTGTACCTGACGCTTCGTGTTCTCTCTCATACATTCACGCCTCTACCACCGACAATATCGGATCGTCTCTTCTTCCACGTGGGTTACCCATTATGGTGACTGCATGTACCGCGAACACCGCCCAATACCCACCATGATTGCTCCGATTGTGTCCACCATATGACTGTCAGGAACGGCACCTGTGGGAATCGCCATGCCGGAGCCCGCGTTGAAGGATCGTTCCGGACTTTTGCAGTCTTGCATCTAGGCCAGGCGACCGGCTGCTTCCCTGTTCGCATCGTATTGCCGCTTCTGCCAAGGGGAAGGAGTTTCGGCTTTGACAGATTCGAGTCAACTGGCTCTCGTGTTTGGAGCTTGTTGTCATGGTAATGATGCTCACTCAACTCACGTCAGGTATCCATGTCTGCCAAGCACAGGCGTATTGGTTACTTATCCGTCTGAATTCTGCATGCGAGATCCTGTAGAGTCCATACATAAAACGAGTGTAACACCACAGACAGCCTTACAGTCATCTTGTCGCCCGTTCTCACCAGATTTGGGTTCTCCAGAAAGGGGAACTGCTAGTAGTCCACATGCCATACACGTACACGTACACATACACACATACACACACACACACACTGCATGCATACATGCATGTGCTTGATTGAAGCGAAATGCGCGGCCTGGTGTCGTCAGCTTCTAGAAGATCAGATGGAAACCTTCTCTCATGCAGCCTTATTGGCACAGCCCTACGGGATTGTGGGATGTGGCAGCACAAAAAAACAGCCTCGCTCACTCGTCCGGCAGCTCAGCCCGCAGAGGATGGGCCGCACAGGCATGCGTGGAGGTGCGTGTAAGCAGGGTGATGGGGGGATCGATTCGCAATTTGTAATGCTTGCCGCTTGCCTCGATGTGTCTCCATGAGGCGCGAAGGATCATCTTCATTGCGTACATACACAACGACAACAGTTGTCTCAAGTTGTCGCATAACGAACAACTACCCTGTAAATTTACAAGCAAAAAGAACAATAGAGTACTCATAGACGTAATACTCACAGAAGAGGCCCCAGGGCGCAGCACTGCCCGGACTCATGGTCACGGTCCAGGGGCCACAGACCAGGCTGCGAGGGCTGTGGTGCCGGTATGACAGGCATGTTGAGTATGTGTGTAAGAACAGGCGTAAGAGGAAAAAGAAACTGGATGACAGGTTGACGCCGTTTGACTCATTCCTCAGGCCATCAACTTGCTCGATACCCACGAGGCGTTTTTCTTTCCCTTTCCTTTTTGCAACTCCCGGTCGCCTGTCTCGGGATGCAGTTCAGGGCTCCAGACTTCGGCTCACATCTCAACTTTGCAAGGCCCGGGGCACGACAGCCGGCGGGTACTTGGTAGCATGTCCTTGTAGAATCTCTTACCTTGGTCCATGACTTCGAGTATCAGTACAATGCCACTCCTGCAACTCTGGTGATATTTGGAGTCGTCGCACTTGTACTTGTACTCACACTGGCGATCCCATTCTCCTCCAGGGCCGGGGCAGCAGAGCCGGGCTTCCGTGGCGTTGAGCCGGCTTGAGTCCAATGCACGGGCCGATCCGCGGGGGATATCAACCATTCAGCCGGAAGACAACTGACCGTGAAGAATGTACAATGCTTTAGTAGAACTTGAGGCTCTCGTCTAACTGGTGCGGCAGCAGAGTCACAGCGACTCATGGTAGACGCAAGATTGATTGGTACTTGGGCCTCATGTTCTGTTTTAGCCGGCTATCGCAGATTGATAAACGAGCCCTAATCGCTTCGGATTAATCACTCACGGCGGCTTCTTGCGGCAAGAGCTCCTCGTCACTTCTCCTCCCCTTTTCCCCTCACCAGCATTTCCCCCTCCTCCTCCTCCTCATCATCATCATCACCATCATTCCTCATCTGCACGACACGGCGGCCAAAAAGCATTCCGAGCTTCCCCTTTCGAACGCCGTATCTGGCGTGAACGACTGGAAATTGGTTACGTCTCAAATGCTACTCACACCAGCATCCCAAGAGACATCCCTCTGCTGGCTGATTGCTCTTTGCGGCACTCTTCAATACGCGTGCCAACTGGAGCGCCTTTATCACCCCCGGCGTGATGAGCCTTGCAGGTGGGCTATGAGTTATGGGTTTCTTTATCCAAGCGGAACAGAGCACAGGCATCCCTCTGACCTGATCACACCTGGGGGCGGAACCCTGTCCGCTTGGATCCCCTCCATGGGTTGAGATTGAGCTTATAGCGTGATGGGTGCTAGTGCTGGCACGGGGAAATGCTACAGTGCTGAGAGGCGGTAGGTTCAAGCATACAGGCAGACCCCAGCATCCTCGCAGCTAACCCTGTCTATGATCCATGACAGGCCCGGATCCAGGAAAGCGTCCTGGCCCATAGACACGGCAGCGTTGTAGCGCAGTTGATCTCCACGTGGAAGACAGACGCTCGTGTTGGACCTGCATCCGCTTTCGACGCCCGTTGTCGGGATCAACCCAAGTGGAATATCACGACTGTCGGCACTTGAGCAAAAATCAGGCATCTTGATCATTCACTTGCACTGAGCCCATATCTCTCACCACCTGCGGGAAGCAGGAAGTACGAGTACAACCCTTAAAGGTACCCGTATTACTTCTTACAAGGACAGGGGCTAGCACCAAGGAAGCCAGGGAGCGGCACTCTACGGATCATTCGGGCTACTTCCAGGCCCTTTTGCCCATGGAATCTGCTGATGGCCCTGTAATATTGGAAAATCAGTACATGGATGGTCAAGAAGGAGGGGCGTGGTGAGATAGAGGGTGGTCTGGAACTCTGCAACTCGCTCGTCTTGAATTGTTCCGACTCGTCCGCGCAACTCTTGATCTCGCCGCCACGTAAGCACGAGATCTCTCTCGCAGTACCGGGCCTAAGATGAGGCCCGATGTCGTGCCTTGTTAATGGCCTCTGCGCTGGGGGGAGCGGATCGGCAAACGAGATGGGAACGGGGGGGCATGATCCTGCTTTAGCTGGATCAGCAGTTTTCGGCAGCATGCAGTGGGAGCAGGCAGCAAACAAGCTCGAGGCGAAGCAGGAGATGGATCATCGTGATGGTCATCGATCAAGCGAGGTGAGCCTCCTTCTCCTACTTCGTACCCACCGAGCAGCCTCCTCTCGCATCTTGCGTGTAGTATGCCTACACCACCACCACCACCACCACCAGCAAGCTACAGTCTACTCCACAGCTACGCGACCACGCGGGCCGAAGGTGTTATCGCTCTCCGTCCTTCTAAGGGGATGAAAGCAAGGTCAGCTCGACGGCACTCGTACAACTTCTCCCAACCGCCATGGGTCCGGATCCTATACGAGCCGCCCGGAAATACTTCGTACAGGACAAAAAAAAAAAAGAGAGGATAAATCATCAGTCTGGATCCCCCCAAGCAGGAAATTGGTTGCCATCAGGAGATAATGACTCGTTTTTTGCCGTTGCGCTCTAATTTGAGAACGTTAACACTGGCCGACAAGGACAACTGTGTTAAATCTGACGACAAAACAAGGAACGCTCTGGCCATGCTGCCCTGTGACAGTTGACATCGTGGAGATACCATAGGCCTGCAATTTCTACCGAGATCGAGGGGAGTGCTCTTCAAATGTGTGCACGGTTCACCCATACTCGGCATCGTCTTCTCCCGAAGGGACGGAATCGGCTCTCAGATACTGTTGCACCCTCTTTACTATCTGTCCTTTCTGCGTCTGTGCTTCCTTCAAACTTACCGAATGCTAGGACCACGAGGCCCGTGTGTCTCCCCAGTTCTGTCCCGAGGGGTTGAAGAATCGGGGGTGCGTGTAAGACGTGTCCTATTCGGTAATGGCTCAACCCATCCGGTTACTTCGTTCAATTGCCGATACACCAAAGGACTCGAGACAATTAGAAAACGAACACACCAGGAAGTGGCGCCGGATGCGCCATGAGACGATTAAGGGAGGTAGTGGAACCCGCGATGGTGCTCGTTTCTAGCATCTTGGCACGTCGACAAGCTGTCATCGACTTACCCCCTCAGACCTTCATCGTGCCGCTTGGCGACATTATCCTGCTGGCAATCTGCATGTACGAGTTACATACATGACTGCAATCAAAATTACGGCTAGGGGACTTTACCTGGCGGCAAGAGATTCCAGCTGTGGAGGGCACTAGAATCTGACTTCGACTTTATTTTGGTTGCTACTCTGGGACAAGTGCCGTTGACAAGGGGGGTGGTTGTTCGTGTTGTCTTTCCTGCTCGAGATTCGGCATGGTTCGACCCGTTGTCTGCTATGCCCCCTTGCATAAGGTAAGAAAATGGGGCCATATCTTGAATCCCGGAAGGTGATCATCACTGCACATATTGAAAGCTCTCTCGAGAGAGAGCCTTTGAGTCTCGCAGTAGTGAGAAAGATTTGCCGTCGCATATCTTGGAGCCGGGGAAGGGGGTGGTGTTTGATGGGACAGAAGCCGAGCTTGATGGTGTGAAATTACACACCAACGGTGGGCGCTCGCATGAGCCGTGGCAGACTTCCTCGAGATGGGCAAGGCGAAAGACCAGGAACGGAGTTGCTTGACTTCTACTATATTTGCCGTTCGTTTAGACTGGATTGGGGGAGCCACTTGATGAGGAGGAGCGATTCCTCGTATCCTATCACATGATCGACGCATCATTTGCTCATGTATGGCCGAACTCACTCACATACGTGCGAGTTGCATCCATTGCATGTAAGTACTGTATGGCGACCCGTGTTGAGTTAGCTCTATCGTGGCGATGACATCCTCCGTTGCCCTTTACTTCAGGGGTTTGGCTGACTTCTACTATCAGCCAGACGGAAAGAATTCCGCGTCAAAAGACCTCCGAAGGATCAGTCGCGATAGGATTCGGAATCCTTGACGATCAACACTAGTGCCCATGCTATGATCAAGAGAGTCACATAGAAGTGTATGGAAGTCAATGGGATAACATGGGGATCCGCAATGGGCCGTGTCTTCCTGCAACAATTCATGTCACTTCATAAGGCTACGGCAATCTGTGTAACAAGATAATCGAGCCGTCGGATAGCCAACAAAGGCTAAAGAAGCTAGGCAAGGCAAATGAGAGATTGTGCCCGAGAGACGCGGCAGGATTAAATTATAGGAAAGCCAAGCTATTCAATTCGCCATCAATTCCCTGCATACGGGTAAAGGGAACAGGCAACTAGGGACATGGTAGGGAAGGCAGGTTGCCGATATCCGCAGCCCGAAATGGGTGTGTGTTTGTTTAGGAGTGCGGCTCTGCGATGGTGTTGAGGATGTGGTGACTACATACGTTCGGTGAGGAGCATACCAATTGGAAGACACATGTATGAGATTCCTCATGGCCAGACTCATCGGATGATGCCAGTCGATATACAATTCTTGTGAGTTTATTTATTGGATTGTTTATGAGTGTTGGGCAGCGATGCATTGGTCAGTCGTCGCTTGCGCGGGCATCCAATGACCTCCTATCTCATAGTCTAGCAAGCTTAATTTGCAAAAAAAACATGATTTTGTTTTTTCTTAAATAAATCCTTCAACGCATCGCCGATCGTGAAAATGTTTTATCGTCTGGAATTCGACTTTGCCTCGGACACCATCATGGAGTTTCCAGTTATCCTAAAGGCTGAAGATGGACATCGAGACCGCGCCCAGAATGTACAGCCCGTGATCCCGTATAACCTTGACAGAAGCAACCATGATTTCAGGAACACCATCGTCAGGCTCCAATTCACATTTGGTGGTAAGCCTCTCGAAAGGCGTGCCTGATTCCAACAACAGCACAGCATCTCCTTTAGTAAACCCTTAACTTGTGGCTAACTTGAAATTGCAGAAATTGCAGAAATTGCAGGCAATACAAGACACGGCACCGGATTCTTCGTCAACCTCCCTTCTCCCTCGTTCGATGTCATCCTTACGGCTGCCCATAACCTTATCGATGGAAGCAAAAATCTCGCCTCGGATTTGAAGGTGATATATGCAGACAATGACGAGGATTTGGTAACGGAGTTTAGGATTTGTCCTCAATACGTGGATATCCTAGGAACTCGGCCCAAATCTGATGTTAGGGCAATATATGACTATGGCGTCATTTTGCTCCCCAAAGATGAAAAGAAAAGGCACAAGAGGCAGGGTCTAGGACTGAGTCTCGAGCTCAGCTCCAACGACACGTTACTGAAACCCGGAAAAGAGGTGCGGGTGTATGGCTACGGGGAAACGGCTGGTGGTGACCTCCTCGAGAGCTCCGGTCCTTTGAATAGCGCTACCAGCCAGCTTGAATACCAAGCACCCACAGAGCCTGGAATGAGCGGATCTCCCGTTTGGATCCCGTACGGTGGTCAGCAAGTGGCCGTAGGCATCCAGTAAGTATAGTTGCGACAGAAAAGCTGCCAAAAGGAACGAGGAGGAACTTTTATCTTTGAACATTATTGGTCTAACCGAGTCCTTTTCATCTCCCCTCTTCTAGCAATATGAGACCGAAGGAGTCGGGTTCCGGGAGCAGAGGCGCAAGAATCACCGACCAAGTCTTCCGCCAGCTCTGCCTCTGGGCAGGAGGAGGCTTCTTCAACCGTCGCCTTTGCGCGGTTGGAAAAGGGCCGGATGGCAAGCCCACGCACAACACGTACCTGTCTTTTTCTCGGCACTGCGACTTCGCCAAGGTATTCCTGGGGTCTTCCGAGGCCGCATCGTCTCAGGACAACTTGAGCTTTGATATCCTGCCGGCGACCATCCCTCCGAGCTGGGCTGTCAAACCATCTCCCTTATGGGCGTTCAAGTTCCATACGCCTTCGGGCTGGAAGGATAAAGAGAAGTGCTGGGTTGAATGGCAGCCAGCAAAGCAAAGAGCCGTCTTGGTGGACACAATGAAAGAGGTTAACCTTGTCAGGCTTCAAGAGCTTCAAAAGACTCGGGCGTCTCCAATGTCTGGTCTAACGCGATCTTGGGTCCCTTACAAGTGTGGTAAAAAGCCATTTCGCGTCGTCATACCAATGGCAAATGAGACGAACAACCAGGAATTGAGATTGTATGACGATGATCGGGATGAGGAAGACATCGAAGATGGAATGACTGACTTCGCGGGAGTATCGTTTGCTGATCAAGGAGACAAGGGTATTATGGGGGTGAGTCTTTCGTTTCGACTATGACGGTTGATGAGCTAACCCTGCAACTAGAAAGGACTGTTCGTGATTGATTAAATCTGGAAGACTTGAAGGCGAGATTCGTCATGTTTCGATTTAGAGAGATAGATATTTTCTCAGCACACAATATTTCACACAGCATACTCGTATGGTCATACAGATACCCGTGAAAACCGTCAATATCAAGCGTTGTCCATCCAACGGCCACAATGAATGAATCTTGTCAGAAAAGTAGTGATAGCAGATACTTGCCTGATGGGCTAACCCGATATACCTGCTATATCGGAAATGGATATGGTCAGACAGGAAATATGAGGCACCTTTTTCTCCGAGAAGTGAACTGAATTCGGAGTGGGACCGAAGAATGCAATGGCGCTGAGGAGGCGGTAAACCGATGAAGAATGGGAGTGTCACTCGATCATACCACAACTGTCTCAGATCTCACCTACCAGTTTCACTGTATAAAATAAGGGTGCAGACCTTTGGAGTTATGCAATCATTATCATTAAGCTGCCTGCAGAAAAGAAAGATCCTCCTGTTCTCCTTCAACACCATCCTCGCACACGGTACTTTTAAAAACGAAAGGGAAAGAAGAGGGAAAAAATAAACAGGTAGACAAAGGAAATAGTTTTCAAGAGATTGACTTAAGGCAATGAACAAAAATGAGAATGAAGATTGCAAAGGGAAAAGTCCAAAGAATGTCCCAAATATATAATATCCCCAAACTCCCGCTCCCAGCGCCTCAAAAAGTCGTCAATGATTTCCGCCTTTTGTATGATCCGTCTCTCAGTGTCTCATAAGGACACAAAGACGTTTCATTTGTATTAGTCCCTAGGAGGTTTATTTGCTCCCGAGACTTAGGATTGGTCCCATGAGCGTTTGCAAGAGCTGTGTCATGATTAGCCTGGTTCGTTGTATTCTATATATTCATCTGCGTCTGACGTACCCATCTTTCGAGATCCTCGTCGTTCTCCTTGAGTTTCTTGTACTCCTCATCAAGCCGTTCTGTTGGTTGAGACTTTATGTTAGCCTTTCTGTAACTGTTATTCATTGGCTTGTGTAACGTCAGCACTACTTACGGGTAGTACAGAAGAGCACATCCTTCAGAACGGGGTCATTCCTAAGCTGATCAAGGAAGGATTCAGCGCCAGAGTCGTTACCGATCTGGCTGATCTGAAATCGCACAGCTGTTGTTGCTGTTAGCACTAAAGCGCGTGTCATAGCTTGGTTGATTGATGACATACTTGTGAGCGGGTACTCGTGTTCTTTGAGGAACTTAAGGCATCTGACGATCGTATTCTTGAACTCAGATGAAGGCTCACCACTGGCACAGCCATCTGTGATGCAAGAAACAAGAATAGGTCTTTCCACCTTTCCCCCGCTGTGAACGACGTCATAGAGCAGAGGATTGAGAATTCTTCGCTCGAGATTGGTGCCAATCTTAGTATTGCCACGAGGCTCGACAGATTGCATGATCTCTTCCACTTGTTCTGCCTTGAGAGTCTTATCTGGCGTACGTTTCCTGTTGATGAACTGCAGTTCTGTTCCACAGTCGTCAGGCACCAACAGTGTAGAGATTCGGGCAACTCGTCGAACAAGGCGGATCTGATCGCGAGCGCGGGTGCCCGACTTCATGGAAGTGCTGTCATCTAAGGGCATCGATGAACATTAGTATGAGGTGGCCAAAGGTAATCATCAGAGGGATGAGGAGGGGTGGGAACTTCTTGATTCGACTTACCGCAGTAAAAGACTGGCTGGTAGAGTGCGAGCTTGGTTATGTCCTGGATGGCTTCTTTGGTATTGAGCACCTCGCCCTCCCTGCCCTCAAGCTCAGCTGCTTTGTTGGCAACGTCTTCCAGGAACTTATTGCCTTCCTCAAAGAAGTATCCCAGGCCAGTCTCATTAATGAATTTCATCATGCTTGCCTGGAACTGTTGCGGTGTAGTCTTTGCTGAGATCTCTGACACAAGAGGAACATCGTCAACAACATCATCGTCTTGGTCATTCCCAATCGCCAATGTGCTGAAGTCAGCAGCATCTGTGAGTCCAAGAGTACCGTTCATGCCTGAATTGCCGTAGATCCTGCTTGGAGGAGGCTCGACTCTGTTCTCTTCATGTGGGATATCTCTGTCACTGTCCGAGTCGCTAAGATCTCGCTCCACGGGTACGCACTGCCAAGTGGTCCAAACTCAGTATACAGATACACCAAAAGAGAGGATTGTGTTTGGGAGCATGCATTGTTACTTACCTTGAGGGGAGCCTGCAGGTTGCCGCCGATGCCGAACCATTTTCTGACCACGTCTCCAAGGGTGGTGTTCATGTATCCAATCGATCTGAGAAAATAGTTGACAATCTCACCCACGACCTCGTCCTTCCTCGCGGCTTGATCTGGCCCCCGTACTATGGCATCAATCACTTCAGAATCCTTCGTAGCCCTTGCGAGCTCCTCAATGCTGATGAGCTTTGAACCTTTTTTGACCTTGTGCTCCGTCGTGGCGTGATAGTCTTGTAGAAGCTTGATGACGGTAGGCTCGCGATGCTCGACGAACTTGGAGAGTGCACTGGAGCCATCGGAAGCCAGTATATTGGGGTCGGCCTTGTTCTCCAAGAGAGTCTCGACGGTAACAAACCTCTGTTGTCTGCTGACGGAGGAATGACTCTCAGAAGCGTGCCAGAGCACTGTTCGATCTTTGTTGTCTTTGGCATTGACATTTGCCCCCTGATCGAGCAGAAACTTGACGACATGGACATGGCCTTTCGATGCAGCGTGGCTGAGGGCCGTACGACCTCTGCCATCGAGTTGATCAATGGTGAACTTGGGATCAGTGGACTTGAAAAACTCAATAAGCGACACAAGGTCGGCGAGGCTGCCCTGAGCGGCGGCTTCATGGAGAGTCGTCATGGTTTCGAGATGGCCGGATACCTTGATATTCACAGAAGAATGGTGCTTATGGGAGAGGAACCGGTAGAATAAGAAGCAGTGGAGAGGGCGTTTGCAAAGAATTACTGGAGTTTGTTGGTTCACCCTGGTTATCTGGGGTCCGCAGAGGTGTGGCCTGATTTTCTGATCTGTCAGATATGACCAGCCCTTCTTATACCTGATCCAGGAACGGGACAGATGCGGGTTATAAAGCAGTGAACGAAGCCAAAAGCGTAGAGGATGACGCAGATGAAGCAGAAGGAAGTCGCAGGGGGGAACAGAGCCTCAACTCCTCAACTTTCACCAGCAGGCACGCAATATACTGCATGAAATCGATCGATAGATGACGTACATTTACCTACTATGTACTAGGACTCAGCCATCATCGCTCTCACCGAGAATGGAGACTCGAAGTCCAACTTGTCCTCTTCCGATGCGAAACTGACGTTATGCGTTCCCCTTGCCAGCTGAAAAAAAATGTTGCATTGCAGCCCATGCGAGGAAAACATTCGCCCTCACCGAGTGGACATCGTGCCTATACAGCGCTGCCCACCCGCATCAGTGCATCTCAGCCGCATGCGAGAGGCTTGTTCATACTGCAACCATTATAGCACAAACGCCTTTTTTGCGGCCATGATTAGCAGCCGACACGTTGCATGGAAGACTCCACCGGCGAGTCGAGTCTTGAACTTGGTTGACCGTGCATTATCGGAACGGCCTTGCATGCCACTGCCAGCCATGTTCGGAGAGGCGTTCAAGGCAAATGTCTCACGGACGTCATCTTCATTGGCAGCCTGATCCGGGTAAAAGAGTCAAATGACAGTTGGCAATGCAATGTTGAATGAAGAGCGCGAGAGAGATGGTCTCTTTGGGCCTGAATGGCGGCCTTTTACGCGGACGCTCTCCACGATATGACCGAGCCAAGCACATGCATCCCCTACCGGCATCTGGACGGCCCCCAAATAGACGAGGCATTGAAGCATGAAGGCTTGATCTGCCCAACCAGTCTCATGACCCAACGAGATTTTCTTTCCCTCCCCTTCAATGACGTGCTGGGCTGCTATCAAGCGTCGCCAAAGTTTGGGCGAGGAGGAGTCTCCGCCACGATGAGGCTCTGTTGCAGCCCAAATTCTGGTCACCCAATTGAGACGGAAGAGTGTCGTATCGGATCCCCGGCTAAAGCACCTACGTATAAAAGAGCCTAGTCCGGCTCACAGGGGTCCAGAGACATGGCGGTGGAACATTGTTCGGTCTCTCACCCAGAGGTCCAGACTCACTTACACGACTTCGGGCTCAGCATCTGTCTCACCACATCAGTGACACCACAATTTTGTCAGCATGGGCAAGCTCCAGGATGTCACTCGCCTGCTCATGGCAGCTGGAGGCTCTCCCTCTCCCGATGGGAAAGTCACTCACCTTTTGCGCGAGAAGGACAACTGTCTCTATATGGAGACGTGGACTGGGCCTGAGCTTACTGACAAAGTGAGAGTTGCTGAGGATGTCAGAAGCGGCACCTATGCACCGCTCATTTCCTTGCTGTACAAGGTGAAGATCTTTCATCTGAACTCCCTTGCATAAGGAGTGTGCTAACACAGCCAACCTCTTGGTTGGGGATAAAGAGAGTCTTCACCGTTGACAAATCTAACAAGCTCAGATGCTTCACCGAGACATTGAGGGCTGAGGATGAAGATGAAGACGAAGACGAAGACGAAGATGGCTGGGAAGAAGAACCGTTGGACGATGTAGATGTCGAACTTCATCCGCAAAGCTGCATTGCCGTCTCTTGCGCCGACGAAGCAATCATCGTCCTTTATCAACAGCCAGACGGCTCGCTCGGCGCTATTGAAGATGACGGCGACTTTTGGAAGGTGGCGGGGCTTCCTTTCTGCATGGCCTTCCCCGGATCTCCATTGGCTTGCCTACGAGTCGAAGAGGCTTCGTACTTTGTTTATGCTGGCACTGAGGGCACTCTCCGGTATTTGGAGCATGGCGCAGATGGATGGAAAGGTATTGTATTACCGGCCACAAACCATTACTCGATGCCCCTGTCCTACAGTGCTTACTTTGGTATTAGATGCCCCCTTCTCGAAGGTAAAGATTGATGCAGCGAAGTCCAAGCTCTTCGCTGCCAACGATGAGAAGTCTAGCAGCGGCCCCAAGCTTATGGTTTTCTGCCTCGCAGATAACAAATTAACCGCTATCAGACAGGAAAGCGACGAGGCGGAGGCCTTGGGCGCAGTCCACAAGGGAGAATTCAAGCCAGCCTCTGACCAGGAGAATGCCAGTGAATGCAACGCCAACTTATCGCCCTGGGTACATGCTCCTGTGGAGAAAATTCTAGAAGGGTTGGATGAGCTTTACGCCGAGTCGCTTTATCAGCGATATCCCCCAGGCCCTTACACTCCATATGCCTACCCGCCTCCTCAGCAACCCTTTTACCAATATCCTCCTTATGGACGTCAAGGAAACCCGACAGCTCAGCAACAATGGCCCCCCTACAGCGAAGTCCCTTTTCAACCTGCCCCCCAACCAGATGGTCAAACCACTACGCGCCCATCTCGCCAAGGGACCCAAAACCCTCCCCCGCAGCAAGAGATTCCCTACGCCCACACCCCTTATCACCCTCCTGCTCGGCCAAATCAGCAACACACTCAACCCCCTCGCCAAGGTGCTCGCCCCCAGCAACATGCACCACAACCCACTGTCGAGGATTTAGATGAGTCACTAGAAGAGCCTACTGAAGAGCAAGACGAAGAGGTTAATGAGTATGAGGAGGAGCCGGTTGCTCCACCTCGATCAGCTCCAAGGAATGCTCAGCGACCTGCTCAGCAGCGGCCTTCTCAACAGCAACCTCCTCGTCATCCAAAGGCTCGACAGCAGCCTCCCCGCCAGCCAGCTACTGAGTATGTTGAGGAGCCAGAAGAAGAACCCATTGAAGAAGAACCTGTTGAAGAAGAACCTGTTGAGGAAGAAGAAGAAGCTGTTGAGGAAGAGCCCGTTGAAGAAGAGGCCTTTGAAGAGGAGCCCATTGAAGAAGAGCCGCTGGAAGAAGAGCCCGTTGAAGAAGAGCCCTTTGAAGACGCTCCTCAGCCTACCGTCAGATCCACTCAGAAATCTGCTGCGAAGAATTCTCAACAGCCTGTTCGACAACAACAACGACGACAGCAGCAGCAGCAACCCGGGCAACGACAGCCACCTCAACAGCAAACCGCTCGCCAACAGCCCCCTCGTCAACGAGGTGTTGCCCAATTCAATGATGACTTCAACGAAGAATCTCATGAAGAATTTGTTGAAGAGCCAGTCGAGGAACCTTTTGAGGAGCCTTTTGAGGAGCCTTTTGAGGAATACACCACTTCGCGGCCTGCTCAATCCGCTCAGCAACCCGCATCAAGGAACGCTCAAGGTCCTCTTCAACAACAACAATCCCGTCGAGGACAACCTCTTCGCCAGCAACCTGCCCCCATTCGCCAGAATGTGCCACTCCGTCAACCAGCTCGCCGGGCCCGTGTCGAGTCTGTTGATGAGCCCTTTGAGGAGCCCTTTGAAGAGCCTTTTGAGGAAGAGCCCTTGGATGGACCTCCTCCTTTCATACATGTTCTAGCCGCCCAGCCACCTGCCCCAGGAATTGCTCCAAGACCGGCTGCAAGACAGAGCAATCTCCAGCCGCATTCCCCTCGCCAGCAGACCCCTCATACACCAACTGCTCGACGGCAGCCCCTTCAGCGGGAACCTGTTCGTCCGCAAACCCCTCGACAATCTCCTCGTCAGCCAGCCGCTCGACGACAACCCCTCCCACATCAAGTCCCTCGTCGACAGACTCCTATTCCTGATCAATTCCAAGTTCCCCATCGATCTGCCTCGAGAACTTCGCAACGCCACCAATACCAGCCTCAACGGGCGGAGGGAGCTTTCTATGTGACTCCTCCGCAAACCCCCCTCCAAGAACCCCAATACCGACGGATGAATGAGTACCCGGATCAATGGCAGAATCCTTACCCTCCCCAACTCGACCCAAGATATGCCGCCCAGCAGATGCCCTACCCATCGACCCCCCTCCAACAAGGCCCCTTTCACCCCCCTTTCCGACCTCAATCTGAACCTACCGTTGATCACCATTCTATCCATCATTCGCATCGCCCAGCGCATCGCCCAGTTCATCATTACGCACATACAACTACTTCTCATGTTCACGTCCACAGTCATTGTTCTTCTCATTCAAGCCATCACTGCAATTGCAGTTCTCACCACAAGGCCCCAGGAGTAAGGGTCCGCATGCTCAACTATCTGTTTGGGAATCGATGCAGATACTGTTATCGTCGCTACAAGAGGGTCAAGAGCATCCATAGACATATCCGTGAAAATGTCGTGTACGAGCACCACAAGGCCTGTCGCTGCTGAGAGCGATTCATGAGTTAAGCATGACGGAACTGTGAAGGGTGCAAGGGAACTGCAGGAAGAAAATCACCAAGATTGCCAATTTCATTTACGTCTATGCCCTTTCACCAAGATTGCCATTCTCATTTACTTCTATCTACTTTCACCAGATTGCCAGTTCCATTTACGTCTATCTACTGTCATTACCGGTTTAGCTAGAGTAGTCTTTGTAACGTCTTGCGAAAATACACTCGTTCATAGCCATCCTCAGTCCTCCTCTCCGTCTCAACATACCCCAGCTTGAGATACAGTCCAACATTCTCATGCATCTTGACATTCGTATACAAAGACACACACGACAAGCCCTTTCCCCTCGCAAACTCCTCTGCAAAATCCATCAACACACGACCATAGCCTCGTCCCTGCGCTGCCGGCTCAACAACCAGATTGTTCACGGTGACAGCATCTCCTTCAGCATCTACGCCCAGGACAATCGATCCCACCAGTCCCTCAACATCCTCGCCACCTTCTGGTGTAGATGTAGTCTCTAGTACGAAGATGTCGCGTGTGGTGAGCAGTTGTGCGTAGTCGGCGAGCATGGGAGCAGGAGGCTTTCCGATGCGGTCAATGTATTTCGAGTAGCTGGCGTTGACGATGGCTTGTAGAAGTGGGATGTCGTCGGATTTGGCTCTTCTGATGGTGAGGCCATCATTTACTGCCTTTTCTGAGAGGACCGCCATCCTTATTGAAATGGTGGGAGTATACAGGTGTCTTGTTGGAGGGAATTGGTACTTCATCTCGTTCATTGAGTCAGTCTTTCACCTCGTGTATTGAGTCATCGTATTAGCTGCAGCTACTACCAAAACTGCCCTAAAGCCCGACCGGCCTCCCCTTAAAAAATCCGCCAATTCATATACACCACCAAATCCGGAGTCTTTCATTTCTCAACATTCACCCTTCTCCATCACCATCTTCGTTCTTATTTGCTCTCGTCCGTCTCATCTTAGGGTCCGATACTGAACAAGACATGTCGTTGACGGCGAGTCAGCACATGACGCAACCTGCCATGCTCGATACTCAAGCGAGCCTGCGAACCACTCAGAAAATGATGCGAACCTACATCCATCGCGCCGTGCACAACAGCTCGGCAATCTCTGTCAATATTTTGACTTACGACAACTTGGACAACTTGTCTAATTCCAACGAGTCGCGGGCGGATACGTTTTGATTGCATGCAGCTGCAGTGGCATGTCTGCGTGTGGAAGCAATTGCGGCCTGACAAGTCTCACATGGTGCCACGTTGCACAAGGGGAAACAGGGGGGAAAGCCCATATTGGCCCCCAACGCAGCCTGATGACGGTTGCATTTTCTTTTTTTTTTGGCGATCCGGCACAAATGTCTTGATGCTGAAGTCTCATTGTTTGCAACGCGTCGCTGCAATATTGCGTTACCGTCGTCTATCCATATTGGCAGAAATCGTGGCCATCGTCTCCCCAGGCGCTTATCGTACCCAACATCACAGCTCATCCCTCACGGGCACCGCCTCGTCCAACGGCGCCATTGCCATAATCTTCACCACCAGGCTCGTCCAGCCAGTAAAGTGCTGCGTGCGCTGGCCAGCCCCCGTCTCGGGGTTATACTGCTCCCACGCAAAGCCCGTCTCCTCCCAGCTCTTGAACACGGTGTCGACCAGGTTCGTGCGCAGCTTGTTGTACAAGCCTCGGGCTTTGCTCTGGAAGGGTCCCTCCTGCGTAGCGATTCTCTGTGCAACAAAAGGTTAGCTGCCTAGCTGCCTACATCGTTAAGCCAGGTGATTCTTTATATCACTTACGTGGAGCTGCGTCAACGCCATGTAGTTGATGGGCATCCACACTGGGCTGCGCCAGTAGTTCTCCTCTGTCCCATACAGCGGATCTTGCTTGCTCAGACTGCGGAGGCCATGAGGACTGAACAAGTGATTCTCATCACCAACCAGGTCTAGAATCTTGCCCAGCTTGGCATCGTCAGGCTGCATCAACCCAACCAAGAAGGGGAATAGCGAGATGTATCCCTTGTGGCATACGAGAGCATGCTCCTCGTACTCGTCAATGGTTGCGTCGCAGTAGCAGCCGTCCTTCTCGGACCAGTGAAGGTCATCCAGGTTGCGCTCAATGGCAAACAGGTTCTTCTTGAGCTCAGAAATCTCATCAGCAAGACCAAGTGCGTCTGCAATGTTGATGAGGGACTTGGTCATGAAGCCGACCCAGGACATGAGGTCCACATGAAGCTCGCCCGGGTGTGGCGGCTGCGGTCGTGGATAATCATCCAGGCCACTGGTAAGACAGTGCGTCTCGGTTCGACCCCTCCACCTATAGGCCTCTTTGCTGGAAAAGGCTTCTCGGTCGTAGGCTTTAATGTTGCCCTTCTGCGTCTTCCGGAACCAATCGTACTGGCGTCGAAGAAGAGGATAGATCTTGCGGAGGAAATCGCCGCCAAGTTCCAGATTGTCCAGGTGAGCGTTGTAGAGGGTTTGTCCTTGAGATAGTGTCTCCATCCCAGCGGGTGCGGTACCGTTAGCACCACGGAGCCGCTCCATGAAGCCCTCGATAATCAGGAAGAGGGTGGGAGGGTTGGCATAATGAGGGTACTGAACCTGGAATTCCTTCGGAACCTTGCTTCTGGCCTCTGGGCCAAGAATCTGCTCACGTGGGATCCAGCCATCGCTGTCCATGGTATTGTACCAGCTCTTGACAACCTCAAGCGTCAAGTCGATATCCCAGTCGGCAATCGGGATGAGATGGAACCCCTCATCCCAAAGGAAGCCTCGAGGAAAGAAGGGACGTGAGGGAATACTGGTAAAAAGCTCGTATGGGCCTTCGAGTTGCTCGGCATGGCGTCCTCGGGCGGCAGCCGTATCCTCCCAGAAGCCTTCATTCTCTTCCTCATACTCATCCGCATATGATCGATCAATCAATTGATGTCCGTGGAAGTAGCCGATGCCTCCAAGCAAGTTGGAAAACATGCTTTCGCCAAACTTTCGGTACTTGTCCGCAGTGTAAGGCGCCTTCAAGTCAAAGACACTGGAGAAGCGCTCGCCAAAAGCCTCCGAAGCCTCCTTGATCTCCCGGGTAACGTCGTGGCTAGTCAGCTCGCTGCCAGCTGAGGCCGATGAGAAGATGACGTCGAATTCGAACGATCCTTCAAACGTCTTCTGAACAAGGTGGGCGTTGCCGCCGCCTGGCTTGGACTTGAGTCGGAACATTTGCCAGGGAGGCGGCAGTGTCTCGTCGGTGTAACTCTGTTGGATTTCCTGGATGGAGTCTTGCAGCTCCCGGAAGGTTGCTGGCTTAGCCTGCCACAGATGCTCGTCAGGGAGGCCGAGGCTGCGAACCACCGTCGTGTCCCCTCGTCGCGAAGCTGATAGCTCATGGTCCGAAGTCGGATGGTTGCCGCTTCCCTTGGTAACGACAATGGTGTAATCTCCCAACGCATTGGAGTTCCCTTTCAACCTGACATCGCCTGTGAATCCCAGGCCCTCGTCCTCCTCCACACCCTGGACCTCGAGATCTCCGAGGCCTTCCTGGGCGATGTAGTAGTGCACCAGGTACTTGGTGTCGGCGGGTGCGTCATCTCGGACGGTTCCCTTGATCCTCGCAGCCCAGCTACCACCATGATTACCCCCAGGAACTTTGATGAAGGAGGTGGTGATGTCAATGCCGTTGCCCTCGTCGTGAATGGTTTGAACGCCACCAGTTCGTGCATCGTACTCATCCCAGCCGTATCCATGTATGTCCTGGCCCTGCTCGCATGTGTATCGAAATACTGCCCACCAGATTAGCACCACATTCGTGAGAATAGCCGCAATCTCACTCGATTCTTCTCACGTACGCGACTGGATATCCATGTACTGCTCAGCTCTCCCCCACATCAAGCCCGTCCACAGGCCCTGAGGCAGCCTTGGCCGCACACCAAAGTAGAGATTTGGCTTGTAGGGACCCCATAGCAGACTCTGGTTGTTCAAACGGCCAATTTCGCTGATGAGGACGGTTTCACTGCCCGTGGCTGAAGCACCAACGGCCAGCGCCGCCACAGAGGCCAGCAGTTGGGCGAGCTTGGCCATTGCCCTCTTCTTGTGGCTGCTTTACAGAGCGCAGCTCTATGTAAAGAGAGTACAAGGCGAGACGCGAGAAACTTGCTTCATCTAAACAAGAGAGGAAAATGCAATGTCAATGCTGGCCTCTTGACAACACAGGCCTTGGTTGGTGCAATGAATGAACACGGTGGGATGAGTGGCTCTGCCAGCTAAGTACCTAAATGTCACTGCAAGGCTGAGGAGCTCCAGCTTGGCAACTTGGCACCTTGGCCAATCGCCTGCTTGATCTCAGCCACACAAGCCACACAAGCCACCTACACCAAGCCGTCATTTCTTCAGCCTTGACCATATCTCGCTTCGAGAAACTTCATCCATCCAGCTTCACCACTTTCTCTATTCCCGCTCATTCTCGTACATCGCAGCCTCTCAGTCACCGCAATCCCCCGCAGCCCATAATATCAAGATGAGCGACCCACGCCGCTCCAGGCGGCCCGACAGCCGCCAAATGTGGGATGAAGCAGACCGTCGCGATCGCGACAGGAACCCTCCTCGAGACCGCGAGCGCGGCTGGGACAACCGAGACAGGCAGAGAGACCGCGGTGGCAGAGATCGGGGCGGCCGGGATCGGAGAGGCTACAGATCACGATCGCGGGACCGACGCGACAAGCAGCAGGACCGCTCCATGTCGCCGGACAAACACAGACGAGAGCGTGGGGGAGACAGAAATCGAGGCGGCTGGGACCGTCGCGGAGGACGAGATGGAGATCGGCGGGAGAGCCCTCGTCGACAAGACGATAAGGGTGATCGTGACGGCTACGACAGAGACAGACGATGTGAGTATACAAACCCCGTCAAACACGGCATTGAATGTTGCTGTCCTAGGGCGATCGGTTGCTAACAGACGGCGAAAACAGCAGCGAAACACCACGATGACCGCCGCCGCACACCATCCCCCTCTCACTCCGCCCTTCCCACCCGTCCCCATCCAGAAAGCACCTCCCGCAAGCCCCAGCCCAGCATAAAGATCAAGACCGAACTGCACAGCCCCTCGCCCTCCCGCCGGGACGACGACGAGCAGCGAGATCGAGGCCGCAGCCCCAGTCGAGGAGGAGACAGGTCGCCCTCACACGACAAGATGGACACCGACGGGCATGACAGACTAGACGAGGACGAGGACGACATTGTCATCGAAGGCGAGGATGAGCTGTCCAAGATGCAGGCCCTGATGGGCTTTGGCGGCTTCGGCACCACAAAGGGGAAGAAGATCGCGGGGAACAACGTCGGCGCCGTGCGCAAGGAGAAGAAGTCGGAGTATCGGCAGTACATGAATCGGCAGGGAGGATTCAACAGACCACTGAGTCCGTCGCGGTGAAGCACGATTCTTGTGGGCGAGGGGTTGGAAAGGGTGGGGGGGCTTGTTTATCTGTTTGTCTGTACAATTCTTATTTTACGATATCCACGATGGCATAGCACGGGTTTGCATTCTGTTTCTTTGCTCTCTGATTTCACTAATCTTTCTAATCTCCTGTTGCTGCTGATAGTATTCACACAGGTATACTACGGAAAAACTTAGGAAATGTGGTCCATAGATTACTCGAGCAACTGTCTTCTGTGCTGTCCATGGTGGAAGAGTTGTTGATCCAACACGACGGTTTCGCCCGTGCTCCAGCATTCGGGGCTCTTTGGGAGGTCCTTGGCGAAGTCGTTCGTCACATTGAGGAACTGGGTAGCCCGCTCTGTGCTCCTCCCTCGGTCCATGCAAGCAACAAGATGTGTGTTTGATTTGGTACATCCAGATAGTTCAATGTTGAAGCGTATTGATTAGGTTTTCATTCCAGGTACCCTTCTATTAACAAGCCATTAAACCAAGAAGCAAACACTCAAGCGGTTGCTGTGGCATTCCCAACCCTGTACACATTAGACAATCCCATGCCCAAATGAACCCTACGAGATGCTGATTTGTATAAGCACCCTGTAACCAAATTCGTCCTTTTTTAAGCGCTCTTTCCATCATAAAGGGCACATGTGCTGTGCTAGATCTACAAATCCACCCATTTACCAATGATAATCCCTGGTGTCCGATTCCAAAAAAAACGCCGGGAATGCATGATCCTCAATGCTTCTCTCCCACATAAGACATTTCGTCTTCCTCCGCCATGCGTCCAAGAATGAGGCTTTGAATCATGAGCTCGTCGCACAGCACACGAATGTTCCTTGTTACCGACGGCGCCTGCGATCTCCGCCGTTTCTTTCCAGTGGGTTCTGATACCGTGAGCACCGACTCCACCGTGCCGATCGACTCATCCATATAAAGCCAGGTAAACGGCTCGCCCGCCTTCTCCTGGGCGTCCAAAAGTTCGCGAGCCTGCTGTATCGTCGACACCCAGGAGATGGACGGCCCCAGCGCCTGGGCGAGAAACATGTACGGCTGCTTCTCTATTAGATCCGTCTTCTTCTTCTTTCCCTCACTCCGGGTCCTCATATCATCCACAAGCGCGAGGAGCTTCTCGCCTGCAAGTAGCTTTGGCCGGTGTTCGACCATATCCACAAGCCTGGCCTCTGCCGCATCGTACCGACGCAGGCATCTAGACCTCACGGCATTCCCCAAAACAGCGGATGATCCTGCTGCTAAGAGATAGGGTTCCCAATCCATCAGAATTCCCTTGTTGAGGCACGTTATGACCCACTGGTACGCCAGACAGGGCAGGCCCAAAGCCAACGCTTGCATGTACTTGACCTTTCGCGAGTGTTTGTCTGCTATCAGTGCGGTAAAGCCATAGTGTAGACTGGCCTTGGACAAAGTCAGAGATGCTCCGTTGGCAGTGACTGATACGTCGGAGGCACTCAGGACGGAAGAAGGCTCAAACAGCTCCTCAAATCCAGATTCCAGAATGAGGCCACCGGCCTGCTTAATCTTTGTTTCCAGATTTGCACGCGTCTTTTGACTCTCCTTGTCGGGTGACATTGATATAGCAAAAACCATGCCCTCAAAAAGTCTTCGTCCGCGGAACGTAGATCCAATGCTTTGCTTGAATATCCTACTCGATCGCAGCGAAGATATACCCATCTCAAGGGCACTGCTGGGTGGTGATTGCTGCAACTCGTCGGTAGAACTGGGGTTGACGCCTGCGGACAGCATACTCGCCTTCGCCGCTTTCACAGCTCCCTGCGGCGTCGTATCCCTCGTGGCCCGCTCTGGATTTCGAGTCCGCATCTTACGATTTTGAGCCGGAGAAGACACATTGGTGGTGGATTTTGGTTGATCGGATACTGGAGAAGCCTGCGTATCAGGAGTAAACTTGTCTGACACTGCTGGCGTTGATATAGCTGTTAAGCTGGACGACGTATGATTTCTCCGAGTCGCTGCAAGGGCGCGCACAGGTGTGAGCGGTGTTCGCTCGTTCCTCTCGGTCATGAAAGACATTGCTACAGTCGCTGCGGAATGCGACCTTGCAGGTGGCAGCTTTGGTAGCTCTGGTTCTGTGTTGCCCACCTCCGTCTGCTCGCCATGTTCAACTGGTCCACCAGACTTGGGCTCACTATTTGATATAGGAGGTGCATCCTTCTGTCCTTGAAGTTCCGGCTCAGCTGACGACCTTTCGTTGGTCTCCGAAGAGGTGATGACTCTATTACGGCGACGGCTTTGTGCTTGTTTACCGTAGACCCTTTGAGCATGTCGACGAGGCGGAGGTAATGACGAGGGTTCCGCATCGTTGTCGGCCTCCTTGTCACCCGCCTCGTTTTCAATGAGTGGCGGCAGCTCAGGTTCAGAGGCCAATACAGCACCACGCTGAGCACCGGCGGATAGAGATCTCACGGGACTAGTGGCGGGAATCCTATCCTCAGAGGCAGTCTCCTTATCTCTCCTGCCTTGTCGGACAGTCCCAGCGTTTTTGCCGCCATCGCCGGATGTCGCATCTCGTGGGGTCGCTTTGGTAGACCCAGCTGACAGGTTTTGCTCGGGCAAACTGGATCCTTTCTGAGGACTGTGCGAGCCGGCACGTGCCTTGGCATGCTGTAACTGATCTGAAGCTGATGACCTGAGAGGACGGTTCTCTTCCTCGCCAACCGACGACAGCTTTCTTCTCTTACGATTCCGGCCTTCGCTCGAATCTTGCCGCGGAGGTATCGGCACCCTAACCTTCTCCATCTCTTCCGCGGCCTGGAGCCTTATCTTGTCCATCTTCTTCCTACGCCTCATCCTTACGACGACGTCGTCCGGGTCGCTATCGATGCTCAGCTCCTTCGGCGGGGCTCTCACCGTCGCTTTACGCTCTTGGGACTTCTTCATCGGCTCATAGTAAGATTGAACTTGAGCGGGAGGTTGCCGATTGCCAAACGACTTCAGAGGCTGGATGGTTGGCGATTCCGGAATCATATCATCTTGAGGATCTCCGTCTTCGTCTTCGTTGGTCACCTCTTCGCGGATTGGGGACACTCTAGGTTTTCGAGTAACCGTGGCGACAGTACTCAATCGACTGGGGCTCGACGTATGCATGACGGTAGGAGAGGAGACATTGTCGCGACGCTTCAGAGGAGATGTCGGCATCATGTTCAGGGACATCGTGTCGGGCAGCATTGCCGGCGACGGCCGCGACGACGTAGGGCTGTGAAGCTTCATAGCCGAGGTCACCGCAGGTGTCTGCTCGAACAGCTGTGTACCTGCAAAGGGAACGCCGACACCTCCATTATTCTGCACAGCAAAGGGATTCTTGGCCGGCACTGGTGTCTCCGGCAAGAGAACGCCGGGCTTCAATGGCGTGTAGCCATGGCTTGACCGCTGCTGCGACGTCAGGTCCGGCGCCCTCCATTCGCCACGAGTATTCTCAAAGCCTGCATCTTCCGAGACCTGCGACGACGGACGCACACCAGGGCTCAAGTGTCCAAAGTTGACGGCGCCGGTATCGTCGGCCTGCAGCGTCTGCTCGGGCTCGTCGTGCAGAGGCAGCGTATCGGGCGGAGGGCTCGATACAGGAGGTCGGTAGAATTGGCCATAGTCTTGCTCCGTATTTTCCTGCGTAGGCGTGTACTGTGATGTGTCCATCTCCTTTGCTTGCGGTTCCCCAGCGCCAATTGGCAAGGCTGGAGGCTTGTCGTTGGGATTGCGGGTATCGTCGTTGTGTGGAGAGGACGAAGAACGTGCATTTCGGTGGAACGGGCTGCTGGCGGCAATGACAGCATCTTCCGACTCCCGTTCGCGCGGCCCCGGTCGAGTTGGCGGTGGGCGAGGCCGGGGTGCTTCGCGTCCCACTCTGTGATTGCCGCCTGTGAAATTATTCACGTCGCCATGGAGAGTGGCAACGGCTTCCTGTGGCGCAAGTTGCCGTTGGTTCTGTCATTTTTCACATCGCCTTGTCAGCTTTCACGTGTCTCTCGCCGTGAATCTGGCACCCATCAAGTACGCAACGGCAGACACGCAACAGGGCACCTCCATAGATTCAGGGCCAGGGAATACGCGTTACAGGGGCCTGCACAAACCTCGATACCATCTCGCCGCTGCACTCTTCGCCTGGGATCGCCATCAGCGCCGTGCCAGCCTCCCAGCACATCTCCAGCGCCTCCCCCAATGCTCTCGCTATGGCTCTCGATCCCGGTCTGTGGCTGCGAGGCAAGGGTCTCGTCAAGCTGTTGTCATTGGTCAAAGTGCCCGGTCAGCGCGCGCAAAAAGCAAGCAAACGCGGGATGCATGTCATGACCCTGGTCTGGCCGTGGCTGATGTACGTACCGCTGCAGGCAGGAACTCTGCCTTCAAGGCCTCGAGGATGAGCTGGCTGTCTTGCGATTCGACCGTCTCTTCCAGCAGCAATTGATCGGCTCGCGTGAGCGGCCGTAATGGTGACATTATGATGGCATTTTCTGCATGGTCTTAGGGAGGAGACGGTTTGTTCAGAGGTTCGTTTCGCAAAAGATCTGGCGGGGCACGTCCAAGTGAATGCGAGCGACAGTGAAAGGAAGCCCCCGAGTCTCGACGCCACAGTAACGCGCTGTCACGTGCGAGCAATCAGTTGTTTCTCCTGGTACTTCTAGGCAACCACTGACTTATTGACCCCTTTAATGAGTTGTGGCTTAAGTTAGGCAAAGAATAGCTTCAACTTGACGTTTGAATGGACGAATCAACTCGATGATATGGAACTGGTACGCTTGCTTAAATGTCGCTCCTTATGCTACCTCTCCACTAAAGCAATTCCCTCCAACATAAATCCCCCCATCTAGTATGCCATCCATCATATACAAAAGACACCGGGTATACATCTCATCTATTCCATAACTCTATCATGAAAAATCATCGTCATCACTCCCCCAATCACCCCCAGAATAATCCACAGGAGACTTGCCCGCCCACTTGTTATCTTGCGAAGCTGCAACTGGCCTTGTCGACGCTGAGCCTCCCGAGAACAGCGGAGCGGGAGCCAAGTCACTCGGGTATTGCTGCTGAGCCATTAGAGCCCCTTGTGCCGACTGTCCACCTTGAAAGTTCATAGGAAACTGCTGGCCACCGGCCTGCATTCCAAACTGATTGACACCTGGAATTGGCTGCGGAATGGGTACCGGAGGGAACGTCTGCTGCGGCTGCTGAGCCACCGGGCTCTGGACCGCGGATTTGGAGCCGCTGCTCTTGAACCACTTTCCCCACGACTTCCTGTTCTCTTTGCCACTGGACGTGGGAGACGTCTGTTGAGGTGTTTGCAGTGGTGGCAGGGGAGCGGGTTGTGCTGATGAAGGAGAAGTGGGAAGAGCCTGAGGCACTCTCTGCTGAGGTGGTTGCTGTAGCTGATGTTGCTGCGGTTGAGGCTGTGCATGCTGACCAAGTGGTTGGAATCCTTGTATGGGCATCGCATGAGACTGAGTGTGGCCTGATTGCACGATCGGGCCTCCCAGACTCAAAATAGGAGCTGGCTGTGGCGCAATGTTGATATGGGGAGCTTGACCATAGGCCAATTGCTGTCCCTGAGGGGGCACCTGATGCTGTACTGGCATTCTTTGACCTTGTGGAACAGTTTGCTGAGCTGGCTGTTGCTGGCTATTCGGAGGTGCTTGCCAGTTGGACTGCAAAGGAGCCGGTGGATGGCCCTCTCGAGCAAGTTGCTGTTGCGGCGCGCCCTTGTTTGGCGGGGAAGCAAGTGTGTCGGGAGGCGGCGGCTTGGTCAGAACCTTTCTCTGCTTAATCTTCAATGGAGACACGGCTGCGGCGCCATGATGCGTCTCGTCATGCTCCTCAATACTAGTCAGGAGATGACTGGAAGCCGATGGCCCGACACCCATGGGCGACTGCGGTCCCATCTGGTTGGGCGGCACATCAGTGAAGGATCCAGTATTCACCTTCACTTGACGTGAAGATTGCGATCTTTGCATTCCGCCTGGTCTCTGATCTGGGCTTGGTTGTTGCATCTGAGCATGAGATTGGGGAGACGTTATCCCCTGCGAACTCCCCGACATCACATTCGCCAGCTGCTGCTGCGGCATCGAGTGTCTCTTCGACCGATCTTGCGTCGCACCAACAGGAGGGATGTAAGGGAGCTTCACGCTAGAACCTGCAGCACCGCCAGAGACAGGAGACTGTGGTGGCTCCTGGGGAGGAGGTCTTCCTATAGATCCATTCGAGGGAGGTACCGAGGATGAACCCTGAGAGCTCGGCGTGGAAGCGAAGTAGGAATTTTGAGCATTCTGCGATGAGAATGAGCCCATAGATCCTCTTCGTGACTCAAGCGGTGAAGGTGTTTCCAAAGGAAGGGCCCCGGACGATAGGCTTTCGGAACGAGATCGTATAGGCGACACCGGTAGGATCTCGTCTTGGGTTGCCCGACGCTGGATAGGCCGTGGCTGCGGTGGGGGTGATTGATAGCTCGCAAAATTAGCATAAACGCCCGGATAAGTAACGCTTTGTGGTCTCGGCGGCTGGGAGTTTTGAGCTGGGGAGACACTCTGTCGCGCATCGCCACCCGGCTGGTACGATGGCCGACGTTGCTGCTGAAGCTGTTGTGCCGGCCCAGTTGTGGCTGAACGGGGCGCCGTTCCAGCTGGTACTATCACGGCTCCGGAAGGCGGAGGACCTGTCCTGATGGGTAGCTGCTGCGGCCGGCCTGGAGTTGATTCCCTTCGTTGATGCTGAAGAACAGGCATTGCACTTGCAGGCCTCATTGGCTGTTGGCTCTGGAGCGGCCCATACGGGGCTATTATTGGCGGTCCATCATCGATTGGATATGGAGCTGTGGAAGTACGAGCAATTGGTGGATGGGGCATTGTAAGCGGCTCTGTTGGATAAGGAGGTTCGGCTGCGACTTTGAGTGGAACTGGCGGCACAGCATATTGCTGGGAGATCTGGAGATTGGACTGTGGAAGACCCGGTGTTGTCGTGTATGGTCTCTGTATAGGAGCTGGAGGCTGAGCCGTTGCAATGGCAAAGGCTTGCTGAGCTGGAGCTGGAGGGTTCTGCGGTGCATATTGTTGGACAACCGGTGCTGGTGCGGGAGCCGGAGCCGTGGCTGCAGCTGGACCTGGACCGGGGGCCGGGGTCATGGACGGCGGGTGTTGTCCATGAGCAACGAACTGATACCCAGATGCCCGAGTATCTTTCATGGGAGTTTCTGCACTGGATCCCTGGTCCAATCCTTTGACAGCAGCTTGTCGATCGGGCGACTGGCCCGGTCTTCCCCGAGCAGGCCGGAGGACAGAGGGATACTTGACCACGGCAGGTCCAGAGTTATCCTGAGTAACTGCATCATTCTGCCCCTGGGCCGTCAAAGAAGCATTCGGCGTCGTCGCCAGCGGTTGCTGCTGTATACCAGAGTTTCGAGGCGACCCGTTCCTAGCTGGCTTCAGTACAGACGGCACTCTCCTCTGATCCACCGGCGGCGCAGAAGCAGTACTCGGCCTCATGCTCATATTGAGCGACGCCTCTCGCTGCAATGCGGGACTCATGGTCCGCACCGGAAACGAGTTGGTCGGCTGAATCCTCTGCTGAGGAGCTTGGCCCGGCGCATAAGCTTGATAGTCATCTTGTGTCTGGCCCCCGCCCGCGTGCGCATTGTAGACTGCACTGGACTCTCGAAGTGTCGGTTTCCTGGCAATCTTGAAGGGCGTCGGGGCATCACCACTCTGTTCCTGGGTCGGACTCTGAGCCTCGTTCTGCTGCTGCCGCCGCAGCTCTCTGTGTAATTCCTCTTCTTCCCTCCTCTTGCGCTCTTCTCGCCTCCGCTCGACCTCACGCTGTCGCTCTTCTTGCTGCCGCCTGACTTCCTGTCTTCGCAACTCCAATTTCTGCTCCTCCGTTATCCTTTCTGCTCTGACAGCATCCTCCTCCGGTGGTGTCACGTCAGCCGGCAATTCTACAAAGCCAGGCCGCGGCTCTGTTTCAATTGGCGCCATGACATAGTTGTCCGCCAGCTCAACAGGATCCGGTTCCATCTCCGCACGAGAGGCGCCCGTATGTTCTGTCGGCATCTCGGGCACCGTACCCACGGGATCAAACTGCAGGCGCATGGGCACGGCAGTCTCGGCCGGCAGCTCAAACATATCGTAACTGTAACCTCCATCAATCGGCGCGCTCGCCTCTCCCACAATATCATCTCCCACGATGAATTCCTGCGGAGGCACCACCGCTGAATCCTGGTGGTTTATTAGAGGCGGCGGCGGCTCAACAGCTCGTTCGTCCACGGCCGTCGTAGACCCACGGGGAACCGTCTCGCTCGTCTGGACCATCGGCGTCGTGTTCTGGCTTACCAGAGGACTGACACCTCTGATATCCGTCTGCTGTCCACTACCCAGCTCACCTCCCACCACCGTCCTCCTCGCCGCCTCTTCCTCCTCTTCCACCAGCGGGCTGACATCTGTATACGTCCCCGGCCCCAGGAACATGAAGTTCTCCGGCTGAAACACCCCCTCTTCCTCTGCCTCCACCTCCGCTTCCGCCGCCTCTGCCCGAACGTCCTCGTCCCTGACAAAGTCGTCGTCCCAGACGGCGCTCACGGGCCGTGCCGTCGCCGACATGCGCGCCCTCCATCTGTCCCTGTCCTCTCGACCCGTCTGGCCGGGGACCCCGCTGACGCTGGCATGCCGCTTGACCTGCTGCTGCGACTCGAGGCGCTCCTCGGGCGCGAGGTCCGGCGCTGGCGACGAGATGTCGATGTAGTGGGGGAACTCGTCGCCCGCCTTGGGGAAGTGATACTGGACGTGGCCGGTGGGCTTGTAGCGATAGAGCCATCGACTGCCATCATAGTCCCATTCCCAACCGGCGGGGAGCGTCGCCATGATCAGGCGCCACTGCTGCCGCGCTGCTTCTTCAATCCAACGACCGACAAACGCAGAAGCTGCCTCTACCAGCCCGTAACATGAAGTAGAATTTGAAGAAGAGAGATAATATGTGTCTCGGTAAAGTGTTGTATTTCGAAGCGGGTCGTTTCTCGTTCAGCCGCACCGCTGTCGCATCGCCACGCAAGGGTCGTCCACAAGAAGCATAGGGAAGCGCCGTATTATTCGATCGCCAGATAGTCCCCCCAAAGATCCCAAGAATAGAGGGTAAGTGTGCAATGTCTCTCGGAAGCCGTGATCTGTCCAGAAAAAATCCAGAACAAAAAGCAAAAAGAACAAGAGAAAGGAGAACAGACACAGACAACAACTTGCGCTGTCAAGGGTTCGAAAAGAAGAAGGAGGTAAAAATAAATATAGAATGCTGACGGACAGACAGCTGAAGATGATCCCGCTCCAGCTTCCTTTGCTGGGACTAACACCCCCAAGCCACTGCGGCTGGGGCTTGATATTGGGCTATTGGCTGCCGGGCGGGGACTCCAGATCTATCTAAGCTATGGACGCCTCGTTGGGCCGCACCTTGGGCGAGACAGCTGGCCTCTAGTCCGCTCCCGGACAGCTTCTCTGATCAGCAGGATTCCTGCAGGAGGCGATCCTTTGTTGACTAGACTCCCTGATCTGTCCGTCCGTGCCATGGGCCAATAAACTTGTACTATCATGACGGTCTCCTTTGTTCGCAAGTATCCAAGTTGTCAGCATCATTCGTACCTGGGACAACCGTATAAGCCGTCATCTCAGTCATCTACACGGACCAGCATTGACATACCAGCCAACTGTCATCACCATCGTCACAGCCTCAAGGTAACCTTGTAGAATCTTCTCCTGTTCGGCGGAGTGAGTATTATTCATTCATTCCATACAGTCTCCTCTAATATGCATGTCGTCCGAATCATTACATGATTGAGGCATATTTCGCTGCCTTCATCCCGCCAGCCATGGCCGGCAAGCATCACGGTATCCCTTGTCACAAATCAAACCTGCTGCGCCACCAGTATCCCAATCCACAACCTGCTTATGGAATTGTCATATCCTGCAATGCTAAGCTTGCCATAGAAAGAAAAACAAAAGAAAGAGAAATATTAGAGCGAATCGCTTAAAATAGAATCATCCAATGCCAATGCGTAAGGTTTGATTCCAGCAAACCGTTCAATCTATGCTCTTGCCTCATGAAAGAAAAAGGGGGGGAATCGCGAAGAAAGAGAGAATAAGGGACGTCGTAGTCAGCTTCGCCGATGAGAAACGGCACGAAGCCCATCGCGGGATTAGACCATGTCCCTATTGCTTTGGGCGCTCCTCGTCCCACTTCGTGCGCGTCCAAAGATGCGAGACCGTGATTGCGTCTGAGAGTCGGCCGATGTGACAGGGGCAAGCGCCGTGGTGGACGCACGAGCAGTTGCTTCCTCCTCCTCCTGAAGTCCTCTCTCCTTCTCGCGAATGCTGGCCATTCTCTGCATGTGGACGTGTTCTCGTCGTTTCTCGAACACGTCTTGGAACCCTCCCGTGACAGGCTCCTGGTTCGGCACACTTCGAATACTGCGAGTGCTAGAGGAGGCTCGAGGACGACCCTGAGGCGTGCCATCGTTGGGGTTGGGGTTGTTGTTGTATGCGGGCGGTGCAGGCAGATTTGCCCAGTACAGAGGATGCTCGCGACTACCGCCAGGATCGACCCGCAGCGGCGCCTCAATGCCCACCTGGACCATCTGATACATGAGTTCCGTGACAAACTTGTTATGCCGGTTCAGTCGAAGAAGCTCATTTTGGAAGCTGCTCTTGTGGAAAAAGACCATGTTCATGGTGCACGATCGTACTTGGTTGAAGCCGGTCATTTCGGTGATGATGCTCGGCTGATAGTCCCGCTTGTTGTTCTTGACAAATTCCAGCATCCTAGCCTTGAGCTCCTCGATCAGGTGACCCGGTGTGCCAAATCGCATCTCGAGGGGAATGACATCCGAAAGGCCATTGGAACGCCGCTGGTTGAGAATGAAGAGGGTGTTGAGGATCGAGTTTGGGGCCTGAACAATGTGACCCTGCATCTTCTTGAACTCGGTGTAGAGCAGCGAGATCTCTGTGACATAATAGTCGTCGCCCGTCAGCGTCGCTCCAGTGTTGCCGTAGATGGTAACCCGATCGCCCACATCGAATGGGTGCTTGATAAACACGAAGATGATGGACTGCAGGAACTCCTGGGCCGTCGCCTGGAGCATCCATGCCAGGCCGAGGATGGAAGAGCCCGCAGATGCAAGGCCGGCGGCTGTCGAGTCGGAGAGAATGGCGACGAAGACGATGATGGCGATGACCACAATGAGGAAAAGGAAGACCTTATCGAGCTTCTTAATCACGGAATCGAGGTCCTTGAGAGATGCGGCAATAGCTTTCTTCTCCAAATGGATCTCGTTGCACACGGCCTCGAACTCGTCCATGGAGATGTCGCCGTTCATGTCCTTGTCGAACATGCTGAAAGCCGCCTCAGCCTCCTCCATACTCTCAAAGGCAACCTGCAGGTCCTCCAGATGCACCGTCTCGCGGCCCTCGCGTACTACACTCCGATAGATGAGGCGTGCAAGCGTGTGCGCCGATGCGGTGTTGCGTAGCAGCTCGGCTACAATCTTTCGAGGATGGTTGTTGTCGGCCCCTTTGCGGCCCAGAATATCGTTGCCAACTCTGCCCGCAACGTGGCCAACCTTGCCCAGCACATGGCGGGCGTTGTTGTGAAGAGTTCTCATGGGCGTCTGCATACCGCTACCGGAAGCATTTCCACCGCTGCCCTTCCAGAAGCTATCTGTGCTTTCAAGCTGTTTTTTGGCATACTCGAAAAGGCACACCAGCTGGCGGATGTCTGCCTTGTTGTTTTCGATGCGAGTGGCGTACGTTCGCTGATGAAAGCTTTGGGCGATCCACTGGATGAGAATCTTTTCCACAAAGTTCAGGGTCGCCAGCACGAACAGCGAAATGATGACTTTGTTGACGACGCTGATCCAGTGGATGTGAACCTTTCCCGACTCGCCGTCCGGAACGGGGGCGCGATGGCTGTCCATGGTCGGCTTGAAGGAGACGAGGATGGCCAGGAACCACAGAAACATGGCCGTGTGAAGCTCGAGACGCTGGCCAATATCCCGCCACTTGGGGGCATTGGTTGATCCGACGACTCGGGCGACGGCGTGGAATAATGGCGGGATGAGATTCGTAATCATTCGCGTCACCCAAAGCGAACACCACACAATCTCCAGCCAGATGCCAAACCACATAACGTAGACACCTCCCGTACCGCCCACGGCGTGCTCGGTTCCATTGAACCTAAACGTACCGAGCAGGACGGGAGCGAGGAGCAGGGCAGCGCCCGGGATGAGGTAGATGATGTATCGAAAGAATCGAGGGAATTTGCTGATGAATAGCCACAGTTTATAGAGCGCAGCATCCGTGTTCTTTTTCTTCTCCAGCACGGGCTCCACGTTGTGCTGGTTGAAAGCGTCCTCAGGCTCGGGGTTGTGATGCCTATTCCTCGTCCGGGCCTTGGACGCTTGGTCATGCTCTTGGTTAGAGACCAGACGCTCAGCGCGAAGCAACTCGAGGTCGTCGTTGAGACGGTTAGCCTCAGCCCGCTGATTAGTCGGGGTCATGCCGCCATTGGAGTCGTGAGTAGGGGCCAGGGTGTTGAGGGTGTTGAAGGTATCGAGGGTCGGCGCCTCGTACTTTTCGTCGTACGGCTCGTCAACCTTGCCGTCATCCGACTCGCTGAATTGCTCTTCTATCCGGGACATGTGGTGCTCTTCCAGCCGGTTCCCGTGGTGCTCGTCGCTCCGGTTGGTCTCTGACGATGCACGGCGCGGGTGAGAGGGCGGAGGGCCCGCAGGGGCGTGAGGATCTGGAGGAGCTGGGGGAGCTGGAGGAGCTCCAGGAAACGGCTCTCCAGCCATGGTGAGTGTGGATGATGAAACTGTCCCGCAGTTGCTGGAAGCGTCGATGGCCGCTGGCTCGAGCTAAACAAAGAGGATGGTGGGTAAAATATGGGATAGAAGAGACACCGTCGACGACGGGTTATGTATAAGAGCAGAAGATCAGATGCCAACAACAGAAGAGAGACATGTATATACTGTAGGCTATCCAATGGGTAAATGTGCTGTTGATGTGCGTGCTAGTGGTAGTAGTACTCGTAAGAATGGCTGCCAGACATCGGATCCAGCGGGAGGCTCTCCGCAAGCCCGCGCTGGCTCTAGAGCGATAAAGTAGCTGCAGCACCCGATGCTGGAGATGCAAGGAACATTGGTCCAGCCGAGGACAGGCTCAGGGTTCAGGTTCAGCGGGCTGCCGAGATGATCGGCGTGGTGTTTGTTGGCCCGAGTGACGGCGCCTGTGGAGCGAGTGACGAAACGATGCCGTTCCGCTCTGCTGGGGAGCGAGAAAAAGGAATGAGCAGCTGGGAAGGCGAGAGACAAGAAGGACAAGAACAAGCTTGTTATTAAAATCCAGACGGGCCACCGCGGGAATCCACTTGTTTTAAACAGCAAATACCGAGACGGGAAAGGGATCGTATGTGCATATCGAAGGCATTCACTGAAGGGTTTTTTTCCTCCGCCTGATGGCCAGCTCGCCAGCACTAATACCGACACGACTAATGCGGCTCCGAAACAATCTGCCCCCGTCGCGATGTCGCCCGTTCTGGAGTCGCTATCATGCCCGTTTTGTTCCCCCCTGTGGCGTCTGGTGGCGTCTGGTGCGTCTGCAGCGCCTTCAGGGCCGTCCTGCAGCCACCAATGCGCTCTTGTGCCCTCCCAACCGCCTCAACTTGGCTCTATCGCGAGCCTCTTTGTCCACTAGCGCCGCCCATTTCGAGGCGCCACGGAACAGGGAACAGCTCCGGAGTGCCTGTTGCAGCCTAGCGCTGTTGTCGCTATGCAGCATGACAGAAGACGCTGGAATCTCTTTGCCCACCACCAAACCACCTCGACCTTTTCCCATTTCTGCCCTCGAGAAATCCGCACGTCGACGAAGCCCTAGTGGAAATCTCCAGAATCCCGAGGTCGACGTGGAGCCATAGGCCCACCGGCCGCTGCAGGATTTCCTTGATTTCCCCCCTTCAGCTTTTTTTTGATGCTGAACCTCGACAGGGTTGCTGACGATCGCGGTGGAGCTTCAGGATGCGGGACACGCTGGAGCACGGGGATTCGCATTCACCGATATATCCAAGAGATTGGCTTTCTTGGCTGACTCGATTTGCCTGGGATCCAGACGCTTGTGCGAGGATCCTGCTCGAGGACGGCAAGGCGGTGGTATCGAGGCGGGGCCCTATCGTGCGAGAACATGCAGGTGGCCGCCGCGCAACAAACCATTTGCTTGGCTGATAACGAGATGCGTGATGGCTTCATACGGACCTTTGACCGCGTCTGCTGATGATCGGCTGCGCGCATAGGCTAGGACTCTGCTACTGCATGTAGGGGCACACTTGTCTCTGCGACTCGGTCTGCGCTGGCCGCGGGAGGGCATGTCTCCATGTCGCGACACAGCGCCGCACACATTACTACCCGCCGCTTCCGCCCTGCTTGAGTCGCAGCTCCGTCGCGGAACCACCTGGCACGACGCTGCGTCAACGTCCAGCCTCAGGGCCTCAGCTCGGCTTGGCCACCGTCCGATCCAGCGCCGACCTCTCACTGTGCTGCCGGCCGCGCGTGTCCCCCGGCTGCCCAGTCCGGGCCCGGATCTCTAGACTGTGGGAGCGACAATGCCCGACATGTACGCAAGCCTACTTAGCTATGGCTCCGGATCCCCGGTGCCAAGAGCCATCGTCGGTCCGTTGTCAGTCGCAGATTAATTGATTGCCGAAGCCATGACGACGGACCGCACAAAGATTCGCTAGCTGGCCAGCAAACCGTTATCACGTCAGTCCAGGCGCTGGCGTGGACAATATCTGACCGGCAAACGAGACGATGATGCTGCTGATGGTCAGTTTATCGGTGCTTTTTCTCTTCCGCTTTTCTTTTTCTTCCTCAACAAGCAAGGCAAACTTCTGTGTCTCGGAAAGATTACATACTCGGGCCTTTCCTTACGGCTGCCAAGCAAGCCTCTCAGCAAGACGGCCCTGTCAATACGAGGTCTAGTGGCAAAGACAAGCTTCTCGGTTTGCTCTGAACTGTCCACCGGGCCCGCTACAAATCGAGATTGCCCATCATGACATACATCTACGCATGCCCGCCCGATCAAACAAGACAACTATCATTTCTGATTTGACCATGGTGCTGAGCCCCTGCATGAATTCACATGCTTGTTTGACGCGCCAAGTTTGGAGGGCTGTTTAGGTTTCTTTCCTGCTGTTGTCATCGTGCTTTCTCCCCACTTACCCTGCATATCTTCTCGATCAGAAGATGCTTTTTTTAGAATGTACGGGATTCACCGGATGCTAGTCTAACTGGTCTCGGTATCTACGAGTATATCCTTCATGTTTATGCCTAGCAGGTTGTGCATTGGTTCGGCATTCTTGGACCATGCCGAGTTTGCGTTGCGCTCCTCGTCTGTTTGTCTACCACCTGGCTAAGCATGATTTGACCAGACTATTTGCTTCCAATATTGACAGCTCTTCTGACGCCGAGTATCTAGGACGTGCGTCGTACACCACAATCGATCAGTTACTACGACTAGGATACCGGGCGGCGCTTGTTTCATGCGACTCAAGAGAGATTATATACGATTCACTCTTTCGCTAGAGAAGCCAAGACGAACCTCCTCCGACAAGATGATACCGATCTTCCACCAATTACGCCTCGAGCATAGGGCTAGGCATCCAGTGTGGAAAGTTCCTCCTCGATGCATAGCTGAGGTTTGACAAACTCAGGGCCAGTTATTACAGGCACGTTGCCAAAGCCACTCACCGGACCATGCACGGCCTGTCCCGATATCTCATACAAGCCCCCCCTGCTACGGACAAGCATCCGAGTCTATTCAGGCTGAAGCCCATGTGAACGTCAGTTGTCGTCACATGGCAGATTGATTGCTCTTATCGCCTGGTTACTGTTGGGCCAACCCCTCTTGGTGCATGGTGATATTGAAGAGATCAACTGCATACACAAACTCAACAGCAACACCACCTCGAGCTGAACTCGGAATTGTCTTCAGCGGTCCGCATCCCCCCACTCTGCGCTACTCCATCTTGGGGTCTCCCAGATGTGTTCGACTCAGCCAAATGCCAAGGCCATCTACTACGCCGTACACAGCGTTCTTAATTGGTCCGAACGAAAAGGGTCTGCCAGCGCATTCTGCTCGTCTCTCTTCTCTCCGCTCTTTTCCTTACTCAAGCCCCTATTTTGATGCAATGACACTGCACTCACAAAGGGCGAAGAGGCGCCTAATTAAGACACCACACTCCGCGGGTAATAATCAGTCACATCATCCACGTTGGAACCGATTTAACCTGTATTTCCTACGTGTGAGAATCCAATTTCGAATCCAACAATACATCATACCTACCTGCGTCCCCCAATAAAGTCAATTGGGAAGAGACACAAAAGAATATCAGCTTCTGACCCCCAACAAGAGAGGCCAGCTTGGCCAGCCTAACAGAACATTCGACGCCAGCAGCAGTGCCTGAGTCATGCGTCCCCAGAAGCCAAGGGGTGATTACGTTATGATTGAGTCTTCTTCCTGACAACAACGGCCACTACTCGTTCATTGAGTCCACTGATATGAATAACTGGTTCTAATGGACTCACGATACTCGTGAGAGTGAGATTGAGAGTGATAGTGAGTGAGTGAGCGAGTGAAGTAAAGGGCTGAGAATGTGTAAGTGCCCAGTGCTTATTCTTTACGTCTATAGATGTTGCGCGTCAACCGCATTAGATGGGCGCATGCCGATGCCAAGCGACACCAGTCTTCTCCTAGCCGGATTATTTTCTCCTTGGACAACAAAACGGATAGCAAAGGGATAGCAATCGGTCAGTTGTACCGGCAACGGTCGAACCAGATCGCTTCATCATCAGCCCCAACCCCGCGCATCCCATGTGGCACCCAATATATCCCCTCCCATCCCCATACTATTCCCCTCATTCTGCCTTTAATCTGGACATCTCCGCATTCTAGACGAGTCATATCCCTGGTCAAGGTGCTTTAGGCTCTCCCAATTCTACCACAGGAGGCACACGTTAACAAGCGAGTGGTGCAGCCAATGCGACTATCTGGAGTCTGGATTCGTTTATCCCTTCCGAAAGGGCTCATGTAAAAGGCTCATCTGCAAACTGATTGGTGCAGGACGTTCTCGGTGGGAGGGACAATGATGCCATGATGCCGTTGCACGCCCAACTGGAACACGAACGCAGACGGCTTCTCCATCCGTTGCTGGGTGGTGAGTTGCAGGAGATTTAGTCGATGCTCGATGTTCAATCGCACGGGTTTGCTCGTGATAATCACGATATACCGTGCTCCGTTGTGAAGACATTGGATGCTCTCATTCATGTTGTTGTTCAATGCGGTTCGAACACGGTTCTGACTGCTGTCTGCTGTTGAGATTAGGTGCTCCGGAGCAGAGATTAGCTCTTTCCTAGCGGGCCTCGTTAGAACGCGGGGTGCAGCCGGAACCACTAAAGCCTTCCAATTCCCCCAGGCCGGGGAACCGTTAGTGGACGGCGGGCCACTAGACCCCCACGCTTCAGTGAGTGCCGACGCCTGAGCAGCTCCAGCCGTGCTAGAAGCCGATCCATCAGCCGGGACCTGAAGCTCGGATTCCGTCCATCCTCCCTCTTGCGTCGTGCAAGTATCGAGTACAACATACAAGCCAGCGTGTGTATAAAGGCACGGACTCTGCCTCCTGCAGCGACCATGAGCATCCTCTACCGCATCCCCCATCATCGACAACAGCCAGCATGCAGGCATCCGACGACGACAAGCAGCCGGCCGAGGTGCAGCACTCGGAGCACGCCCAACTGCCGGGCTCGTCTCGACAACCTGAGGCTGGCAAGCCCGCCAACAAAGGGGCGGATCGTGCGCTGGCCCTTATTGGTCATGAGAAGGTTGACGTCTCCGAGGAGGAGAACCGCCGGATCCTGCGAAAGACGGATCGAACCATCCTGGCAATCCTGGTCTGGGTTTACTTCCTCCAGATATTGGACAAGAGCGTCCTAGGCTACGGCGCAACATACGGCCTCAAGGACGACGCGCGCCTCAGTGGCGGCCAATACTCCCTCATCGGGTCCGTCGCCCCCATCGCCCAGCTGGTCTGGCAGCCGTTCTCGTCCTACCTCATCGTCAAGGTGCCTCATCGCATCTTGATGCCCGTCCTCTGTCTGGGATGGGGCATCGCCCAGACCTTGATGGCGGTGTGCAACGACTTCTCGGGCCTCATGGCCACTCGCTTCTTCCTTGGCCTGTTCGAGGCTGGTTGCTTGCCCCTGTTCAGCGTCATCACCAGCCAGTGGTATCGGCGAGCTGAGCAGCCGCTCCGTGTTGCCGCATGGTACGGCACCAACGGACTTGCTACAGTCTTTGCCGCCGCCGTGAGCTTTGGGCTAGGCCGCATTGAGTCCGACGTCTTGAAAGAATGGCAAATGTAAGTGCATATGATGATGCTGCTGGCGAATCTGCCATGATGCGAAGAGTTTGACCAACACAACATGTACAGTATCTTCCTCTTCGTCGGCCTTCTCACCATCGTCTCTGTTCCTATTATCTACTGGAAACTGGACAACGATATCCCCTCGGCGAGATTCTTGACCGAGGAGGAGAAGCCCAAGGCCATAGAGCGGCTTCGCGCCAATCAAACGGGCACCGGCAGCCGAGAGTTTAAATGGCACCACGTTGCCGAGGCTGCTCTAGAGCCCAAAACCTATCTGTGGTTCGGCATGACGCTGTTGCTCAACGTGGGAGCCAGTGTCACCCTCACCTTTGGTCCTCTGATCATCAATGGCCTCGGCTTTGACAAGTACAAGTCCAGCCTGCTCAACATGCCGTTCGGCGCTCTCCAGACAATTCTCATCCTTCTCGCCAGTTACTTGGCCCAAAAGGCCAAGATGAAGGGAGCCATTTTGGCTGCCTTCATGCTGCCGGTGCTTGCTGGTCTGGTCATCTTGTATTGCGTTCCTAGAGGTACCGCAAGCCAGGGAGCATCCCTTGCTGGGTACTATCTCCTGGCCTTTATTTTCGCGGGCAACCCGCTCATCGTCACCTGGATTGTGGGCAATACTGCCGGGACGACGAAAAAGTCTATCATCATGAGCATTTACCAAGCGGCCAGCTCCGTGGGCAACATCCTCGGTCCCATCCTATTCAACGACAGAGACGCACCCGAATACAAGCCCGGTCTCCGATCTTGTCTGGCCGTATTCGCAGCTTTAATTGGCGTGATTCTGATCCAGTGGACCAATCTCGTGGTGCTCAACAAGGTGCAAGCCAAGACACGGGTGCGCAATGGAAAGAAGGCGGAAGTCATTGATCGCTCCATGCAAGAGCACTACCACTCAGCCAGGCATGAAGACGGTGTGCTCCAGGATGCTGAAGGTGCCGACGAAACAGACGATCATACTGGGCAAAACGCCTTCTTGGACCTCACGGATCGTGAAAACGACGAATTCGTGTACATTTATTGATGAGGCAACAGAGGCTCGGGGTTCTTGAAGGCGAGAGCAACCATGCTGTCTTCCTAGTGAAACACATCATATTTTAGCGTTACTGTTATTATTAAATTTCATTCCATATTACTGCCATGGAACCTTTGCAAGCTCGGAGCCGCATGGTGTTTCCTATATTTCCGATATGATTGAGCTGAGAGATCCGTTCCCGTTCTATATGCACCCATTGCTCCTTCTATTTATCACTTTTATACACGTTGACAATATTTGTTTAACCGCTTCACGACTTGCTAAACAGACCCTGAGGGCTCGCAAGTTTGGCCGCGAGGATGGTAAGCCCACCAAACAGGCACATGGCACCACTGAACATGGTAGCCTCGAAGAATCCCGCATAATGGCTCACAAAGGCACCATCGATAGGAGGCCCGACCAGTGCTCCGAGAGCTCCCAGGGCCAACCCCATGCCGGTGTAAGTGCCGATGTCGCGTGGGTCGGGGCTACAGCCTGTGATGGACACGGTTGCTCCGGAGATGAGTGTGCCAGAGGTGAAGCCAAAGACGGCAGCATAGACGATGATTGCCGCGTTGGACGTGGTCGAGTCCATGCAGAAGATGACGACGCTGGTGATGACGGACCCGGCGGCGTATATGTTCAGTCGGCCGTACTTGTCCGCCAGCACGCCTGGGATGATGCGGCCGAATGTCGACGCGCCGTTGAGGATGGCGGGCAAGTATCCGGCGAGCGTTGCGCCCATGCCTCTTTGCACGGCATACGTTGGCAGGAAGATGATTGGCATGAACATGCCGATGAAGACGAAAAAGGCCGAAAGGATGAGAAAGTCGTACTTGGCGTCGCGAAACGCCGAAGCAATCCAGAAGCTCGTCGTCCTCGGCGGCAGACGCGGCCTGACGACGGCCAGGGAAAACGCCATGAAGGGCAGCATGAGGAAGCCGATGATGCGCACCGTCCAGCCGAAGCCGAGGGACGTGCTGTTGAGCATCTTGGACACGGCAATGGGCATGACGATGCCGCCGATGGAGGAGCCCGAGATGGCGACGCCGAGGGCGGCGGCGCGCTTCTTGTCAAAGTACTGGGAGACGCTGGCCATGGCGGGGAACTGGAGGAAGGCCATGGCGACGCCCATGAGGACGCCCTGGACGAGCATGATTTGCCAGTACGCTTTGCAGGCGCTTAGGATCATGACGGCGAAGATGTAGAGGACGGCGGCTGGGAAGATGACCTTTTTTTCGGTGCACGGTTAGCCTTGGGGAAGGGAGGCTCTATATGTTGTGGTTGAGGGGGATGGGATTAGAAGACAACGTACCATGGAGCCATAACGATCGAATAGAGGACCTCCGACCATGCCCACGAAGAACTGCAGAAAGGCAGACAGGGAGCCTATCCAGGCTACGTCGTCGGGAGAATGGTCACTGAGCTGGTGGCTCAGGTAGTACTCCGTAAAGGTGCCAAAGGAGTTGGAGAAGCCCAGGCAGCAGAAGAAGATGGAGGCGGCTCCGAAGGCGACGAGCCATGCCCTGAGGCCGCCGTCGGGTGCTGGCTCGTGCTCGGCCAAGGACAGGGACTGTCCTTGTTCAGAGCCGGTTTGCTCTCCTGTGGACGGAGGCTTTTCTTCCAGCGGAGTGGCTGACATGACTGGAAAGGCTCACGGAATCGACGTGGTGATGGTTGTCGGGGTTGTAGATGGTTGAGAAGACTGCTGTATAACCTCCAGGGAGATGCGATTGATATTTGAACTCAGAAACACGCATCTTTATAGCAAACTGAGAAGTCTCCGGATTCCACTTTCAAATGCCCGACAATTTACACTCGGCCTCAATCCGCGCTGAACAAACCAGCTCATTCCAGTCCACTTTTCGGAGAAGGATCTGACGATCTCGCTTGGTTCCGCGATATTGGTCGCGCTTCTCCGTGTAAGTCGGCTGTTACCCAATCGGGAAAGATGCTGAATAACAAGTCCGAAGTGATGATTATCTTATCAATCAAAAGCCCGCTCCGGTTCGGATTTAAGGTCCTCTTTGAGGAAAATCCCGAACGCCCCTGAGGACGACGAGACGTCACTCCGAGCTTCAACTTCCTTTACCTTACCCACAGCTCATCGTCGTGCAGTTAATGGGGACGTTACCCAAATTGGAGACCGGTCACTGAAAAGCAGGTTTGAGACTGTACAATGAATCAAGCACCCAAGACGGTGGTCGTCCAAGTAGAGCGACGACGACGCAGACCAGCAATGTAAGACTGCCTCTCAACTTCAATCGCGTCTCATATCACAAAAGACTCACATGAAACTCCAGATCGTGCGCCCTGTGTAGGAGGCGCAAGCTGAGGTGCAACCGTGAGCGGCCCTGCAGCAACTGCATCCGCTCCAAGACCGAGACCTGCGTCTATGAGAACCATCACTTGGGGCACCAGCCCGGACAGTCGCCCACGCAGAGCCAAGTCGGCGTCTTCTCTGTCGAGTCTCGGACTCAAACACAAGCTCAGAGCTCCAGCAGTCCGAATTCAGTGCTGAAAGCAGGAAGCACCATCTCAAATCCGTCATCCAGGAATCTCATAAGCCCATTGACGCCCAAAAGCCAGGATGACTCGATTGCCAACGTTAGCCTTTCCGAAGCAAGCAACGCTGGCCCTTCTGGTCTGAATCAGTCCCAGCTTGCAGTAGAGCCTCCGCCAAGGTCTACAGACGCAAGCCCCGACTCGGATTTCCTTGCCAAGGCAGTTCACATCACTGGTGGACTCATTCATTTCCATCGTGAGGACAACCCGGTGGACGCGGCGAGTCCCAGCCTTATACGGAGTGTCACGCATAAGAAGCGCTTCTTTGGACAGACTCATTGGATCAATGTCTTTCAGATGGTAAGCAGATAAGTGCACTTGGCCGGATATATCCAGAGCCTCGAATTGGTATAAGCTCGAACACCGCTCACCTCACTTTCAGTTCAAAACCATGTTTGTGATGAACGAGATACATAACCTGGAGACGAAATCCAATGTATACCCGCTGCTACTCAAGTGCAAAGCCCTAGGCAGAATCATCAAAGCCAACAGGACCCCTGCCTGGCCGACCATCCCAACAAGAGAACTTCCCGAAAAGGAGGTGTGCGACAAGCTCATTGAATGCTACCTCGAGACAACAGAGAGCGTCTACAGAATCCTGCATCTACCTTCCTTCAGAAGAGACTACGAAGAGCTATGGGAGCCCGGAGCCTATCCTGACATGGCATTCATCGTCCTCGTCAAGCTAGTGCTGGCCATTGGCGCAATGTCGTACGACGATGACTTTTCCATGCGGCCCTTGGCGATCCGGTGGGTGTACGAAGCGCAGACGTGGGCAGCGGAGCCCGAGTTCAAGGCTCGGCTGGGCATCCAGTTCATCCAGCTGCAGATATTGCTCCTTCTTGCGAGGGAGAACGTAGGCGTCGCTGGAGACTCGGTCTGGGTATCCGGGGGCGAGTTGCTCAGGAGGGCCATGCACATGGGCCTGCATCGCGATCCGCATCACCTACCCAAGCGATCTCTCTTCGCAAGCGAGATGCACCGGAGACTGTGGAACACAATCATTGACATTTCCTTGAGAATGAGCTTGACATCAGGAGGTCCTCCGCTCATTTCCCTTGACGACTTTGACACGGAGCCTCCGGGCAACTACGACGATGAGCAGCTCATGACTGAAGGCGCAGTCCCAAAGCCTGGAGACGAATATACCAGCATGTCCGTCACCATCGCCTTCCGACGGACATTTCCCACTCGGCTCACCGTCCTCAGGTTCCTCAACGACCTCGCCTCATGCGGGACATACGAGCGAACCCTCGAGCTCGACGCCGAACTCCGCTCAGCCTACAAAACCCTCTGCCAAACCCTCACGAGGTTCAAATCATCCCAGCCCGGTCAATCATCCGGCCCTTCCGCGCTCGCCCTGCGCATCGTAGACTTCACCATGCAGAGATACATATCCGCCCTCCACACGCCCTACCTCATCCCTGCCCTGCGCCAAACCAAGTACGCAGTCTCCCGCAAACTCGCCATCGAAGCCGCCCTCAAGACCTGGTCCGCCGTCTACCCTTCCTCGGCCATCATGGCGCCGCATCACAGCCGGGAAGACGGCTTCGGGTTTCTTCAGGGAGATCCCCTCTCGCGGCTTGCGTGCTGCGGGCCGGGCTTCTTCAGGATCGCCTCGTTGCAAGCGAGCCTGCTCATCTCCGCCGAACTGGACAACCAGCTCAGAGAAGAGCAGGGGCTCGTGCCTTCGCCTCTCCGAGCAGATCTCATGTCCGTCATCAAAGAGTCCAGGGAATGGTGTCTCCGCTCCATCGAGGTCGGCGAGACCAACGTCAAGGGCTACCTCGTCAGCTCCGTCATACTCGCTCACCTGGAGGCCCTCACGCGCGGCCTCGATCCCCAACAACTACCCCCCGTGTTCATCAAAGCTGCCGAAGAGTCGGTGGAGAAGTCTCTCGCGATATTGGAAGAGAAGGCGGGAGGACAGGGTCAGGATCGAGCAGTGGATGCTCGGGAGGAGATGGACATGGTGGGAAATATACGGCCACAGAGCCCCGATTGGGATTTCTTGGTGAGCTTTGGATGATATCCCACCCCTTTGAGTTCTTCTTGATGTTTATTTTGCTGACACCCCGTCTTTTGCGAATCGATGTACAGGTCTCGGACGCTCTGTTTGCGTACAATGCTGGGATGGTTGAGCCCATGAACTGGATGTTTAGCGAAAACGTCCGGTAAAAACGCCCACTGACTAACAACTTGTACTAACCAATACCTTATTCGAATAATAAACTCTCGCCTCTCACGATTCATCCCAGTTATTGTACATAAACCATACCATAGACAACGATGCCAAGACCAATCCAACGATTTCTTTTGTTTCATGGAGCGAGCAAAAACTGTATGTAGCATTCTACCGACAGGAATCGTCAACAACGCAAATGGGCGGATGGTTTAGTGGTATAATTTTCCCTTAGCATCTTGCAACCTGGGAAAGGTCCGGGGTTCGATTCCCCGTTCGTCCAGTTGTTTTTCTTTTTTTTCTTTTTCGCCTGTTCCTTTTCATCTCCTATATCTGTTTGGTACAGGTTTCTGAATTCTTCTCTTTTTATTCCCTCTTCTTTCCTCTTCTAGAGTGTAGAAGGACTGGATTAGCGCCGGTCCGTCGAGATAACCTTGACGTTACTGTACACGGAGGCTTTCTTCGACTATCCGCCGCTGAGATAAGCATCTCTCATACTGGGTAGTACCTAGCCATGGATCGCTCGTGGACCAGGTAGACAACGGCTTCATTAGTTTGCAGGAGATGAACTCAACCCACCCTTTTCCGGCGTCATCCGGGACTCATCCAATATCCAAAAGCTCATTGTTACTTAGAAGGGGCAGACAACCGCTCACCGCTTCGCACCATCCATTGCTCTATAGATTGATAGCTTCAGCAGTGCTGGCAAGTTGGGAGCGTCGTCTAGCGTGAGTTTGTCTCAATCCAGATCCAAGCCCCTATCGAGAGTGCCTTAGTATACTTCGTATATACTATGTATGTACCATTCGACTTCAAGTGAGGGGCTGTTGACTCAGTAAATTGCGATGGATATGGCGACTCATGAGTCCCAGGTCCCTGCTTGTGCATGCAGGGTCTTGCGGAGCAAGTATTGAGGTATGCGTTGCTAAGTCATACTCGCTCACTCTTTGGGAGAGCTGCACACATGGACTCAGAGCCCAATTGTAAGTGCAAGCAAGGCAGGGCAACAGGACTAGACATCTTCCGGGTTAATGTGGCTTGAATGAGTTGTCGTACATACTTTGTTGACGTGCGGGATTGTTTCGAGAAGGCATTGGCAAGTATGGAATACCTGCCAGAACCCTTTCGTACACACTCTTTTGCCCAATAAGCGCATGTTGTCTCGTCCTTCGGGGTCCGTCCCTTTGACAAGGATCCCGCGGAACAGGATGGTGGGGGAGGCGGAATGGCGGGGTGCTCGGGAAAAGCCCCCCAAGAAGCTTGACCAAGCCATAGCTCCGGCCCAGCAGGAAAGCTGTTCTGGCATCATTGATTCGGTTAGGCATTCGTATGCCGGCCTTTGTTCGTATGCAACTCCAGTCATGCCACATTCAGCTGCTCAGGGATTCCAGCATAATCCAAGCCAGGGAGGACACCCCTCATGTAATACACCCCTCATCTCAATGGCTCCTCGTCAGGGAATCCGTCGGGTGAGAAACAATGGCGCCTCTGCCCCCCTCAACTCCGTCCTTCCCATGCGCCACTTCGATAGGATATGACGTTCGCAACCGCTTGGAGTCAGGGGGAACGAGGACGGGTGACCTGTGAACGAACCCATGGCCTGGGCCACAAAGGTGCCGAGCTACTCCACGATTAGGGGATGCTTGCCATGCAGCTGTGTCTAGCTGGGCCAGCATCCGGCTGCTCTCTTGCGTGGAGACCCTTGGACCCCGTTTGCCACACTACGTAAGGTAGTAGGTGCTGTGAGCCACCAGTCGCGTTATCAGAGCTCTGGAGCTGTTGTGAGGCCAGATCATCAAGATGTGCGGGAGTTGGACGGCGTCAGCGTGTCCACGCATGGAGCTCGCCAACGCCCCTTGATCCACGCTGCTACGCCATTGAAACTTGCCAAAATAGCAACGCAGTAGTCTCGAGGGGGGTAGTCGTATGCGTAGCCAAGGGGCAAGTGGCTGTAACGTAGATCATTGGGCGTCCTGAGAGCGTGAGGCCTCTGACCCCTCTTGTGAGTGTGGCAGCTCCAAGCTTATAAATAGCCCTTTGTTCGCCCTCAGAACCTTCTTCCTCTTCTCTCCTTGAATCAAGCACTCTTAATAAAACCACACACACATCTCTAAACTTCTCTTCATCATTCACAATGGGTTGGTTCGACGGTATGTTGAGCTCCGGAAACACCCATGATGTCATGATGTCTAACAGATATGCCAGACGACTCTGAGCAGGCTCAGGCCTACGAGACGGTCACCCAGCGACCCCACGAAGCCGAGTGGTCTCACGAGCTCATCGGAGGCGCTGCCGCTTATGAGGCTGCCAAGGCCTACGAGAACCACGTTGCCGAGAACGGTAAGAAGAGCCTTCCGTTGACCTTTGCCTGACGCTTCAGAATCTGACTTCAGTTGCTTAGGCCACCCCGACGAGCACGCCAAGGCCAAGGAGATCCTCGCCGGTGTCATTGGCGCCTTCGTCGACCGTGAAGTTGAGACCAAGGGCCTTGACTTCATCGACCGTGAGAAGGCCAAGCGCCATGCACAGGAGCAGGCCGAGGCTCAGCTCAACAACCAGTACGGAGACCGATGGTAAATACAGTCAGATAGAATAAAATAAAAAATATCGACGGTATGATTCGAAACCAATCGTTGCCGTAGACGCGTGTCTCGCTGCGGGGTTGTGTGAACCCCTCCATGAAGCTCTCCCTGTCAACTCGTACTCGTAAGCTTTGGTGTGTCCGTCTGTCGGCGCGATGATGCTATCGGCTGCACCTGTCTCGCAACTGGCCAACTAGGGGCTCGTCAACCGTGTTCCAGCTGCAGGAAAGGTACGTATCTGGCCATGGAGAGTGCCTGGCCGGTTGCGTGAATTGTGATGCAAGTTTCGTCGTAAACCAATATAATCAGCCCCTGGGCCGCAGTGACGCTGGTGGTTGGCTAGCCGGAAGACGATTGCCGATTAGCTCCAAGACCGCTGCATGTATGGTGGCTGAGAAAGCTTGCTTGCTGAAGAAAAGCTGGGCCAGGACCAGCTGGTGGATGAAACGCTCAAGCATCTGCAGCAGGAAAAGGGTCTCTCCATGCATTCATTAGCGGGGTTCGGTCGACCTGAGCCACAGCAGGTGGATCGAGCCAGGCCTGCGAGCTTGCCGTGTATCCGGAGGAGCGCTGCGGAGGCACGGTCGAGGCACACCGCGTCTTGTCGAGAGCTCTGCGATGGTCGAAAGCTGGTCTTTTCTGGGCCGTAGTCGCGCCAGGCGCCGCCAGCTAACGTGGCTGGCCACTGAAGACGGGGCTTCGGGTTGCGCTAATGGGAATAGCAGTTGGGCGAAAGAGGCCTCACTCAGCTGTTTCTGTGCTGTCATCGCCATCTGCCTTGAGAGCTCCGTCGACGAGGATGAGACGAGAATGCTTTTGAGGTTGGGGATATCGTCGTTGAAGTGCTGAACAAATCTAGTTGTGGTTTCAAGCTTCGTGCTGTAGAACGGTGAGCTGTGGCAGAAAGACCCCAAGCGCCCGCGGACTATCGTAAGTTCCGAAGTGCTCGGTACAAGCGCGTTGTACTTGGTCTCGATCGCAGCTCTCATGCATGCATCATGTCTATGACGAAGAAATTACAGCTTGAGGTGGCAAGCTATAGTATAATAATCTCCGCGAGCTCAATAATTAAGCTTATCCAGTCGATGGATTCGTCCTCTGGGAAAAGCTAAAGCCAGAATAATAGTGGCCAAAGGGCTGGAGTGACGTCTACTAACGTCCTCTTCAATTCCTGCCAAGTTCGAGCTGTTACCCTAATGCAATTGACGTCTTGCATTTACCAACCTGAAGAACGAGTGCTGATTCGACTTGATCGTAGACGATAAACAAGAGGCAAAGAAACCAATCATCAACAGGGACAACGTTCGCATAATTGCGCTCAACGCTTGCTCTTTTGTTCTTCTGCATCTTATTGTACATACGGTACCTATGCAATAACTGGCTTACCTTAGACATCAGTTTACACTCTCAGAAAAGACACCAACACATTTCATTTCCCAATGACCATCCATGTCTACACCGTCTTCGTAAAAAGAAAGCTCCGTGACTCGATCATCTAAGCCAGCTTGATGCTCCAGTCATCCCCAACACGGGCCTTCACATGGGTTACAGTTGCAAATGCAGCCCTGTCCTTGTCGGCGGCGTGGTAGTGCACCTTGGCGGCCCAGGCACGTCCGTCTGATTCGATCTGTACCGCTTCTCGGTCCCACGAGGCAGGAGCGCCAATGATGATGATCTTGTCGATGTGGACGTTCTGCATAGCCTTGAGCCACTTGCCAGGCTTGATCTTTCGGCTATCCCGGCCTTCAGCATCGACTGAAGAAAGAACATCGTCCTTCAGGCTGAACTTGCGATGGATGTATTGACCATCTTCAAACTCGTAGCTATCACCATCATCGACGTACAGCTCTCCTTCGGCCTGACCGTCCTTGGAGACGGAGACGACAAGAGTGTAGGGGTCGAAACGCATGAGAGAGCTTGAGCGACGGGGGATATCACGGCGTGGGATGATGTGGCCTCCTCGCATCAGGATGGGGATGCGGTCGATGGGAGTGTCAAATGTAACGTGCTTGCCCTGCTCAGTCTTCGCCACGTTGTACGTATCGTACTCGTAGTAAACCTCATCATCCGGGATCCAGATATCCGCGCTGTACTTGTCTTTCTCTGCCACGGGCTTAACGAGCAAGCCGGTTGATGCCAGGAAGAACTGGTCATCAATCGCCAAGCCTCCCTCAGCGGACGGATGCGTCCAGAACATCGGGCGAAGGATAGGGCTGCCATCTCGGTTTGAGTGGTAGAAGGCAGTGTACCACGCGGGCAAGAGAGAGTATCGCAGTCGCAGTGCTGCAGTAACAATGGCAGTATAGGGCTCGCCAAGCAAGTATGGCTCACGGCGACGGGTGTCGATGTGAGCATGGGCTCGGAAGAACGGATAAAACGCAGCCGTCTGGTACCAACGGGCGAGCAAGTCCTTCTCAGGGTCTCCGAAGAATCCCGCGACATCAGCTCCCGAGAACGGGAATCCAGAGATACCCTGGTTCAGGAGCATGGTCACGGAGGTCTGCAGGTGGCCCCAGTCCGCCAAGTTGTCGCCGGTCCACATGGCACCAAAGCGCTGGGAGCCGGAGAAGAAAGCTCGGGTCAGCACGAACGGACGTCGGTACTCGCCCTTCTTACGGCTCTTGAGAGCTTCAAAGGTAGAGTGATGATATGTCATTCCGTTCAGGTTGTGGACATCTCGGTGCTCCCAGTTGTCCCAGTGGAGGTTGTCCTTGGGCATGGTAGTCTCTGGGCCTTCAAAGACCGAGGGTTCGTTCATGTCGTTCCAGATGAAGGTGTTCTCCATTGTTCCCTTGAACGTGTCGTATTTGTGCAGACCCTTCCACCATTCACGGGCCTTGGGGTTGAAGCAGTCAATCCAGTTGGAATTGCCTGGCCAGCACGAGCCTTCATAGGTCTTGCCGTCCTTGTCGTGAACGGCGAGGTCAAGAGCCAGGAGTTGCTCATTGATAGGATAGTTGTCAACCCTCTTGATGTGTGGATCAATGATCGTCACAAGCTTTCTGCCGTGGCTGTCCAGTTGTTTACCGATACTGATGGGGTCGCTGAACGAATGAGGGTCCCAGGTGAAGTATTTTCCGTCATCGGTGTACTCGATATCCAGCCAGATGACATCATACGGCACATGAGCCTTGTCAAACCTGCGGTCAACATCTTTGACGTCGTCTTCAGAGATGTAGTTCCATCGGCACTGGTGGTAGCCGAGGGCAAACTCCTGAGGCATAGCGGTTGTTCCCGTCAGCTCAGTATACCTCTTCGTAATGTCCTGAGGCGTGGGGCCCAAGAAAACAAAGAGATCAATGATACCGCTTTCGGAGATCCAGTGAGTTTGGGTGTTTTTCGGGACACTGGATTTGAGACTCAGAGGGTTGCTGCTGCCTTTGACCTTTGTAATATCGACCCAGGTATCCGCTGCGTTGAGCCACAAGACACCGACGGAAGAATCCTTTCGGTGAGCCTGCATGAAAGGGATGGAGCCATAGAGGGTCATGGGGCTGTCAAGAATGTACTCAAAGACGTCGGCGTTGTACATGCGATAGGGTTCCGCATAGTTGCCTTCGCCGCCTCGAGTTTCCTTGAGAGAGAGGGGTCCGGTGTGCTCGGGGATACCATAGACATGCTCGTATCCGTGGAACGAAATGTCCAAGGCCACACTCTCGGGACCGCGAGGCTTGGTATCGGTATGTCCGTTGAAGGTCTCATCCCACCAGGTGCTTTCGTCCTCCTCAGGGTTCTCTTCTCCCTCTGGTCTTTCGACCTTTGCTCTCCAATGCTCAACGTTGAGCAGACCACGTTCGTTGAGCTCGATGTGCGAGACACCATCTCTCCGGAAATCAATCCTAAAGGGCGAGAGTCTGATGACGGCCTCAAAGTTGGCGTCGGGGCCGTATTTGACATTGATCTGAGAGTCGTCCTGGTGGACAATCTCGGCTTTCAGATCCGGCTCAAGGCCGCCAACAATGGACCAGTTCGCGGCCTCATTGTAGCGTTCCTTTCTGGCGATGCTGCCGTGTCTAAGCTCAATGTCCTTGTTTTGCCGCTTCTCCTCGTCAATCACGAGACGAGCAACACCCGATTCGAGGAATGAGATTGTGACTGGCAGTCGAACCGTGTCGCCGGCGGCATTGATCGTCTTGAGAATGACACCTTGGATCTGTCCGTCTTTCAAAGAGGGCGATTCGAGAACAGCTTTGTAGGGAGACACCCAGGTCGAGCTCTGGGAAGCGGCAAGATCCGCCAAGGCACGGTTTCGTTTGCAGAAGCCGGCCTGGTCGCACTTTTTGAAGTCATGTTCCTTGACAGCCACTAGAAGGTCTCATTGTTAGCAAGCTTGAGGCTTCGGGAACAGTGGTGTTGTAAGTGTGCGTACAGGCCGGCCCAACCAGACACAGAATTGCACTGAGAAGGCTGAGGAGTGCTGTCCACTTCCAGGACAGCCCCATCGTCGACCTCATGACGAGGGCGATGTTGGGTAGGTAAACAAATCAACAAGCGTGAATTCAGATGCAGGAAATGGCAAGCCACATGGGTTTCCAGACAGGTTCAGCAGTCCGCAGCCTCGCCCAGACAGCCCGCTGAGGAATCGTGATGATGCTGGTGGTAGAATCCCTTCCAGAGGCGTACCTATCCGACACCGATTGGGGAAGGGAAACGTGGAGTGCGGTTACAAGTAAGCTGTCCGTTTCGACCTCCTCGACAGCTCTCGATTGGGCATGGCGCCCAGATTAAGACACGTTCCGCCACCAGGCCCGACCGCCAAGTTTGGAGGGGTCAGTCCCTTTAGCTGCATTCGATTCAACAATGCGATTGAATATCGCTTTATGGGCTCTTAGCAGGGTAAACGGCAAGAGACGAGATTGCTGCTGACACTGTACAATCGAGACATGAGAGAATATGTATGACAGCTGTTGCTGCTTCTCCGATGGAATTGTAGAGAGTTGTCTCTATCAGCCACCAGCAGTCCAAATATCTTGCCCATATCTTGCCCACCAGACCAAGTCAGAGCGCTTGCGTCCCTACCCTCTCAATCACCCGGGCATTGTGCCTGTATCTCGATCAACATCTCCTTGATACAGCTGATCCTACACAGAGGAAACCATACAGTCACATCAAACTCATCGATCGCACTGTACAGCCGGCAGCTGTCATTCATCAAGGTTACAAGTCAAACAGGCTGGGCTCGCTTTTGCACCCGAAATCGACTCCGTCCACAGCGCCAACGCCAGCAAATCACCATGCCTGAACCCCGCCACGAGGACCCCGCTTCAAGCCCAAAGTCCACTCAGCAAAAGCAACAACAGCGAAGCAACCCGCTGCTGAGGTGGACTCCGGTAACCCTCCCCCCACCAGTTTTCCTCGTCCCGCTGCTACTATTACTTCTCGCCGCCTTTTACATTCTTCCTCCTTCTTCCTCTCCTCCTCAGGTCCAGCAACTTCAGCATCTTCCACCCGTTCAACCAGTATCTTATACCCCTCCCTCTTCAACTCCTCCAGAACCAGTCGCCATGGCTTCCACCGAGCAGACGTGAGAACCCCCCCCGCCATCTACCTACCCCTCCATCGCCGGGATGGATTTTTTCTTTGCGGTAGTCTAACCCACTCGATAGCTTCATTGCCATCAAGCCTGATGGTGTCCAGGTAAGCATCACTAGATTGATACTGCTTGTTCTCGTTCTCAAGACTCCAAGTTCTGACTCTCGCTGCAGCGTGGCCTGATCGGCCCCATCATCACCCGCTTCGAGAGCCGTGGGTAAGAGATTTCGACCGAACCGTCCATGCGATGTTTAGAAATTGACAGGAGGATAGCTTCAAGCTGGTTGCCATCAAGCTGACCACCCCCGGCAAGGACCACCTCGAGGCTCACTGTTCGTCACTCCATCCGGCTTCAAGCTTTGGCTGTTTTCTCTTGCTGACCCTTCTCTAGATGCTGACCTCAAGGGCAAGCCCTTCTTCAACGGCCTCATTGAGTGTAGGATCCGATCTCTGCGCTAAAAATCACAGGCCTCAAGCTAACGTTTCTTCCTTCAGACATGAACTCCGGCCCCATCTGCGCCATGATCTGGGAGGGCCGTGATGCCGTCAAGACCGGCCGCAGTATGTTTCCTCGCCGATGCAACTCTTCAGATCGTGTAGCTAACGTCTTTATCTAGCCATCCTCGGTGCCACCAACCCCCTTGCCTCCGCCCCTGGCACCATCCGTGGCGACTACGCCATCGACGTCGGCCGCAACGTCTGCCACGGCTCCGACTCCGTCGAGAACGCCAAGAAGGAGATTGCCCTCTGGTTCAAGGATGGCGAGGCTGTCAACTGGAAGTCTGCTCAGTTCGACTGGGTCTACGAGAAGGCTTAAGCGTTTCATGTGACGAAGCTCTGAAGCAGCTGTAAAGCTATACAGTACTCGTACCTTTGTATAACGTGCGTCAGGGTAGAACATGAAATCTAAAGCAAAAAAAGAAAAAGAAAAAAAGGCATGCTGAACTCGGTTCCTTTTGCTTGCTTCTACGTTTTCCGGGCCAGTGAAGGCTTGAACCTAATGAGAATCTTGGCGAACCACGGCGTAGCCCAGACACTGCCAATGATTCGGAGAGGCAGAAGGGCTTTCGTTATGGCATATGCCAATGCGACCTCGACGAGGATCTTGTACTTTTGCTCCCCATTTTTCCACCGCTGCACAGCGTCCTCCACATGCGCGTCCTGGGCAGACGTGCCGCTGTCCTCCTGCCCAAAACCAAACCAGCCCTTTCGCTTGAAGTACCTCTCGAACCTCTCGACCCCCATCTGGACGTATTCCCCAAAGTGCTCCGTCACATAAGAGATGGGCAAGTAAGTGGTGTAGTGAAACAGGGCAAAGAGGCCGAGCAGAGGCACAATCGCCGTGATCTCGTGCAGGATCATGAACGAAACGACATGCGAAACTGGGGCGTCGCGGAGGCCATTCGTGTACTTTCGCAGATACGGCAGGCGGTCGAGGCGCGACATGATGCTGGCCTTTGTGGACTGGGGGCGGGCTGGCGGGCGCAGGTGGAGCGCAGGAGGGCGTGATCGCAGCATCGGGCGCCAATTGAGGTAGAAGCGGGAGGGAGGCATGGTTGGACCGTCCGAGGGGAGGGGGGTTGAAGGGTATCGACGGCAGATGCAGGTTTGTTGGAGGAGAGGGTTTGGGTGCTGGCTGCATGTGGTATCAATTGGTAGCTGTAGCTAAGGTAATCGACCTGCGTTGTGCGCTGACTAACCCAGCTTTGGGTGGACAAGACACATGTAAGCGGGCCACAGCGCTTCCAGGCGGGTTTCTCGTTGATATCATGTCCTCGATTGGAAACTCTCTGGTTCCTTGTAGATGTTGAGCTAAGCACTATAATAGAGATGCTTCTTATTCATTCATGATGTGAATCCTGACCATATATTCCCGATGCTGCTCATAAAGATAGGACGCCTCTGGTCCCTTTGCTGAGTATCCGTCCAGCGGTATCAACTGTATTCCAAACATAAGCCCAACCATGACGCTCTCATCCCTGTACCAAACAATGAGAGCCCAAAAGCAGAAGCACGTCAAACTCCAATAAGCTCCGTATATGTATATATCGTAGTGCTCGTAACGTCGTTATAGCAGATCGACTCTAAAGGTCTGATTTCCATCAGTCAGGTTCGTTGTGCAGCATAGCAGGCCACGACTGACTTACCGGTCAAGGCATGCTTCGGGCAGACATCAGTCAAGAAGCGGAATGTTGTCGTTATACAACTCTTGGTTCTGGGCACGCTTCGGCTCTCCCGCAATCTTCTTGTATGGTGCGCCTCTGTTGCTGAATCTGGTGTATAAGCTCGTGCTTTTCCCGCCGGCAGTCTTGATCCACTGATAGCAAGCAATGAGCCTTTGCGCCATGTTGTTTGCGTGTGACGGTGGTGTGTTGGTCGTTCAGGTTCCGCGAAAGACGGCAAGGTTCGTTTGTATGATGTTAGCTGTCGTTGCGATACCGGTCGCTTGGTTCTTGATGTTGGTTGATTGACGGCCACCAGAATAGAAATACGACGCTCTCTACCGACAGGACGGTTTATATCAAATAAAGTTGCCAGGTCCATGACAGGGCAACGACAGCATCAGCGCATCAGCAATCGCCCCTCGCTCTCTGCACAGCCCCTGAACAGTCCGGTTGGGTTCTGCAGTTTGCCCCAACATATGCCCACCTCCGTCATACACGTCGAGCTTCACTTTTGGTTCGCCATTCGGATCTGAAACGAGAAACATGCCGGGGCTCCTGGGCGCTTCTGCGCTGATTCGCCCTGCAAATGCCGGCGCATTGGCGGAGGCTTTTTGGCCAATCAATGCCGCTGACGGTGCAGCCCGCGGCAAATCCCGTTCGATGATCATGAGCTCGCCTCGAGATATTGAAACACATCTCACGCAATTGTCTCTGAGCCTCCATGCAGGTCGGAGAAATACGAGGGTGCGAGCTATGCGGTTGTTGATGTTACGGTGAGGACTCGGTAAGCTCAGGGATGTTACCCAAGGTAAGGCATGCCACGGCGGCAAAGGAACATCGTGACCGGTGACCTAGGCGCGCGGCATCGAAACAGCTGGCTCATGACAACCAGAGAAGGAGGCAGTGTTCAATGTTCGCGCTTCATGTGAAAATTCAGAGTAACTCAAATCCTGTACTACCTCATATGTCGGGATTATCAGGCATTCGCTCATCCGCCCCGGAGACCGCTTTGCTCGATGTCTCTCGTCGGTGACCAGGCCATGAACCCCTGTCATGTTGTTGTTGTTGTTCGAAGCGTCGAGAAAATGTTCTTGCCTGACACTTTATGACATCGCTATCGTCCGGAGCGTAGCTTGTTATCAAGACGGCGAGTTCTATTATCTACAAAAGCCATTTTTGCTTTGGTGGAATAGGTACGCAAAGCGAAGCGCATGCCGACTTTCGATGCCCGCCACATCCACAAGGCCTCTCTTGTCACACAAGCTCGACAGACGACATGTTGCAATTTCAGTAGCAGCAGCAGCCCGTCTTCGAGGGCTACTAAGGTATAGAAAGAACAATACCTTCAGCATCAGGTATAATAGGTACCTTAGGTATGGTTGTAAGGCTGAGCCCTTGAACTGTCTCTTGGCTGGATCCCGGACTGCCCTTAGAAAGACTTGGCCTTTCCCATCTGCGACAGCTATTGCTTCGGGCAGTTGATCTTGTAGTACGCGTAACAACTTGAGAACAATTATATCTTCGTGATTTGTGACATGGAAATTATCCATGGGCGGTGAATGATTCTCCAGCTGCCGTACCCGAGGGAGGTAGAGGCTGTCTCTTTCCTCGTCCAGCGGCAACCCTGACCGCCTCTAGTGTTAGAAAGCTCCTTTGGGAAGGCATCAAGATACTTCCTCCTGCTCAGCCAAGCATCTGCCCGCTCGACTTCGACGCCACCGGCACTGCCTTACCGTCTCGAGATACTCCTTCTCTTCACTCCAGCGCCTCTCTTGCCGCAATGGCCGGCGATGCTTCCTCAACAGAGCCCCGACAGGACGATCATGGCGGTCAAACAGAGTTTCTGTGCTTGCGGTCGGTAGATGGCCATGGGGCCTCCAACTCTTGAACTTGTCACCTCTCGGCTCTTATGTTCTCTCTCTAAACCTCTCACTCGCTCTCTGAACTCATCTGCAGCAGATCTAACAGTCGGTCCGGCCACTTCATCTTGATCAAGTCTCTCCATTCGTTGCTCGTTTCGGACACCCTTCACCTGCCTGGCGTCTTAATCGAAAATGGCCTTCTTCAAGTTTGCTGCCGGCCTTGTCAGCGCCATTGGCCTCCTCAAAGCCGTCAATGCCCAGCAGTTTCGCAATGAGGACCTCATCCTCTGCGATTGTGGCATCGGAGACAACCCTGATCAGCCGGATTGGTCCACCTCTCGCCAGATGAACTGGTACCAGGACATCACTTGGCCCAGTTCCGCCTACAAGTATCCCGACGCCCCTGATATGGCTGTTGAGATCCCTTTCAAAGAAGGCTGGTATCCCTGGGTTCCCTCTGGTGCAACTGCTACAATGCCGAACGGTGATGTCTGGACTGCGTACATCGAGGATGGTACCCCTGACGGCTTCAAGGCCGGAAGTGCCGTCACTACCAAGGACAGCGGCCAGATTCTCAACTGCTGGGCTTACCGTGGTCGTCCCGTCAGTGCTGCCATCAACAAGACTGTCAATCACGACGCCATCTGCTGGAGTGCCTTTGTTTGCAACCGAGACAACCACCCGCCTCCTCGCCCTGAGGATATGGGCTCACAGACTTCAACATTGAGCACATCCCCTGCGGCCCCTGCCACTACGTTCTTCTCTCAGCCGCCGACCACAGCTACCTCTACCGCGACCAGGGGCGGCCAACCTGTGCCAACTTCCCGACCCCATACTGGTCAGCTCGCTGTCTATTCCACCGTCAGCCCTCGCTTCATCAATTGGCAAAGCACCTGGGGAGCATTCATCAACAACTTTGTTTGGGATCAGACTACTGGCAACTGTGTCGGCGGTCCTATCAAGGGTCAGGGTTACACCATCAACGTTGAATGTGCGGGAGTCAAGATCGATGATGACACCCACATGACACTCCTTCTCATCAAAGCCCTCCGTGACGTCGGCCTCAAGAGTCTGTGGTTCAACCAGAACCCCGTCATCCCTGGAATCAACGGAACCGGGACCAACGTCACTGCCCCCAGCTGGGTGGTCATGCCTGAGTCGTTCACTGTCAGAGCCACAGATGTGTCAACTCGAAATGTCGTCGGCTATCTATCATACAGCACCAAGTACGACGGCTTCCTCACTGGCCCATGCTCGGCCTGCGAGACAGCCCGCTTCAACTCGGACTTTTTTGACCCTATCATCGCTGCCGTCCAGGGCAATTACCCGGTGTACAACAACTTCACCATCGAGGCTCAGTGCAGCCCATGGATGGCCTGCAACTAACAAACACGCCACGCTTGTTTTCATCTTCTTTTTGTAGCTCTCGGTATCTGTATGTATCGACAGTGTGATGTGGCCTCACCTATTGTCATTATCTATCTGTTGTTGAGGAGGACAAAGACTCATCTTTACACTACTTGCTCCATGCTATAGCTGTATTTATGCTGCTCAAATACAAGCTCATTTTATTCATGCACCCTGTTTCTTTGGGCGCCGACTGAAATGTAACGTGTTTGCAACATGTGCTCTTTACCAGTCTCGTGATTGCCTGAGTATGTGTCTCGTACACTATAAGGAAAATTCTTTGAAGTTGTGTCGCTCTATGCGCTGCTTCATGCATCTGAGCCATCTGAATAGTAGTTGAACTGGCTGGGGACTGGAACTGGCTTGTCGCTGGGAGCATCAGGATCGGCCTCTACTTCTAGAACAGGTTTCGTTGACTCGTTAATTGGTGGGGGTTGGATGCTTTGTAGAGAAGCATCATCTCTCAAGACGGACGTCATCTGCTTGGCCCATTCCCATGGTCTCTCGTGCCCACCAGGGAGACTATTAAAGTACTCCCACCCCATAACCCCTCCGAACCGCTCATGACGGCCTCGGAGCAAAGTCAGGACGGCCGAGAGAAACTCCCACATCACAAAGCCACTGCCGTTGGCTGGGTTGGTCACAAGCCCAACGACGACCTTTTCGATGGGCCAGCCTTTGCGGATGATCATTTCGTACATGATGGGGTTGTTCATATCACCCCAGCCACAGTAGAACTGAGCATTGTACCACGCGATGTCGCGCCCGCGCATGACTTCCAGGGCCTCGTAGTCGAAGCCGCTGAGGTTGCTCCGGTGGTCGAGCAGGGCGGCGGCGACGGGGGCGAGCGTGATGATGAAGTCCTTGCCGAAGTCGCTCCTCAGGCGATCAATGAGCTTGACGACGCCGCCGAGCGACATGTCCTCCTCGACGTCGAGGTCGAGGCCGTCGAGGCCGCGGGCGCGGACGACGTCGCGCAGGGGGCGGTAGTAGCGCTCGAACTGCTCGTCGGAGGCGTCGAGGCGCGCGTAGGAGCCCTTTGCGGCGCCGCCGAGCATGGCGAGGACCTTGACGCCGGAGGCCTGCAGGATGCGGAGCTCGGCCCAGAGGGGGTCGAAGCGCGGGTGGTGAGGCGGGTGGTCGTTGAGGGTGATGTGGCTGGGGTCGTTGTTGAGGTGGATGGCGGCGAGGATGACGTGGGTTAGGGAGATGCCGGGCTGGGTGATGAGCGGGAGGAGGGAGATGTGCTTGCCGGCGGAGTCATGGTGGGTTTGGTAGTAGGTTATGATCCTGGGGAGGGGGTTTGTCGTCTGTGGTATTGGAGGCATTGGGGGTCGGATCGAAGAGAGAGGCAGAGGGAGATGGGGGAATGGAGGACGGTTGAGAGATGTAAGATGACAAGAGGTGAGTGTAGGTTGAGGTGAGCTGCTGGTTGGAGCTGTCTGGTCACTGGTGGTGGGGTGGCAGGACCCCGCTATCAATGGATGCTTCAAGTACATGCATCACATGCATGCGGCTGACATTGTCATCAAACGTTATAAGGAACGTTCTTTTGGAATGATGCATATTGGTGTATTTGAGGGTAATCTCCCAAGCCTCGATGTCTATCTATCTATTCCACATTCCGGGGTTGACCCTGAGTATTCCTCAGACTCGAAACTCCACCCATATTATCGCTCAGACTGATTAAAGAACCGCCACCTCCGCCTTCTCTGAATGGTAACCCCAAGACTCACAGGGGCAAGAAAACTTGAAATTATCTCTTTACATTCTCCCATTCAAGCCTTGTTCCAACTGCTGTGCGCTTCTTCATTGACCGCCGCAGCCTCCCTAACGGTGCTACCCAAGCATCGTCCAGGGTGCCATCCAGCAACAAGGAGCACCGCCGCCGCCACAGGGGCAAACTCCAAACAAGCAAAGTAAATCTCATTCGTCTGTATCGATCCCATCAGGCCCTGAGCCGACTCGGCAAGCCGAAAGACGGTTCGCAGATAGACCAGAATCGTGGCAGCTGAGAAGACGAGAGCAAAGGCGGTGAGGCCACGCTCGCGAAGAGCCCGTCTGGCACGCACCAGGAAACTTCCCGCCACGGCGATGAAGACGCCGATGGAGAAGACTTGGTAGGACAGACCGGCCAGAAGGATGTCGTTGGCCCACGTCGGGTCTTTGCGGTTGGACTCTTGGACGCCGACGAGAGCTGCGCCGGCGACTTGGGTGATTGTGGAAATGACGTCCGACAGGATGAAGAACCATAGGATGACTTTGGGCGAGAGGAGGGAATACTTGGGTCCCAGTCGTGAGATGAGGGCCGACAGGATTGTGTATATACCAGCGGCGAGGAAGACGGGCGCGGTGACGATGAAGAAGTAGTTGATGATGAAGTAGTTGAGGTTATAGGGGTCTTTCTTCGACGACAGCGAGCGTGCGATGTACCCGACGATTTCGAAGGCTAGTCCGACGGAAAAGGGGATGAACCACCAGCTTCTGTAGCGGATCGTCTGGCCAAGATGGATTACGAGCATGAGCGCGAACCAGGCGGCTGCAAAGACGGCGAGGGCGAAGGACGGCGTGTAGCCATAGATGATGATGGCGACATCTGATTTACCGTTGGGGTTTGGGAAGTTTGGGTCGATGTAGCCGCCGGCTGAGGTTGTTGGATCAGCTCATGCTCAAGTCGAGAGAGGCCGGAATGGCATTGGAATATTGAAGTGACTTACAAGGTATTTGATTTGTGCTCATGGTGTAGCCCGTCAAGTTTGGTGTTGCAGCAGCTCAGGGGTTTCCGTCCGGTACAGTACGAGCAATTGTATTCCACGAACTGAGAGCTCTAGTTGTTTGTAGTACCAAGTATATTCGCCTCAGGTTTATGCAATGGCTAGGTAGGTATATCCTTAGAGGTGCAACGCGCCAATAGCCAGGAGTCAAAGAGTAATTATATCTGCTTCGGCCACAGACCACCTACGGTTTGGTTTTTGACCTGGACAAGGGCCCGTCACACATGCATTGATCATTTCTCAGCGATAAGAAGAGTTTTCAGATGCCTGTGGCTGTGTGCTTCCTACAAGTAAGGTAGAAGTAGATAGAAGACGGGGACTGCAGATGGCCGGGCATCAATGACGGCTCAGCTGCGCCATCGCAAAGCGCCATTCTAGCTCCGAGCGTACGCGTAATGCGCTGGGCCGTCCGAACCCACACGCGGAGGGTATTGGATCTAACATGGGCCGCGATCTAAGCATCTGGGTATGCATGGTCTGGATCGCGGATTTTGGCCAACATCCGCGTTCCAGGGAGCTTCCCCTACGCCAACTGTGCGAGTCGCAGCCAGGAACGGCTCGCTTGATACTAGGAGCTAACTCTTCCATCTCTTTGATTGAAGATGCAAACTCTGGGCGATATCTTGTGACGAAGCCCTCAAATTCTCCAGAGCATCATTTGGCGAGCTTCCATCACTTATCACTTGAGCATCTATGACCGCATGCCGCTTCCAGTGGAGCGTCGCCGTCGGTATTCGGTGGTCCACCTCGCCGACCGATGACCCGAAAATCCTTCAACAGGAGGCGGCACAGAAACAATTTCCGCTTGGAGCAGTGCAGGGTTGGGAGCTGGGGACAACTGGCTAAGCCTCACTTCGAGGCTTCGTAACAGGGAATCTTCCAGTTTGTCATGGTGGCTTCGGACTGTCGCTGCGGTTGATCGCTTGACCAGCTGGTTTGTGGAATAACAATGTCCGATTCAGAGAGGCTATTGACGTGGACGGCATAATCGTGGTTTCGTGTGCCAGATAAGGTCTCATCAAATACTATGTGTTGATGGGAAGATCCATGGCGTATAGGTAAGAGTCCAGATGTTCAAAATAATAGGACAGTAAGGTATTGACAGAGGCGTCGTAGGGCAGCTGTGAGCGATAAGGTACATGCACATGCATAACTTGGGCCCCGCTGTAGAATTCCGCATTTTGCCGCGACTTTGCCGAGTCAAGCTCACAACATGCCTCACTAAAAGCTCATGAGCTTTAACCTCCAAGACCCTCCCGGAACATCGCTGCGGCGATGGCATCCAAGCGATCTCTAGTGTCCCGGAAAGGGCATCTCCGTCTTTTGACGGGGTCACAGCCTCCCGTTCTTCCATCAATATGCCCTTTCTGCTCCCTCTCACCAGCATCGCAGGCCAGGGTCCGACCACGGCCAAGCCTCAAGTCTCGACGATGGCAGTCGACCACGGCAACTTCAGTGCGCGGCCCATCCAACGCTCGAAATGAGCTCGAACAGGCCCTCTTGGAGCTCCAGAGGAAGATGCCAGGGTTGGTAAATCTCTCGAGGCTGCAATTGGCACTCCAGGGATTGCGACAGCCTCCAGGCCGGGAAGCGATAAGAGTTGCGGTTTTAGGAGTATCCAACGGCTCGGATGGCAGAGAGGCCGCAAAAAAGGTTCTCAAAGCGCTCATCGTGGATCCACTAGTGGACGAGCAGGAATGGGAGAAGAAGCTGGATGCGCACGACACCAGCAGGCCGTTGATTGTTCTAGTTGGACCCAGCCAAGGCAAAGTCACTCGCCTGGTGACGTCCAAGAACTCGCCGGATGTGTTGCAGGTTTCTTCTGCAGAACTTAACGGGCTTAATCTAGAGCTCCTTTTGATGGGTGTGGAAGTGCCTGTCAATGGATCAGGCCTGGCTACTGTTCAAGCGCTTGAGGAGGCCGTCCTGACCCCAGCTGTTGATGGAGTCTCTGCAGACCAGCACGGTGCCCCCTTACTCGCGCCTGTACACCAAGCCCTCTTGGTGGCCGATGGACTGACTGGTGCTGTGCGAATTGCCGGGCTGCCGATACTCGACAGCAGCGAAGCCATCACTGCCGCCGTTGACCTAAAGGGGTTTTCGAAGGAACAGCTAGCGGACAACTTCACAGTGATCGATACCTCGCTGGCAGAGGAGGCCGTCAAGTTGTTCCGCCAAGGCCCGCAGAACGCCATGGAGTACGAGCATCGTTGGTCGACAAGCAACTTGGGCATGCTGGTCGCATGGCTCAAAGCCGGCCTGAAAGCCGCTGACGACGAAGCAACCAAACCAGCGGTTCGAAAGCTCATCGCCTCCGTCCTACAAGGCGCCCTTTCCGCCATTGAGGCAGAGTCTGCGAGTCATAGAATGGCGCGCGAGCTTTCGACTTCCATGTCCAGCCCTGAATTGCGTGCTATGAACGAGATGCTTTCTGAATGGGCCCAGAGCGCGCACGCAGAGCTGCAAGAGCAGCTGGACTTGGCTTTTTCGGGACGTCGCTGGAAGAAGTTGGGATGGTGGAAGCTCTTCTGGCGCGTGGATGACGTTGCCATGTTGACAAACGAGATATTGAGTCAGCGTTTCTTGCCCACCTCAGAACAGGAGCTCGTCTACCTTGCCGGACGGATTGCTCAACTTCAGGGCCAAGTTGGGCATTATACTCAGCCCATATCCTCTCGCGTCACAGGCTCTGACGGCCCATCAGCTGGTGTCACCGAGAACGAACCGGTGATTCCGACATCGCCTCGAGCACGCCTTCCCAAGTGGCCAGGACACATTGCGTTCACGCGGCGATATATCCAGAACGAGACTGTTCCTGCGCTTCAGTCACTGGCCCAGCAGCTGGTCGTCCAGTCCCTAGCCACATCATCCGTCACCTCGTGTCTTGCAGGATTACTCTACATATCGTCGTTCTCATCGACAATCTTCGAAGCTGGTGCTGTGGCGGCCCTTGGCATTGTCTATAGCCTCGGTCGAATGCAGAAGAAATGGGAGACTGCTCGCGACTTTTGGGAAGGCGAGGTTCGCGAGGAAGGGCGTAAGGCCATTAGAGCGGCGGAAGAGAGCGCCGCTGAGGTTCTCGATGGGTCTCGGCAGGACAAGGATTCGGCTCAGAGAATCAAGGAGCTGGAGGATGCCAGTGAGTTGGTGGCCAAAGCGGAAGACGCGCTGGCTCGGCTTAAATAAAACGGTCGTGGAAAATGTGTATGAATACCGAGGCAATAGATCTGTACAAGTATGGGAGAGGTGAATCGAGCTCTGCGCCACATGTATGTCTAGAAAATTCACTCTAGATACAAAGCTCACGAATTTGAGCCTGGTTCAGCCGCACCCATCCTACGTAGCTTCAGGTCGTCATTCCGACTGCCATTCTGCCATGGTATCTTCATCGCTTTCAACGTCCGTCCGCATTGCCCTATACTTGTGTCTTTCATTTCTTCTCCTCTCACGTATCAAAAAGCACGTAAAAATCCCGTAATCCTGAACGCCAAACCAATGTGCCCTCCAACTCAACGACGCAATTATCTCCCTCGCCATCCCACTTCCACTTTTCGCGGCTCCCCGAAAAAAAGGTAGAAAAAAGGCTTCCTCCAGACGCAACCCTTCCTTATCGGCCGCGACCACCGCTGGCACGGGCACGGCTCACCGTCGCACGACCTCTGGCCAAGCCAACACCCCTGCCTCGTACGTTCCGGCTGCGGAACATGGGCGCGTTTCGAAGCATGTCGGGGACGATGAAGAACCGCACGTGGGAGCCTCGAATGTAGACCTGGTCGAGGTGGGAGACGCGGCCGTCGCGGGCGGTGACGGTGATGTCCTTGAGCTGGACGTTCATGTTGTCCTCGGCTGGAAGGGTTCGAGGCTTGTTAGTTTTGGAGATTTCTTCGACGCGCGGGGACTTGTGTGTTGGAAGGGAAGGATTTTTGGGATTGAAGGTTCAAGACTAGGGGAGGGCGGTCGTGGAGGAGGAGGGTTAGTACCTTCGAGGAGCTTGCCGCGGTATGTCTGGCCGGACGTGATCTCGAGGGTGATGATGTGACCCTGCAATCAATATGTGTGAGCTTCTTCCTTCCAATTTCACTGGAATGAGGTAACCACTAGAGTAATGTAGGACGAACCTGTGCCTCATTGAGGAGCTTGATCGGAATGCCAATGGTGGAAGTCATTGTGGGAAGTTGTGGCGAGGGGGGCGCGAATCTAAAGCTATGGGATGGGAATAGCTTGAAAATTGACCTTTACAGGACCACGGGCTTATGATAGCGGGCTGGTTGGTGTTGAAGGTCCGGCTTGGAGGTTTGCCTGTGGTGGCGGATTGTTTATCCGCTTTCCGAGCGCTGGCAAGCTCTCGGTGAGGAGGCAGAAGGTACCGTACATTCACCGAAGAGTTAGGTATGGTTTCACCGAGGAAATTCCGCGTATAAAGCTCATTGAGGCATGCCATGATATTCGTGCATGTCACCTTGTTCAAAATGCGGCAGATTTGCTTCCTCTATCCTGGAATGTTTTCAAACAGTCTATATAGAATTACGCCGTGTCGGTTGGTGTCGCCGTAGCCGAAACCACAACCGTTGTTGTTGCTGTTGTCTGGGTATCGCCTCCCTTCTTCTGCTTCTTGGATTTCCCTTCTAGCATCTTTCTCTTCTCCTCCTTGCGGGCCTGCTTGTCCAGGTTTCCAATCGTCTTCTTCTCGTTTCCGCATGGCCATTTCGCCATAGCCGCAGCCTCGGCTTCCTCGTCCCACTCGCACGGCAGGATGGCAAAGACTAGATATGAAGTGTGCGTTTTGAGCTCGCTCTCCGGTCTGTGGACGAGCCGGCCCTGCATCCAAGGCTTCTCCATATCTTCGGCAGATCCATTGGTTTTCGCAGGGTTTTCGCGGCTGGGAGTCGAGTCGACGTCCATTTCGCTGTCAACGCCATCCGCGCCGGCCTGTAGCGCTTGCACTCTAGAAGTCTCCTTGTTCCTTTCCGCAAGGCTCCGTAATTTCGTGACAGCTTCCGAGACGTCGGCGGGAGAGGAATTGTACCCCTTCTCTGTGGGATAGTTCACTCCGACGCGCTCTCTTGATATGTTGATCTTGTGATTCGCAATCTCCACCATGTCCACATCTACCCAGCCCAAGGTCCTCAGCTCCGTAACGGTTCGCATAACCTGTTCTATGCAGGGCGAAAAGGTGCAGATGTAGACACTCTGCTTTGGATCCAGGGGCGACACCCAGCTGCCATCCTCGTCATCGACCTCTTTGCCCCCCTTTTGGATTTTCCTCCTTGATAGATGATGTAAAGCCTCCCACGGGGCAGGCAGATCTAGAAACACGGCTGTTGCATTTGGTGACTCGCCGTTGACATTGAAGCCATCATCGTACACATTACGATGTGTCAGCCTAACGAGGCCGTCGAGCCCGTGATGCTCAATCTCCACCTGCATCTTCTCGTACCGCGATTCGTTAAACTCGAAGCTGAACACCTTGCCTCTCGTATCGCTCGCGTCCCGAGGGTAGCCGTTGTAGACCGCTCTCACTGATGCATGTGTAAAGCTGCCACTTCCAGCGCCAGCCTCGATGATTCTCGTTCCAGGTCTGGCCCGTATTCTGTGTAGGATATAGCTGTAGTCCGGCGTGTAGACAACTTGGGTTCTGTGGGGTAAGCTGGTGGTCCACAGCTCGGGAGTCGGGCGCAGAACGTAGATGAAGCCGCTCGGGGCTGTGGTAGCCTTCTTCACCGGTGCTTTGGCAGTCGTGGAATCCTCGTCGTCGTCTTGGCTGGGTATCGGCGTGTCTTCATCGGTGGCATCTCGTCTCCGTTTCTTGCCTCGGGAGCCCGTATCGACATTCGACGCGCGAACCTGAGAGCCCCATGGCACATCGAGTAGCGTTGAGTGCGGATAGGACCCAAATCGTGTGTTCAATGTCGCCCCTTCGAGGTAGCCGTCGACTGCGCCAGTCGACTTCTCCAGCGTCAGCGGCAGGAAGTTGTCGCGCGATAAGCTGATAATGGCGAGCGTCCCGGCAGACGTCTTGTCGCCAGGTTCCAGAAAAGTTGATGGCCGAGTCATGGTCGGATTCTCTCCTTTCGACTTCAATTCAGTTCATCTGAGAATCCCATAAAGATGGCAAGATGCGGCGGAGCAAACGCAGTCTGCCGATGAGACCTGTCCTGTTATCGGTAGTACCACCAAGAGAAAGAAGGAACATGAAAAAAAATGCTTCCCCAGTCGGACTACGGTATTGGCTGGCCGTGATTTCCGCAGCGGAACGGCGCCGTGCCCCGCCTTCTATCTGGCCTCAACTGCAGGTGATCTACAGTATTGTCGTTCCCTTATTAGGGGCGATTACAGGGAGGGGCACGCCCGCTTCAGGGCATCAGGCACGCTAAAGCAAAAATTGGCGGGAGCCCAGATCAGTTGCTTCCATTCCTCAATGCCAGGGAGGGGCACATCTGCAAGGATCTGGTGAGACTGGAAGAGTCACCCGCTGCTCGTCGTCAAAGAAGCTTTGCGTGTTGTTTCATTCGTGCTCTGACTCACCTTGTCACCTCGGTGATGCGCCCTGATACTGTCTGTCCTCTTCAACCCTCGCTGCGGGCGCTCTGAATGCATCTCCTGCGCCTTGTCTCCCGAACCCGACCTCGACCCCAACTCCGTTTCTGCGACGCTGCAAAAAGCCACTTCTCTCGACGATACTCGCCCTCGGCCATGGAGTCTCTGAAGCTCCATAACTCGCTGAAGCCCGGCGCGCCGGTGCCGTTTGTGCCAATCAGACCCGGAGAGGTGTCGTGGTACGCCTGCGGCCCGACTGTCTATGACAAGAGCCATCTGGGCCATGCGCGCAACTATGTCTCGACGGACATTATCCGGCGCATTCTGCGTGACTACTTTGGCTTCAAGCTCAACTTTGTCATGAACATTACGGACATTGACGACAAGGTATGGGCAATCGCTTGGCCGGGGTCGATCTGTCTGGAGGACTAACACCACTCTAGATCATCATCAAAGCGCGAAGACAACGATTGCTCGAGCTCGAAAAGAACAAAAGCTACACCAAAGAAGAGCTCGTGAAGCTGACCCGCACTGCCTTTCAAGCTTATGCGGCCAGCAGCTTGCCATTGCTACTCGAAGACGGAAGCGACCTGGACGAGACGACGTACATTGCTCGACGAGACGCAGCATACGGCAAAGTCCTCTCCGGGGGCACTTTGACGGGAGAGGGAAAGCCAGGCGATGCTGAGGCTAAAATCAAGATGCACATCAGCAACATGGATGCTGCAGCGCAGGCTCTCAAGGACGGCTCAATCTTCCCTGGCGCTGATGAGATATTCCTCCCTTATCTCGACTCGCTATACAAGGAGACGATCGACACCAGGGACCAGACCATGTTCACAGACTTGACAAAGAGCATGGAGGCTTTGTTCATGGCTGACATGGATGCGCTCAACGTCCTCAGGCCGGATCACATCACAAGGGTGACTGAGTATGTCCCCCAGATTGCCAAGTTCGTCGAGAGGATTGTAGAAAAGGGCTTCGCATATGAGTCTGAGGGTTCTGTCTATTTCGACATTGCTGCTTTTGAAAAGGCCGGCAACCAGTATGCGCGACTACGACCTGAAAGCAAAAACGACAAGGCTCTCCAGGAAGAGGGTGAGGGATCCCTGTCGAAGAACCTGGGCGGCAAAAAGGGCGCTGGAGATTTTGCCCTTTGGAAAAAGTCCAAGGCTGGAGAGCCGTTCTGGCCCAGCCCATGGGGTGATGGAAGGCCGGGCTGGCACATTGAGTGCTCAGTGATGGCATCCGATATCCTGGGCTCGCAGATGGATATCCACTCCGGAGGAATTGATCTTGCTTTCCCCCACCACGACAACGAGCTGGCCCAGAGCGAGGCTTACTTCTGCGAACACGGCAAGGGCGAGCATACCTGGGTGAATTACTTCCTTCACATGGGCCACCTTTCCATTTCCGGGTCCAAGATGTCCAAGTCGTTGAAGAACTTCCAGACCATCCAAGACGCATTGGCAACCAGCTATACACCGCGGAGCATGCGCATTGTGTTCCTGATGGGCAAATGGAACGATGGTGTCGAAATCTCACCAGACATGAGGGCCCAGGCTGACAACTGGGAGTCGACGATTAGCGTAAGTACCGACGAACGGCCAGCAGCAGCAGGAATTGCCTTTTAACTAATGATGCTCGCTGCAGAACTTCTTCACCAACACCAAGTCGTGGTTAGCCGAGGCAGGCATCGAGAGCGGCCTAAAGTCACTCAACATCAGCTCAGACAAGCCTGCCACCGGCCTCCTGGCCGAGCTCGAACAGGCCAAGAAAGACGTAGAGGCGGCGCTCACAAACTCGATTGATACCCCGCGAGCAATGCTTGTTATCTTGAAGCTAGTCAACACCACCAACAGCTATCTGAAAGACAACAAGGACACGGATCTCGCTGAAGTCGAGGCTATTGCTCGCTGGATCACGAAACTGGTTGGCATTTTTGGCCTTGACCCTAATGCCCAGCCTCCCTACGACGGCCTCGGTTGGGCATCCGTGATTTCGGAGAGCACAGATCCCGAAACCGCCGTCAAGCCCTACGCTGCAGTTCTCGAGAAGGTCAAGTCGGACATTAGCGCCCTTTCGCTCTCCAACGAGGCCGTCGCTGAGCTTCTCTCGAAAGATCCCACGGCAGAGTTCCAAGCCATTGCTCAGGGAGGCTCCCGTGACATTGAGAAGCTATCACTGCCTTACTTGAGGGTGGTGTCTCAAATCCGTGACGAACTCCGTCGCACTGTCTCTTCATACGATCAACAGACCAAGAAGGCGATCCTGCAAATTACCGATCGAATCCGTGACCAAGATCTTACGAACCTTGGCGTTTATCTCGACGATCGGCCCGACAATCAGCCATCGCTCATCAAGTTCGTACCGGCCGCAGAGCTCATCGCGGCTCGCGAAGAGAAGATTGCGCGAGAGGCCGAGAAAGCAAGAAAGAAGGAGGAGGCAAGACTCGCCAAGGAAAAGGCAGACCAAGAGGCTCGGGAAAAGGCAAAGGTTCCTCCAGAGGAGCTGTTCAAAAAGGATGAACGCTACAGCGCCTGGGATGAACAAGGAATTCCTACCAAGTTGAAGGATGGCAGCGATGTGCCCAAGAGTCAGCTCAAGACGCTCAAGAAGGCATGGGAGAAGCAGAAGAAGATTCATGAGGATTTGAAAGCCAAGGGAGGCCTTTGATGTGGTATGCTAGATAGCAGATAGACAAGGTTAGCAGACATGGAAATCGTTCATGATCCTATGGAGGTGGCTCGAGAATGGCGCGGCAGAGGTGGTCCCGCCAGTCTCCCAGGACTTGGTTATTGTGCGAGCAAAGGTGAGCCTATGGTTTCCCAACGTCCTGGACTCTCACTTTTCGAACCTCGACAGCTGTGCCAGCTGGCTGCCGTCACAGCATCGGCTGCACGTGATGGCCTGAGGTCGAAGTGAACAGGCCGTGGGTTATCAGCTGTCGTCGACTGCCAGCCGGCCGCACAAAAACAAACAAACAAACAAACAAACAAACAAACAAACAAACAAACATCGAAAACTGGTTGCAACTTCAGTCACCGTCGCTGTCATTCCTTCATATCCATCCTCTATGCGCTCAACGGCTGCAATATCGGCTGTCCCACCAACCCACGATGAGACTTAACAGCCTGTACGTCTCTTACAAAAAAGAGACGGGGCGGCTATTGTATTGGCTCATCCAGACTTCCAATAACCTTATCCAGTCGCTGGATACTCACGATTGTCCGCTTCAAGTCAATCTCACAGGCCAGGCCCCCGTCTCCGATCTCGTCTCCATGGCGAAACTCATTGCCAAACACCACATTGACATTCCATCCAAGACACTCGCACTATTTCACTCTGTCATTGAACTACGGACTATTTGCTACTCTCAGTTTCAGGAACTCGCATCCATGTGTCCTAGCGAAGAGCTTCTGGAAAGTAACTCAAAGCACAAGTATTTCATCGACATCCTCACCGAAGCCTTCCACATCTTGGGCGGCGAAGCGTGGCTAGCGGAACAAGAGGAGAAACCAGCAAACGAGGGCGAAGAAACGGCAGACGGCAGCGAAGAAAAAGCCGACGCGAGAATCTGGACCATGGCCAACAGATTCTCGGTCCTGAATCTGGATAATGACTCTGAGAGTGGCACCTCCCACGGCGGCGAGAACAACGGTGAAGCTGACGTCGATGCTAGCAGTTCCGCACCACCTCGACAACAGCGAAAGAAACAAAACGGCAAGGGTAAAGGAAAGAAAGGTAAGGGCAAGAAGCCTCGACAAGGGGATGCTCAGACTACTGGCGACGTGCCTCCGGAGAGCTACCATATCATCGAAGACGATGAGCTTCAGCAGTACTTCATGGCCGCGTATTCGATGGCCAAGGATTGGATAGAGCTCCGCTCATTGCTCCAGGACTTTTGGAGAAGAGTCGCCTATCGAAACCTCAATGGTGCGATGGTGGCCGCTCTCTGCAATATCGCTGTGGCAATGATCAAGCAATCCGAGGCCGTGATCTTTGGCGAGTTTCCTGGCTATGAATCGCTTGACATGATGATACTCACTTTCATTCACGGGGACGCCGAGAAAGCAGCAAGGGAATGTCGATTCATCAACAACTTGGACGATGTGAAAGGCTTTTGGGAAAGCGAGGAGATGCCGGTGGATGTCCAGGAAACCTTCCTCATCAATGTCTACGACGACCTTGTTGACTTCATCAACGACTTCCAGAAGACGAGGAGCGGCAAGCCGACAAAACGAATGCTCGCCCAGCTCAAAGGTTGGGATCCCTATTATGATCTCCAAAGGGCAACCAAAGACGAGAGACTGAAATGGAGACGCAGTTATACCATCAACTGGCTATACGACCTCGTCAATTCTGTTGCGTGGAGAGCGCTGGCTGGGTCGTCAAAGGAGGAGAAAGGCTACGTGTTGGAGGACGTGGACTGGGGAGCCACGGGTCCATTCAAAGACGACAAAAGACTGTTTGGCCTCTTCGACTTCGCAGTGGAGGTGACAACGCTTGCGATGCAGAAGCCAGGCACTGCTTTCCGCCACAGAATCACGCCTCATCTCGTGTTTCACCTTCAGTGCATTATAGATGCCTGGACCGTGTCTCGCGGATGGGCAGTGAGCGGAATCAGAGGTCATGTCCTCAGCGAGCCAGCTCCTGACTTCGATCCACGACGTCACTTGGACATGTTTCTCGGTCAAGGGGATTGGATGACGAAAGGCTTCGGATTCTACAGGGGCGTCGCTGACCTGAAGTCGCTTTGGGAATCCTTTAGGCACAGCGGCAGGGCATATGACGACGTCACGACAGCCATTACTTTACACGAAGAGCTCTGCAAGGAGTTTGCCGAGGCTCTGGGAAACTCTCCGCTCGAACAGACGCCTGCAGTGCTCCCCTCTCGATTCGCAACTACAAACCCCAACGGCCTCTGGGACTACTCGCCTTTTCTCTGCGGCGCCGGGCTGGCAGAAGGACTTGAGCTCTCCTATCGGTGTGCCATGGTGCTATGGGATAAGCTGCGAGAGCTCCTGTTGGTTGTATATCTGCACGGTATGCTGTCAGCGCATCAGTACCTCAAGACTCCTCTGCGCATGTTTACCCACTTGGATGTCATGTTTCACAACGACTTCTTTTCAGGCGAAGGTCAGCCAAGCTACGACTTTTCTTCGGGCTTCCCCCCTCACACCAACAAGCACGGGGCCCGCGAATATCACCGCCAAGAAAGACTGAGCCGTCGCGCCATACTTTCGGCCTGTACCACCCGCGATTTCCTCGAGCTCTTCACTGTGAAGCATTACAAGCACAAGTCGGAGCTTGTTCTCTACAGCAAGGCGGGCTGGGATCCTGACCGAATTCCCGACAGCGACATTCACCACATGTCGGCCTTGGGCTTGATCCGGCTCAGCCAAATGTCGCGACTGTACGACCCGGCAACGTCTGATTGGATGATAGCGGGCGCCAACTTGCTCAGGAGTCAATGGCCCAAGGTGCATACTGTGGAGGGCGATGTAACTGACGATCCCATCTTGGAGAGCGTGAGGAAGCGCGTGGACGCTATGAAGAAGGACATCAAGGAGCTGACCATTATGCCAAACTGCATCGTCACGCCGTTGTCGTGGATCTTTGACCCTAACAAGGTTGTGAACAAGGATCCGAACATGACGCCCGAGATGATGCTGAGCGTAATCTGGAACGACCTTTATTCCGACATCTGCTGCGAAATCAAGCCCTATTCGAGCCTCAACTACTTGTGGATCACAACAAGCGTTCTGAGATTCTACGAAGAGTTTGAGGAGGAGGCCCGAACCAACGGCACCGAGGCGGTCAAGGCCATGTTTGAAGAAACGGTCGAGGATCTCACCGTGGGAAGGGACAGACGGGTCTTTGTTTCGTTGTTCGCTCTGCATGGCACGGATAAGGATGTCCTTGAGACTGTTGCCAAGACGTTTGAGAAGAATGACAGGGGCGTGGCTCATCTGAAGTACTTTGACATGGAGAGGACGGAGGAAGAGGAGCGTGGACCGGTGATTGGGTTTGAACGGAGCCCGTGTTGCGTGATGTGAGGAAGGATAATCGAGAGGAGCGGCGATGTGGACTTTGCTCTGGAATGGAAAAAGGCGAGGATATCTTCTGGACTTTTTTTCTACAATTTGGGAGAGGTTGATTTTTTTTCGGACAGGGGGCATGATTTGACAAAGGATTGAACAAGTTGCTTGATGTATGAGTATTGTAAGCCTATTCTCAAAGACCGGATTCGACAAGAGTTTCTGCGTTCTAAACCAAGCAGCAAGTGAAGCACCCATCCTGATTTTACCGCCACGCATCAGTACTGTTGCCTTGATAAGGGCATACAATGGAAAGAAACTAACAATTTCTTTCGAAACCTAAAAGTTCATCACATCAGCATCAGATCATGAGGCTACTAAGGAATGGTGATGTGTGTACTCTATTCGAAGGGCACGGCAGAGGCGCGTGGAAACACTCGTCGTACACGGCACATTCGGGTTCCTGGCGATGTTGCTGCAGGGGATGTGCGACGGCGGCTGCTACCAGGAGCATCGTGATGGAAGAAGTGAGCTTCATCATGTCTTGTCAAACGTTGAGCCACTCTCAAGTAATGGGGCAGTAAGTATGAGTATTATACTCGGAGGTTTGAACGAGAGAAATCTCTGGCACAATAACAATCTGGGCAATATATATATATATTGAAACACAAGAGGTAAAGGCTGCCATCCTACGAGCATCATCTGCAACGTAGCAGTTTCAGCCAAAAAAGGGCGTACATGCCATACCCTTCTCCTCAGCCGCTTCGTATCCCCGCGATTTCGAGACATGCAGTCTTCAGCTGTGTGGTAGTAGCAGTTTTTTTTTTTTTTTTTTTCGCTTGACGGTCGCTGCCGCGGATACGATGATTCCTTTAGAATTGTACGAGTGAGTTCTGCTTGAGAGAAATATCTCACTCTGTTCTACTTGTGTCTGGGTTTCGTGTGTATGTTGGACTAGAGGCGACGACGCCCAAGCTGCATCATTAGAGTACGTCAAGTGTGTCCCAAGTGCTTAGCCTTAGTAACGCCTGCAGGCCTTCTTCATTTAGCCTGAGGCTGTACTACTATATTCCAACAGAGTCGCTTGATGGCTCTCTTCTTCCTTCTAGACAGTCACATTTAGCCATGGAATTTGCCATCACTGAGGTATACTTTGGTCTCTCTCTGAAAAAGTTCCAGGCGATTACCTAGTAGTTCCGTCGTCAAAGTATATAGTAAGGCGGCTGTGGCGCAAAGTGTAAGTCGACGACTCGACGCCACGAATCACCTCAACATAATTCCCCGCTAAGCCACATCTGGTCCCAGAGTTTCCACTTGTTCCCGCGGCTTGCAATCCCGGCCGCTTGAACCCCAGCATGAGCCTCAGCTCTCTCTCTCTCTACAACATCATCAGCGTCCTCATCAACCTACGTATAGACAACTTCACGCAAGCGAAACACCAATAGCAAAAGATACCACCATTTCTGGCCCTGCTGCTGCTTATATAAAACCCAATCCACTCCTCTCTTCCTCCTCACCTCTTCTCCTCTCTCTCTCTCTCCCTCCTCCAATATCCTCATCCTCAACAGTCTCTCTCCCCCCTCCAACCAACAAAACATGGCTCAGTCAACCGCCCACCGCCGCCTCCTCCAAGAATACCGCGCCCTCACAAACAACCCCCCCGAGGGCATCACCGCCGGCCCCGTCTCCGAGGACGACCTCCTGCACTGGGAATGCCTCATCCAAGGCCCCGAAGGAACGCCCTTTGAGGGCGGCGTCTTCCCCGCAGAGCTCAAGTTCCCCAAGGACTATCCGCTGGCGCCCCCGACGATGAAGTTTCTCGCCGACGTGTTCCATCCAAACGGTATTTTAAAACCCACCTTCTAGTCATATCTTGCCGAGTTCGTCAACAGAGATAGAGAGAGAGAGAGATGGCTAACGCAAGAGACACACACACAGTCTACCCCAGCGGCCTCGTCTGCATCTCCATCCTGCACCCGCCCGGCGACGACCCGAACCACTACGAGCACGCCTCCGAGCGCTGGTCCCCCATCCAGTCCGTCGAGAAGATCCTCATCTCCGTCATGAGCATGCTCGCCGAGCCCAACGACGAGAGCCCCGCCAACGTCGAGGCCGCCAAGATGTGGCGCGAGCGCCGCGATGAGTATGAGAAGACGGTCCGCGACGGCGTTCGGCGCATGTTGGGCTTGTGAGGCCCTTGTTTTCTGCAATGCAATTTCATAAACAGATCTTGTCTTCGAGATCACCAGGGGGGGCGATAGAGAGATTGTGGGATGGTATAATGTGTCTTGCGTGGACTAGATCTACAGGCAAGGGAGGAGCGCTTGAGTCTTTTATGGTTTCCTGGGTGTTATGATAAAGATATGTACGTATATCTTGGGGCTTCAGCACGGCGTACGGCGAAATAAGGTAGTCCAAAGAGAAAAGAGACAGGTTTTGGATAACCACCAAAAAAAATGATTGTGTATCCATCGTCAAAACGTCATCGTTGTCATCGTCGCCGTCGATACATAACCCATCGACCACCTCTACCGTTGCTCTCGTCTTGCAAATGAAACGCTGTCAAGGGAAGAAAGAAGAAGAAGAAGTGAAAGGACAAATGAGATGGGCTTTAGAGCCCATTGTCCGCTTTGAACTTGTCCCAGCTCTCGTTGAGGGTGCTGAACACCAGCCCGGCAATAAGCCTGACCTCGGTGCTCGCGTCTTGTGGAAGCTACACAAATAAGTAAGCATGGTTTTTCTTTTCTCCCTCGGAGGAGATCCAGTATGTCTAGAGCAATGGGCATTTTCCTTACCTTGTCGGGGTGCGTCTTTGCAATAGCCTTCATGTACGAAATCTTGACCTTGTTCGCCATGACCAGCTCGTGCAGCCCAACCTTCTTCCACCCGCTGTTCTCCCAGAGCACCTGGTCCATGCTGGCCAGCAGAGCCCGCAGGTTCTCTCTCTTCCCATCCCTCCACGCAGCTACTCTGGCATCTACCTTATCCGCCAGCGCAAACTTCTCGTCGTCTTCCCTGGCAGCGGCTTGGTTGGCCTCACGCAGCCTGGTAACCGCCTCCGAGTCCTTCTGCGGCGCCAGGCTAGAAGCCGCCGACGGCCGAGGTCGAGGCTTCACCGCAGGCTTCGGCGCGGCCTTGGGCTTGGGGTTGAGGGCATCTTGGCATCGCTGGCGGCCCTTGACTGCGGTGGCTCCGCCGACACCACCTTCGACGCACAGCTTCCACACAGCGCCTGCCTCTGCCCACTTCTCCATCTGCTCCAGAGCCTCTGCTTTCCGGCTCAACGCCTTGCCATAGAGCTCTTTCATATCACGGCTTTCGTCCTGTCCGGCTTCGTTTCTGACAGCCACAGTCTCTCCCTGGCCGTTTCCGGGCCCGATAATCTTGAGCGCCTCGTCGGCATCAGCAACAGCCTGCTTGGGCTCTCCGGTTTTCAGAGCGGTCAGAGCACGGTTCGTGAGCAGAACGATCATCAGGGGATGCGTAGAAGGAACAGAAGCCAGAGACGACGAGTAAGACGCATGGGCGGCCGCATAGTCGCCTCGCTTGAAATGCGCGGTTCCCTGCAGTCTATGTCTTGTTGACGCCTGCAATGCTTCGGGGCTAATAGGAGGTATCTGTCTGGTAGGTCTAGGCGTGACTTTACGCGGGGGTACAGGGGCGGGTTTCTGCTGAGGCCGACTTGGAGCAGCTGGTGTTGGCCTTTGTGTTCCCGATGGAGTCCGTTGTGATGATGTCGATGCCTGTGAGCCAAAAAGCAAATCCGGTTCAGGCTCGGTCTTCTTTGGTGGTTCTGGCGCTGGGTTCGCCTTCTTTCTCCTGCTGGCGCTCACGTAGCTAGAGAAGCTGTCATCGTCGTCCGCCGTTAGCCGGCTAAGCCTTGCTCTCGCATCTGGAATCATGGGCGGCGGCGCTGTTTGCTGCTGCCATCGCGGAACAGGGCTATTTCGACTTGGCGGTCCTGAAGAATGAGCAGGAGACGATGTCCGCGAAATCTGAGGACCAGCCCTCGGGTCCGCTGGGTGACGACTGCTGCTGCTGCTCCGAGCTGGCTGGGGCCTACCGCCAGACTCGAGCATGAGCGCCTCGTCGGTGACGTTAATGTCAGCTTTGGGAGGCGTCGGCTGTGCCCGCGCCAGTTGAGCATCCCGCATCCATTTCGGCTGGCTTGGGTCTGCTTCTTGCTGAAACTCTGCGACCGCTTGCTGCATCTTCTTCTGCCCAGTCTTCCAAAGAGTGTTTGCAGATTTGAACAACGTGTTTCCCATAGCAGCCGCCGTCTTCGCAAAGTCAGTCTCGCCCCTGGCGGGGGACCGGCTGTCGCTACGCTGGGCCTGACTTCCTGCTGCAGCAGGGCTTCTGCCTTGCGAACTCCGAGACTGCGACGCCTCCTTGGATTTCCTATGAGCTTCGTCCAGCAGCCAGTTGGCCGCCGCCTGGGCATTGAAGCCCGTACCGCTCTCCACAAGCCCTCGTCTGGCCTGTTCGGGTGTGAATCCGTAGTCGACGAGTTGCGCAACAGCCTTGTCGAAGGGATCCTTGTTCACTCTGGGCACTCGCTCGACGTTTCGCTCGACGGGCACGGGTTCGTCATCGTCGGAAGAAGAGCTGGAGTCGTCTTCGATGGGCTTGCCCGGCTCGCTTCGAAATGATTCTTGCTTCGCTTGTTGCTCCCTTCTAACCTCGTCCACGGGTCGCGCGAGGTCCCCCAAAAAGTCGAAATCGTCTGCGCTGGTTGCGGCGCCCTGGCCAGTTGTTGAAGGGACAGCGGCCTTCACCTCGTGCAGTCCAAAGGGATCATCGTCCTCCACGTCGAAAGCGCCGTCGCCGTTCGATGCCGTTGTCGAGCCCCATGCTGAGGGATCCGCCAAGTCGAGCCCTTTCTTGACCGGCGGGGGTGGAGGGTAGTGGCTGGCATTGTCGACCTTGGTGTCTCTGTTGAAGGCAGCAAACAGGTCGTCGTCATCGTTCGCTGCGCTCGTGGGCGCGACACGCTGCTGTTGAGGCGCCGGACTGGGCGTGAAGCCTCGGGACCCTAGAGAGTCCCAATGCTGGCCGTTTCCGAACTGCGCCTCTGCGAGCTTCCGCCTCTCCTCTTCCTTCTTCCGCTTCTCGAGCTCGAGCTGCGCCTGTCTCTCAGCGAGCGACAGGTTCTGCGTGGCTTTCGGCAGGCCAAAGCTCAGGTTGCTAAAGCTGTCTTGCGCAGGCTTTGCGGGAGCCAGCTTGGGCGCCGAGCCGTTGGGCTTCTGAGCCGCCAGAGACGCAATCTGTGCGGCGCCGAAGGGCGACTGCGACGGCGATGGTCGGAACGGAGGATACGCAGGGTTGACGACCATCGGCTTCGGCTTGCTGCCCGATGCGTCCGAGGACCAGTCGAGCCCCGAGAGGTCGTCCATGGCGATGGTGTTGCTGGTTGCTGTTGCTATCGGCAGATGTCAATCATAGCCAGGCGATGGATGATGCTTCATAGTCGTGGTCGTTGGTGAGGTTGTCGCTAAGCCCCATAGTACAGTAGGTCGAATGGAGGGGATCCAATGCTGGGGAGTGACAGGGGCTCTGGTTGGTGTCATGCCAGGCCACCCAAATTGCTGCAGGCGGCGAGAGAGCAGATGCAGGTCACATGACCCCTGTTCACGACATCAATCTGTCTCTTGAACAAATGGCAAATTGATGCTCGAAAGTGCGTGTATTTCAGGATAATTGATGATTCTGTTCATTCAGTACATATATGATATGAGTAACTCATTCGTCTGCTGGCTGGGATGGAATTGGAGAGATGTCTCAATACCCCCCATTGGATCACCAAGGTGTGTTATTACCATTACTCATACGGATAATGAGGCATCTATAAGGAGACGAGGAGAGTCAAAGAGAAAAATAAAAACCGCTGGAAACCAGAAAACAACTCAAATCAACGATACAACCAGCGAAGAACTATTCTCGCACTCTTGGTATACGTGACGCCTTCGAAATCCGGCTGTGGTCCCAGGTGATAGGGTAGGCCAGGCGCTCTAGCACAGGAAGCACGCGCCGAATTCCGACAACTTCAGAGAGCGTCAGATGTACGCATACGGTATCTTTCTACACAATTATGATATGCGCAATTACGGAGTGGAATAATGTGTCATCAGCGGGTTCCATCGTTACATCGAAACAACAAGAGAAAAGGTTCAAAAAGAAATATTTGGGAAAAAAAATTAATTATTTCCGGCGCCGGGAGTCGAACCCGGATCGCTGCGGGACTTTCGTATGAAAGCGCAGTATGCTAGCCACTACACCACGTCGGATATGTTTCGATGCTACTTTGAAGTCTTAAACTGCCCTATAAAGCTCGTCGGTGGCTTGGATGAATGAATGCGTTGACCTACATATCTTCAGGCATTGGAATCTTTACGGCGCCGAAGACTCATCTCACAATATTTCCTTGCTCAAAACTTCGCATGAGCTTCTCGATTACCTCAAAACATCATGTTTGGGGACCCCGGGGAATATCCCGTCTGGGATCGTGGAAGTCGCCTGCCGATCGGGTTCTGTCAGGCTAGGAGTAGATCACGTCAGGATGCTGCTGGTATGTGTTTTCGGGCAGACCAGAATGTTGGAGTGCTCATTGCTTTCGTCATCGGATCAGTGTTTGACGAAACAAAGGATGCTACTTGTCCTGGCGAGCATCTTTTCCAGATCACCAAGACGAAGGACAATGTGGAGAACTTCCATCGTATGGAGTACTCTGTACGTCTCTCGCCTTTCCCGTGGGCGAGGCTGAAAGGCACACCTCACTATCTCGCGGAGCTTTCTGCAGAGGCTGATCCGTTGCAACTGGCGGGGTCCATCCGCAACCCGTGGTAGGATGCCGATTCCTGGCCAAAAAAGAGCCAGACAGCATATGTGGAGGCTCGTACGGAAGTCAGCGAGATGAGATGAATCTAACATTACGGGAAGAATACATAGATCAGAGGCACATTCGGAATTGCCTCGCTTGCTGTACGACTCGCCAGCAGTGCCGAGTTAGCCAGTATCATGGGTGTGATGCTCCATACTAGGCTTTCAAGAACAAGCATCAGCTGGCCAAACCCCTCATTCCGAGGGGGACAGAGAAGGGAGGCTGAACCAGGCAAGCCAGGAGTTGACTCTGCTGCGCTTGGCTTCATTCCCGGAAGCGAACGTGGACGATTGCACTTGGCAGCCGACCTTGCAGCTTATTTGCGACGATGGAGCAGCAAACAATCGAAGCTTGCACAGATTGGGGGGAAGCCATCGTCGCCTCTTTGCTCATTTCTGCTCTGGTGTCGCCTAGCCGCCAGGCACAAAAACCAGGGGCTGCTGCTTTGAGGCATTTTGTGAATGCTGATTGGCCAGCCGTGCCGATGAAACCGTTTCAAATGACCGCAGGGTCTCTCTAATGCAATGCATAGCAGCATCTTCATCTTGGCGCCCCTGAAAATCCATGGCCTAGCGCAAGTGCGCCACGACACCATTGCAAGAAGGAAACGCAAACAAGCCTTTTGGTCTCTTCTGGGGGACATTGAGTGTGAACGTTTGAAGGATGTCTTGATGCATGGCATTCGCTTTCTCGACGGCCCTTGTTGTGGGAGAGCAGCTCGCGAAGCACAGCATTTCGTTTGTTGTCGACTAATGGCATGGGCTGGCAGTCTGCGGTCCCACGCTCTACGGCTTGACCGACTGCTGTGCTCTCCTGGTCTGCGGTCGAAATTTGAGATGAACGGGAAGCGACATGCTTGCCCCCAGCCATTCATATACTCATCACGGCTTGAGGCTCCACAAGCCTCGTCATACACACCGAGCGTCCCAAATCCGAAGCCCTCTCTTGTAGTAGAAATCAATTTCGCAATCGACAACAGGAGCAGACGGCCGCACCACCAGGGCGCTATAGACGTTGAGCAACAGTCGGCGTTCATCCGTTGAAGAATAGCGTCGTTTGTGGTTCAGCCGCAAGCCTTGTATGCCGATGCAGGGATTCGTTCGGAGTTGAGAGTCTCAACTCACCACAACGGTCTTGCCCATGGTCGGATTCAGGAGGCAGAATCCGAGTCCATCTTGAACCCGCCCTAGCGAACAGTAGGGGGGTTCTGCATTGATGAATCGTTGCCGATAGAGGAGCTTTATTCCAGAAGTCCCAGTATTAGGCGGAAGGTCCCACGAAGTGGTATTATCCCGCGGGTCGGAACAAAAAAACAGGCCTCCCCCAGGGGGGCATCATGAAGAGACACCCCCTGCTCAACTCCATGTCTCTCAATTTCTTGGACTGCTTGGCCAATCACCATCTGAAAAGAATCATTACATCATCTCGTCCCCCAAAGCAAAGGCCAGGCAAATGCATACCTCAAGGCAAGCGAAGTTTCAACTCCCCTCTCGAAGATGCTCATCGTGACCCCTGCTAGTGACCATGGTCATTCGAATTTGCCGCGTTTGGCAAGTCGGGCCACCCAGGACGAAGCCTGACTGGTCCGTCGTTGGGATACTTTGTCAACCCTTGATCCTTCGTAATCTGCTTTTGGTGTTCCCCCCGGCGGATGGCCAACGAGAGTTGCCTGATAGCCGGCTATTGCGCTGCTCAAAACCATGGCCACAATGGCAGAGGAGGTAGCGCGGCAGTAGCAGTTGGTGCGCCGTGCTGCTTGGGTGTTGGTCTCATCCACCATCTCTCTCCCAGTCAGTCTCTTGTTCGAGTTCCGGGGCCTGCTTGTACGCCGGCATTGGCGCGAGGACCCGGATTCCCATCCCTTGTCGACAGCAAAATCGCCCTTAATATGGCCGCCCCGTGCACTGCTGCCATTCCCATCCCTCATTTCGCGTTGCTCCTTTCTCCTCCGCTTCATCGTGTGTTTTGCTCGACATTCCCACGTTCTTTACCATTCCTTTCTGCCGACCAACGTACATTCCTTCTGTTCCATTGTCCATACGCATTCCTCAAATACTTTGGAGGATTCAGCATTCTCATACTCTTCTTCCGACTATCGCTTGCTGTTCAGCCTTCCTCTTCGCACCTCGTATTGACAGAGGCGATTACCCTTGCGCTCCGATAAGCTTTGACGTCAACTCGGAGAGACACTCAATAGTTGCCGGCTGTATCGACATCCACCGGACCGTTTCGCCCGTGTTGCAGACCAGATACCTCGGTCCTTGTTACGGAACTCATCGAGACTGACGTGCCGCGAGGAATTCTTCCTGGAGGTTGGACACGTGTGCACTGAACCATCAGTCGCCCTTCTCTGGAATCCCGTCTAGGCGCCGTTTCGTGAGGTTGGGACAATACTAGCAGGAGAGATAAAGACTCCCACAGGCTTGTGCAAGCGTGCCTCTTCCCTTGGAAGAAGTCGGTTTTTGATTTGAGCTGCCCTCGCCTCTCCGAACTGCCCCTTCGTTCTCTTCTTTTGGGGGGGTTTGACGACAACGACGATACTTTGGTAAGCCCGTTTCCAGTTTGACAGAACACTCTTCCTTGACACGACGCAAACCCCTTTCCCGAGAGCAAATACACAGCAGCGCAGACAGATCCGGCCTGCCTTGCTTGACCTGCAGGGAGCCCGCAAACGCAACGGGCCACAGTGAAGCGATTGGCTGGTCGACGCAGCTGTTGCTTGCCGAGGAAAGATGGCCGATTACACCAAGGGCCCTTTTTGCGTCATGCCGTGGATGCGAATGCGCAAAATCTCCGTCAGTGACAGCTGCAGGTTGAAGGACGCAGCATCTGCCTCCTGCCAGCTTGCGCCTGGATCACGGGATCATGAAGCTGTCGCGCCTTCCCTCCCAGCGGCGGGCCTTTTGCAGGACCGCCTTCCTCTTCTCACCGCAGCCTCTCACCGCATTCTGTCATGCCTCTCCCCTCTCTGAATTCTGCCTCCTGACCTTCGTCTCTTCACTGCTACACTCCTTCACCTCGATCGTCTTATCGATTCTCTCGCTGTCTTCCTTTCGTCTGTTGCCTCAACCTGCGGCTGGCAGAACCGCTGACTCTCCGTGCAGACAGCCTCGTTGCGTCGTCCACTCCTTACCAACTCTTAGTTGATCTTAGTCTTGCCCTTCGTCTTGCCTGGAGCAACCCCTCGAGCTTGGATACGCATCAACTATCACAATGCTCAAGTCTGTAGTTGTCACCGCGGGGCTGGCCGCCGTGGCCGACGCCTTCTGGCGCATGGAGTGTCAGGGGCGTGTTGGCCTTGCCCGAATGGACCCGGTCGTTTACCCAGGCGCGGACTCGCCTCACATGCACGCTATTCACGGATCGTCAGGTGAGTGCGGCTTCTTGTTCATGGATTGCTGGGCTGGGTTGCGTCTGCTTGGGGTCTCTGCTATGAGAAATATCATTGCTTCCTATGAGTTGGTTGATATTGACTCATACTGTCTTCAACACCTGGCATCAACTCTGGCTCTTTGCATGTTTCTGTAACTGACATGTTCTGCCAGGCTTTTCCGAGACCTCTGGTACCCCCGAGCTTCTTGCCGGCAACTGTACATCATGTCGTGTCACACAAGACAAGTCTGCCTACTGGCACCCTGCCCTGTACTTTCAAGATGCCGACACCAAGGAGTACGAGCTGGTTCCTCAAGTGGGCGGTATGCTTGCGTAAGTTGCCTATGTCCGGCGTTCTGGGATATTGAATTGCTCCGCTAACAACACGCAATAGCTACTATCTCCTGTACGGAGACAACATCAAGGCTTTCCCTACCAACTTCCGTATGGTAGCTGGCGACACCAATCGCCGAACCTACACCGCTGGTGATCCAACCCAGCCTGACCCGGCCAAGTCTCTCTGGGCTTCGTTGGGCCAGACCACCCAGGATATCCTGGCTCAGCGCGCCATCGGCTTCAACTGCCTCAACTACGACAAGGCCCCCGAAGGCACCCTGTATCGTCACTTTTTCCCCGACAAGGGATTCCTTGATGCCAACTGCAAGGATGGCATCCGTTTTGAGATCATGTTCCCTTCGTGCTGGAAGGGCGGCGATGCCATCGACAGCGCCAACCACAAGGACCACGTTGCTTACCCCGATCTTGTCATGACCGGCACCTGCCCCGACGACTACCCCGAGCGCCTTCCCAGCATGCTGTTTGAGATCATCTGGAACACCAACGCTTATGTTGGCCGTGCTGGTCAATTTGTTCTGTCTAACCAAGACACGACTGGTAAGATGACAATGGAGCTCTTTTTACGGCAGTGTAACTTATCTAACTCGATGAACAGGCTATGGACTTCACGGTGACTTCATCATGGGCTGGGACGAAGACTTCCTGCAGCAGGCCGTCGACACATGCACGAACGCCTCTGGTCTCATCGAGGACTGTGCCATCTTTGACGTTGTCGACCAAAGCGTAGCCACGCAGTGCCACCTCGAGGATATGCCTGCGCACCTGCTGAAGTCGGACGGCGACGGCAGTGGTCCCTATGCCAAGCTCCCTGGAAGTGACTCGACCGGCTCCAGCCCTAGCTCTGGCGGTCACGGTCACGGCGCCAGCAACACGGCCACCAAGGCCGCCGCAGCCCCTACTCTGCCCTACCAGCCTGGTGTGACGGCACCTTCCAAGGCCTCTCCTCTCCCTGGACAGGTCTTCAAGGAGGATGATGGTGCATCTGGCTACAACGCTGACGCCTATGAGCCAGCAGTCACCCCTGCCCCGGGAGTGTCGGCTGCCAATGTTGAGGCCGAGTTCGTCAGCACTCAGTACATTACCGTTGGCAACGTCGTCAGCGAGATCCTCTGGAAGCAGGCTGTTGTCACCATTACCGAGGAGCCTGAGCCGTCGACGACTGTGACCGTCACCGCAACTGGCCCGCGTCCTGCCAAGTACCGACGCAGCGGCCACGGCCACGGCCACGGTCACGCTCACGTCCATGGACAGGGTCAGCTCTAAGAGGTTGTGAGAGAAGATAGGATCGACTGATATCCCCCTTTTTTGTCATTTTTGAAAGATTTTTCTTGTGAATCTGGACAGGATCCAGATAGTTAGGGGCATTCGTGTGGCATGATTGAATCAACATTTGGCTGCTGGCTTTGTTCATAGGGTAAAAAAGATGTTTATCCGGACTTTGGCATCAAAAGAGTTAACGAGAGAGCTGCGCAGGCAGATGTATTACGTGACAATCAATTAAGTGAGATTTAACTTTATACAATCTACGTGAGGCGTGACGAGTCTTTTCGTCTCGCATTCTTCTTTCCAAATGATGAAGCAAACAAACTAATGGTCCCAGGTTCCGTATTACATACTGTGCATGAGTGACTGTTGGGGGTACATGCACGGGCTTGAAGCCTCCCTTGATGGTTCGGCCAACGTGACGGGCCTCGATATCGGATCCCATCAAGACAAGAATGGATAGGGGCAGCACCAGTTTCTTCATCGTGTGTCTGCAACGCCAGGAACTGTGCATGTGCCGCATGCTTGACCTGTTGTGAAGTCTCAAATCCGCCTCCGTTTGGGGACGGTTGGGCGGACGCGGAGGTGCAGATGGAATGGACCACGCCAGGCAACGCATTCCTGAGATGCAGCAACAATCAAATCCTATGCGAGCAATGACCGTCTGGATTGTGGGTGAGCCCCCATGCATTGCTGCTATGCTTCCAGAAACAAACTTGACAAAAGGCGGACGGCCCGAGAACGCTGCTGGCCTTCTGCTGTTTCTTCTTCCTTTTTTGGCCTCTTTCTCTGCTTCCCTTTCGGTTCGTACGTACGCGTGTTTGTGCTTTTCTCTTTTTTTAACTTGGGTTGAATGATATTGACCCTTTCCATTCGTTTGTTCTGAGGAGACTGCTGTGAGATGAGAGAGACGGATATTGGACGAGCGATAACAACAGCGACGACGACACTCATTTACTACTAATAACTGAACAGCAAAAGAAGCAAGGCAAAAGAACCAAAAGCAGAAAACACATAACATCATGGGTGACACGATGCGCGTGTTTGGGCGGGAGCCCGAGCGTGCTGATCACCCCATTGGCCTGGGATGGCTGCTCGCCATTGCGCTCTGCGGTGGCATCCTGCTCTTCACGACGGTGGGCCTCCTGCTCGTGTGGTGGGTGAAGAAGACTCGGTCGCCGGGCCCGCGGATGGTCTACGGGTACGCGGCGACGGAGACGTCCTTTGTGCCGCCGACGTCGACGTCGCGGCTGATCAAGCGGCGGCTGCTGGGAAACGGCTCCGGGTCGCTCAGCAAGCTGTCGAGCCGCCTGTCGAGCCGGTTCTCGCTTCTGCCTGGGCCGCGCGGCGGCGGCGGCGGCGGGCCACCTGATGCTGCTGCTGCTGCTGCTGCTGCGCTGCCGACGCATGAGAGGAGCTTCGCGCTGCCGGAGCGGAGGAGGACGGTGTCGAGGGGGAGGAAGCGGTCGCGGAGCTGGGTGGACGAGGACGACCTGCACGGGCCGAGGATGGCGCGGAGCAAGAGGAGCGCGCGGGACTCGTGGTTCGGCGTCGTGCCGACGCTGCCCAGCGTGGAGGCGGCGCCGCTGCCGGAGGTGGTCGAGGTGGAGGAGGAGAGCAGCCGGCGGGTGCATGTGGGAGCCGGCGTGCCTCTGCAGCATCCGCAGCCGCGGTGGATTCCGCGCAGCCAGACGGAGCCGGGGCTGATTCCGATGGCGGCGGCGGCGGCGGCGTATCCCGTTGAGCTGCCGACGGGGGTTGCGCCGGCTGCTGCTGCTGCTGGGCCGGTGAGGATGTCGGCTCCTCAGGTGGCGCACGTGCGGCCTTCGGCCACGGATTCAAACTTGAAGGGCATCTTGCGCTCGACGGAGATGAGGCTCTCGGACAGGACCTCGCGGCCCCCGGTCACGGTATCCCGATCATCTGCCGTCAGGGGGTCGCCCACCAAGGGTCACCGCACGAGCTCATCGGCCAGATCAAGCAACGGCTTTCCCCTTTCAGGGAGCCCGCCCAAGAGTGGCCTTCCGAATACAGCAAGCATGAGCTCGATTGGCAGTGCCGCGAACAGTCTCATTGCGGCGGCCACCCAGGAACTCGAGCTTCCTGGACGCTCGTCGAGTCCCAGCAAGGCTAAGGGAGTTCGATTTGAGCAACCAGAGATCGCAAATGGAGACCTTGAGAAGCCTCAGTACAAGACGGTCCTGTCTCAGAGCCCGCAAACGCATAGCCCTCAGAGGCAGTTCTCGCAGATGGCATTGATACAGCACCCGTCGATGCAGTCTGTGCAACAACAACAACAACAACAACAACAACAACAACAGCAACAACAGCAACAACAATGTCCTCCACAGAGAAGTCCTGAGCGCCGTATGTCGTTTGACAGCGACAAATCGAGCTCCCTTTCGACCTTGTACAGCACCAATGAGCCGGAAGAAGAGAGACCCAGGCAAAGGCTAGATTACGACCCCTTTGTGGAAAAGGGGGCCCAGGGCAGGTGGCCAAACTGGCAGACGCGGCAGCGCCTCGCCCATAACGACTCGCAAAGGCGGGCAAAGACGTTGAGCTCGGCGTCGCTGACGCGAATCATCATGGGAGAACCCGCTGGCCCTCCGCCCTTGAGGCCCCTCTCGGCGATTTCGCAGCCCGACATGGCCTATGGAGGTCTGATGTCTCCCCTGATGCTCGACTCGCAAGCTGCTTCGTTCGCGAGGGACGCTGGTGGTGCCGAGGGGCTTGCTCCCTCGCATACGCCGTACCTGAACGAGGTTCCCTCGGAAGTCAGCTTCGTCTCCATGTCGGTGGATTCCGATGCGACCGAAGTGCCTGCCGCTCACGACAGCAGTGACTCGGCATCGTCCAGCCCCACGACTCCGACGGGACAGTCGCGGTTCCCAGACATGATGTCGTCGTCGTCCTCGCCGTATGACGAGCGGGAGATCATGTCCCTGCTCATGGCCACGGCGCCCCCTCAACGAGCTTTGCCGCTGCCTCCGCCTAGCGTGACGGGCGCAGACGGGGCCATCGTTGCTGTTCTCTCGCCGACGCCGGGGAATCGTCTGTCGCGCCGCGGGTCCACCGCCAGCTCCGTGTACACGTTTGATACCTTCCTTGCCGAGCAGGGTACCGGCTTGGCGCCCTCGCCCTCCCGCCGGTCCATCATCCATCCCATCATCGATGGCCCTCGACTGAGCAGCACCATCGCCGAGCTGCGCCGCATGAACAGCGTCCTGAGCACATACAGCGTCGCGTCCATCGCCTCGACAGTCGCAGAAGGCGACTCGCCCACTCTCCCCGCCTCATTGAGCGGCGGCGGCGGACTCGCAAAGACCCGCTCCGTCCTCTTCGGCCCCGCCAGCATCGGCAGCAGACACTACCTCAACGTCGGGAACACGCGGTCCCTGGCCAGCAGCGGCAGCGGTCGCCGATTCGGTCCGCGAGGGTCAGCGCGGCACCGCCGCGCGGAGACTTGCTGCTACGGCAGGGACACTACCCAGGGGCTGGGGCTCCGCCTGGCGTGCATCGTGGACGAGACGGTGGACGTCGACCCGCAGCGGCGCGCGCAGAGCCTCGTCTGCGACCCTGGCATGGAAGTCATCGAGGGGGTTTCGCCCGCGCCACGGGGGCTGCTGAGCCAGAAGCTTGGGCCAGTGGAGGAGCTCATTGCCGCCGAGCAGAGATTCGACGCGCACCGGGCGAGCGTTGAGAGCTTGGGGCTGTATGATAAGGATGGGTTCTTGCTCAGTTCGCCTGAGCGAGATGCGAAGAGGAGAGGCTTGCGGATATGAAAGCGAGCGATATGATGGTGTGATAATGCTCTACCTTCTTTTCTTTCTTTCTGATTCTTTCCCTCCTCCATTCCTTTTCCTTTCTTTATTCTTTCTCCCCGCTTGCCTTCCGATTTATTGGGCCGTTTCTTTTGTGGAAGACTTGTTGGCGGCTGATAATGTAATTTATGGTACGCGTCTTCATTTTCCTTTTGTTGCAGAACCAGAGACGAGCAGACGAAGGAGTTCATCGATAGATATGGTCTTGTATATTAGCTGGTAGCCTAAGGCACTTTTTAAAATCTAATTTTAGTTTCCCCTTGTTCATTATAAACAACTTTTGGCGAGTGAAACTAACCTATTTTCCATCTTCCATGAAACTCAAAAAGATAGGAGGAGATATCTTCACTCAGAGGGGATGAGAACACTCCCCGATTGTCTGACCGTAAACGCCGTACTTCCCTTGTCCTCCCTTACGCGTCGTCGCCGGCGCTCTCAACTCTGGGCCGCTTGGTCTCCGGATCCTCAGCTGAATCATGCCCATTGACACCCTCTCCCTTCTCAAGCTCGTCCCTCGGGCGTGTCCTACCAGCTCCCTCACCAAGCTCTTCAGGCTCTTCTCCCTCTCCTTCCTGCTCGCCACCTATCCAGTTGCCATCCGCGTCAAAGTACTCGTGCACATTATCCGCCGTAATCCAACCGCCACTACCAGGCATAGGGGGCGGCAGCCCACCATCTGCAACACCGCGCAACACGCCCGTGAATCCCTCAACGGCCTCGTGACCCACGTTGCCCTCAAAGACGATGCGATCGTACTCGTTCTCGTCGTCGTCCTCGACTTCAGGATCGGGATGTAAGTCGGAGCAATTGGCCATGGCCTCGTAGAGCTGCTTTGCCGAGCTTGCCTCAGAAGAGGATGGGTTCTGCGGCGGGATGATGGTAAGCTCGACGGTTTGGAAATCGGAGTCGTCGCTGCCGCCGTCGGCGAGGTCAAGCTGCATCCAGACAGCTTGCTTGTCGTCGACCGTTTTGAGGGCATGGATGGAAATGGTCGGGTAGGGAATCGAGACGCCGGCTTCAGCTTGGCTGCTGAAGATGACGAAGTTTCTGGGTGCAACGTTAACAACCGCACAAGAGCTGGATCAGTTAAGGAGGAAGCGCGCACTCTGAAGTCGCAAACACATCGACGGTCTGCTCTACCAGCTCCTCCACAGCTTCGTCCTCGTTCGCGTCGCCTCCATTTGAGGCATTGGGCGCCGCGGGAGAGTCCTGGGGGAAAATCGCCAGGCTGCCGCACTGCGACCGAGGGATCGTTGCCTTTGCGCCGGCAAGATGGTAATGCAGAACCGGCTTTCCATCTGTGAAGGACTCGGGGGTCTGGGACTGGTATTCGGCCAGAGGCGTGAAGTCGGCCTCTGCGGGCGGCGATCGAATCGTCGTTGGAAGCATGGTTTCGACCGGGTCTCTGAGAGCTGAGCTGAAGCTGTGATGCTGGGGGAAGAAAAAGAAGCTGGGACTCGAATTGACGATCGTGGGGTAGCTGCACTGTGGTTCTGCCTTATCGATACCGCCTCTAGCTGCCTTTTAGCATCCAATCCATTAATCCCTGGCAGTTATAGCGGACGTGGGGCTGGTGATGCTACCACTGCACTGCAGTAACTACCTAGACTAAGGCACAGCCATCCAGCGGTCATTCCGATGCTTCCAACTCCCAAAGTCTAAACTCCAACCTTAACCTTTCATCACCTCGGGTCGGCTCAACAGTTGCCTCCGCTGCTCGAGAAGACTGCCTTCTCACCGACTTCACCAACTTTTCTCCTCGATATCACGGACAGTCCCAGACCAGTTTCGCACTCGCACTCGCACTCGCACTCTCATCAACTGCAGCCGCTTGGCTTGGTAGGACTTCGCAGCTGGTCTGCTAGCGAGACAAAATGCACAGTAACCGTGAGCCAACCTTAGTTCTGCCTCGATGGCCGCCATTGCAGATGCTGATATTGATAACACAGGAGCACATCATCTGCTTGAGCAGGTCCCTCTGACGGTATCACCCTTCGTCTCTCTGCCGACGGCCACTACGCTCTCGTACAACTACAAGACGCTGCCGTCCAACATCCCCCCCTCGCCATTGGGCATCCCCAACGCTTCCGACGACCCTTCATCACAGCCTAAGCCGAAGTACGTCGTCTCAAACTCCGGCCATGCCGCCCACCCCGACGACATCATCGCTTCCTGTCAGGCTCTGCAGGCGCACATTGCCAAGATGCAGGAAGATGCCGAGCGCGATCTCAGAGAGTTGGAGGAGTGCATAAGAGAGAGAGAACTCGCCGAGAAGAGGCGGCTGGCGCCTGGATGGCTGGACAGCGACGCCCGGCTGCTGGAGCCTGAAAGAGCCGGCCCGCCTGCGTCTCACACGGTGCCGAGTCCGCCGGCCTCGAACGAGCAGAGCGATCGGGGTGGTAGTGGTGATGTTTCTAGCGATGAGGGCGCCCAGCTGGATCGGGCTTTTGGTGATATGGCGCTGAGATAGGACGCGTGGGCGGTATTGGCGGATGGCGCAACTTGACTTTTTTCCCCCTTTCTCTTTCCTTTGTTTGGCTACTGGATGGTTGCACGATACACGAACAGCAACAACTTTACATGCGTGTTAAATCGGGATTCCAAGACCGAGATTTGCGGTAGGATAACGGGCGTTCAGTATACTGAATTATCACTTATACTTTCTTCTTACCTGACTTTTAACAACAATGGATAGCTACGAATACAATGGGCAACGCAAATTGAGCTACAATGGAAACCCATTCGGTCTTCCATAGAGCGTGGCAGCTGCAGTTTGTCAGGGTATTTGGAAGAACATTCTTTTTTTACGGAGACTAATGGGTCATATCGACAAAACCAATTGATTCAATCAATTGTTAGGCTACCCATGCGATGATGAGATACGCGAGACGCCATCAAAGTGTAACATCTCGATGACCTGATGGACTCGGATGTGGCATAGACTTGCCCTTACCCCTCTCTTGCTGCTTCGATACCGGTTACTTTCCAACTATAAGATCAGCACTTCGGAGTGATGTTGCATTCGGCGTAATCTGTGAATAATGAGGAAGTCCATCCTCACGGCTTCATCTCGATGGCCAGGCTGAGGCTTGCCGGGGCGAGTTCGCCCTGCAGATCATACTGCTGCCGTATTCCTATCAGTGCAAAGGGCATGTCGGGATCATCGGAGCAAACTCATCTCGGTGGCTGTCTGATTCTCGGGGCTGTGTACGCCTCACAGCTTCTAGCTCATGACGTTGGTGGTGACTTTGAAGTTGAGCTAGGATTCAGCGCTTTTCTTGCCGAGAGGGACATTCTATCAAAATCAAGGTTAAGGTTAAGCTTAACAGATGTACTCCGCCACGCCAGCCTCGCCAGTCGATATGGGTCCGCGTATGGACGATGAAGAAGTAAGGACACATTCTGCCCAATGAAGAAATGGCTTCCTCTTGAACCTTAACTTTGGTTCAAGCCACATCCTGAGGGAGTTTGCGGTGCCTCTGCCCAGCAAAGATCATGTCTGTCTGTCAGATGTGGCCAAAGCTTCAGTATCTACCTAGTATGTGCTTCGAATAGGATCACTCAGTCTCAGTGTGTACTCGGTGAGGTCAACTCCATCGAGTATCGGTATCATCGCAAGGGGATGACGCCCTCGGTTCGAGCGTCGGCGTTACATGATGGCAATCGAAAGCATCACGGATACTAAACTGAGGTAGAACGAATTTATCATAAGGTACCTTCTCGATCCTAGAGCATGTGAAATCGGCAAACCTTGCCAGTCTCTTCAGGAAAGGTACGGTTCCTATCAGAGTTGTGGCTTGTTGAGTAGAATTAAGATTCTTCTCAATGGCTGTCAGATACGTAACTCGCCGCTCCCAACAACCACGCAACCGAAAAGTTCTTTCCACAGACAGTTTCTGCCTTTACTATGGGAAAGAATAAGTATATAAAACCCCCTTCTCTCCCTCCTTCCCTCCCCTTTTCTTTTATTCACACACACACACAGAAGACAGAAGACGATTGGCTCTTTACATCTCAACACATCAACAATCGTCTTCCAACCGCCAGTCTTCACCATGTTCTCGCCGCTTTGCCTCGTGTTCCTCCTCCTTGCTTTGGCCCAAGTGGCCTTTGCCGAGCCGCCCGTTGGCGCGGCATCGTTTGGATGGCCTCCCGCGAGGCCATTCAATTATTACACCGAGAGACTGGCAC